CACACACACACACACACACACACACACACACACACACACACACACACACATGCCGCCAGGGAGAGCAGCGTCGAAACCAACGTCGAGCATTTCGTCCCGAACAACCGCAAATGTGCTACTAATAAACATCTCGAAGCTGGATTCGACATTGGACAAAGTACTCGGAAGTCGGATTCCTCATTGACGAGTGCTATCATGGCAAGTCCGAATAGAATAGGATAGGATAGGATAATGTACTTGCCAGTGAACAAACTCACCTCTTCGCTTCCGAGACCCTGGGCTGATGTATAATTACCTTGTGCATGCCAGCAGCCCTCACAGCGTTACTGTATTGCTCTCGTCCTGCGAGTGCTGCCTTGCCTGTGCGGTATATTCGTCCCGCGGAACCTTGTCCAATGGCCGACACCACCGCGTCTGGCAGATACAGTCGATATTCATTTGATTCATGGCATGCTCGTATCATATCGCGAACCACACCCGGCCGAAAGGACCAGTCCATTTCTCCCGACGAATATACCGCTGCGCAGACTCACAGATTGCATACATCTGCCTCAAACTCCAGTTACCACTCGGACCGCAAACTTGACACGGGCAGACGGGCCCTCAGGGCCAAGTTCTGTGGTGGATGTGTATACCGTGCAGTGGAGGTCCTCATGACTCTCTGGGTTGGTACCATACCGAGAACATCAGGTATCTTGCCCTCCCACTCACAGTCCACTGGGATTCGGACCATCATGTTCGCGAGGAGAAGTCGACGCCAGCCAGATTCTCCACGGAGACAGTCGCAGGAAAAACAACGTCTTGTACCGTAAGTCAAGAAATTCTTCACACAAAGACCACGAGGCGAGGACCGGTCAGCACCACGAACATCTGATTACCATGTCCGGTAGCTTGGACAAGTCGCCGCTAAGGTAAGTATACACAAGATAGTATAAGCTGCCACAAAGGGTTTCTTTCATTCCGATTCTTCTCTGTTAAGACATGTCTGTACAAAAAGGGTGTCCTCCGAAGTCTTCATTCTTCCCTCAGCAAGAGGTACTCCCTCTCTCCTACCCTCAACCATTCGTAGGCTTGTCTCCAGGTGTATGTCCAAGGACTTTATTCATCGTGCCGCCAATGGCGCCATCCTCCTTGAATGCATGGCCTATGACTCCGTTCTGGTCGAACGGGCCACCAATGCTCTGGGGTATGCTGCCGATGGAACCGCTGTGGGAGGCGATCGTCAGTAAAGAGGTTGAGGGTGAAGGGCTGAGACCATGGTCAAGGTCCCGGGATCTGGGGACCTGAGGACTCACTCTGCTGTGAATTGCTTGCCGATCGTGCCGTCGGAGCTGAGTGCCGGGGCCTGTATGTGGATTGCGGTGTCAGCGGTGTCCATGGTGTCAATCGACGGTTTCACCAGATAGCCGAAGAGAGTGGCTCTAGACGTACTTTGGCGCCAGGCGCAGGGTTATATTCCTGGACGGGGTTCTTGTTCGGGTGGGCGTCCTTCCCTGCGGGTCCCTCGCCGGTGAACTTCGAGGTGTCGGTCTGACCTTTGGTGATGTTGGGCGTCATTTTGGTGGTTCTTTTCGTTTACCGTCGAAAAGTCTTTATGTGGGTAATCAGGTTGCTTGTGTGACCTTCGTTGTGAAATGGATAGGTGTAGTGTTGGGAAGGAGTGGTGAGCCCTGGCTGCGAGGAATATATTGGACGAGGGGCATCTGCCCATCAACAATGACACAATATGATGAAACCAACCGTTCACTGCCGCTTGACTGCGGGTGACTTCCTACCTATGACCTGCGGTACGATTGCAAGCCGTCACGTTTCTGGGTGTTGCGTCATGCAAACAGAGGCTACACCCGACTCGATCTGTGTCGGATCGTAGATCATGTGAAGGAGGTAAGGAGGAAGTTTGCGGAGTGGGGGAGGGAAGCGTCATAGAATACGAGACGCGGATTGAATATGGCCCTTTTGGGGCTCGGCGTCAACTCAGCTTTCTCCCTCTATACTTCGAGGATTCACAACTAGGTACATTGGCGTGTGCGTGGATAACGCGAGTTGTCATATCGGTAAATCTGCCCGTCACAGTCCCCTCAGTCCTACTGCAACTTGCTCAGTTCGCCGTCGTTCAGAAATCACTGACCACCTACTTCGAAACTATGCATCTAGCCTGAAACTTGGGTCGAGGGTATGATTGTGGCATGCTTTTAGGCAAAACATGAGAGTTTCTTTGAGAACAGTATGGGTCCAAGCTTGTTCTTTCTCTAGCATGATGGCAGAGTCTACATATGACCTCTGTTTGACTTTGGTGACACGTGCATCTCATAGTATGAGCACCTTCAGTCAGAGCTAGGACGCAAGACGCAACCCATTGTACTGTTTTTGCTCCCGTGACTTCTGTCCTGTACCCTCTGGTCTGGACACCCAGGTAGCCAACGCTACAGAGCGGAGTGCATCGATCTGACATTCTATCAAATGCACCAGAAGAACTTAACAGATAGCATGAGTCTTCCCGTGTTTGCCTTGCAGGGAATGCTTTTCATCCTTGTAGTTTTTCATATTGCTGCCGGCCTTGCCTGTTCTGTGGTGAGTTTTCTTGACGTGGCTATCAAATCAGTCAGTAGCTGTGTATGTGAAGTATGCTTGGATAGAGAACCTACTCGGTGTAGCGCTCCATGGTCTTCTTGTCCATATCACCAAGCGTCTGCAACGCCATCTTGATGTCAGTTACGAGAGCGTCGCAGCGTTGCTTGCTGAAGTCTTCACGGACCACCACACGCATCAACTTGAGGCCTTCGCTGTGGGGGGCCATGGTATAAGCAGGCACGACCCAACCACGCTCTCGAAGCTGATGAGCAATGGCAAACTCGTCGAATAGCTGGTCGTTATCAGGATCCAGGCGGAAGGCAACCACCGGGAGGGAGCGACCCCCACCAGGTGACATGAGGATAAAGCCCAGGGCTCTGAGTTGGGCAGCCAAGTAGTCGGAGGTGCGGGTGAGGTTGAGCATGATGCTGCGATAGCCTCTCTTTCCCAGTCTGATCATCTGGTAGTACTGAGCAATGACATGACTGGCACCTTTGCTGAAGTTCAGTGTGAAGGAAGCTTGGTCGGCACCCAGGTAGTTGATGTTGAAAACGAGCTCCTTGGGGAGGAAGTCTGGAGATCTCCAGATAACCCAACCCACGCCAGGGTAGACAAGACCGTATTTGTGACCCGAGACATTGATACTGACGACCTTCTCCAGGCGGAAATCCCAGACAAGATTTGGGTTGACAAAAGGAGCTACGAAGCCACCTGATGCTGCATCGACATGGATTGGGCAGTCGATGTTCTTTTCCACGAGCAAGTCGTTGATCATCTGGGTATCTTCATACTCGCCTGTGTAGGTCAAGCCCAGAATGGTGCAAATGCCGATGGTGTTCTCGTCGACCAGGTTGACTGCCTCTTCCGGGTCAATGACGTAACGGTCTTCTGTGCAGTAGACATATTTCTCCTCCACGTCGAAGTAGCGGGCAGCCTTTTCCCAGCACACCTGGACGGCACTGTTCATGACAATGTTGGGTCTCGAGAAATCTTTTCCTGCCGCTTTGCGCTTGTTCGCCCATCTCTTCTTCATGGCCAGGACAGCTAGCATGATTGCCTCACTGGAGCCGATAGTGGACGTTCCCATCGCATTCTTCCCGTCTTGTGACTCTGGGGCGTTGTAGAGACGGGCGATCATGTTAACGCAACGGTTCTGGATCTCGGCAGATTGGGGGTATTCTTCGTAGTCGATGAAATTCTTGGAGAAGGCCTCGGCCATGAGCTTCTCAGCTTCATCTTCCTAATACATCTATCAGCCCATCACCGGTCCGTAACGATATAGGTGCGACTGGTGAGGAATGCCTACCATGAAGGTCGTGACAAAGCTTGCCAAACTATTCGCCAGCTCGGTTAGATGGTTCAAGAGGCTTCCAATTCGCACACTCACTTCAGCATAGGGTTACCATCGAGACTGAGCTCGTCTTTGATCATGCGGTATGCAATCTCCTTCGGCATCTCCTTTTCAGGCATCTCATGTGCAGGAAGGTCTTCGGCCGCGAAGCGCGACCCATAGACGGACGTGGAGAATTCATCTTCCGCAGGAGGTTCAAGAGAGATGTGCTCAAGGCCAGGCACCACAGACGACCGGCGTCCGGGAGCTCCGAACTCGGTCTGCCCACTGTCCTTGCTTGGAGGCTTTCGTACTTGGGCTAGGTGAACCATGTTGACTGATGAAGTCTTGCAACAGAAAACGAAGTTTGGAGGTAAGAGAAGGTGAGATGAAACTGGAACGGAAGAGTGACAGAGACGAGGTCACAGAGAGGGCGAACCTGTATAATCAGCGTGCAACCAACATTCAACCCTTTAGACAGCTGTGTGAAGAGGGAATGGTCAAGGATCAGCAAGTGAAGTTGTGCAGGATTTTGTTCTGCCAGACCTGCCAGCTCAATTGAGGACGGCCGAAGCTGGAGCTACTATGCGATTGATTGACAGATAATGATTGGGTGAACAGCGAACTCCTGCTCTCATTATTCCAGGTTACGATCAGTGCATGACGAAGCTCTGGGAGAGGAGTGCTCGGATCTGAGAAGGTGAAAGGGTGAGCTGATGAGTGGATGAGCGGCTGCTGAGAGATCATCTCAGGATCCAATCATGGTTAGCCTGGGATGGGCTGTTGGTGGGGTGTGCGCAAAATAACAGGCGAGCCGGACGAGGGGTACGCACCTGCAAGGATGGCACCTAAACATTTCAGTGAGGGCCCACGAAGGCCACCTAAGCGGCAACAGATCTGCCTCAGAGGTTGGACGGAACAAGACTTTTCCTTCCATCATCGTCCCTCTCACTGGATCATCGATCAGGCACCACTTGACACATCAAGATCATCGTCCATCCACAAATGCGCTGCCCTTCACGCACGGGATCTAACGAGCTTGTCATTGCTTGGTTCCTCATGCAGTAGCTAGCGGTAGCTTGCTTCCCATCCGGATTTTCGCTTCGACAGCTTGCTGATGGGCAACCACAACCAACAAATGCAACTGCTGCCTGTGACACCAAACCTATGTTAATCCACGAGCATCAAGCAGCCACATGGTCCAGCGATAACCAATTGGAAGTGTGCCCTACTGCGCAGCCTTTAGCATGAGCTTCCGACTCTGAGCCCAGATGTCTGATAAGCGTGTGGTAAGTAGCACAATCATACAACTCGATTCAGCTGTTGTAACTCGAGCCTAGGACACCAACAATCGCTGTTGCTCCTTTGTGCACCTTCCCTCACGCACCTTCAAGCCACGGCGTCGACCCATACCTTCCTGACCATGTCTTCTGCCTCAGCTATGCTTTGCTGCTTCAGACCGTCAAAGTCTCCCCGCGGCAGACGAAGAGCGTGGACATCATTCAGGGAAGCTTGCTCTGCAGAATATGCTGGCCCCAGATGATGGTATCTCTCTGCTCCCGAAGACCCGTATGTTTCCTCTGGCGTAGCCTTAATATCTTCTCTCCTTCGGTCCTCCAGCCTGAGCGCCTTCTCACTTGGGCTCGTGAGTTCGGAGTCCTTCTTGGAAGTTGGCTGGGGCATCCCGATGGACAACAATCTCTGCCGGAGCGAGAGGCGCCTCCCGGAGGGCCAAGTAAACCTCCCCACAAGACGACTTATCGGATCAAGAGCCATCAAATCAAGCTCCTGGCAATCCTTGTCGGCCGGGATGCCGGGACCAATGTTCAGCAAGATCGAGATCTCGACCTCTCGACCATATAGACGTTTCGCTTCGTCAAATGCAATGGAAGAGATGGGATGAGACTGTGGAAATGTCTCATCGAAGAACGTCGTGTTTCCAATTTTGTACGGTTTCAGGAAGAATTTCGCAGCGCCAGTGGCCGCGAAGACCTCTGGCATCCGACAATCGGCTGGCTCTGGCCCTTGAAGCACCAAGTCGGTTTGGGACTCTCCCGCATGGTAAGATCTGAAGAGCTCATATCTCGAAGATTGATCGTCCTCGGTGGGGACCACGCCGGCCGCAAATCTATCTGTGTCAGAATCCGTCGACTAACTTTTGAACAGCACGCACGCATATTTGCATTGATTGAATCTTGGCCTTTCCTTTGTTGTGCGATTTTCGCCTCGGAGTAGAGCAGAATCCAGGCCGTATCGCTGGAGGACTTCCTCAACCACCTGGAGAAGTCGATCTTGATCCAATTTGAACAAGCGCTTTCTCGTCGCAGGATACGCGTTGTCCGGGTCGGGGTCCTCCTTTTGTTGCAAGCTCCATGTATATCGCAGTGCATGTTGCTATGTCAAGCCGGTATCGCCCCAGGAGAAGTGCAATCCATCTGGAATCTTGTCAGCCGTCAATTGAGGAGCTAACTTTTCGGTCACTCACCCGCCAGTACCGACACCAGCGATGATGTCGAATAACTCGCGTGGTGCTGGAGGTCGATCTGCGCCGTGCTGTTTGGCTATGGCCCTGCAAACAGCATTCAGGCTGCTCAATGTGGCCAGCGCTTGGAGTCCACCACCATCTGGCCGAAGTCAGGTTTTTGTACCAAAGAGCACTGGAAGCTATGCCCCTTCAAGCTTCGAAACATACCTAAGGTGAGAATTTTGAGCGGTCGTGATGCATACATTTCCTCTGTCTTCGATTCGCTCATTCGTCCAGGTGGGAAGTGCTCAGAAGATTCAGCTGCGAGCGAAAAAGAAGACACTTTTCTTTTGCAGATGTCTCGGCCGCATGTCTGATCGGCCGAATTTGAAGTCGCTGAGGAACATCACTTCCCACTAGGCAGTGAGTGCCACCACCTCTCACTGCCACCACAAACAGCCCAGCTCTGTGCTCGTCTGTCCATTTCCATTCCAGACATCTGCTGTCCGATTCGTACGACTGTTTGTATTACATGCCGCGGTTCTCGTTGCCTTGGAGGGCAATCAGAAGCGAACCATCTCACCGGTCAGGTTGTGCACCGCCGCTTGAGCCTTGCTTCGCCACACTCTAGCGCAGACCGGTAGCCTTCAGCGTCCGCCTCACCTATCACACACCAGGCCGCCTGAAGTCTGCCTCATGATCCAATTGAATGACTCAGTGGTATACGATGCCGTCTTGGTATTGAGATTTGTGTGAAGTGAGGCAAGGCTGCTGGAACTTTCGTAGGTCTTCAGATTCTCTCTTGCGGCGGCCTGCTGGGGATGCTGTGCCATTCGAATTTCCCTTATGTCAGAAACGTCGAAATGCACCGCAATGGCTCAGATGCCACCACATGACGTGGTCATTGTTGAGCAGCTGTTCTGCTTTAAGATCCGCATCTTCTTTGTTGTTATGGAGTGCTCCTTGACGATCATGAAAAGTTACTTGAACCTTCAACCTGGCACACCTGAACCCTAATCATCGGCATATCTGCTGTTCAGCCATACCAGCGGCCAAGGCACGCCATGTCTGCTGGCGCGTCCGTCAAGCCGCCGAATGGCGAAAGACTACGGCCCGTTGCGAAGGTTTGTCTCGGTACGGATTTCAACTCTGCGGGAGCCCAAGTCAAGTTAACGGCTCAGCTAGATGGTGGTGGTGTTCGCGGACTTTCCTCTCTCCTAATACTTCAGCTGCTATTGGTTCTTGTCACTGAGGAACTCATCGACGCCGGAGTAATACCAAGGGACCATGCCACTATCAAACCCCAAGATGTGTTTGACGTTGCCACTGGCACAAGTACTGGCGGGCAAGCTGACTTCCCTCAGCGAATTGCACGAGCTAATTCGAGGGCAGGCTAATCGTCCTTATGATGGTTAAACTGGACATGTCTATAGAAGAATGCATCCAACAGTACAAGGAGCCGTTTTGGCATGTCTTCTTGCAAAGCCGTCCGCTGCTGAAGAGAGTGTTCGGATCCGACTGGTCCAAGTACTCGGGGAAATGGCTTCAAGAAGCGGTCGAGAATCTATTGAGATCCAGAGACCAGCCAATCACCCTGATGATGCGATCCGGTCGGAGACAGAACAGCATGAGAGGGTATGTCGGAACCATTCTTGAGATCCGTTCGGTAGGGAAGCTGACAGTTTGAAAGGACGGTTCTCTGCCACGAAGCGCAACAGCCTCATTCCGTTTTCTTCTGCACTCAAGAATGCCGGGGCCCATATCAACAACACATGTTGAAGTGCGATATCGAACTGCGGCATGCCGCACGTGCTACCAGCGCAGCTCCGTCATATGTGAGTCTCCTAGTCCGCTGAAAGACCGCGAAGTCATTGAACAAGTCATTGCTATCGCCCTGCCAATGAACGCACGCGCTAATGAATAGTTGTAGTTCAACGAGATGAGGATCGAGACCCTCAGTTTTGTGGACGGCGGCTTCGGCTTGACTAACAACCCTTCGTGGGAAAGCCAAGTTCACTATCACCGAAACCACGATGTCACGACGAACCGACAGCTTATTATGATCAGTCTTGGCACGGGCAGTGTCCCTGCCGACGCGAACGTAAGCCGGCTGCAACAGCGACCTTGGTGGACGAGACTTCTGCCCAACGGTCTCCTCAAAGCAATGGGCCTGGTCTCTGATCTGGTGAAGATGGCAACAGACTCCGAGCAGCCAGCCGAACAGCTGCGTTACCTATCTGAGGACCATCCTGATCAGCTCTTCTTCAAACGATTCAGTGCCGATACAGGAATCCATGACATTCAGCTGGACGACTGGCGGGCTGCATCGGGCGTCGACGGCACCGGGATCATCGAGGAAAGAACACAAGCCTACCTGCAAGGCCCAGCAGTCCTTACAGAGTTCAGACATGCCGCCAAAAAGCTGGCGGAAGTATATGCCAAACGGCACGAGCAAGTCGAGATACCTGTAATGGCCGCCTTGGACAGACGCCAGAGTGTCGATCTGTCAATATCTGTCGTGGTCGAAAATGAAACACGGGGCCGTGTCGGTTTACCGGGAAATTTGAGAGCGTTGACTCCCGAATCTTCAGCTGATGGAATTCCCAGTCTCGTCACAGGATCGGAACCGACACAGACGCCGAACCCGTCGCCGCCACGAACGCCGGAGCCCGGCCGAAACCCATTTCCACCGATGCTCGCCTCTGATACCAAGGAAATACTTCAAGGCCAAGGGCAGCGATTCAAAGAAAATGTTGCTTCCTCATCAGGGTTACTCAGCCCCGTATCCTCTGACCGTTCGCGGTCTCCAAGGGCTAGACGAGCAGCCACGTTACCTGTCTCGCGAGACTGGGGTCTAGGCAGAGTCATGTAGACTCGATGTCGCAAGCGGGAAATGCCTAGGTCATGGAGTCTGCTATAAACCGGAACTTCGGTCAAGTGGGTTAGGAAGATAAAAAGCCATCCCTTCATAGAACAAGCACCACAAAGGCTTTGATGTACAGCAGGCGGCAGCGAGACATGATAGATCATCCGACTTTGTTCTTGTCCGTATAGATTACCAGGTACTGTCGCTCTTGCCTCTAACTCTAGCCAGTAGCTGCTTTACCTAGATGTTATAAAAGGGTGATTCTTTCGCGGTCCTTCAGCTCTTATAGCCCATCAACGCAAGTCCACTTTTCCATCTCCCTCGCCGCCACGATGTCTTGGAAGCCCTGCTCCACGGAGACGCTAGCCAACGGAGAATGCTTCCCGAAGCAACGGCGTGCAATTAGCCCTGATCGTCTGCAGAAACGCCCCACGGCCGCTCCAGAGAAAGCGTTGGTGGACGAACTTTGCCAGCACGTCCACCCATCAAAGTCTTCGTATGGAACACAAATCTTGTCGTCTTCTCTCTTCGGTAACATGCAAGGCCGCGGCATGAGTGGACCTGGAAAGCATCATCAACGGCCAGATCAGGCACATCACCCGGTCACCCGATCAGAATGACTTCGCTTCGACCGCCTCGAGACGACCGGTGCTTCGGCCAGCGAATGGAGGGAGCTTGTGGCTTATTGTGGCCCCATTTACATACTCCGTACATTCATCCAATTCCACTTGTCAAGGATCCTCCGCCGGCTCCAGCGACCAACCCCAGCCTCCACGTTCAGCTGATGCTTTCAATTCTGCGGGGAAGGTTTACTGGGCATTTCCGCCATGGACATTTTCGAAGATTGGTGCTTCGTATTCGATGCCACCCGTAGGATGGACTATGGTGACTGGCTTCCTTTCATCCAGCTCCCATACTCCACATTATCTCAAAGGGAAGTGTTGGAAGTGTTGGACATGCACATGGCCTGCAGTTTCCAGTCGACGTGTTGCGCTGGTGGTGCCGGCGCTGTGTTGCTGACAAGCCACCATTACGCCCGAAAGACTCCTGGCGCCGTCTACCAAGCCGATCCTGGACAACCGACATGCTGGTCTATTCGTCCCTGAGGATCGATTTCGAACAGTCACAGCACGCCGTGCCTTTCTACCATTGGCGCTGCCTTCTGTCTCGATGCAGCCCCCTCGCAAGTACCTTGTCTTGTCCAGGACTTTTCACCCTGGTTTCTCAAGCCACGCGACGGTCGAGCCCATTCTCCGCCAGCACAGTACGGAGTAAATGGACTTATTTTTGTGACCGATGCACAACTACCCCGGATGCATTTGGCACCAAAGGATGCCATGCCTGTTGCATAATGGGGGTCAGTAATCCACCACTGGCCTGTCGCTGTGACTGGCCTCCTCTCGCAACCCCAGGGTGTTGGCTAGCTAGTTGTTGCTAAGTCTAGGACCTCTTGCTTCCTGTCTGGGCCCACGTTCGCATCAGTCCTGGCGCGCTCTGGGAGGGTTCGAAGGACATGGCGCGCAAGTAGCGAGGAGCGAATCCGCAGTGAGCCGCAACCTGAGCTGTCATGACCTCGCCTGATCGATCGATCGCGCTTTGCTGATATAGCTGGTCGAGTGCCTTCGTGCAAGCTCCAAACTTCTTCCCGCTCCCTTCCTTCAGTGCTGGTCATTCTTCGCTTTTGCTCTGCACTGCTCTTCTCTACTCTGAAAAAACAGCAATACGAAGTCGTCGTACACGCTCAAGATGGCGCACCTTGAACATACACCGACCTCCACGGACAGGGACATCATCGAAGGAGACTATGAGAAGCCAAGGTTGACGCAAACCATTTCCTCCGGCGCCGTGTCAATGAGTCCAGAGCTCTTCGAAAAGGTGCGCTCATACGCATGACACCTGTGGCTGGACGACCACAACGCGGCGTGTCGTCCCAGTCACTGACTAACACGTCCAAACATGCTAACCCCCTGACAGCTCTATCTCACGCCCAAGACTCCCCATGCCGGTGACAACATTAGGCGATTTGCCAATCCCACGCCTCTGGGTTTCGTCGGGTATGTTTCCGTTGGCTTGTGCTTCCGAACTCCTAGACTCAAGAAGGGACTCCAGAAAGTACTAACTATCATGCTCTAGTTTCGTCATCTCGACATTCACCTTCTCAATGGTCATGATGGGCTGGGGCGGTGCGAGTGGCCTATCCCCTGTCGTGTATGTTTAGCACCCTTTTCGCATCAAATGCGTGTGATGGATGGAGTGATGATTCTCTATCGTCCAACCCGCAAGTATCGGCACGAGTACGATTACAGGCACGCTAACGCCTTCTCACGCTCTCCAGTGGCATCTTCTTCTTCGTCGGTCCCCTCTTGCTTGTTTTAACCACCATCTTCGAGTGGATCATGGGCAACTTCTTCTCCATGGTAAGTTCCAAAACACACCGCGCTCCTCAACATGATACCCGGCCGGAGTGCTTACCTTACTTCAATCGGCAGATGGTATGCGGCCTCTTCTCCGTCTTCTGGCTCTCCTTCGGCCTGCTCCAGCTGCCCACGTTGGGCCTCGCGGCGCCGTACTCCACAAGCGGCACCGACGCCGTCGCCGGCGCGGCCACCAAGGAATTCAACGCCGTAGTCGCGCTGTATCTCATCGTGTGGGGCTTCGCGCTGTTCACCTTTTTCATCTTCACGCTCAAGACCAACGCCATCTTCGCGGGTATCTTCCTCTTTGTGACTTTGGGCGCGTGGGTGCTCGCGGGCGCGTACTGGAAGGTCAGCACGGGCGATTACGCACAGGCCGCGAATCTGCAAAAGGTGAGTTCATACCTTTTCTCCTGTTGTTTAAGGTCGAACCCCAGGGGCCGGGCTTTCGGGGATGGATGCGTGCGTGTGCGTGTGCGCGTACGCTACTTTCTGCGTCTGTATCGATTCCTTGGCTAACCGCTTCTGGCCACGTAGGCTGGCGGGGCGTTACTCTTCATCGTCGCCTGTCTGGGCTGGTACATGACGTTTGTGATGATGGCCGCGGAGATGCGCCTCGCGATCAAATTGCCCGTGGGCGACCTCAGCCATTTCTGGCCAAGGACCGATATCGAGATGGGCAGGGCCGAGAAGCAGGCGTGAGTGAGGAACAGTCGATCACCGCGGCAGCGGCAGCGGCAGCGGCAGCATTGGGGAGACCGAGGGGTGCAGTGAGTTAATTACTGTGTACTTGTGTAATGGCAGGAAGGAAGGCAAGCAGCCACCTCAGGCTAGCAAGTCATCGTTCGTGGTCACAAGCGAAGCGGTCCAGTTGAACGGACTCTTTTCAATCAATGCCAGATTGTCAATGTTGAGGAGAGTGAATCCTTTTCGATTGCCAGCTTTGCCTACGTTGAGGAGAAGGAGGGAGTCGAGCTTGGAGCTGCCCGGCTCGACGAAGCGCCGTGGTTGGAAGTCGATGACCTTTTTAACTCTATACCCCCCGGTGTCCTCCTCCCTCGTAGTTCTGCATTCACAGCTTGTACCCAGCGGGAGTACAGTCGCAGTTGCTGCTCTATGCACTCGTGGCACTGATACGCGTCCGCAACAACTGTGTTCTACCTACCTACGGAGTTGTGGCTCGGGAGTTCCTCGCATTTCACTCACTGATTCAACGACAAATTCGGCTTGATAGGGACCAAAGAAAGACTGGAATAGACGAGAAGAGTTCGGCTGACTGACTACCTAGGTAGGTAGGTAGTCCACGGTTTTTGACTTTCCATACATCCGATCCTCTAGCTGTTGGTATTTCGACACGACTACCTATCATAACTCTTTGTGACAGAGGTGTCTCGACTCATCCCTACACCCCGCGTTTTGTCCGAACATGCCAAACGCTACAGGATACGTTCGTCGAACTCTATTCTCCTCCCCTCCATCATGCATTAATCCCGCTGCTAGCTTTTGCACGGTGTCTATGTGCCACCCATAATTGCCTGCAGTCTTATCAACGACTTCTCTTTTCTTCCCGGACCTCGTGACTCGTGACATCGTGGTGCGTTCTTCATGACAGTTTGAGCTCTGGAGCGGATCCGACATCTCAAGCGACTGCGGAGGTGACATTGGCGAAAATGGTCTCTCCGTCGCAGCCCTTGCATTCGGCGATGGCCATGTCACACTCGTAGAATGGGGTGTGCGGGTAGGTGAGGTTGAAGTTGGCGTACTTGCTGAGGACATTGTACGGGGCCTTGCCTACGCTGTGTCAAGAGTCAGTTTGCACGGCCCCAGGACAAAGTCAGATGTGGGCAGCGGACCTGTCGTCGATATATTGGTGACCCAGTTGCAAGGTGAGATTGGCCACACCGAACCACGACGTGACGGTGACGCTGAAGCTGGTGTTGTCGCAGGTGTTGGGGCTGGTTTTGGGTGGGCTCAACCCAACGGCCCATTGAACTCCGCAGTGTGTGGACCCGACTTCAGGCGTGTCTTGGTCACAGAAGTCGACTGATGCCAGTGAAGTCAGCTTGTATCCCCTAACGTCAATGAGAGGCCCGGACGCACTCACATTCAACATAGGTGCTCTCGATCGAGTAGGGATCTGCTTGGAAGGGCGATGAGACGACGAGGTTGGTGAGCTCGAAATTCCCAGAAAATGCCAGTGTTGTGCGCATGAGGAGGACAGCAATCAGGGTGAGCGAAGTGAAGAGGAAGGCCATGATTGTGTTTGTCTGAGGCGAGGTTGCTGTTGTGCTAGCGACCTATTGTGGCTTGAAGATGGTAAAGCAAAGTGAGGTGAGGAGGAAGGAAGGAAGAAAGGAGGGAATGACTGAAATGAGTAGAAGATGAAGTCTTATACCTCACCTATAGGCCTACGTTCTTGACCACGCGGCCTTTAAAACCACCTCTGCATTCTCTTCCCGACGGTCTTTGAGTCCGCCTGTGCTTTCTGGAAGTGTACAGACACCAACAATCCAGCTTTGTGCGTTCTTTTTCCATTCATGTGCTGTACAGAAAAAGATGACGTGTGGCCAACACCGCCCAGTCTGCACGGTGTCTTTTCAGAACTCTACCGAGGGGAGCTGTAACTGAAACACTGCAGTCATGGTCAGTCCTCTTCGAAATATAGCTCTTCCGTGCTAGATCTTCTCGGGGGGTTGATGGCAAGCACCACCCTGTCCCTCACGTCCAGTAGCGTATGATGCCATATCAGCCCACCGCTTGTCTGGTCCTGCTCGCAAGTATGGGGTTGTTGGTGCCATGCTCTCGGAAATTTCTTGTCTGGATGCTAGAAATAACCTCCTGCGTTACACAAAACCAGCGCACGGTAGCCTAGGAAACATGGAGGTACCAATACCAAGACTGGAATTCTGGACCCGACTAATCAAAGCCCCTCTTGAATCGGAAACCTGCATCACCAGCAGGCGGTGCCATACTGTAGGCTCTACAATGTAGGAGCTGCCTGGCGGGGACATCATGCGACCGGAGATGGCGGTGGCTGGGACTTCAACAAGGAACTTCGCCGAAGCTGCAAGGCACAAGACTAACGCATGAGAGGTGTAGCTTGTAGGAGGCATTCCATGTACCCAACCTGTGAAATGTAATCTCCAACTGCGACCGAACATGTGCGTAGAGTAGCGCGTTGCTCGCGAGGATCAATACCGTGCATAGTCAGCTCGCAGCGAGGTTTAAGACGATAAACGGGCGGTTTTGTTTTGACGAGGCGCAGACAAAGTACAGGAAGTTGCTATGGCCCTGAAATGTGGATAAGCCTGCCACTTACTCCGGAACCTCCTTTGGCCTGTCCTACATGGGCCCATCACCACTACCTCGCACAACATGAAGGGCAGTCTCAAAACAAGAACCGGGAACCACTCACAAGGCGAGGGAAGAAAAGAGCTGCCGTGATACATTGAACTGGTGGTATTCCATAGCCTCAAAGACACATGCCCGTCGCAGTTAGGTTAGGCACTTGTGTTAACGTTGCATCAGCTGTGAAACTCCAGCCATGCCGATTCTGCTCTACTGGTGCTCATTCGGAAAAGGATATCCGATGCAACCAGTTTGTATTGCTGGTTCTTTGAGACCGGCCCTTCCATCCACGCCATATCAGCACCATGCAAAAGGTAGATCGCTTAACCCTTCTTCTTGCTGACACCGACAGTGCGACCTCTTCTGCCAGTTGTCTTGGAATGTTGACCTCTGACGCGGAGACCCCAATAGTGACGGAGACCACGATGAGCACGGATCTTCTTGAGACGCTCCAAATCCTCACGCAGCTTGCTTTCCATGCCGTTTGCTAGAACCTGGGAATCTTTGCCATCGACGATATCGCGTTGTCTGTTGAGGAACCACGAAGGGATCTTGTATTGTGTGGGATTCTGGATGATGGTGACAATTCGCTCGAGTTCTTCCGAGGTGATTTCACCGGCGCTACAATCTCGAATTAGACCCTTCTCTTTGGCTTTGAAATCGTGAGACCGTAGACGTACCGCTTGTTCAAGTCGACATCGGCTTTCTTGCAGACAAGGTTGGAGTAGCGGCGACCGACACCCTTGATTCGGGTCAAGGCGTACATGATCTTCTGCTTGCCATCGACGTTCTATAGGCCTTTCGTTAGCATGCACCGCGCCACGAGGAGCGAAAGCCACGAACGGTGTTCAACAATCGCAAGATGAACTGGAAGTTCGACTTCTCCCCGGAGACGAGAGACATGATGGGCGATTCCCTCGTTGAGCGTGTCGTCGAAGGGTGAAGTTTGTCCGTCGCACGATAGTGCCAATCGATGAAAATTGAGGCTCGCAGCTTAGTGGGCGCCAAGAGATTTGGAGGACCGGGATTCGGCTTAGCTTCCTGGCTGGGCTGGACCGTGGCTGGGGCAGAGGGTGGCTGACTGTATCACGTGGGCCATTGAGGCACGTCACTAATCGGTCTCGAGACCGGGCCATGTGTTGTCCTGTTAACCAGGCACCACAGGCTGCTACATTACGAGTCGCAGTCTCGAGCTTCAGCTTATCTTCCCTTTCTCGACCTTCTCATCCCGTTCTTCTATCACTATATATCTCCTGCAACTATCTCTTCGCAATCCTCGTTGGCTTGAAGCCCAACGAATTGCTTATCTTCGTTGGGATATCCCGTTTATCTGACAACGATATCGACATTCGCTGCCGCCTTGACTGGTCAGGTACACGAAGTCGTCCGATCGAACCTCAAATTTTACCATGAGAGCTCTCAGCGCCGCTCTGTTGGCGGGAGTCGCCACCGCTGCGATTGCCCCCCAACAGCAGCCTTTGCAGCTTCCGAAGTCCTTCCCTGCTGAAGCCAAAAACATCCTCGATAGCCAATTTCATCATCTGAAAGATGCCCTTCGAGGTCTCACAGAGGAAGCCGCCGCAACTTGGGATGAGGTCGCCGCACTGTATCCCGAAGATATGAGCGCCGCTAGCTTTTTCTCTCTGCCGAAGAAGCACACTCGTCGCCCAGACCGTGAATGGGATCACATTGTCCGTGGCAAAGGCGTCCAAGGTCTTTGGCTGGAAAACGCCAACGGCGAGCAAGAGCGCTACCTCGACGGGAAGCTGGACACATACGATCTCCGCGTCAAGAAGGTTGATCCCAGCGAGTTAGGTGTGGACCCTGATGTCAAGCAATACTCGGGTTATCTGGATGACAACGAGAACGACAAACACTTGTTTTACTGGTTCTTCGAGTCAAGGAATGATCCGAAGAATGACCCGGTCGTCTTGTGGCTCAATGGAGGTCCTGGCTGCTCTTCGCTGACTGGCCTCTTCCTCGAGCTGGGTCCTTCGCGTATCAACGAGAAGCTTCAGCTCGTCCCCAACCCGTACTCTTGGAATGACAATGCCAGCGTCATATTCTTGGATCAGCCAGTCAATGTCGGATATTCGTATTCCAGCTCCAGCGTCTCCAACACGGTGGCTGCTGGTAAGGACGTTTATGCCCTGCTTACCCTCTTCTTTGAGCAGTTCCCGGAGTATGCGAAGCAAGATTTCCACATTGCCGGAGAGTCCTATGCTGGACACTACATCCCAGTTTTCACATCGGAGATCCTATCCCACAAAAAGAGCAATATCAACCTCAAGTCAGTCTTGATTGGCAACGGTCTTACCGATGGATACACCCAATACGAGTATTACCGACCCATGGCTTGCGGTGATGGTGGCTGGCCAGCCGTCCTTGACCCACAATCCTGCCAGGCCATGGACAATGCGCTTCCCCGCTGCCAGTCCCTGATCGAAAACTGCTACAACAGCGAGAGTGTGTGGTCGTGTGTTCCAGCCAGCATCTATTGCAACAACGCCTTGCTTGCACCGTATCAGCGTACCGGCCAAAACGTGTACGATGTGCGCGGCAAGTGCAAGGACAGCAGCAACCTGTGCTATCCCGAGCTGGGCTGGATCAGCAAATGGCTCAACCAGAAGTCGGTGATGAACGCTCTTGGCGTGGAGGTGGACGGCTACGATTCCTGCAACTTCGATATCAACCGCAACTTCCTGTTCCAGGGTGACTGGATGCAGCCTTTCCATCGATTGGTTCCAGGCATCATCGAAAAGATTCCGGTGCTTATCTACGCTGGTGATGCAGACTTCATTTGCAACTGGCTCGGCAACAAGGCATGGGCAGAGGCGCTTGAGTATCCCGATCACCAGAAATTTGCCGCGGTCGAAATGGAGGACCTTCGCTTGGACGGCAACGGGCGGAAGATCGGTGAAGTCAAGTCTCATGGAAACTTCACATTCATGAGAATCCATGCAGGTGGTCACATGGTGCCTCTCGACCAACCCGAAGCCAGCCTGGAGTTCTTCAACCGCTGGCTCGCCAAGGAGTGGTTCTAGATACGTCTCTTCCCGCAGTCTTGAGGCCGAGGGAAAGTCTAGTTTGCTTTTGGTGGGCAGGCACGTTGTCGGTTGTGTAACAAATTGACTCTATACAGTCACGCCCCGCCAGGATGGTCGGCATGGGCCGCAGCGGCTATGTACAGACGAGGTTGACGCTGTTCCAATGACCTTGGAGGAAACTCATTCTGTGGTACCGCATTGATGCACTCTTTGGTCAGAATGAAATACTACGTGCTTGTTGACGCTGACTTCCTCGGTCAATGCATGTGCCTTCTGTCCTCATCCCGCAATCCGAGCGGCTCGACCTCAATAGTTCATGCACACCATGAGGGCTTTACCCAAGGTCGATAACGATGTGTTGTGCATCTGCTGCATGCAGGCTCTTCCATTATCACGTTGAAGCGCTACATTGAACGAGATGATGGGTTACCGGTACTGAGGTAGTGGACGACGGATGATGGAAGAGGCAGGACGACCGCCGTGCCGAGTGCCGTCTATCTTTAGGTGCATCGACGATGGAGTGATTGGCAGAGCCGGGAGAGCGTCACTCCAATCAGCACCTGCATAACCGCCCAGCTTCGCAGGCCCCTCCATCTCCAACTTGCACCATCCCATATGTGGATAGCGCATCGATCGTTCCTGGTGAGAACTGGTCGCTCTAAGCGCCCTCACTCTCCCCTCACCTCGATTTCTTGCATCTCACTGGCCTTGCCTCGCATCCTACTTGTCCTTCTGCGTGGCGGCATCACACACATCTTCCATGTGGCCAACCCGAGCAATGAAGAGACGACTGTCGACACTATTGCCTGCGACCACACCGGTCATGCCTATGGCGACCTCTCCACCATGCTGCCGTATCTAAATATTGCCATCCCCTTCCCGTTCTTGCGTCTGCTTTCCTTTCTTCCCTCACGCAAGCAAGTCTTGTTAATTCTGGTCGTGCGGTTTGAGAGCTATTCCTGAAGATTCTTTTTTTGTTTGTTACTCCTAATTCTGCAAAGAGATAGTGTCTGGTACACTATTGATCTTGTCAACGACGTCAACTTACAGTCGATCGATAATTTCAATATCAACCACCAACCTCCGACGACCTGCGGCACTACGAGCTGTGCTCATACTTGCTGCATCTCCGACTCCAACACCATCTTTGCAGACCTTACGAAGAAGGCTTTTCATCAATCACTCTGAAGGAAACCATCATCGTTGCCGGTCAACGATCATTCTTTCCAGCCCATACCTAATAGCTCTCGCTGTCCAACAAACCGCAGGCCTGCCTTGCTGTGCCCTTTCAACAACTTAATCTTTGTCAAGCATCAGTTCTCGTTGTTGTCAACAACTTTCATTGGTCCTCCCTCGGTCGATTCAACCACAGCTAATCGAAGATCCCAAGACTACTTCGAAAGTAGTGTTCAACCGTCGAGACTTACAAGCCGCGCCCACCACGGCTCAACAACAGTCGACATCTTCTTTGCTTCAGCATCAAGTGTCACTACCTCTATCAACAATCCACGCTGTGTCGTCACGATTGCCGGTCAATCCTAGCACATTCTAATCGCATCTTTCTCAAACCTTCCAAGATACCCGTATCTGTGCCGGAAGCTCTGCCCGTTCACGATCTTGGATCTATACAGCAATCACCAACCCACACGTGGACATTGATCTTGGTTCTCCTTGATCTGCATACATCGAACCTTTTTTTCAGCATCTGCGAAGCATCACTATCTGTTTTAATCGACGCCACTGTTCTTTACGACCTACAGCTCTACAGCAGCCTAACGATACCTCACGCATTTACACGAACCCAAAAGTCTCAACGACGCCGCTTTTCTTGAGTGCACGTGGGTCTTTCCCATGTATCAAGCACCATCTTTGACTCCAGAACTGACTCAACTCACAGACATACCTAATCGTCTCAAAACCCAAGTCAAAAATCAAAAACCAACAAAATGTCGTCACCCGCTGTCCAGCTCTCATTCACCCTTCGTACCTCTCCGAACGTCCGCACCGTCCACTTGCTCGGTTCATGGGACAACTACAAGGCTCAACTCCCCTTGTCCGAGGTGAAGGATCCCGCCGCCAAGCCCGGTTCCTGGAAAGGCAACTTTCGCTTCTCAGGTTCGAATGCCTTGAAGCTCGGCTCCCGCTACTGGTACTACTACATCGTCGATGGCTATCACGTCTCCCACGATCCCGCCAAGGAGTTCGTGACCGAAAAGACCACTGGCCGCAAGCTCAACATCATCGACGTTCCGGGCGGCGACAAAGACAGCAAGCCCTCGCGACCTACCGTCAAGACTGACGTGGCCACCTCCCGCCACAGCCGAGAAGTTCCCCAGGGCCGTGCCCTTTCCCCTGGCAAGATCCAACACCCCAAGCCAAGCAAGCCCTACGCCTCCCGTCAACTCCGTGAAGCCGACTACGAGGCATCCCCTGTGGATGACCTCGAAGAACGTTTCGCTGGCTATCGCATCTCTGAGTCATCTGCCTCGCCATCTGAGCTATCCGACAGCAGCGCCTCCTCTGGCACCGCCTTCTCCCGCTCCTCGCCCTCAAGCATGTCTTCCGTGAGCGACCACAGCTGCCGCTGCGAACGCTACGGCGTCACCCGCTCAGGCCAACGCGTCAAGCTCGACTGTGGCGGCAAGCGATGTGGAGGTTGGAGCTCCAGCTCCTCGGAGTGCGATTCGCATGACAGTTCGGAAGAGTCGAGTGAAGATGAGAGGGAACAGCGTGCACGCGCTCGCAGGGAGGCGGAGAGGAAAGCTGCTGCGGCTCCCAAGTCGAAGAGCAGCGGCCACCACGAGGAGAAGAGGAGGACTGTCGTTGTGGAAAAGAGACGGAGATAGGTGAGGAAGTGAAGGAGTCGGTGATGAGGAGAGAAATTCGTTGTACGAGTGTGGGAGAGGAGAGTTTTTCATTTTCCTTCTTCCGCGCGAACAACATCAACACCACGTCGGCTTAGAGCCACAATCAGACCAAAGGCAAGTCAACTAACAAGCCACAAGCGCACACCTCGAGTCCGATGCAAGTCAAATCTTGCCATTGGAAAGCTCCCAGCCTAGGCTGTGTGGCTCGGACCTTCGTCAACCTCGCGGAGAGGGCGTTCATGGGATGTGAGAGGGACCGAGGAGGAGTACCTGTGAGGGTCGGCATGGAGGAAGAAGCAGAAGCTCTAGAGAGGGTTTCGAACGAATAGCAGGAGTGGAGAGAAAAGAAAGCCCTGGCAACGATGTCCATGGAACGGTTGAGCGATCCGCTTCTCTGGGTCACTTCTGGACTGTACATACACTGCCGATTATCAAGCTCCGAGAGTCAAGTTCCGGAAGGCGGCGTCAGATGTGCTCGGGAGATTACCAGACGAATAAAGGTTCCATGCTTGCATCACCCCATGAAATCAGTCTTTATCATTCAGCGTGCGTGTTTGAGCTACATTAATTGTCGACTGTCACTATCACTAGTTCACTAAGGTACGGACCAAGGGCAGAGCTTTCCTGGCTAGACGGCGCCGGCGGAAGGTAAGCGCAAGCCCGAGCAAGGGTGGCGTGGCTGTTACCAAGGAGTTCGAGTCTGCCATCGTATATCCACGGCTGCAAATCGACGTTACTTCCTCAACCCGTATCCGGAAGTCTGCTGCGACGGATTAGGAGTAACAACCCGCCCCGACCTTGGTAGTTACCTACACTGCCCGCGTAGTCGACAGCGTAGGTACATCATGTGAACAGCACTTGTGAACGTTATCAAGTCTGAAACCGGCGGGGTAATTAAGTACACAGCGTGCATTGTCTGGTGTCCAGAGGAATGCTTCGGCATGAGTTCGCGCTCGTGCTCGTGCTCGTGTTTGCTGCTATTGCTACTGATGCGTCTTCGCCGCCTCCCTCCTCACTCACTCTTCGCACGCATGAATCGCAGCCATGACATCCAGCGCAGCGAGCTGACTGTGACTAGTCGGCAGATCCCAGGGACCAGCCCACCACGGTCCATACTGGCCTTTACCATTCGTGTCGTTGTCCCGCAAGCTTCGGTACTGGTGGTGGATAAACGCGCGGAGCCGGTTCTGCATGTCTGTGTTTATGTCTCCAGCCAGCCCGTCGCGGCGGCGGAGGAGGCGGAGGACCCTATACAGCTTGGCGAGGCTGCGTAAGAGGATGGCCTTGAAGCCGACGGCGTCGTCGTTCTCGTAGGCCTGCTTCCTGCGGCCACCCACGCCCGGGTATGCTTCGGCTTCGGTGAGCGTGGAGGCCTCGTCGACCCACGTGTCGCGCGTCATGGCGGAGGTTGCCATTTTGGATGCGAGATTCAGGTACGATTCGCACGGTGCGGGGTGCGACTGCGGGTGGACGAGATCCTGGCAGGCGTTGTAGATAGCGAGGGACGCGGCGATGGCTTGGCCCGTCGTGTAGCTGAATGTCCAATTATAAATCTGGTGGGATTGCAGGTCGATGTGGTCGGAGACGACGTACTCCTGCTGGTCGAACAGGGCGCGCAGGATCCACGAGAAGGAAGTCATCGCCGGAGACAGGTACATGCGGTGGCTTTTGCGCTCGCCGGTCTGGATGCTTAGTCTTGATAACCGGGCCGACAGTTCGGCGTACAGCGCCGTGGTGATGGCGTTGACTTGTGTCTCGGCCGTCCTGTTGGACCACATCACCCCACCCTCCATGTCGAAGTTGTTGATGTGGTATTTGCCCACTGGGATCACGTAGTGGCTAATGTGCTCCCATATGGCCTTGGACATGTCCAGGTATTTAGGCTGGTGAGTCAGGTCGAACATGTCGAAAGCACAGATGGCCCACCACATCGAGTCGTCGTTCATGTCGTTGATGCAGTCGAGTTGGGTTGTGGCCACTTTGCCGATCAGCTCGTCGAGGGTGTCGGCGTGGGTCGTCATGTTGGTCCAGGTGTCGTGCAGGGCGATCGCGGTGTAGCCGTTGGCGACTTGCCAGTAGGTCAGGCCCTGGATGAGGCCGTCGTCTCGCTTGGACTGCAGGAACACGTTGATGGCGGTTTGGGTGATGTTGAGGATCGAGTCCCCCGGTATGGAGATGCTCATTCTGTCAGTATCGTGATCGTGTCCGTGGCCGTGGTAAGCTGCCGAAATATAATTTGGTGGACTTCTGCATACTACCCCGTACTGGGCAACGCGGTTGAGCCGACTTGGGCAGGACCATGGCCATATATCTCAGGGGGCATGATGAGTGACAATGGACCTCTATCTGGCATCGTACCGGCCTGTGATCTCTGACACAGAGATCATCCGTGCTGATGCCAGTGACTTTGATGTCCTTCGTGCGTGATCAAGAATCGAGCCATGCGTGACAATGGCCGCGACCGAGCAAACGACTTCGGGCGATGACTTTGACGGCGCATGAGGTCGCGTTTGAAGGGCCCGAGCATAGCGTGCGGCGTTAGATGAGCGTTCGATCCGGACGACTTCGCCCGAGACACGGAAAGTCACACAGCTTTCCAAATGTCAACGAGAGACTGGGAAGACGCCAACGTGACGAGCTACGATGAATGAGGTGAATGCGTAGACTTACCAACACCAACATTTCGCCTGCAAACTCCGACACGTGCAGGTGCAAGATAAACGGAGGCAGCCTCGAGCAGGATAAACCCCGTTTAGCTCTGAGCATGCCACGCCGATGGGTCGATCAGTATGGAGCAGACGTAACCATTGCCAAAACGGGCGAGTCGGTCGCTCCGGTATCTCCATCTATCGCTGTTCCGGGTAAACCTAGAGCTGGTGTTATGGGGTCACATCCTCATTATTCTTCAACGATAGTCCTCGGCAAAGAGGTCGTTGTCGTGCTGACCAGCTGTGGAGGGTAGGCGAAGGCGAAGTGGTAAAAGATATAAGAATGGTTGCGCCGATGGTTTTGACCCGGAGACTCGCATCTTCATCGCCCTCTATGTCTTCACTTCGCCCAACATGACCTCTTCCATGTCCACGATCCTCATCTTCGGCGGCACCGGCGGAATAGGCGAGGCCTTCACGCGGAGTTTCCACAAGATGGGCAAACGAGTGATTACTACCGGCCGCCGCTCAGCCCGGCTCGCCGCCCTGGCTGCAGAACTGCCCGGTCTCGAGACCTACACCATGGACAACAGCGACATTTCTGGACTGGCAGGCCACGTTGAGACCATCCTCACCAAGTACCCGGACATCGACACCGTGTGGGTCAACTCGGGCATCCAATACCAAGGGGACTTCAAGTCGCTGGACACCTTCTCCGACGAAAAGATCATCACGGAGATGAACACGAACCTGACGGCGCCGATTGTTTTGGCCCGCCATTTCGTGCCCCATCTGTTATCCCTCAAACGGGAGGCCAATTTCTTGATCACGTCCTCGGGCCTGGGATTCGTGCCCATGGCTTTATTCCCGGTCTACTGCCCGACCAAGGCCGGCGTGCATGCCTTCCTCGTCGGACTGCGAGAAAGTCTTGCGGGCACGAACGTCAACGTCATTGAGATCGCGCCGCCGTATGTGCGGACGGATCTGGACGCCGCGAATCGGCTGGACAAGCTGGTCACGCCGATGGAGCTGGGTGTATATACGGAGAAGACGCTGGAGATTCTGTCCCAGCCAGCGAGCGAGATCAAGGAGGCGGGGGTGGGATTTGCTGAGATGGTTGCGCGGAAGTGGCGCGAGGCGTATGGTCCCGTCTTGAGGACGAGGCACTCGAGGGGTTGACGGAGGGACGGGTATAATGGGCACCCGAGTGGTATAGTCGGACTGCCAAGTGGATCGGTGTGAGGCTGGTGAGACTTGGTGACAAGAGGATGGGATGAACAATGGTCGACTGAGGTAATGTAAATACGCGCGAACTGCCATTCAGTATAGAGCTGAACAGAGAATAATCGCCATGTCCACCTCGTGTCGTCAGTTCTCGCTGTCTCCGTTCTCGCTGCCTCAGTTCCCGATGCTTCACTTCTCTATCATCAAATTAGCTTGTTGTAGCTGCAACTGCAGCCGGGGATATGATGGTGTGGCCCCATGTATACAATCCGCGAAAGTTCTGGTCTGTCACCTTGCTCCGAGGTACAGTCCTCCTCCTCCTCTTTATCTTCTGCTCTTCCCTCGGCTCTCGCGCAGATGTATACGTCTCTACCCGGTTCTGTGGTCCTTATTCAGCCTCCCCCTCCACAGTATCACCAGCGACCTTCTTCAACGGGACATTCACATCACTGGCCGGTTCGGCATCAGGGTCACGGTCTGGTTCCTGGTTTGCTGGTGCAGGTGCCGCTGTGTCTGGTACAGCCGCCGCTCCCTCAACCTGCGGCTTGTCCACAACAGTCGGGCTCTTCGACAGCGTTTCTCCTTGCTCGTCCTTCCCTTTTCCCTTGCCGTCCATTCCATCTTCCTTGCTCGACTCCTGTTTCGGCACCTCCTCCACGTCCGTGTCCCTTTTCTTGTCCTCCTCCTTCGGCTTCGGCTTCGGCGGTGCCGTCGCGGGACTCTCATCCGGATCATGCACCTCCTGCACCACCGGCGCTGGAGCCGCAGGAGCCGCCGCAACAGGCTGGCTCACAACAGGCGCAACCATACCCACGGGGCCAGGGCCACTTGCGGGATTCGGCCCACCAACACGACTTCTTAAAGCCGCGCCACCTCCGTTGCCGCTGTAATACCCGCCCTCGGCCGCCCCAGTCATGTACATATCCGGATTATTCACCGTGTTGTTCCGCACCGCGCGATCATACAGCCTCGTCAACCTAGCGACCTCGCTGCGGACAGTCACAACGCCAGCAGCGTCCTTACTGCCGTTCCCATTGGCGCTCCCACCACCGGTATCAATGTCCTCATACCCATGCACCCCACGGGAGATGCCCAACCACATGACCTCGCTGTTCTCGATCTCGTCGACCACGCGCTCCAGATCGTCGCGGTACATGCGCGCGCGCATGGGCTGGCCCCGACTCTTCAGGTACGCGACCAGGCCCGCGATGATGGTGTTGAGCGCGCCGAACACGGTGATCAGGATGTGGCTGGACGCGCTGGCCCCGAGGGCTGTGAGGGCCGCGCCCAGGACCACCTGGCTGAGGAGGAGGGTGTTGGAGAGTGATGCCGTGCCGTAGTACGTCCAGCGCTGGTTGGCGAGTTGGCGCGTGGCCCGGCCGTAGAGGGATTTCGCGGGGACCTTCGAGCGGCGCCCGTCGGGCGTCGGTTCTGACGACGGCACGCCTACCATCATGCAGAACTGGGCGTGGGGGTCAACTGCCGCCACATCGTCGCGAAGGACGGCTGGATTCTGGTTCTGGTTCTGGTTCTGGCTCGGCTGCCAGAGCAGAGGCGTACGTTCGCCAAATCCGGATGACATGTCGTCCGGTCTGGCGGATCCTGGCCACAGGACAAAGTGGGCGCTGGCGCGAGTCCGGTGTGTATACCGACAATTTGTCCTTCCTTCTAGACGTGCCGAGTGATGAGTCCCGTGTATATAGGTATGTATGTATCGACAAGCTGTCTTTCCTTCTAGACGTAGGGGTGGCTGAGTCCTGTGTATGTCCCGATAATTATATCTTTCCTTCAATACGCGGAGTGCTGAGACCCGGGTAAGTTCCGACAATCCGGCCTCCCTTCTAGACGTGCGGAGTGCTGGGTTCTGTGTATGTACCGGTAACCTGTCCTTGCTTCAACAAGTCGCCCTCCGCCTCCAGGCGCGAGTCCCTTGCCGGACTTGTACTCTTGCGCGCCGGTCGGTTCGCTCAGCCCAGACCCGCTGCCCAAGACCCCAATCCTCAAGACGGGATATTTCCAAGAAGAGTGAAAATGATTGGACTCGCCACCACTCACTCACTCAGTCTGTCGGGTAATTACTCAACGACGCGGAACGACCGACATGATCATGGACAGATATGCATACATACCAGAAACCTAACCGTTAGATAGACAAAATATAAAATATAAAAGTTATATACTGTAGTAATCACATCGGCACTGTTGAGCTCCCCCGGTGGTGTCCTGAACGGAGAGCAACAAGGAAGTGAAAGGAGGTCGGGCATAAAAGCTCTGGCCGAAGCTGGCTCCCAGATGGGCGGATAGCGATATGCTAACGTAACCTTAAAAAGTACAGGATGTAATTACTGTGTACATCGCCGTCTGCTTGGCGCGACGCCCGTGGATCTCTACTTACAGTATGCCTGAAGAGGAAACGCCACAACCGACGACGAAGGTGGCGATTAGCTTCTTCGCCGTGGCTCAAGGTGCGATCTAATTATGGACGCGGCACCACAGTACACGTGAGTGAGTGAGTGGGTGGTTGGGTGGACGGACAGACGAGAGAGTGGTACAATTCTACATTAGATGGAACACTCGCGCAATGAAGAGGGGCACCAGGCAACGAGAACACCGACAACGTCCGCCGTAGGGTCTGTACCGAGAACTCTGTATATGGTAACGAAAAGACCGTACCTATCGAGGCTTGCCAGATCTCACACGAAGAGAGACTCTAAAGGTAGATTACTTCGGGTTGACGCAGAACTTGTAGGGGCCGATGCCGTGGTTATAGTGATGGGCCCTACTCGCGTCCCTAGCTAGGCAAGTCGAGGTCCATTCACGAAGCAACAGAGTAAGACGTCGAGGCTCAATGGTCAATACTTCTTTCATCATGTCGTCAAGCCGTTACCCTCAATACAGAACGACGCATACCGAAAAGTGCCTATAGACTGAATAGAAACCCCCAGCTCCTGCGCTCGTACGTGCTGCTATACTGCATGATCCTTGCTGACCTGGGACTGAAAGTAACGATACTGTGTTGTAAGAAACAAATTCCTCTCCGCGGAATGTCGTCAAACGCGGTTGGGGGGACGGGAATCGACGGCGCTTCAGATGCACAAGGCAAAGACGGAGTCTCAGCTCCGCGCTGTGCTGGACTCGTCGCTGGTTTCGTCTGGGCTCAGTCGTCCTCATCCATGTCGTCAAATTTCCTCTTGAACACTTTCAACCTGTCGAAGATGGCGCAGTTCCTTCCCTACTCGCGATCAACAAGCGATGTTTGCGCATTCCTCTCTCCGCTTGCCTCGTTAATATCGTTGGCGAGCCTGGCTCGCGTCGCGTCCATCTCCATTCCCCACAGAGCAACCCTCTGCCGCTCAAACGTGGCAATGACTTCCTCGTCGATCCTAAAAATTTGCGCCGCATATCTCCGATAGATCTCGGTCAATTCGTTCCAAGAACAAGCTTTCAGCATCCTGCTCGCGCGCTTCAATCTTGGCTGACCGAGCTGCTGCTCTCGCTTCTTGCTTCAGCTCAAGAGCAGCAAGCTCCTGCATCATATGCTCCAGATTTGTGACAGGTGCGTCAACTCAACCAGAATACCATAGGCATCTTCAACCCCGGAATCGACAAGCCAGCCGAAGAAGTTCTGAAGCACATCCGCATATATAGTCTGGAACTCAACCACTTCATCTTCCTCCACCTGTCTTCCTTGCTCTCCGTTGCTTGTCGAGCCTCCAAGCTCATCCCGATTCAAGGTCTCGGAAACAACCGCTTCATCTTCCTCCTCCTGTCTTCCTCCCTGCTCTCCCTCGGTCGGATGGCCCTACCAACCAACCCCTGGATGCCAGCCGCCGATTAACCCTGCTGTAGCCACATTCGATCCGCCCATCCAGTTCCCCTGCGCCCGTGAATTCGATCCCAACCCTTGCAACAGTGTCGCCGAATGGTTCGGGTTACTGCTCAGGCCCCCCCTGACGCTTGGTTTGTTGCCAGACGTGCCGGAACTAGAGGCAGGCCCAGCTTTCTTGTACTCGCACTGGGTGCTGCTGTGCACATGGTACGCACATCCTCGATCACGGGCCGGATCACCCCAGCGTTCGATCTGCCATTGCCAGATCTTCCGCATGATCGACAGGCTCAAGTCGGACATCTCGAAGAGTTTGTCGAAATTCTCACGATCGCGCACGGCACGTGGATCGTCTGCTGGCGCTGTGCCAGCCATCCTTGACGAAGACGGGTGGTTTTGGGTAAAGTCGTTGTGATACCACCGTGGGAATGTCATCATGTGGTACACGAGATGCTCGATGAAGAAACGCTTGAGTGGTGATTTGGGCGGACCAGTCAGATGACAGACCGCGAGGGCCGAATAGTCCGGTCGGATGGCCTCGGGCAAGGTCGGTGCCGGCGGGGTGTCTCTGTCCGCTGATGGTCCCGATGTCAGAGACGAGATCAGGCCCAGTCGGCTGGCATCTCTACTACTGCTTCCGCTACTGTGTCCGCCCATCTGGCAGTGACTGTGGTTGTGGTTGTATCCATGAGGGTGCATGTGATGTTGATGTTGGGGGGCGGCACGATGGTTCGCTCTCACGGCGTCGATAATACCGTTTTGCAGCTCCTCCATGCCGAACTTGTCCGCCATGCAATACGCGGAAGTCATGTCGAGCACATTGACGCCACCTACGCCAGACACCAGACTCGGCAGTTTCCCCCGGTAAATCCAGTCGACCACGATGGCAAACGCCTTGGGATCATCCTCTGGCAGGTATAGTTCGTTTTTGGCCCCTTCGCTGAATCGGTTCTTCGACAGGCATTTCTCCATGAACGGGGACCGTTCGCAGATGAGGGTGCGGTGGAGGTAGAAGCATTTGCGCTTGGGGCCGACGTGGACGGTGACGATTGCGGAAGTGGTGAAGCTGGTGGTTGTAGCCGTTAGCACATCGGCCGGACCCGATCCACGACTTCCAAATTGATGAGGTGCAGTGAAGGTGGGCGCAGCACTCACTTGTCAACATCATCCTCGCTGTCCTCTTCGTCATCTTGCTCCTCGCCGTCCTGCTCTTCCGATCCGTCGCTATCTTGAGCCTCATCATTGTCGTTTTCTGTGCTCACACTGCCCGCGGCCGGACTGGCTTTGGCAGCCTTGGGCTGGGACTGCCCGCTGGAGGCCTCGCCTGTCGTCGTAGCCGTAGCCGTGGCCTGTAAGTGAGTCTCCGCCGTGACCTGAACGTCCGCCTCATCGATGTCCCTGTCCATGGCCGTGGCCGGGCGCTTGAGAGCCTCGAGGTTGCGCGTAAAGAGTGCACCAAGCATGAAGGCGAGACGAAGCGAGCAGGGGAGTGGGAGACCAGCGAGTACGAAGACCGGCGAGTACGGAGACCAGCGAGTACGGAGTACAGCCCTGCGATCAAGGTGGCGTGAGGGAGTGACGAACAAGTGACGGACCGGTGAGAAAGTGGTGGTGATTCGGGAGATCAACGCCGCGAGGGGGGCGGTGGGTACTGTAAGCGAAGTGGGAGCCGACGCGCTCACCGCGCGCCGGAATGGGCGTCTAAGAGCGTCTAGGAAGCCGAAGCTCGACAACTGCGAGCCACTATGGATTCCGCGTTGTCAGTCCCAGCTGGAATGCCTTTCATTACTATAGACGCTAGCAAGTGTGCTTTAGACCCGATTCTCCGCAAGACTGTACTGTACCTAGGTAGCGTCTCTCATCTACGCAGCAGGTATACTCGCAACTTTACGGAATTGTCCATTGGACGGAGCGTGCACTGGCAGGCTCGATCAGGCTGCAGCACTATGTAGGTAGTATAGCACTGTTACTCCTGCGAAAGCCAGCCCAGATTCGCCCAGCCAGCCTTGTCCTGGCCCCGACCTATACTGATACACTTGTATACAGCCTGAAACGCGAACCCAAGACTTGCTCCAGGAAAACAAGTGGCAAAGCGTATCAACCTTCACTGTCCTTCGCCGCCTCGACCATCCCGGCCTGCTTGGGCGGATTCCAGTAATGCTTCAATCTCCAAGGAATGCCCACCACGCGAATCTAGCGCTTCCTCGGGACCCCAATATTTGGCCCTGGTGCTTGCGCTTCAAGCTCTGCGGGCGTCATGCCCAGGTGTTGGTGATCTGCTTCGTTGTACCCTGGTGGTGCTGGGGGTAGTTGCAGCGGCGGCGGCCCCGCCCCGTCAAGATCGCCTTTTCTGACCCTCTCCCTCTCTAGTTCGCGCCTTAACTCTTCGTTCACAGCATCGCGCTCTTCGAGACGCTTTCGCGCGCCACTTCGGTCCAGCAGTCGCGCTTCCCTCTCAGCTTTCAACCGTCGTTCCAGCTCTCGCAAGCGATGGATCCATTTTTCTTGTCCTTGGCCACCACCGCCGCTTCCTGCCGTGATACTCGCGATATCCGAGCCTGAAGCGGTGCTCGGTGGCGCCGGAGGTGCCTCTCTCGGTGGGGGCGGCAACGAGAAGTTGCCGTTGGCCGGTGCATTGAACGGGCCGGCGGGGATCATGAGGCCGCCTCGGTCCGTAGGCTGCGCATAGCCCGAGTGTCGGCTTGAAATCGAGTTAGACCGGAGCGAGCCAACCTCTCCACCCATGCTGGCGAGATGTTCCACAATGCCTGTGGAATGATGGCGCTGCAATTCCATGCCTCGACTCCGCCTCATGCTCGACGAGCGAGGCGGCACACCGGCACTGCCATTCACCGCTCCATCGACCTGCCCTGGTGCGTCATTCGACATGATGCTGGCTGAGTAACCGGATGCTCGACTCTCGTTCCTGTCACGCCTGTGTTGTAAATTATGATGCGCTTGTTGCTGCTGGAGAAGCTGAAGCTCGGCCTTCAGCAGCCTGTTCTCGCCCTTGAGCTTGCTGATCTCGGGCGTTCTGGTTGACTTGGGCGTTCGAGGGCCGTGGTCCATTCGAGTCTCCATTTCCGACATCTTGATCTTCATCTGTTCCCAGCTCTCCTCAATACGCTCAAGCTTGCGAGTTCGAACCTCCAGTGTCTGCTCGAGAGCCTGGTACTCTTTATACAGCTCACGCTCCACACGCTTGATCTTGTCTCGGAACGTGGACAGAGTGCCTTCGACCTGTTTGGCGGCCAAGAGCAAGTTCCTACTGAAGCCCGGCCAGAAGAGCATGTTGCCAATGACTTCCTGAGAGGGCAAGTTGCCATTGATCAGACTGTTGTTGTGGGCCCAGTCTGGTCCACACATGGCCGACAGCCTCTTCCACAGGTTCAGCAGGATTTGATTCCGCTCCGACAACTGTTCTTTGAGTTGATTCTCCATCTGTGTCATTCGCTTCCTGTCGGTCTGGCGCAGCCCTTCCAGCTCGGCAATTCTGGCAGACGCCGATGTCAAGGCACGAGTAGTCGAGTTATGGCCCTTGTAGGTCTTCTCAAAGTCCAATTTGTCTTGACGTCTACCCGCCTTTTCACGCTCATATGCGTCGGCCAACTTTCGGCATTCATGGCTCGTGGACTCGAGCAAGGCGTCGCGATCCTGGAGCAGATTTTCCGTCTGCTCTAGCCTCGTCCGCACAGTCTGGAGATCCATGGTAGTCTGATCCAGCTCCCGCCGCATCTTGGTCACCGCGCTGATCAAGCTCGACCTCGAACTGTTGGGGTCACCGACGATATTCCGCAGGCTCTCCTCCAGCTCGGAAAGCCGCTCCTGGTACGACTTGGCCTCGATATCACGAACAGACAATGCTTTGCGCACTTTCCGAAGGTCGTCCTTGGCTCCAGAGGCTTCACGGTTGAGGTCATTGATAACGCGCTGCACTTCCTGCTTCTCCTGACTTGCCACCGCGTCGCGTTGTGTACGTTCCTCGTTGATCCGACGTTCAAGTTCTCTACTCTTGTCTCGTTCCGATTCCAAGTTAAGGTGGACTTTCTTGAGCAGGGACTCCAGGTCGCCAATCTTGATCTTGTCAGCGTCTTGCTCTTCGCGGAGGAAGGCGATCTCATTATGACTGCTCTCTTGTTGGACGGTCAGGCGTTGTACTTTGGTCTCCGCTTCAGAGAGAGTCTTTTCAAGGCTTTCCAGCTCGCGGTTAGCATCGTCGAGCTCGCCCTTGACCGATTGATATCGTGCCAAATTTTGCTGTGCATCGTCTTCGAGGCGCACAAGACCCTCGGCGGCCGATCGCATCTCGGCTTGCAAAGCCTGAACATTCTCAACCTGTGCCTTGAGCTCCTCCTCAAGCTCCGAACATTCCTTGACCTTGGCATCGAGCTCATCTCCCAGACCATCAATCTCTTCCTGAGCTTCAGCCTTCAGTTGTTGGAAAGCATGATCCTGTTCTTCGGCGTCACGTAGAGCATTATCTCGCTCCTGCGTAAGGAGGGCAAGCTCTTCGTTAAACTGATCTGCGTCTGCTTGAGCTTGAGCATCGACCGCGTCCAGCTCAGCAAGTGCCTCATCGAATTGACTTTGAAGATCCTGATTTTCAAGTTTCAGCTGAGATACCTCGTCACGTAGCTCGTTGATTCGAGTCTCGAGCGTTTCCCGTTCCTGATCGCTCAACCGGGACATTCTGGTGCCGTTGCTGGCACGCGAATGAGACCTGGCCCTGGAAGCCGAACGATCAAGAATGCTGTCACCGGCCACAGATCGCAGGCCACCCATGCGCCCAAGTTTGAGATCCTCAATCTCCTGGTACAAGCGCTCCTTCTCCTTGTTTCGAGAAGTCAAGGTCGATGCCTGCGCGCCGATCATCTTCTGCAGCTCCGAGACCTCATGTCTCAATCTGTCAATCTCTGCATCCTTGGCGGTTGTTGCTTCAACACTACTAGACCTCGAAACAACCGAGCCCCCAATTTTGATCTTGCGTGAGCCAGATTTGCCGGATGTGAAGGTATCGTTCCTGAGTTTCGCGACTTCTTCCCGAAGGCGCTTGTTGTCTTCCTCTGACTGCTCGCGGGCGATGGTCTCTGCTTCGAGCATGTCCTTCCACATATCGCGCTCCTCTCTCGAGCCTACGTCAGACGCAGCAGCGCGCGTATCGCCCAGGCTCTTTACCATCTCCGCTAGTCGCCGCTTCTCGGTTTCTTTTGCAATGTTCTCTTGGCGGAGTTTCTCAATCTCGATTTCGGTGATCTCAACGCGCTCCCGGAGATAGAGAACTTCTTCCTCTGCTGTTGGACTCCTTTCCTCGTCAGTCGCATACCCTTGATCAGCATTGGGCGAATCCCGAGCATCGCTTGTCTCGTCGAGTTTCTTCTGCAGATCCCGAACCTGCTTCCGTAGATTATGATTATCCTTTTCTAGGCGTAGTCGGTCCGACTTCAGCTGGACGTTTTCTGTAATCATTTCCTTGATGCCGTCTTCTGACCTTTTCTGCAACGCCTGATCCAGGAAGTGGATCTTCATCTTCAGGTCGAAGTTCTCCTTGCCCAGCTTTTCCACCGTGCTTCTGTGTTCCTTCAGAGTCAGACCCCTCTTAGGTCCTGGTGTCAGACCAATGATTGTGTTGCTTTTCTCAGGCGACATGCTTCGCTCTTGGCGATATTGACGCGCAAACGTGCCCGGTACCTCCAGGTCGCGAACGTTATTCGCGATGACTGTGTCGCTGGGCATATTGAAGTTGTAGACCGAAGCACGAGGGGTATTGTATCCTCCAGCCTTGTTCGAATTGGGACTTTCTTCTTGCAAGGTACCCAAGTCACTCGTGCTGACCTGTCTCTGGGCTCGAGGTTCGTCGTCGCTCATGCCTGAGATGCCCGACATCATGCTGCCCAGACTAGCTTGCCTCGAGATTGTGTTCCGGGCTTTTCGACGGTCGGTTGAGTCAGGCAGCGCGCCGCCGGACTGCAAAGCGAAATCGGCACCAATGGTTGCGTCACTAGCGTCTGTATTAGAGCTGGCCATAGAGTCGTAAGACAAGCGGGCCTGGGAGGATCTTTTATGCAGATACCCGGGCCGTCGGTGCTTAGATTTGTTCTCGGCACCCTCTTGCAGGCCGTCGGCCGCGTCTGGTACATCTAGATAATGTGTCTCGTTCTTCCGTGGTGGGGCATCATGGTCACCCTCTGCGCTGGTTGGGTTCTTGCCCCTTTTGGACCGATCTGCCGACTCATTCGCCGTTTCATAGCCGCCCATCGTGGCAAAGGATTGTACGCGAGAGAGCGTTCGGGCGGCGGCGGCGGCGGTGGGAGAGGAGGACATGCTCTCGAGCACGGAGGTGGATGTTGGTTGAGGCGTCGAGCGGCCACTCCCACGCGTGTCACGAAACTCTTGCTGTTCGGGAGCAGGCGTCTTGTAACCCCCGGGCGGCGTCTTGGGGGACTGGCCTGGCCTTCCGTCCACATAGTTCTCGGTGTCTTCAGAGGGGTATGATATCTGAATGGGAACTGGCTTCTTGCGCACCGCGACATTGTCGTTAACAACGCCGAACAGGTGCGTATCGTCTGCACCCGTAGTCTGGGAGTCCCGCTCAACCAGTGGGGAGTGGTCGGGCAGAAAGCTGGACTCGTGATCCTGTAGTTTCTTGTTCATTTCACTTTCGTCGAAGGTGCGGTTTGCAGGCAATTCGAGATTGGTGTGCTCGTCAATGGGCTGCAGCAGACTGCTAGGATCTCCAAATGCGGGCAGGAGAGAGGATGGCTCGTCCTTGTCTTGTGCGTGGTGCGAATCATCGTGGCCGCTCTCAACGGATGCCACGTCGTCGTCATCCTCCTCTTGGTCAAATCCGCCCGGTACTCGCGATGACCGCCGCTCGCTTCGCTGCCGGTCGCTCAGTATTGACGAGGACATGGTAGACATGCACTTATTGTCCCGTCCCAGTGCGCAGGGGTTGGCCGAGTTGATGCGAGCCTTCGGAAGTTCGTGTCGCGGACATCGAGGTGGAGGGACACGCGCGATGACCGAATCGTCGAGTTGCGCGTCTTGTCAACACAGCAACAACCAGGTTGATCGACCAGAGGCTGTATGTCGTGATAGACGAGCGAGGTCAGACTGGCACCCGGGCCACTTCAGTACTCGTCTCAGTCACTGAGCCGTCACAGTGCTTCACTTTCACCACTTTTGTCCAGTCTGTTGCCCCTTCCGCGAGAGGCTCGACGCCAGGCCCGATTTGGCGCAGGCCATAACATCGGGCAGGGGCCCCGGTCAAGCACCCGTCAACGGAGGCTGGGAGGCTACTCTGTCTGGCCAGCACCACTGTGGCTATTTTGCCGAGACAGGCCGTGTCATTTGAGTCATTCGAAAGGCGCCTTGTGTTTCAGGAGCGTAAGCGAGCACGCTGGCGAGGCTCGGCCGTCGACCATTGTCACACACTGCTCCAGCCCGGAGTCTACTGGCTACAGCACGGAGTACCACGTATAGATAAGCATACGTCGACAGGTGATTTGATCGTACCTAGGTAGCTCTGACATCGGTTCCCCATGTTATACAGCCCGGTAACTATACGTGCATCTTCTCGCTCGCTCGTTGGCTTCATCGTAAATCATCAAAGTCGTCTACTAGTTGTACAGGATACTGCAACGCCAATGTCAGATCACCCCCATCAAAGCATTTGCAGCCTCAGTCCTCATCAGCGCGTCCGCGTCGTTCCTTTGCGCCTCTTCCTCCTCTTTCCGCATACAATAGATCTTCTCTTTCATGGTGTGGGCGCTTTGTAGTGTGTCAATGTACGTGCGGAACTTGACAATCTCGCGCAGCAAGTAACTGCTCTTCTTCTCCCAGTTGGTCATGGCTTTGTTCGCGTTGGGGTGCTTGGCCGTGTATGCGAGAAGCATCAGACTTCGTAGGTCATTATGCTTTTGCAACTCTTCTTCCACGTTCGCCACATACGCCTGAAGCGCACGAAGTTGATCCATTTCCATCAGCTGAGAAGCAAACATGGACTGTTGCGGCGGCGACCAGTCACTAATGTGGACCTTATCCCCCGGTAGCTTCGCGCGTACACCGCCGACGTGGTCCATGGAGCTGCGCATTGACATCTGAGTACTCGGTCGAGGACTCACCACTCCAGCACGGCCGCCGTTGATTTCTGGCGAGGCCAATGCCCGGTTGACAACGTTGTCACTCCAGCCGTACTCCATGTTGCTAATGCCGCCCATCATCGGCTCCTTGGAGAGTCTAGCACTCCAAAAGTTGGCTGTTGACACGAACTCCTTCACAATATCGGGAGTACCAACAGAGAACAGGTGGACAGCTCCTGTCGGCAGGCTGAGCGCCCAGACATAGGGCCGCGCCTTGGAGTAGCCGGGCGGTGGCAGTGAGCTGGCAATGGTGTGCCGGAGGGTGAATTTCCACAGCTCTTCGGCGTTGTCTTGCCAGTTGCCTCCGCCAACCACCGCCGGCTTAGGAGCTCGAGCCTTGTTGCGCAGAGACTTGGCCGTCATGGAGAAAGAGAACAGCCTCATGTAGCCCTTCTCGATGACCGCAAAACAGTCGTTCCAGTTCCTATCCTTCGACTTCTTATCGACCCCCTCTAGGTGACACTTGTGCTTCAAGATACCTTCTTTGGCCCAAGGCGCGCCGCAGAGCTCCAGCGACTCGTCCTCAAGCAGCGATCCAGCCTTCGGTCCATCTTCGATAGGGAGATCCAACTGGTCTTCCCGAATGATGGCTTGGCTTAGTGCGCTGGCAAAGCCGATCGAGGACTGGTAGTCGGCATGAGTAGCTTCCGTGCCGAACGAATCAACCGACATGGATGTGAGTGTCTTCCCAAGCGAGACTTTGCTCCATGTGCTTGACAATGACGGACTCCAAGCCGACGACTCGTCGATGCTCGTTTTACTAGAATTGAAGCCAGGAGCTGAAGGTAACCGTGGTCGCGATCTTGCCTTCGATACGAACCGAGCCCCGAGGGACTTGCTTTCCCCTGCAAACCGGCCACGATGGGTGTCGGAATGGGCTTTGCTGAGCACGCTCGGTGTACGGCGCAACATGTTCGTCCCAATCGTCAGGAAGTTATTGGAAAGGTTGAGATGGGCACTGGGGTTGGGCTCGATTTGAGCGCCAGAAAGAGGCAGAGGCTCTTGAGAAATGGAGATGTAGAAGGACCTCAGGACAGATTCAATCTGCATTTCCCAGACTCGGTTGATTCCAAGACCTGTGGCTGATTCGTAAGACTCGGAGGGTGGCGGTTCTTGATGGCTTGATTGATCGGCTGGACGCTTCGAGTCGGAAGACGTACTAGCTGTATCATCATGCGATGAAGAGTTCGTACGTTTCGGGCCCGGTTGGCTCTTATCAGTTCCCATTTGCTGGACTTCGCGCTTGATTGTGTTCATGGCGTTGCGGACGAACTGGGCCTTCGTCATCTTCTGTACAATGTCCGCCAGATGGAGATCCGTGTTCAACAACAAGAGCGCATACACAATTGAATGCACGACATCTGACTGCTAGTTAGCAATTTCCACGAGCCATGCAATTCGCAAGCCTTACCACTGGATTTGAAATTGTGAGAAGGGTTGCATTCACACCATCGCTGGGCAAAAGAAGTTAGGACACGGTCAATGACTTGGCTCTCGCCTTTGATAGTGATATTGTCACACAGTCCTCGAAGCGAGTCAAGAATGTCCTGATTTTTCCAATCGAAGAGCTCCATGAACGCTTTTCGCACATAGTCTCTGTCGACCCCTGCGTCTCCGAGCCAAGCTCCTGCAGCAGACGCATCCACTTCGTCATCTGTATGGTCGTATATGTTTTGGGCTTTTGTTTTGTAGCCCGGAATCTCGCTCAGAGCATCAGTGGGCGCCATGGAGTTGAAGGACGGCACGGACGCGACGAGTTCCACATTGGGGATTTCGATGATTAACGGCGTGCTGGGTGCCGATCTGTATTCCTCCCCAACATCAGACATTGAAGCAGCTGGAGAGCCTTTCACGGGTTTTCGGGGGATCTCCAGGGTGTTCTGTCGTCGAGCAGAGAAGGATTTGGGGCCCGGGTCCGTGTCCGCTGGGCTAGATACTGGTGCAATAAAGGATGAAGTCGGCGAGACAGTGTCAGATATCCATGATCCTTGTCTCGTAGTCGCAGATCTGGAGTTCGATAACGGGCTCGGCAGTGAGGTTGCGGAGGTTGTTTGCGCAAGCTTGAGATCGTTCACACTATGTCTGAGGTGCAGATCACGTCGCTCATGGTCAGATGGGGTATCGAACGGTCGTTTCATTGGCTCCTCAGCACTGCTACTGTCTGCGAAAAAGGAGTCTTGGTGCGGTATGACGAGAGTGGAAGTCTGTTTGGTGTTCGATTTCAACGTCTTGTTGCTCCTGATGCTACTGTGGGACTCCTTTCGACTGTGACCTGCCTTGGATCTGGACCCAGCTTGACTCGGCAGATTGAACGCGGGCGGCGGGAGATTGGGTGTATAGAAACCCTGCATAGAGTTGGTGCGGACATGGCCATGAGGTCGACCATGGCCTTTTGCGGATGTCGGAGGGTTCACCAGATACGGTCCCATGAACGCTCTCAGGCTGCTAACCGGGCTCGTACCCTCCACAGGCTGGGTTTCCAACGGTACCTCTGCATTCAAGGTTAACGGCAGAGGTGGTGGCACAGCGTGAGAGATCGACTTCTTCCTCCTACGGAAGAACGTAGAAGACTTTTTAGCCAGGACTGGCAGGTTCTCTTTGTTCGCCGAAGCATCGGTGGACGTCCGACGGACAGGCCGATGCGTTTTCCCCGGCGGTGTAGTAGGGTGATGGGCGATGTCTTCTGGCACCGGAGTGGCACGCCCATGGTATGATTTTGTCAGAAGATTGGGTCCTGAATGGGGCTCCACGGTAGGGTTTCTCGATCCAAAGACACGACGAAAAAATCCCGGTCTAGGTGCTGCAATGAGCTCGCCCAGTGAGGCCATGCTAGGCTTGTGTTCTGTGGCATGGAAGCTGGGTACGCTTTTCATGGAAGGCAGTTGAGGGATAGAGTCCGTTCTGGGCGCATTCGGCGCTGTTGCCGGCATCCGGCCCTTCTTCACGTACGCACTCTTGGATGATTTGGTGCTGTTCTTGCGGACCAAGGGACTGGCAGGTTCAACCTTGTGAGCATCAGGTCCAGGGTAAATCACTGGGGTGGGTGCTTGACCATCGCCATTGACAACGGTTTTGCCGGTGCGCACGTCTCGTTGTCTAGAGCCGAAGTCGAAGCTCCTTGACCGTCTGTTCCCGGGGCCTCCGAGTCGACCTGTCATGCTGGCCAAGTGGCCGAGATCGATGCTTGATGAGTTACTGCTATGGTCACTTTTACCGCCACCAGACACATTCTTCCTCCTCCTCGGGTGACGGGGCTGCGTGGCCCTTTGTGCATCGTAGACCTTCACCCTTGTAGAATCTTCATCTTCACCAAATATGCTAGGCAACCTCTGCAAATCTTTCTGGTATCGGACACTGCTTCGTAGTGGTATTCGCGGCATGGTCTGAGGGAGCTGCGGCGCAGTCCTCAGGTGTTGAACGTCATTTTCCGACGAGGTTGAGGAAGAAAATGTATGGCCTCTGCCCCGTCCCCGAACTCTTGCGCTCGTGTCATAGCTATTGCTGCGCGGAGTAAAAGGCGGGTCGTCAAATGCACCGCCAGAAAAATGATCCAGGGAGAGGACCAGATTGTCGACCATAGAAGCGCGAAGGATGTGGTTCCTCGACAGTGATAGGTCGTGGGGATCCTCGACGTCGTCGTGATCCTCCATGTTGGGTGATTCGGCAAGAAACGTGCCTGAACCTGTCACTTGTTTGCTCTCTTGTACCGAGTGTAGTTGGCGCAGCGGTCGAGCCGGAAATGCAGGGGACGATGGGAGAGAGGTTGGCTGCGAGTTCTGGCTCTCATTCGCCGTGAACTGCTTCGACGATTGACGGCGAGGGCTCTTTGGTTTTTTGGGAGACGAAATGCCCGGCGGGGCGTCCATTGTTTATTCGAATCTCAGAGCCTCGTGTCGATCCGTGAGCGAGACGATGCGCGTCGGTATCTGAGACAGCTAACCCTTGGACTCGACTGAAGTTGTCGCACGACTTGCCGTCGGGTGAACAGCGTCGCAGCGCATTCCAAGTTGTGCAGGGAAATTGTGGCAAAGAGAGAGTGAATGAGACTTAAGTGGATTTGAGGATCTTCGCCCAGTGCAGCTGTTGGTTTTCAACGCTCTAACGGACAACACATCGATCAGTGTGCCAGCGTGAAGATGGTGGTGGGTCGGTGTGGATAGGGGCGAGGAGGCACCTCCATCTGCACGTCTTAGGCAAGGATCGTGACTCCTTGCTGCACCCCTGGACCACTAGTTGGTTGGGTGAGAAATCCCACCGAGTCTTTCACCAGGAGATAAGCATGCATAGGATGGGGAGTAGCACCCAGATATCATGTCTGTGCTTGCAATAGCAGCACAACGCACGGTATCTCAGCAATCTTCATAATTATTCCATGATCCAGTGGTAGCCAGGCACTGCTTCAATTCGGCCTGAGTGCCACCTGAGACATGATCTACTAGCGACATCTATCATAAACTCATCATACCTCGAAGCATTGCCACGGTCAGATGCGATGCCACGAAGATACTGGGGATTGCGGAGTACCTCGCACTGTTGTCCTCGCCTCCACTGCTTCGTTCACATCGTCACTCAGGGCTGACGCTCTTTTATCGACATTGTTCGCCGGCTTCATGGGAACAGCATTTCGGGTTTTACCCCTGGACGTTGCAGTGGGCCGCAGGACGACCACAGGCTAATGCAGGTCCGACAAACTGGGCCATTCCCGCTACTGAACGCCACGCCCGCGCGAGAACGCTCAAATCGGGTTCCATAGCCGGGGATGGCCAAGCACTCTTCGGCAGGCTTTCCATTCAAGCCCGTATCTAACCAGCCGACGCGCTGTCGCGGCTCAACGCGCAATTCGATCTGACTGCTTTGGCACGAATATGATCCAGTCGAGTCGTGCGTGAGAGATTCGTTTGACATCAATAGACTGTGACCTTGCGTAATGTCAATATCCTCATCGCGGATAGTGATCGAACATTGGGCATATTCGACCAGGTGGAGATGTTGTCATCAGTAACTGTGATGCTTAGTCCAAGGATCAAATTTGCGAAGCTTGGAGGCTCGCACACGCTCTCTGCCGCGAGCGATCAATCGACGGGGTAACCGGTCTCTCATTCAATGCGCCATCGATCCTGCTCCAGTCCATGGTCCTTGGGGTGCCGCTGTCCGTGGATGCGCATGGTGCGAGACACTCATCCCTTGACGCCCAGGAACAGCCACCTCGTTCCCAATGTCGTAAGATTGATATTCAGAATCGTACACACCAACCAAATCACGATCCAGGCCAACATAGGACTCAACAAAAGTTGTGTGTGATGCAGGAAATGCAATGCGTTATACCCTAAAAACGTGATCAGACTCCAGTATAATCCCGCTCCTAGATACAGCAGATTCGCAAAGAACGTAGAGGCGTGGTTCTCATGGTTTACGACGGGCATGAGGATGTACTGGATGATGTACAGGAGGACGTAGGGAGGAAAGAACGCCCGGATAGAAACGTCGAAACAGTATCCGAATTCAAGAACTTCTGCACCACGTGTTCCACCCGGGGGTCCGAAGAGGCCCTGTTGCCGTCTACGGCCTGGGAGGCCTGCGATGCCGGGACCTAGTAGTCTGCCGACGAGATAATATGCTATCGCTGAGACGAGGAGTGAGCCTGCGAGGAAGTGGATGACCACGAACATCAAGGCTAGTTTGACGACTGAACCGAAGGATGGTGTGTATGCCAGGGACCAGGCAAACGAAGTGAGTAGCAGAAAGAAGGATAGTAGGTAGGTAAACGAGGGGTCTGGTCGATGCCACGTATTTCTCGTCTCTGCGATGCGATCTCGTGAGTATACAGCATGCCTGTACGCATTTGTCTGGTTCATCACTCACGTTTATGATAGTAGATCGACTTGAACACCTTCTTAGGCGCGATCAGTAGATGTGTCATCTCCCACACTGCCATTTCAAAATCCATTTGAGGGAATTTGAATAGTCTGTCCGCCCTTTATATCAGCCACTGACTAGTGAAAGGATGACACTGTATGGGTTGCTAACCGTTTGAAGAATCGAGGCATGCGCATGTCAGAACGCCCTGTGGCCGTGGCACCAAAGTGAGGTCCGCCATACTGACGTGGAGTCGAAATGCGAGGGCTGCTCATCGGGTAGAATCGATCACAGAAGACGTGACATCCGACAAGAGTTGAGGCAGAGGAAAGTCACGATGCGGATGACAAGGCATAAGTTGGAGTTCAACGCAGTGCAGCGAGGGCAGGTTACAGGGAAATCCCGCTGAACTTGGCGGTCGGTGGCGCCGCTTTTAACTAGAAATCTACGGGCGTTGACATCGCTTCTTTCATTTGACCACTCTCTCTTCATCTCTCATGCAGGTTTCATCATGAAAGACGCCTCAGTCGTGCAAGTTCTGTTTTGCACTGTCCCGTCGTAAGGATGCCTTCGCAAGAGGCTGACTATTCTAGTCGTCACAGGACCGAAAGCCAGCCTAATTGTGCTGGTCGTACGGGTGAGGCTATTCTGACAAGAAACCCCAGCAAGTCGAGTGTTCTCCGAGTTGTCCTCAGACCTGGAACGAGGTTGTATTGCGGCTCGCAGGATATCACAATCGGCACCAAAAGGCTGTGCCCTGTCATCAAGGACGAATGGACCAAGAACCGTCTGTCTTTGCGTGTGCGACGGGGCGGATCCCACAGCGCCAGCATTGCGAAGTGCCTCAGCATGAGGAGGAGTCAGAACAGTATTGCCATTGAGCTCTTGAAAAGCGTCTCAAGGTGCGGGCTCGTGAGCTCAAGCCGTTCCATAGCATGATGACCAAGACCGCCCGACGAGGCTACTGTGTACATCAGTCCTGGTAAAGCGTCCTCGGCATGTTCAATCATGGAAGAAGCAATATGGTGACGAAAGTAGCAGTAAGGCCGCAGAAGCGTACCTACGGTAGGTAAGGACGTCCATGTATGAGTTTGTAAGCTCGATCGAACCAGATAGGATATGGACAGGGCAGCAGATTAGCATAGCTTGTTAGTAGCCGCGGTTGAGCAGAACGTAGCGAGATCAGCAAGCCGAGCGAACTATCGTCCATATATGGTTAGTACAGAAAGCACTCCCCAATGCAATTGGCTGTTTGGCCTGATATTCGCCAGCGTTCATCACGTCCTCATCGGGAAATATCCGCCCAGGATGGAAATAAATGTACGTCTTGGAATTCCGTGAACTCAATCGCGCAGTCTGCGCTCTGCCATGACAAACTGACAAGTGCCGTCTTCCTGGCCATGTAGGCAGATGGAGCCTGGAGAATGCTGGCGTCGGACGTATATATGAAGGTAACGGGCAGCGGGGACAATAGAAATTCACCATCATCGACACCAGCTTCAGTATTAAATCACCACGGCCCAAGCTCGCGCGACATAAGAGCATTCAAATACAAGATCAGTCCGTACGCAACTAATCGGCCACAGCAGCAATGGCCGCCTCAGACAGTTCAAAGCCATTTATCCCTCTGTCCGGGAGCGCCTCGGACGGCTACTCGAGAGATGGCCGCGCGACAGCGACCTGCTTCTGCGGAGCCGTGCAGCTCGAAGTTCCAACTACGAAACCAGGCCTAGTCGAGACCTTCGTCTGCAATTGCTTTGACTGCCGCAAGATCACGGCATCCATGTTTGCGTCCAATTTCGTGGTTGACGACCGCTACATCACCTACATCCGCGGCAGGGAGAACTTGACGGCATTCGCCCAATCGAAGACGATCGCCACGGGGAACACAATGACGAATTACTTCTGCAAGACTTGTGGCACGCTCATGAACCGTGTCAGTTCGGGATATCCTGGGAAGAGTGTGCTTCGGATCGGTACCGTGGATGACTTCAACTTGCACGAGACGGCATTGAAGCCGAGAGTGGAGCAATATGCCAAAACCCGGGTGGAGTGGTTGACCGGTGGGCGTGGTCTTGAGCAGCACGAAGGCGCTTTTTTTTAACCAGTATTCAAGGGATGAGATCGACTAGGCTGTCCGACAAATGCGCTCGAGCTCTCATGTAGACGCGTATATCAATCAAGCTTCTGAAGCAGCAGCCTCCTCCAACTTGTGCAGTGAGCGGCGACCTAACCGGCAAAGATCGTCTCTCTCGTGCTCGTATATCCTGTAGTCACCACCAACGCAGGACTCCAACAGTGAACGCACTACACTTTGGCCGCCCGAACGTGCGGACGCCCTAGAGGGGACGTCCCATTGAGCCATTGCCCGCTTGAGGGTTGCCCTGATGGCAATGAAAGTCTCCTGCACATCTTTGATTTGAAAACAAGACTTTCCAAGGTCGTTGATAGGGTTAGCGGGGTCCTGGAGAGTCATTAAATAGTCCATGCTCTTTAGAGACCGTCTTCGAGTCCGACCCTTGAACGTGACATCATACTGCGATTCGTGCGCCTTATTCGGCGATTCTGGCCCATCTCTCCCGTTGTCCGGCTCTTCACCACGATCTGAGGCCCGCCCAACGCTTTTGGAGAACAACTCAAGAGGTTCAATGGAAATGCCATGCGTGGAAAAGTCGATGTCAGAGTAGAAGTCTAGGAAGAAGAGGAACTGGTTGCCCACGTCTGCCGGGTGAAACCTGGCCTCGGAGAACTTTAGCGTCGCGACAATCATTTGCAGTAGTGGATAGGATGTAATCCCTCCATGGCTGCCGACGGTAAGTCCACGCATTTGCAGAAGTTGTTTCAATACTTTGAACAAGCTTCGCAAAGTTGGATATTCCCTCAACGACGCTTTGACGTATTCCCGGCTGTCAAATGTCCGTGGCGTCGACTGGATCTGAATTGGAAGCCCTGTTGGTTTGTGGCGGCAAAGCAAGATGGGTATTCGAGCGGTTTTAAGGTAGTAATGAGTTTCGATACGATGAGAAACAGACTGATTGGTAGTTTTCGACGGCTTCCGCAGAGTCTTGTAGAGTTTGTCGAGAACCTTGAATGGAGCTTCCATCGCGGGTTCATCCAAGATGACACATTGATCTGGACTGGAGACGTTGATATCAAGGTCCGATAAAGAATCAGCCAAGTTTGTGGCACGAGAGCCAATGACATCGACAATTAACCCAGCGTCAGTGCCCTTGACGCACTCGATGATGTCGTTCAGAGCGTCGTTGGCAGCGGCTTGCTCTTCTTCCGACGGAGAGCTATATTTTTCGAATGCGCAGATTTCAGCAGTAAGGCGCTCGATGGCTGACAATGGAGGGAGCGAGTCGGGGCTATCCAAATGCCGGAGCCATGGAAGGCGATAGTGCAGGGGCGGGTTCTTCTCAGTATCCTTTATGCGCCATAACGCGTCCAAGTCGCGACTGGTGCCTCGCAACGCGGTGACGGAAGCAAGATCAATCCTCTTGAAAAGTCCACTCTTCTTCTGTGGGACTTTGACCTTCAAGGCAGGTAGTCCTCCGTCATGGTCTTCTATCCGGACCGACTGACCCTTTTTATAGATCTTCCGCACGACTGGCTCTCGATTCGCTTCGCGATGAGCACGAACGGTATTTTTTAGACTCTTTATGTCAATATTGGGCTCGGTCCTGAAGGTTGTAGGGCGATCTGGAACGGAGGTATGGATGTGAGCAGAACACGATTTGGGAGCCGCCAGGCTGCAATGCTGGCTGAAGGTGCGGGACTTAGCACAGGCATGTTGGCAGACGAGATTGCCGGCAGCTTCATAACGTCGTATATTCGGACTGCGATGGATGAGGAGATGGTTTGGTGGCATGCAGCATAGGGGCGGCGCAGACAGTGACTTCTGTAGAACTCGTGAGAGACAATGAAGGCAATAATTCACAATGAAGGCAATAATTCACAATGGTTGCGGATGCTTCAAGGTCAGCAGAGCGGCTAGGAACTGTATTAACGTCCTCATTTGGCGCACTTCACAGTACGAGATCGCAATGCAACACATGCGGCTGGAGAAAGCACGTGGGTGGCTTCTTCCAAGCCTGGCCACTCCCAATCGAGCCCCGCGGCAAAGCTGCCTAAGCTCGATCACCACCAACTGCGCGCTTGGCTTGCGTCTACTGTACGAGTAACAGGCTGTTTCGCTCAAGTCTTGCCCGCGACAGAAGCCAACCCTTCCATCCTCCCGAACTTTTCCCTGGCTGAAGAACAACATCGGCCCAACACAGCTGTTAACGAATAAGAGCTTGTGCACTTATGAGCAGGCTGGTCCAGCAGTCTGAGCACACTGTCGACTTTGCGGATGCCCTTGGCTAGGAAAAGTGGACAGAGCGACGGCCCGACAACAACCCCCGGAGGAGCCAGCTCCTTTGGCCATCTGCAGTAGGAGGACGGCGGCAGCATGTGCAGCATTTTACGACCTTGCTCAGCTTCTAAACCTCCTCAGAATCAACGATTCATGCCCCATCTGTAAGAGTACGCTGTGAGTGAGACCGGACAGGCACGCAGGTCTCCACAACGACCAGTTGCTCCTCTCGCGACTGCAAAAAGCATACTGTGTATGACGAAGCTGCAGGCCGGCGTTGCCTTCCGAGAACAGCTGCAGGTGAGCTCGAACTTACCTTAGTCAACGACCGTCGGCTCTTTCCAACAAATTATCATATGCACATCACCCTCGTTCGAGGCTGGTTCCTGGGCTGAGAAATTTCGCGACCTCTCCAAAAAGGTACCTACATTTCCATCTCCTTCTGCCCTCAACCATCCGTCATTTCTGCTTCAAGCCCTGCGTTGTTATTGATATTTTCTCCTCAATACCCCACCTGCATGACCCAAAGGCTATTACACACCTGACTCGCTCACCGATTCCTAGATCGACATCCATATTTCGGAGTACAGATGATAGACTGATCTGGGATTTAGCGACAATCCTTCCTAATCGTAGACTATTGTTTTCGTTCTTCCCACTTCGGCACAGTCGTCATGGTTAGCCACCCCGACGGACCCCAAGAGGTTCTGCGGGAACAGGGTGAGCCTCCAAGCCAGCAAGCGAACTTCACACGCGAGCCCGAAAAGATGTCAGAACAAGAACGGCCGACGACATCCTATTTTGCCCTGCCCGGGAAGCAGGGCTTTGAAGATCACGTCACTCCCGACTCACCTATTGACGTTGCGAAGGGTGCAAAGTCAAAGCATGAGATATTGCGGCGACTCAGCCTTGTTGATTCCAGGGGCGCCGAGGCCCTCGAGGTCGACCCACGAACAGCATATCCCGGTCTTCGCTTAAGCGGAAATGTCATCAGCGCAACTTTCTGCATTCCGTACCAAGTGACCCATGGCGGTGACGGGGACTGGACCCTCTCAAGTCGCCGAGGTACATCTGCTCTCTTCGACTCCTTCGCCCACCTGTCGTCTGAGAATACGCCTTGGAATCACACGTTGGTGGGTTGGACAGGAGAGATTCGTACCAAGCAACAAGAAAAGGCCATCAGTATACTGCAGGCAGACGCAGCAAAGGCAATTGCTGCTGCCCAACTCCCTCATCCTCTCAACAAGTATGCCGCCCCGATTCCAGTTAATGGAGCCACACCCGCTCCGCACGTTCCCCATCCCGATCATTTAACCCTGACACGACCCGAGCGTAACCGTCTTGAGAAGATTCTGTCACAACACCCAGACGGCAAGGTGCTTCCTGTGTGGCTGCCAGAGAACCAAGGAGATGAGGGAGGCGAGTTCGTCTTCAAAGATCAGAGCCGTTGGCGCAAGTATGCCGAGCATGAGCTCTACACTCTGTTTCACTACAGACAACATGGTCCGGACGATGGCCGAGCAGAGAAGACTTCATGGAACGACTATGTGCGGATGAACCAAGGCTTTGCTGATCGGATCTTGCAGATTTATCAACCAGGGGATATCATCTGGATCCACGACTACCACCTGATGATGCTGCCCAGCATGCTACGGCAACGGATACCAAACATTTACATCGGTTTCTTCCTGCACATCCCATTCCCTAGTAGCGAATACATGCGTTGTCTGCCCAGGAGAAAGGACATCCTGACTGGCGCGCTTGGTGCAACGATGATCGGGTTTCAATCCTACAGTTTCTCTCGGCACTTCAACTCGTGCTGCAAGAGAATCTTGGGCTTTGAGTCAAGTTCTGCAGGTGTCGACGCATATGGGGCACACGTCGCTGTCGATGTTTTCCCCATTGGCATTGATGTGGCCACGGTGCAGAAGCAAGCATTCGGAGATCCAGTCATAGAAAAGAACATGAAGGCACTGAAGAAAATGTACGCTGGCAAGAAGATCATTGTTGGCCGCGACAGGCTGGACACCGTCAGAGGCGTGGCCCAGAAGCTCATGGCTTTCGAGATGTTTTTGGAGAGGTACCCTGCGTGGCGCGACAAAGTGGTTCTGATCCAGGTGACGAGCCCGACCAGCGTTTTGGAGGACAAGGTGGACGGAGCACACAAGATTGAACACAAGATCTCAAATCTGGTATCACGGATCAACGGGGAGTACGGATCCCTGAGCCACTCTCCGGTCCAACACTATCCGCAGTACTTGTCTTCTCAGGAATACTTCGCCTTGCTCAGAGTAGCCGATGTCGGACTCATCACCAGCGTCAGAGACGGCATGAACACGACCAGTCTAGAGTATGTTATCTGCCAAAAGAACAACCACGGGCCACTGATTTTATCGGAATTTTCCGGAACTGCTGCCAGTCTGGGCAATGCTATACACATCAACCCGTGGGATCTGGGTGGCGTCGCAGACGCTTTGAAGAAAGCCCTGGAAATGCCGGCCTCCCAGAAGCAAGCTGACCATGAAAAGCTTTACAGCTATGTGACAACCCATACAGTAGCAACCTGGTCCAACAGCTTCCTCAGGAGATTGCTCACCAACCTCACTTCCTTCAGTCAGTCAGATCTCACCCCGGCGCTTGACCGCAATGCCATGATTCGGCAGTACCACAACGCCAAGAAGCGACTCTTCATGTTTGACTACGACGGCACGCTCACACCCATTGTGAAAGATCCGAATGCAGCCATTCCCTCCGACAAAGTCATCCGCGCACTGAAAGCCCTTGCGGCCGATCCCCGGAACCACGTCTGGATTATTAGCGGCCGTGACGCTAACTTCTTGCAAAGCTTCTTTGGACACATTGACGAGTTGGGTCTCAGCGCCGAACATGGCTGCTTTTTGCGGCGTCCAGGGTCTGAGACTTGGACCAACCTGACCGAGAAGATGGATATGGCATGGCAAAAGGAAGTTATGGATGTGTTCAGCCACTACACAGAACGGACCCAAGGGTCGTGGATCGAGCGCAAGCGTGTGGCACTCACCTGGCATTATCGACAAGCCGATCCAGACTTCGGTTCTTTCCAGGCAAAAGAATGTAGGAAGGAGCTGGAGGAGAAGGTCATGAGGAACTGGGAGGTTGAGGTGATGAGCGGCAAAGCCAATCTGGAGGTCAGGCCGCAATTCGTCAACAAAGGGTATATTGCGACGAGGCTGATCAACGAGTATGGCTATGCCAAGGGCGAGCCGCCAGAGTTTGTACTCTGCTTGGGTGACGATCAGACCGACGAAGGTGAGTAGCCAGCCACTGGTGATGCCGTGATATGCGCAATCCTAACGTCAGAAACAGACATGTTCCGCGCCCTTCTCAAAACAGATCTGCCGAAAGACCACGTCTTTGCGTGTACGGTCGGTGCGAGCAGCAAGCGAACACTCGCGGCATGGCATCTCCTCGAGCCAAGCGACGTCATCGCAAGTATTAACGCTCTAAACAATTCCGAGAACCTGTGAATACCGATCGACCAAGACGGGTGACAGGTCTGTGATGTGTGGTGGTGAAGAGGAGTGAACGGTAATGAACTTGGAACACCAAGACGGAGTCTACAAGAATGGGGAAGCGTTATATCCGTACAAATATGAGCATAAGACGTGGCGACCTGGATGATGAGCACTCACGGATAGACACTGCATTGCTGGGACGGGTTGGTTAGTGGAAAGGTAGACCTGTGGCAGCAGTTAACGAAGCCCTCGGGATGGACAAGCATCTTTGCGATCTGTTGCCGCTTTTAACAGCTTAGATTGATTGGGCTTCAGGTTAATTACGAGCTTCTCCACGACGACCATCCATGCCATCGCACTTCTCCCCATCAATGGCACCTGAACGCGCGCAATTTGTCAACCACTCCTGCCCGCGTATTTCTCATGAGGGAATCGAACCCATCAGATTCGAGCCTCGGCACCAGTCTGAAACCTCCACAGCTCGTTTCTGGAGCTTGCTCGCTTCACCACGTCGCCACCATTGATGCTGTGCGACCTGCATGTGCTTATCAGGCACCAAGTCCAGGGAGGTAGATGGCTAGTGCAGTGAATGTCCGACTTCCGCCAACCTGATGCGGGGGATGAACTACTGAGTTCCGGCGGATTAACGCGCTAGACAGTCCTCTCCATATATACACTGTATTTGCTTGCGACTTGCAGCGTCCCTTTCCCTGCATTTCTCCTTGTGCTTGATCACGAGTTCCCGCGGAAATCAAGGGTCGAATACTTCGACTAGGAGCCCATGTCTAATTACACAACAAGCAGCAATGTCAGATCTGATTGGAAGGGAGCGCTTGGAGGGGTCGAAAATAACCCAGATCGATGAGCTGAATCTCAAGCCGTACAGTGACCCCGAAAGTTCTGGAGGAGACGTCCGATCGAAGAACCTGTCGCAGTCTCGGACAAATGACAGTGTCGACCCCGGTCCCGCGCCTGATGGAGGCCTGAGAGCCTGGTCGATCGCCTGTGCGGCACATTTGATCATTTTCAACGCCTGGGGCCTCGTGAACAGCTACGGGTTATTCCAGACGTACTACGTCCAGGTGATGAAGATTGGGGGCGAAAGTTCGGTGGCATGGATCGGCACCACCCAGGTTTTCGTCTTGTTTGGGATGGGCACGTGGACCGGGAGGGCGCTGGACGCTGGGTTCTTCAGAAGCCAATATATCGTGGGGAGCATCATCTCTGTCACGGGACTGTTCCTGCTTAGTCTGTGCAAGAGCTTCTGGCAGATCTTTCTTGCTCAGACGCTCTGTGTTGGCTTCGGGTATGGCTTGAGCTTCGTGCCCACCTTGGCACTGGTGAGCACCTACTTTGAGAAGAAGCGGTCGACGGCGCTGGCTGTGGCGGTGACTGGCTCGTGCACGGGGGGACTCGTGTTCCCGGCTATTGCGGAGACGATGCTCCCCCTGGTCGGGTTTCCCTGGACGGTGCGCACGATAGCTTTTGTGCAGTTGGCCTGTGTCATTGCGGCTGGTCTCGTCTTGAAGGTGAGGGAATATCCAAGTGGCAACAATGGCGACTAATGCTGATATCCCCAACAGCCTCGTCTGCCGCCGCGGAGGTCGGGACCCATTGTGGAATGGTCGGCCTTTAAAGAGGCGCCGTACACGCTGTATCTGATCGGGTCTTTTCTGTACTTCTGGTCCGTTTATGTCGGATGGTTCGTGAGTCATCCCCATCTCTCCAAAGACATATGTGAAGTTCGAGGCATACCTATTCCGGAACAAGATCTGGCATAACCCCTACGATGAGCTTCGAGCAACCCCGGGCTTCTCTAGGTTGGCACCGACGGCCGCAGCAGCGAGCGATATAAGTTGACTCACGAAGCGGGCGGTCCTCCACGCTGGGTGTGCTTTCGGTCACGGTCTCCCCTTGCCTCCGTCTACACGTTTTATTTACTGATGTGACTTCTGGACGACGACAGTTTATTGGCACCTTTGCCAGGAACGCTTTAGGCGCCACTCAAGCCACCAGCATAAACCTTCTGATGGTCTTGAATGGCGTAGGGGTTGTCGGCCGAATGTTACCGGCTTATATTGCCCAAAGATGGGTCGGAGGACTCAACCTGATGATACCGTTGGCTACTGTGGCCAGCATCATCCTTTACTGTTGGATCGCTGTCGACTCTATGAGTGGGTTGTGGGTCTTTGCCGTCACATATGGCATCGTTGCTCATGGACTGCAATCTCTGTTCCCCATTGTGCTTGCGAACTTGACAAAAGATCCAAGCAAAGCAGGCGTTCGAAGTGGCATGGGATTCACGATTGTGGTGAGTTGATCTCGTTTTGCACTGGGGCCTACTGACGACTCACTATGCTGGGCCAGGGTCTGGCAGTTTTGACTGGATCTCCCATCGCGGGAGCCCTGATTGAAACCAATGGAGGCAAATTCATCGGGTTGCAGCTGTTCTCTGCGACGACCATGGTAGCAGCTGCAGCAGTGTTGCTGCTGGTTAGATGGGTCACGGTTGGGTGGACCCGAGAAAAGTTGTGAAAGCTGTTGCGTGCTTCCTGCCGCGTATGCCAGACTGCAATTAATTTACTGATCGTGGCTGCGGCTGATCTCGCTTCTTCTCCCGGGCCTTTATCATCACTTGTCCTTTTCGTCTCTACACCTTAAAAGTTAGTCGTCGTACTTCTAGCATTTTAGATTCCTTTTGGCCTCAGTCCTGGTGCACGCCCGGCGTCACTTTCACTTCACTTTGATTGGCCAGTCCGGCTCCAGTGACAACTCACAGTCACCGATGTTTGCATGCTTCCCTCCTATTACATTCTTATTTCTGTCTTTCCTCGGTATCTTCACGAATTACCCCCAAGAATAAAGGTGGTTCAGGTAGCCGTCGCCGCTTGTGCTCGAGAGATTGTATCGTAGTAAGTTGCCTATCTCTAACTACGTCATTCGTCGCTGCGGTTGGGCACAAAGAAATCCACTGCTCGGTTTGGGTTGCAACCTCGAAATCCACCGCTCTTTGTCCCAGTCACATGTCTACAAGTCTTGTGAAGAAGGACACCGCTAATTGCGACATCTAGCACGATTAGAACTCTATCTCTTCAGCGGATTTTCCTACCCGCGAGCAACACTGCGCTGTCCCTCTATTTTACCCCTCCCCACCCAGTTTTCTCACCAGGCGCCTTCTAGCACCAGCTGAGAGTCACGCGCGTCAAGATGGCACCAAGAGGACGAGGAGGGAAGTTCTCGAAGCCTACCAGAGGAGGTACTTACCGCGATCCCTCGGCAAAACGCACCATAAGTGACTGACTTGTGTCGCAGGTGGAAAGCATTTCTCCCGCGACCTGCAACCGCTTGACAAAGAAGGCAATCAGATGGGCATGTGGCGTGAACCAGGAGAGAAAGCAGCGTCTTCGGAGGAGGAGGAAGAAGACGAAGAAACCTCAGAAGAAGAATCCTCAGACGGCGGCGAGGGCTCCTCTACTGCGGCCAAAGAAGGCGGACAAGAGTTGACCCGGGAACAACGCAAGGAAATAGCCCGCAAGAAGAAGCTCCAAGCCATCGCCAAGAAGAATCAAAAGGTCGCGGCGCCTGGAGACCTGCCAAGCAGCTCTGAAGAAGAGGAAGAGGAAGAGGCCGATGACGACATGCCGGCGAATCCCAACCACACACAAAAGGCTCGTTCCATGGCACGAGCGGTGACTGGGGCAAGTGGCGAGGCACCAAAGAAGGCTGACGGCGAGAACCTCAGCAGACGTGAACGAGAAGCCCTTGCCGCACAACAGGCCAAAGAGCGATATCAGAAATTGCATGCTGAGGGCAAGACCGACGAAGCACGTGCTGACCTCGCACGGCTTAAGCTGATCCGAGAGCAACGTGAGCAGGCCGCTGCACGGAAGCAAGCCGAGAAGGAGGAACGCGATGCACGTGAGAAGGAGAAGAATGACCGTGAGACCAAGTTGAGGGAGGCGGCCATGGGTGGTGGCGGAGCCAAGACTGCTAGGAAAGGCAAGAAATGAGGCACGGATAGAGCGTCGATCTGTATGCACCTTGGCTTGTGTGGATATGCGTGATGAGGTACGAGAAGCATATTTTACGGCTCATGGAGGTGAAGATAGCATGGCCAGCGGATTATCTGGGTTTTGCATTAGCGAAAGGTGGCTGCATACAGCGGATACGGTGCATGACAGACACGATGTGAGCATGACTCGAACGAAGAGCGGAAGTTGAAGCTGGGCTTAGGAATTACTTTACTGCTCCACGCGAACCGGACCCATTCAATTACCGACCCGGACACCCATCGGAGAAAGTCTCTTTTCTCTTTTTGTTACATCTGTGTGGTGACACTCTCGCTTGATGTCGTGTAGCTCCATTACCAGCAAGACCAGTACCAGCTTCAGTGAAGGCAAATCGACTTTGAACAATTCTGGACGGGGTATCTTTTCAACATCGACAAGCACAACGAAACCCATACCTCTTGAACCAAACGCCCTCGATAGTATACAATCTCCGCACCCCATCTCCGATCACCGGAGAAGGACAGGCCTGGACATCTCAGCACCGTGCTGACGGTCTCAGGAGCGGCGCCGGAACGCGCCCCCATGCCCGGCCCTACCGCCTTCCCCCTCTCCCTCCCCCGGGATACCACTCCGGAAACAGGTCCCTGGACGAATACATGCTCGCCTTCAACTTGTATTCGTTCCCCCCACTGATGTCCAAGTAAGTGTACGCATCGGTCTTGTAGTAGATGGTCCTCAAGGATGTGGCACTGGCACTTCCCTCCGCCTCACTCGGGCCAAGCAGACCGAGGTCCTTGATCGCGCACAGAACACGACGCACGTCCTCTTCGTCCGTGAAATCGGCCGTATAAATGCAGATCAGCCGTGGAGCGGCGTGTCCGGCCTGCGATCCGTTTTCGTCGCCCCCGCCGCCACTAGTCTCTGGTGAGGCGGTCGCGGTCGCGGTCGCGACTTTGGCACTACTCCCCAGTTTGCCTCCCCAGAGGGCGTGCGCGATGGTTTGCCAGACCTCGTCGACTTGTTCGTCGGGCCGGAAGAGCATCCATTTCCCGCTGACCACGCCGTGGGACCGGGCAAGCTCGCGGATCGAGGATTCTAGGGCCATGCGGTCGGGGCGCAGCATGCGCGTGATCACGCCGGGTGGTTTCGCGGGTCTGGTGGCCTCGAGCTCTGTCTTGCGCGCGAGGAAGGCTTCGAGGAGGCGGGTGCCGCGTTGTTTGAAGGTGGCGAGGTCTTCGGACGGGGACATGCCAGGGTGAGAGCGAGAGCGAGTGGTGGATGGGAACGGGTTGCAGATCCAGATCCAGTGGTCTTGCGCGCGGGCTGCCGTTGTTGTGGAAGGAGGGAGGCGGGCGAGGAAGTCGGACACAGACTCGTCGAGTTGTTTGGCGGACGGGTGGCCCTCGTAGTAGTTCTGCGGTTTCGGTCTCAGTTGTTGATCTTCGGCGGGATGAGACGCAGAGGTTTTCGTGGCCACGTCCTGCATCTCGGTGTCGGTGTCCGTGGCCGTGTCGGAATCTTCGTCTATGATCGTCGACTTCTGCTTCTTGGCGGCATCATTGTCGTCGTGGTCGTGGTCGCGGTCGTCATCATCGATGTCATGCTTTTTCAAAGCTGCTGCTGCTGCTTCGCTCACCTTCCTTGCTTTCTCTGCGAGACGTAGCTTGGCGGCCTTTGCGAGCGCTTTCCTGCCCTTGACGGCAATGACCTGGGCATTCCAGTCGTGGATGGCCCAGTACTTCTCCACATCGAATGACGCGGCGAGCTGGGTGTATAGTGCCTTGGTTTCAGAGCTTCCTGGATGGTTAAACAAAGTCAGAAAGTCGAACGTTGGGCAACCAGGCCGCGACCTGCGAGTCGGTCCTGACACCACACCGCGAGGTCAACTTCGACTTACCGTGAAAGTCTGATTCATCACTGAACAAGTCTTCTGGGATGGAGACGTCGTCACGATCTGACGCTATGCTTGGAGATACGAGGGTGGAGGGGGTGGCGGGCTTCTTCTGACGTGCCATGGTGAACGAGCAGTAAGGCAATTGCTTAACGTGAAGTCTTCACAGGGAGGAGAAAAAGAGTCATGTACATTTCAAGACAATCAGACACAGAAACCGCCAGAACACACGCAGCAGAACATAAGTGACAGTAGACTACATGATGGGAGGCGCGAAGGAAGGGCAAGTTGCATGCAGTCGTCGCGACCAAACTACTTAGCAAACATGGAATCAGGCTGAAACACTAAGTTCTGGCCCCGTCGACAGGGGTGAGCTGCGCAGAGGTGGCAGACCTCATAGTATGTCATGATGACAAACCGCCTTTCCCGACCGCAGTCTCTGGATTACCTCTTGCGAGAGCTTGCAGTAGTGTTTTCAGAGCTTTTGGCTGGAGTATCAGACCTCATTCGTGCTCCTGTTTGTGCGCAGTGGCATTTGATCAAAACTGCTGGTGCTTGTCGCCCATGGGAGTGCTGCTATGTCATCGACAACCGGCGGAGTCCCAATCATGCCCGTGCTTTTGGTCGATGTGAGCTCTCTCCAACGTCTGCGAGGCAGAAGTATCTCGGTAGCACGGAGAAGGACATTGTTTGACTTCAAAGGACTGGCAGTTCCTCAGAACACGTGACTGCCAAGGCACTAGCTTTGTCAGCTGTCGAAGTTACGCGCCCGCCTGGGCTCGCCAGGACTTTCCCCCCTTGTGCTTCCCCACATCGTCGATCTTCTCTGTCCTAGCGTTTTGCTCCCTCGAGAGCCACGCAGAAAAATACCACACAGTCACAGTACAGCTTCTACTTGCCCAGGCACTTGGTAGTACGACTACGTGTCGATCTTCTGTCAAACAAGGGCCTTTATCTCTGCCGTCTTCTGTCTGATTTACTCCTCTGAACCACATAGTAATTCGATCAACCATCTATATCAGGCACACCTATTAGGACTCCCACGACCTAAATCACGCGCACACCGTGTGCGTTTAACAGGACATCTGGATACGCACAGTAGTCATTGCAGCCTCGCACCTGGGAAGTGGGAAACAGGCGCTATCACAGTCAGAGTCAGCATCAACATCAGCCCTCGTCGCCGTCGAATCGGGGCGATACTTCTGCTTCAAATAGCAGCGGGGGTATACCGCTACCTGATGCTGTTCTGGAACATCAAGCCAGTTGACACGCGCAACTCTTATATGTGGTGAACCGATCACTCATACCAGCACCCGACCACGCCTACTCTACATCTGATCTTGGCCAGCCTATACCCGTAATCAAAGCATTTCAACGACCCGGCGCATTAAGGACACCACCATTGCCAGGGACCTATCTTCACCATTTCGAGTCGCACCAAGATTAGTCATTCGCCACTCCCGAGGGCATAGTCCTTCTTCATCTGTTCGACATAATGGCCCCCACAAAGACCGAATTCTCCACGCCCGACATCCCCCAGTCTGCGGCGACGTTCTATGCCTCGGCCCGCACTCTCATCAACGCGCCTGCGAGCTTGGTCTTCCGCACCCTCCGCAACACCGAGACCTGGAAGGACTGGAATAGGTGGTGTCCGCGCGTGACCATCACAGCCCAACCCGACGACGAAGACGACGCCACTCTCGCCGAGATCGAAGAACTCGTCCGGAACACCAGCATTGCCGTGAACTTCGACAGTGATATCACAGATGGGGCAGTCATGTCGGGACCTGAACATTCAAGTGCTTACCGCCGAAAAAGTAAGAGTGGAGGTACTACGAATGGAGCAGGCGCGGCAAGTCCGCCCCCACCAGGGAGCAGAGGCTCAGGCAGCTTTGAGCGGCCAAGAAGTCCTCCGCCCGTGACGAGACAGCGGCTCGCTAGCAACGCAAGCCGCCTGTCTGGCATGTCGCAAACCAGCCCAGACGCAGAGGCGTCGCGCTCAAACTCAATGGCCAACGCCAACGCCAACGGCGCCGAGCCTGCAGCACGCCGCCTCTCCGCGGCACAAGTATACCAAGCCGCAAGCGACTCGCGGCGCGGGTCTCTGCCCAACAGCGTGACATCCCCGCCAGCAGCAGATACGAACGGCACAGATGGCAGCAAAGGCAAGACGGGCGTCCTCGTCCCTGCGCCCAACAACCCGGCGCGCCTGATGCCCGCGCCAGCCAACACGCAGAGCACGGCGATCGCACGGCGCAAGTCCACGGCCTCGAGCCGCAACCGCCGCCAACTGCACATCAACGCCCTGTACGGCGAGCCCAGCGTGCGCATCCAGCTCGGCACCAAAATGACGCTGCACCTGAAGATGAAACTCCCCGCCAGCCACGAGGTTGGCGACCGCGCCGTCCTCGTCACCGAGGTCTCCCGCCCCGACGACCCCTTGGAACACGACGTGCCCATCGCGCAATTGGGCAACCTGAGCAGCGGCGTCATCCTCCGCACGCAGACCCACACGGACTCTGTCTCGGGCGTGTATCGGCTCGTGTGGACCAGCGTGGCCTCGAAGAGTTGTCCGCGGTTCCTACTCTTCACGCAGCGCGTCCATGAGATCCGGCCGACAAAGGACGGCGCGGGCCAGGAGATCTGCGAGTACTGGGACTGGGAGTGCCAGAGGGGGGTTCTGGCCAAGAGGAACGCAAAGACGAAAGCATACATGGAGGAGCGCATGGCCGAGTGGGGGACCCGGCTGGGCGAGTTCTGCGAGAGTATGGGCGGGGCGGTGGAACGGAGGGATTTCGTGGGCTCTGTAGGGTAGGGTAGGGTAGGGTAGGGATGAGTGAGTAGTGCCGCATCGAATGCACCAGCATCATTTGCGTCAGTCGCTGGAAGGAGCAAAAAATGCTTCGTCTGGTTGGTTGTTAAGCATGTACGTACAGAGTCAGTGGGTTGTCCATCTAAGCGGGCAGGGTTAGGCGCTTGCATGGGGCGGTAGGAGTTATTAACAACGAGGTTGCTTGCGTGCAATTCGTGACCTTTGCGGTAGGGGCGGTGATTAGCACGAAAACGAGGGCGAAGACGAGGGCGAAGAAGAAGAAGAGGACGAGCAGCCCAGTCCGGGCTGATCTGATGACCTGAATGAAAGCGAAAGCGTACGCTACGAGATCGATCTGGGGTGTTAGTGGTGTGCTGTTCTGGCCGTGCTGGGCCGTGCTATACAAATAATACACACGGAATCTGCCATCTTCCCTGGGAGTCTGGTCTGACTGCAGTTTTACCACAGCTGAAAAATGGTCCTGAGGATGATGCAGTACATAATGTAACCAATGGTCCGCGGCAGCTTGGGCAAACGGCGACGAGCAAATGCATCAACTCGGAACGGCTGAGCGAGAACGCGAATCTGAATTCCCTGGTGGCTGCCTGCTTCGGACCTGACGCGGCAAAGTGATCTACATGTACCTGCCATGTTCAAGGGTCACGGACAGCAACAACACACGCGTCTTTCGCAACGGTGAAGGCACCACCACAAGTCACCGACTGCGACTGGGACTGGGACTGGGACTGGGACTGGGACTGGGACTGGCGTGGTCTCTTTGATATATACCCGGGACTCCATGGCTGGAAGATGCTCAATGGTCGACGATCCGAGATACATACATACACATTGCACTACAGTATAGGAGATCTGCTTTTTGCTCTCTGCGTCGGTCTGATGCTGATGAGGGGACACAACTATTTTTCCCTTCACTACTTGTTAAAGTCTGCCTCGGCCTCGGAAATGATGTTTCCGATTTGCGAATCTGACAGATCAAACGCCCATTCTTCAGCCGGGTCACGGTCTGGATTGCCCAGAATTTTGGGGACTTCTCCCGTCATCATGGCTTCGAGGAAGGCTTTGCCCCATTTGGCACTATTGCGTTCACGTCAGTCAGCTGTTGCGTCTCTGTGGAACGTAGAGCTCCAAAGCGGTGTGGGCAGGGAAGACAGACCTTGTCCAGTTGTTCACAATCTTCATGACCGACCGGTTCTTCTCGGCCCTTTCTTCCTCGCTCATCATGAGCGTCTTCTTGATTTTCTCGGCGAAGCGCGGTTTGTCCCACGGGTTCATGATGATCATGGACGAGGGCGGTAAGATCTTTGCCGCGCCAACGTAGTTGGACATCATGAGGACGCCCTTTTTCTGCTCCTGGCAAGCCGCATACTCGTAACTCACGAGATTCAGTCCGTCTCGCACAGATGAGATGATACACGCGTCCGCAACGGCGTATAGAGCGGCCAGCTGTTCCGCTTTGACCGACCTGTAAAGATAATGGATAGGGGTATGCCGAAAGGTGGCTGGTCAACAGTCAGCGCGCTCGAGTGGTAGCACTGCTTGCAACATACCGTGTCTGCCATTGATGCGGCCCACGAGCCGTTCGACCTCCTCGCGCAGCTTTCGGTACGCGTCCACCTCTGCCCGGGTCGGGATCGCCAATTGTACCAGCACCACTTTACCCACCCACTCGGGATTGTCGGTCAGAAACCGATCGAATGCTAATAGCTTCTGTGGGACGCCCTTGATGTAGTCGAGCCGGTCGACGCCCAGGAGGACCTTCTGGTCCTTGAACTCCTCCTGCAAGGCCCTGAGCTCCTGTCTCGCGGCTTCCGTTTCCAGCCTTTCCCTCCACTCGTCTGCTTCAATGCCAAGCGGAAACCCGTGCACGAGCACCCTCCGACCGTCCCAGTGCAGATCACTCGGCGACCTGGACACACCAGGCAGGACAATCCGTGCGCTGTCCAAGAAGTCCTTGGCGTACTGGTTGGTGTGGAATCCGATGACATCACACAGGAGCAGGCTCTGGCAGATCTCCTCGCGGAAGGGCAGGATGGTAAAGTAATCCTCGGTGGGGAAGGGAGTGTGGAGGAAGAAACCGATCTTGAGACCCTTTTTCTTCTTCAGCCGCTCTCGGAGAATGCCCGGGAGGAGAAGCAGGTGATAGTCGTGCACCCATATCAGGTCGTTGTCCTCCACGTAGGGGACAATGTTGTCGGCAAAGGTCTCGTTGACTTCTTGGTAGGCATTCGACCAGTTTTCATCTGATTCGGCCTTTTCCGGCATGCGATGGAGCAGGGGCCAGAGAATGGAGTCTGCCTTCGTGTTAGTCGCGGTCCTATCTGTCAGGTGTTTGACGAACTTGAAAAGCCATTGTAATGCTTCTGGGCGAGGTCTTCGCTGAGGAAGATGGGAACAGCATTGAAGTTGTTCAGAAGATGCCGCCGCACGCCGTCCTTGTCGTTACGATGCACGTCAATGCCAGGCCAACCGAACCACTTGAAGTCGACGACTTTGGAAAGACCTTTCAGTCCGGACACCAGTCCGCCAGAGGAGATACTGTAGTCGAACTCGCCATTGTCCTTGGCTTTGATCGACAGCGGTAAACGGTTGGCCACGACTAGCACGCGTCCCTCAAAGTTGGGGTCGATGCCATCCACGTGGTCTGCCGTCGGCATGTTGTCAATTCTGGTTTTCGTTGTCAGCTGGTGTTGGCGATATCAGTACGGTGTGGGTTAGAGAAGAACACCGGGCCGGCACAAAATGCATAGACACTGTGTGAAGATTTGTTATAGCGGGTGAGGCCAAGAATGATGTCAGAATAAACAGCATGCACACTGATCCGAGGATGAGGCTTCACGCAGACTTGTGGGCTCTCTGGCATATGACGAGGAACCTCCACCGCCGGCAGCGTTACGGCAGGCAAGGATTGCAGCTTGGAGAGCCGAAGTTGGGGTCTCCGGGTAGTGGACCTGCCCACGTTGCAGCCACAATGCTTTCTACCGGCTGCAACATGCTCTGATCGAGAGCGGAGCGAAGTGGTCTTTCTACCAGTAGCGTGCTCGCCGTGGTCACAATGGGTGTGCGGAACAGGTTGTTGGCCGAGGTCTCGAACCAGTCATTGAATGCGGAGGTGAGAGAGCCGAATGCGAGTGGGCGCATTTGATACACAGTACACGGCGCCCTCCCGGATCTCTTATCCTCCCCTTGACGCAACAGGCGACATTTCGACGAGCAGTTGCATCGTGGGGAGGCAGGCAATCGAAGGCCTTGAGGAAACTTTATCCGTCCACTTAGGATCTATTATGCAAACCCCAAGGCCGTGCACTGGCCGGGCATGTTGCTGCTGCCTGTCACTCCTCGCCGGTAAGTCCCGGTCGCGCCTGGCAAGGCTGCCGACCAGCCTGGTCACATGAGGGTTGGCACAGCACCCCCCCACATACAAACAGTAGCGGAAGAGTCATACGACGTGGTGCCAGGATATATACTCTCAGTGGCGAGCGTGTAGTGCATGGTATATTCTTCTAGACTGGGTGCGCTTGACGCCTTAATTTTCCCGGATATCTCGTTGCTGAACTTCTTAGGCATCCTATCCCAAGACCGCCTTCCACCCCTCGTGTTATTACATCTTTCCTACAGTGTACATAGTGCCTGCCTGTGGATCTGATATTCCAAGCTTTGCGGTGCGGTGGATATCTCCTGGCATGAGGCGACATGCACGTGGACTGCCTTCGAGGGCTCGGAATCCATGCTGCGAGTGTTGCAAACTTGAGAAAGAATCGCATACACGATTTCTGTTACTTCGTCGTTCGACCTCGGCCCGTAATTGCTCGCCCCGAAATTCATCACTTAGATCTTTGCTGGCTCTCCCTTCGCGAGAGTCTCGACGATACGCAACCATTCTTGGGCACTCACTCTGTCCATATCCGCCCTCAACACCGCTCTCTCTAGTACCTTCTCGACGATGCCAAACCTTGGCACCCTTGTCCCTCCTTCACCGTTCCTCGCATGGCTTAGAACCATCCACCCTTGAGTGGCCATCGCTTGCCGCTGGAACATTGAGCCGGAGTATACAAGCAACTGTCCAGTCGCGGTAACCAGTAATGTAAGTGCCATGGAGAAGACGTCTGATGCTGTCGTCGCCGTTGATGCTGGGTTGCGAAGGACGGTCGAACTTAGAAGTTCAGGCGCGGTGTACTCTCTCGTGACGGCTGATAGAGTATTTGCCGTCGTCTCGTCAAGGTCCAGGCGCTGAGAGGAGGAAAAGTCTGCAAAGAGCGGTTCGAAAGTAATCTCAGTCCCAAAGCCACGCACCCGGGATAGAAGGATATTGCCGGGTTTGATGTCGCCGTGAACAACTTGTGCACGGTTGTGAAGCCATGCCAGGGCGGAGACGAGTTGCTGTGCAAGCTGGAACCATCTTGCGCTACTCCCGACGATAGGGTCCATCATGGTCCGCGTCGAGAAGTTCTGCGCAGCTATAACAGCGCATTTCCGTATGTGTTCTTCTAGACTGAACGGCAGGGCTTCCAAAACAATGGCTGCTTCGTCAACAACGCCATAGAACGGCACCACATACCTCTCGCTTTCCGGGACGCCTCGCAAATAGGTGAGGATCTTGGCTTCACTCTTCAAGATTGCCACCGCGTCCCGGCGGGCTGGTTTCTTAACCGCTACGAGAACAGGTGTAAGGATTGTTGGCGAAAGCGGGGGTGTGAGGGCTGCTGAGACATTTCTCGACCTGGCGTGATTGCTAGCTTTGTAGACTGTACTCCATGCACCGGTCCCGAAGATTGCATCTCGGCCGCGCTCGTCTTTGAGGATCTCGACATCGAACGGACATTCAGCCACACTTGGTTCAATCGGGTCTTTCCGTTGGGTGACGTTTGTATCGATTGGATTGAGCTTTGCATTTTCAAACCGGAGAAACAGCTGTTGAGGACGAGGATATGACGGAGAGCTTGATATTGCAAGGTCAGAGATGTTTGAGGAGGACCGACTTTGTCTAGGTGAGGTTGGCGGTGTCAGCATTGAGCTGGCGGGCTGTCGATGCTGGGGCTTTGATTCCCCACTTGGTGTTGAGTCGGGAGTTGAGGGAGGAGTACTCATGGTTCTGCTGAATAGTGACGGTCTCCGAGTAGTAGTCATCTTGCTCTCTCAAGGTTGGTCAACCTTCGATTCGGGCGAACGGAGTCTCAAAGCAACGAATTAGCCCTGGGCAGTTGCAGACTTTCTATGTCTTCGCCAAGGTCATAAGAAATTGTCAGCAATAATTTTGGTAGAGTTGTCGCCAGATGTCGGTCTGGCCGAGGACATTGTGCCAGCCGTGAGCAGAGTCAGTCAGGGTCAAGATTGTTGGTTGTGCACTGAAGGGCATCCAACCATCGGACTGGCAACGAGAAATGCAGTCAATATCCTTGACCTTGCCCACAAGTTCACTGTTTCGTTACGCAGAAGCGGAGACCCGAAACAGTCTCAGCACGTGGCCGGCGTATAAACTGGGATGCCAGTGAGGTCGCAAGACTCCAGATCGAGTTTCAGCCTGATCAAGAAAATCCTCCTCGAGATGTGCCTTGCGCTGTGAATCTGATTAGGCACCGATAAATGCAAAGCCGGGAGGCACTGATTCGTAGTCACCCAAATATACAAAATGAAGAGGTGGAGGGGCTTAACAAGGCAAATCTGGAAATCTGTGGAGTGAAGGTGAAAGAACAGACAGACTGGTGAATGCGAAGGTTTAACTTCAACGGTACAGTATCTTCCAGTCCAGCGAAACCCAATTACGAAGTAACAGCGGCGGCAACGTAACATCTCGCTGGTGACTGGTGAGGTAGTATCTCGTCGGCTCGCTGCAATCAGAGATAAGGGAATTGTCGGCGACCCTAGCGAAAAGTCATTTCACGCCTTTGACGGTGGATTTGTAGGTGATTTGCCATCCAAGCAGGTGTGACATCAGAGCTTATTGCTCCATAGATCGAGAAAGGGCACCACAAGCCCCGATTGGACGCAATTGTCCCTCTCAATATCCCCCGGACGGTTCGTCGGCGCCAACGTGGGGCAGCAGGGAGTTTCATTGGCAGCGTGCTTCAATACCCAAAAGCTGGAGTAGGGACGCCTCGGCCAGGAGCGCCTGACCTTCTCTACGAACACAGAGAGATCTCTGGGAGAGGTCGGAGGCTTCTGCCACGGCACAATCTATACACACAGGGGTCAATGCTTGAGGTCCTTATCGATTATTATCCCAGCCACCGCAAACATCTTGGTGGCCCAGTGATCAGATATCGGTAGGGAACCTCGGAGCGCCATGCGGACATTACCCGACATTGATCTGACGAAAATTTGTTGCTGAGCAGGACGGAGTCTGTGGTCCACAATAGAGTTCAAGGCTGTCTGACTCTACGTCTGGAGCACGGGCACGACTCCAGTCCACTCCCCCCTTGCCCGCTCCTCCCAGTACCCTTCCTTTCCCGTCCTTAGCTTCCAGACAACCTCGTCGCCGAGTTCCACCTTGGTGAACCATCGAGGTTTCCATTCCTTATTGTTTGCCTCCATCTCCCTCCTGCGCGCCCGCTGTGCTTCTTCAAGTTGATTCTTCAGCTGCTCTGCGGCCTCGTGGTCGCCCTTCTCGAGAGCGATCTGATCGGGACGAAGGCGGCTGTCTGTGGGCGCTATCTTTCCCTCCTCGACCTCGGTCATCTCGTTGAGTTGAGCTGCAAACAGGGTCATGCCGTAATGCTTCGGTGCATTCGGGACCAGCGCGCCGGCCGACCAAATGGTGTTCCTTTGGCCAAGTTTCCCCGGTTCTTTTAATTGCAACGAGTCTGTCCATGTCCCGTGGAGCCCAATCGACAAGTCCTGGCCTTGAGAATCGATAGTTTGCACTTCCACTTCTTCACTTCGCCCAGAGAACATGCCTTTGGCCTTGAAGGACACAACTGCCTTACGCCCGGCGCTGTCGTTATAGATCGTCATGGTGCCGGTAGGTTCGACGTACTTCTCTCCTGCGATGATGTTACGCAGGAAACACGTCGCCGAGGCCCAGCTATACGTTTCTCCCGTGCTGTGCAGTACCAACCGTGCTTTCCCCTCGTTGATAATTTCAGAAGATTTGCCCCAGAATTTCTGTGACGGCAAAGGCGACTGGGTGAATGTCCAGTTTTCAGATTCGGCATGCAAGGCAAGTTGTACAGGGCGGTGCGACACCTTTTCGGAGATGAGGCGGAAACCCCGGTCTTCTCGGACAAGTTCAAATGTCTCGCCCAGCATGGGATTGAAGGGTTTGCGGATCGACCTCTCTTTGACACGACTGTTCGAAAGGGAGGAGACGGCAAAAGCAGCGACGTACATCAGTCGCTCAAACGTATCGTGGCACTTGCCTGCACTGTCCAGCAATTGGGAGTACTCCAGCTGTTCGGCGGCTCGTTGGAGGAGGGAAAGAGGTTCGTTCGCTGACACCGGCATGGATATCGTAGACAGATCCTTGCCCACGTTCTTCCGGAGAAACCCTATCAAACTTGGGGGCATAATCGTCGGAGCTGCTATACTTTGCCGCCTGGTTATCGGTTGTAGCGGCAGCGGCACCAGACTTTTCGCCCTCGGAGGGAGGTATGAGGATACGCTCCCTGAACGGCGCTTCAACACGTCTTCTGAGTCCTCGCCAATATCACTGCTGGTTGCTGAGTCTTCATCTCCCTCTGGACTGTCCTCGAAGCCCTCGTGGTCGGTATCGCCGTGAATGTCGAGCACGTGCATCTTATCTTCGGCGTCAAAGTATTCCTGCGAGTCGACTGATTGGATGCTCAGCCGGGAGACTGCAGACTTCGGTGGTGTTGTACGTCGAATCTTGCCCTCGGCCATAACTGAAGAGAATTCGCCAACAACTGAATCCAGATCATGTAACAGCGCTCGGCAGTGGTCGTACATGCTTTCTTCGTGGTGGGAGCGAGGCCGCGTAGCTATCGGTCCGGTCGGTGGAGGAGGTGTCCCGTTGCGCAAGATAGGCTCCACGCCCGGGAGTGGGACGGCCAATTGAGCGGAAACACTGCGCTTAAAAATGTTTGACTGAGTGGCTGTCATACTGGTTTTGCGTTTCCAAAAAGGCCGCTTGTCATCCTGCCTGAAGTAATCCTCCCCAGAAGGTCCCTCGGTTGGAGTTGTGCTTGGTGAAGCTGATCCCAGTCTAGGGGAGGGCATGGGGCCAGGCTGCGCGAGGGTATCTAGACAGAGGCGACGTACAGCGTCTCGGGTGCCCGATATTCGGCTGAGCAGCGTCTCCAACCTCGCCCATTCCTGCTCGTCGAAGTAAGAGGAAGCGCGGCCCTCGATGTTCCCATCCGGACCCAGATGCAGATTGTCTGTGGGAATTTTGATCTCCAGCATAAGCTTGGTGGCGGTTTCCAAAGCCTCCTTCCAAGCTACAAAGTCGGCCTCGTTATTTGCCTTTAGGTGCCAAAGCTCAACGCCTGAATCAATTGAGATTTCACGGGTTTTGCTGTTGGCTGAAATGGCTGCCAGTGAGAGAGGAACGGCACCGCGGAGGGCTGAAGAGTTCCGATCTCGGTAGTATGACAAGGTGGAAGACGTAAAGTCCAAGCAGAAGAATCGTCTGGCATAACCTTGATGTTTCTTGCGCCTCAGCTTTTGGAGCACACCAGTATGGATTGAAGAAGGATCCCCCACAAGGCTCATGCCTTCTGGGACAGGCGCCATGCTCCCTCCAGCAGACTGCTGGCTGATGGAAGTTTGCCTCAGGGAATCAATAGATCCTTTATCCTTTGCCTTCAATTTCGGACTCCTCTTAAACAATGTAGAGGCATTGTTCGCAATGGCCATGGCGGAGGCCATCGACTGCGGGTGCTGTAATTGCGCACCAAACTGTATTTGCGGTTGACACGCTGTCGGGTAGGTGAGCAGGAAGATGGTTGCTGTCTTTGAAATGCTCTTGGAGAAGGTATTGTCGAATACCAGAGCATAGTTCCCTGCTTCGCCGAGGCGCACGTCATGTTTGCCTTGAGTCACCTTGTCGGCCTCACATTTGCCTATCCACTTGACTTGTTTCAGGCCGATACCGGTCAACTTCTCGACAGCGGTCGACTGTGCTTCGGGCTTTTCCTTCTCTTCGTCGTCCGGTGGGTGGGTAGGTGAGGGTGGATTCAAGGAGGTGGAGGAGCCGTGCAGGGTCGACAGAGGTCCGGGGTGCTTGAACAGGCCGAGATTAAGCGACTTCTTGTGAGGCTGAACTGTCCACGAGATTGTATGCTCTTGCTTGACGTTGACCCAGCGCACGAGGTAGTTCTAAGCTCCGGTCAGTATTCCTACACGTGTAAAATAGGCAGGTCCGCACCCTGGAATGAACCTCGATCTGTTCGAGACCAGCCATGGAACCGACGGTTTGCTTTGGTCAAAGCCCTGCGTCCGTCCTCACGACATGGCAATGTAAGGATATTTAGCTGAACATCTATCGCCTTGTCTGACCCGGCGAGTAGTGTAATGCTGGGGTCACATCCGAATCCAAGTTTCCTGGCAAATCCGACCTGTTTCCCGCAAGTTGATGAGGGGTCCTAAAATCCACTCGGTACAATAGTAGCCGTGAAGATCGGTAACTAGGTGGAGGCGACACCCATACCTTGGTACTCGCTCTTCGCGGAATCAAGATACGAAGCGTCGATCGGAACTGGCCTCAAGAAGTTGCCAAGAAGGACGACACGAGACACTGATCAGTGGCATGTTTGTTGGAGAGTTATGGACAACATCTGACATAACAGGCATAAATTACATACAGGGCATTCCAAGGCAGCAGACGCCTCCTGATACTGCTACTTTTAACATCCATCACCTCGTATTGCCGGCATCAGTCGGCTCCTTAAGGTTATTTCAGCCACTTGTTCCCGGTTGGCCTAATTAATATTCTTGCTTGCGGCTACTTTCGGATTCGCGAGGCGCGACAACAGGCATTCCAGTTTCGGCGCCCACTACGCGGAGATGCAAGTCAATAAGATATGCGGTGATTCCCTCACAGCATCCGTCTAGGCTCGCTGCGTGCTCCGTTTGATATTGATACAATTGCGCAAAACCACGAACAGGATCCTCTTCTGATCCCGCCTTCACTACCTGGCGTCTATTGACGGCTTCTTTGCTCGCTTGCTTCGTGCCGCCTCATCCTTTGCCTCCTTCTTGCGCTTGATGCTCCTCGAAGCGCCTCCCTTGGGCCGATATCCGCCATCTTCGTCCCGTTCGCGTTTTCTTTTGCCTCGTGACGGTGCTGTCTCCGCGGCGAATCCCTCGTCGTCGTAGTCCTTTTCCTGTTTGATCAGGTCCTTCTGGGCAGATTTTCGGGCCGAGCTCCGTGATCCTGCGGCCCGAGGTGTCCTGTCTGCGCCAGTCTCGTTATCCTGGAGGAACACCTGGGGTTGGTGTTTCCGAAGCCAGTTATACACCGAGACAGGGTTCTTTAGCTGAGTCTCTCGTTCGCGTTCTGTGTTTTTCTCTGCGTTTCGGTTGCCTAGACTGCTGATAGCATGAGGTCGCGGATTCGACGCCGCACCGTCGAGGAAGGCGTCCAGGCCCTGGAGGTATTGCTCTTCTTGCTTGACCGTCAGAACGCCGCTTGACCCAACATTTCTCGGATCCGGCTTGTCCACTAAACGATGCGCGGGAGGCACAAGGGCAAGGAGGGACGCGTAGGAGTGATTGGGGGCGAATTCGGGCGACCTGAGTACGGTAGCTTCGATCTCCCTATATTCGGCCACGGTGATTTCCCCAGCCTGCAGTCGAGCTCTCGCTTTGTGCAATTCCAGATTTGCATCCTCTTCGGAAATGAACGGGCTCGTATCTCCCCTGCTTGCGCCCGTTGACCTGAGGTCGTAGCGGAGCCGCGGCGGCACTTGAGGGCATGAGTTGAGCTCGAGGAGCAGTTCAAGGAGTTGGCTAATGAAACGTTCAGTGACAGGCACATAAGATGTAGGTGTGGTGTATTACTCTGTCTGTTCAGCGAGCCTCTGAGCTATGTCTGTGATTCTCTGCTCTTCCTTGAACAAGGAATTGCTCTCTCGCATCTTCTCCTCAAATGTGACCATAATCTTGCGATATTTCCGTCTGTGTCGCGAATTAGCAGCGGCATGAGGAGTAGTCACGGTTCAGGGGAAACACACCGGTAGGACTTTCGAGACGTCGTGTGTTGATCAGATACGTCCGTCTTCGGCTCGCCCATCGAGGGGTCTTCTCCTGGTTCTATTGAAGACATGATGTGCCAAAGTCGCGGTGGATCTCAGAAGTTCTGGATCATTCAAGAAGTAGTGCGCGAAGTACATGAAATTGTAGTGAGTGAATGATCGGAGGTTGAGGTGTCATGAATGAGAACGAGCCGCAGCCACAGCGCGTTCTGGAATTGCGGCGGCAGCGGATTGCATTTCCGCACAGGAAAAAGTCCGACTAGTGGCAGAATCTCATTTTCCAACTCTTCGACATGGTGTGGTCACATTAGTCCTCGTTAGTCTAGCAGGTCCTACGTCTTCGAATTCTCAAGATGGGCGTCACTGCGCCGGAGGTCAAAGCACCACAAGTAAAAGGCCGCAAACGAGATCCGACAGAGGCAGAGCTTGAGATAGATGTCGATGCTCCCGAACCTCCCTCGAAAAAGGCTCTGCGGAAGGCGAAGAAAGCAAAAGTATCCACCAACAACACGTCGCCTGTAGCCAAGGAGGAGTCTCGACTCCCATCATATGGGCAAGACGAGTCCGGAGCAAAGAACAAACGCTCTGATCATGGGATCTGGATTGGCAACTTATCATTCGGCACTACTAAGGAGGATCTCCTCAGGTTCCTGACGACAAGTTCTACTGGGGCCTTACAACCTGACCAAATCACTAGGGTTCATCTACCCCAAGGACCACCCAAGTTTGGCAAGCCGCAGAACAAAGGGTTCGCATATGTCGACTTCTGCGACCGGAAGTGCGTCGAGACAGCTCTCGAGTCCAGCGAGTCTATGGTGGCCGGTCGCCGTGTGCTAATCAAAGATGCAAAGAATTTTGAGGGGAGACCTGAGCAGAAGAACGACAAGGCTGGAACGACTGGCCATCCTCCGAGCAGGAGGATATTCGTCGGCAATCTGGATTATGCAACCACGGTTGAGGACCTCGAGGCTCATTTTGACACTTGCGGAACCATCACTTCCACACATATGGCGACTTTCGAGGACTCTGGGAAGTGTAAAGGATACGCTTGGATCGAGTTCGAACAACTGGCTTCTGCGGAAAAGGCCATTCGAGGCTGGGTTGAACCCGATGCCGGGGCAAAACACGCGGCACCAAAGTCGAAGTCAGGAAGTGGCAGAGTTTGGGTGAACAAGATTCAGGGCCGAAAATTAAGGATGGAATACGCCGAAGACAAGGCTGTTAGGTACGAGAAGAGGTTCGGAAAGAATGCAAAGATTGCGGCCTCGAGGACAGAACAATCAACAGCTGAGGCTGGTAGTGTAGAAGTGGAGGGTGACCAGCTCTTGCAGCCAGTCAATGACAGGAAGGCCCAAAAGCCCAAGCCAGCAGGCAAATATTCGGAGGAAACCGTACAGAAGCTTACGGGCGCCATCGTCGAGAGCAGGGGTCAACGGACGTTGTTGGAATAGGCAGATACCTAACCAGACAGTGGGTGTTGATGTTCACGTTGTTTAGCGAGGCTCATCCGATCCGTACCTGGTAGGGGTGGAAGTCGGTTTGGCGTCACAGGCACGTTTTAGGCTTAGCAATAATCTGGGGCAGCGCGGGCATGGATCGGGGTTAGCTCCTCGTGGCGCCTCAAAGCAGGACCGACTTTCAACGCTGGTCAAAAGACGGTTTTGCTGGCGAGATGCAATGCAGTCTTGTGATTCCCAAGTGTACTGATTCCCTTCACGCTGCTTTTCTTCACTAGACCCTTCAGAGTCCAGTCGCTGCTCATCGCCCCGCTGCGTCCTTCTCTGCCTTGGCTCACGGCGACATGCTGTCATGATCAAGTAAACCGTTCAACAAATACAACCATCGACGCACCATCACGGCTCGAGACTCGAGTCCTCGACAACCCAGGATGGTCCATCACTGTCCCTACTAGAGTGTAATCAACCTCGGCGACGCTTCCCTCCGCCAGCGATTCTTGCTCCACCCGATCTCGTCACAATCATGCCTGCGCCTCGAAGGAAAGATCTGCTCGCAAGCAGGCGCCGGCGTCGACAGGATGAAGGAGAGGAAGAGGAATCCGTGCTGGGTGACCTTGAGGATGACTCGCTCAGCGAAGGCTCTGCGGTCAGCCACGGTGAGGATGAAGTCGAATTTGAAGGCAGTGAGTCAAGTGGGGACGAAAGAGATCCGGCACAAACAACCGCAGCAACCACGCTGAGTCCCGCAGAGCACGGACAACAAAGGGCGCCCGGTGAGCACGTCAAGGATGTGGCAAAGGCCCCTGATGACGCCTCCAAGCCGTCGGCCGAGACGCAAGCAACACTGCACGGTGTAAATCAGGGTCAGCAGGCACAAGAGGCGGAACAACTCCAGTTTGATAATCTGCCCACATCAGCGGAGGCTGTTTCCTCCCTGGCCGAGATTGTGCCTCCTAAAGCTCCTCGGAACGAGACTCCTGCACAGCGTGCTCGCAGAGAGCATCAAGAGTACATCCGCCAGAGGAACGCCGATCCTGCTTTCGTCCCGACGCGAGGCGGTTTCTTCCTTCATGACGACCGAAACTCGTCCTCTATAGCCCCAAATGCAAGATCTCTCGGACGGGGACGAGGCCGCGGTCACGGTCTTCCCATGAGCACAGGGTACGTAAGATGCACATCACTGTATGCATCTGCTGACATACGCAGTCGATCCCCAGGCTTCAACGAGCCTACGGACAAGCCCTGGGCGCATGATCTTCATGACGAGCACGAAAATGAAAGCAAACCGGAGCGGAATCGGAGCAAGCCAACTCATGTGCCAAATGAAGCCACGAAAGAACCGAGCGAACCCACGTCCATTCCTTCTGCGCCAAACAGGTCGTTCTCCTTCACAACAGTCCTAGGGAATGTCAACCTGCAGGTCTCGTTGCCAGGCATGGCTCAGAAGATGGTTGTGCCGAATGTGGTCAAGAAGCATCATACACTTCTTCCCCAGCATCGTCCTCCATTGAGAAGAGACAAGCCAGTCCGTGTGTCCATTCCAGATGCTGCGCCGCGGTATATATTTCCTAGCACCGACCGCTCCTTCATTTTCATACCACGAGCTTTGCGACCAAACCAACAAAATTATCCACGGGGTCGTGGCAGAGGAAGCTTCCATGGCAGCCGCCGACCAAGCATATATGGTGGTGGCTATACTCCAAGTGTTGCCATGAGCCGGAAATCTTCCCTCGGAGCATCTACTATGCGCGACGGTATCAGGTCACCAACGGACTCAGTCATGTCTCGCCACGTTCCCGCTGTCATTGACGGCACTCGACCAGTGGTCCGTATGCCGTCAGCTGGGCCTTCACCGGCTCTCATGCATGTTTCCAGGCTCAATGGCCAAAACGCCATGCCTATCAATCACATTCCGGCCGTGCAGTTGCCATACCCTGCAATGTACGGAGGCCACTCGACGACTATTCCCATGCACCAACCTCGCCCTCAGAAAGCCGTGTCTCTGGCGGATATTGAGTCTCCAGCGTCTTTTCATTTCAAAGCTCCTCAGCAGCAACAAGAGCAGCCCTTTCATCAGCAAGTCCCTGCACATTATGGCAACCAGTATCCGGACGAGAAGGCTGGTGCTCCGCCAATCCAGCCCGCGGTTTCTGCAATGGCGAGCGCTACACCCTTGTCGCAGATCCCGGAAGGTGCGGTCTTCGCGCCAGGGTTTCAACCATACCCAGTCATGGCTGGGCCGGCCTATTTTGGCGCGCCATACAACAACGGACCAGTCTTCTACCCGTCATTGGCTGACACCAGCTCGTTTGGACCTCCAATGGGTGGGCCGGCACTGGCACCGAACTTCATTCCTGGTTCCCAATCACACCCGGTGAGCTACATGCCGCCCACTGGACCAGCCGAAGGTGCCGTGGCTGGCAGCATGATGGCCCATGAGACGAATGGAATGGTCTACTACTATAAGCCAACCATGTTCACGCCGGGTGGTCAATCAGGCATGCAGCAGTTCCCAATGGCGCCGAATGGCAACATGATGCCCCTGGGTGACGGGGTGCCTGGTCAAGCTCCTTTCTACTACACTTCTGTTCCCACCGCGATGTTCTATCCGACACAGTCTGGCTGATATTCGGGTGTCGACACCCCCTCTCATTTGTCTTGACTTTTACATGTTCAGCGTCTCATGGAGTTGAGGAGCACTGTTGCAGATGCTGAGAAAGCAGGGTTCGGGACATTGTAATAGGCTTTCGAAAAAGAAAGACCTTTCCTTTCTGTCTTGTCTCACAACCACGAATTCGAGATATCCACCTCACAATTTCTGCATGTACATTATATCTCGTGGCTGAAAAAGAGAAACGGTCGTTGATTGTTACATTTCTTTGGTGAGCATGGCTTAAAGACAGAAACCAGAGGGAATCATTATGGTTTCATGGCTGTCGACCGACCAACTAGCCCCAGCGAGCGGGTTCCTCTCACTCGTACGGAGGAGTCAAGAGGAGGAAATTGCCCAACATGCTTCAGTAGAAGGAGGGCGTGCTCCTCGAGAGTACGGTAAGAGAACACCTTGAAGCGACTAAAGTCTACCTGACACTGTTTAGTCTTGACACACGTGGCTATCCTCTTCAAGCCGTTGAGAACACACTGCAACCCGTAGCCAGTGCCGTCTCTTGCTTTCTGATTTCTGAGGACTTGGGCCGTCAATTCGTGTTGTATGGCCTTCTCCACCGATGCTCACATTACTTTCCACGGTGCGGTTCCATGCGTATGTCGGTCCACGAATCATCGGTTGCGGCAGGGTCACTGCTATTCTGTATTCTGTTTGGTGGTCGCCTATTTCGTCACGTGGGCAGTGAGGCGGGGAAGATTGCCAGTGACAGTGACAGTGATTGCCTCAGCCAGGCTGCTGCTTTCAAGCTCGCACCCGTCATCTCTCCATCTCCACTGCCTCCCGTCTGCTTTGACCACCTGCACGACCGCTTATCCATCCTCATTCCACCACCTGCGCCTCTTCCTTTCGTTCTCTGTATCTCCTCCACTGACAGGAGGCATCGTCTCTTCATGTCCTTGCCCTTGTGAGGTCTTCTTCTCGACCCTGACCTGACCGCCTCTTCGCAACCCGCCCGCAAGGTGCAACAACGGTCAATCCGGTCGACACCGCCTAAGCCCATCATGGCTACGCCTCATCCTCACACAGGTCCTGTTGGGCCTGACACTCCCATTACTGTCAAGGTCATCATCGACGGCACAAACAGGAGATTTAAGTTGCCTCTTCGTGACCTCGGTGCCACTGTGCTTCCTCAGAAGGTACGCAGATCTGCCGAGAGTCAGCCTCGACGACACAGCCTTTCGGCTATCACTCTGTCCTGCTTGACTAGTTCAATTCCACGGCGCCTGAGACACAAGAGGGCTAACAGTTCTTTCTGCTTGCAGCTTCGAACCTTGCTTGCCATTCCTCCCGAGCAGGAGGTCCGCTTCGACCGATTCTCCGACTCCGCCGGAACCTATATCACACTTGATAGCAGTAACCCGGCTGTCTACAAGCAACTCTATCGGGCAGCAAAGGCCAAACTCAAGCTACGTCTGATGGCTACCCTCGAAAGAAAGCCTTTGAAGGGACAACTGGCTGCTAACATGGCGATGGACCTGACAAAGCTCACCGTTTCCCTCCCGGAATCGAGAAATACCTTTCTCGAGACTGTCCTGTCTCAACCCGTGGGCAACGGCGCGGCACCATCTTTCAAGTCCTTCCAAAAGACTTGTCAATACTCCCCAATGTGTGCCATACCAGGTGCCTTTGATCTTGACGTCAGCAACAGCGAGCAACCGGCCAAAGCCGCTTCTCTGTACAGCAGCAAGGATGTCTACAGCCTGCCTACTCTTCCCCAGATGAGCGACTTTCCGACCGATTCATACACCGTTGACTGCAACCACTGCGGCTCGTCCGTTCCAAACGAGCATTACCATTGCGGTATCTGCGAGGGCGGTGACTTCGACCTCTGTAAAGCTTGCATTGACGCAGGGATCACCTGCGATGGAGACGAGCACTGGTTGCTCAAGCGAACCATTCTCAATGGAATTGTTGTCCCTAGTACCACCGAGACTCTCCCTCCCAAGAAGCTCTCCAAGAGCCCAACCGCAGAGTTGGTCACCCCCATCGGTCCTGAGCAGGATGGTGATGATTTGACCTGCAACTCTTGCATCTGCCGTATGTCTCCCGACAACCAGTCTTGTGTGCTAGCTAACTGAGACAGAAATGCCCGCTCGCGACTTTGTCACCTGCCAGGAATGCCCTGACTATGACCTTTGCCTATCTTGCTTCCGCGATAATGAGCATGGCCATGACCCTTCGCACAATTTCAAGGCACAAGAGCCCGAGGCTGTCAAAGGAGACATGGCCATCAAGGCTCTCTGTGTTCCTGGACGTGGCGTCCGTCATGAAGCTATCTGCGACGGCTGCAATCAAGTACGTCTCGTGCGAGGCTTTCGAAGATTCTTAGACTGATTTTGATTAGGGTGTCTACGGTGTTCGACACAAATGCCTGTCTTGCCCTGACTTCGACTATTGTGCGACTTGCATTGCTACTGCTGGCGAGAAGCACCCCGGCCATCGGTTTGCACCAATTTACACACCGATAGGTATCATGCGTGTTACAAAGCCGACCCACCGTGGTATCTACTGCGACGGCCCCTTGTGCACATCCTACAAGGGTTACATCACTGGCGACAGATACAAGTGTGCTGTCTGCCACGACACCGACTTCTGCGCTAACTGTGAGGCTTTGCCCAACAATGGCCACAATGCAAGCCATCCTTTGATCAAGATGAAGCTGCCAATTCGTCACGTCTCCATCACTACCCAACACGATAGTGAGAATGGCCAGAAGACCGCGCAGTTGGGAGACCGACCGATGGCCAAGCATGCGGCTACCGAGACGGCCCGATCCACTTCTACGAACGCCGCGACCCAGGTGCAAACTGTCGCAGAGGTCAGTCCTACTGAGGTTATCCCTGCGATGGTTGAGATATCCCGATCGAATGAGATCCCACCCATCGCGCTAACCCAGAAAGACCTCCAAGCCTGGTATGTCAGTGACTCGACTCCCGATGGCACTAAGATCGCGCCCAACCACTTCGTCTCTCAATCCTGGACTTTGCGTAACCCAGGCCCCGATTTATGGCCAGCGGGCTGTGCTGTATACTACATTGGTGGTGACGATATGCGTAACCTCGATGTACACCACCCGTCTAGCGTGAGTGCTATGACCATGGCCAACCGCAGCAATGTCCTAGGTTCTCCTCTTGAACCTGGCAAGACCGCAGTCTTCACAGTTCTCCTCAAGTCCCCTGCTCGCGAGGGACGAGCCATCTCCTATTGGCGTCTCAAAACCCCAGGTGGTGTCCCGTTCGGTCACAAACTCTGGGTTGACATCGAGGTCCGCTCAACTCCGATCGAGCTGCCGATTCGCTCTCACATCTTGCCACCTGCCCCGGTTACGGTCGAAACGGTCGACGAGCCAAGAGGGGATGACAAGTCACAGGACAGCTCAACCATGATCTTCCCTAAGCTCGAGAAGGAATCTCCAATCTCCAGTGTGCACGATGTCCGTGAAGGACAGGCTGAAGAGGCACCGGCGGCCGTGATGGAGCCTACGACCAAGACCGAGGAGCAAGAACTACTTGAAGATGTCGAGAGTCTGGAACTGGAGGATTCCGACAGTGACGATGAAGACTTCCTGACTGACGAGGAATACGATATCTTGGATGCGAGTGATGAGGACTTGTTGTCGGAGGGGCATCGCTCTGTGGCCAAGTGAAGCCGCCATCAAGGATTTGCTCTTGACGAAAATAATGGTGCATCGCCTAACTATCAAACACAATGCTGTGCATGGTCCACATGATGGCTTCGACTCCACGGCACACAGTGAGATGAAAACAATGATCAAGGGAATATGCAGTTCAGGGTACGGAGGTCATCTTGGATCGGGCTGAACCGGGCATGGGGGGCGAAAGCGGAAAGGGAATGCGACTGCTCAATACTCAATGCTCGATGCTCAAACTTTTTCTCCTTAGTGACAAGGTAGTGCTACGTCTTCAAACTCATTGGCATGATAACATGTCTCATTTCTCCGTGTTCGAGAGATGCATATCGTAGAAACGATGGTGGCGGAACCTTAGCCTGCCTGCGAGCCTCGATTTGAAATCCGGTAGTTCGCACGGACATGGCGGGCGCCCAGTGGTTTCTAGCGTCGTCATTAATTAGTGCAAGTACTCCAGGATTCGGCCTTGATCAGCTGCCACTGCAAGGGGAATGATGCGGGTGCCTTCGGGTTTGGTGAGTGTGACTTGTCAGTGACTAGACCGAGGTGGTGGACTGTGCAGGAGGAGGCATGTGCTGGCAAGGTCCTCGTGGTGACTCCTCGCTCCCCAGGTTTGCTGCATGGCCGTTTTGTGGGTGGCCCAATCCTGTCGCGAGACCCTTCCACACGCCTTGGTTGCCATTCACTGACTGCACTTTGACCGCTTCCTATTGTGCGTTGTGATTTAACGTCTGGTTCTGCCACTCACCCCCCTCTATTGTGCCCTTCTGCTTGCTTCTGAGGACCTTGGAATATCCTCTATTCGGCATTCTGCGCCGTGTATATAAGCAGAGCGAATTCTTCCCACATGGAAATTCGACGACTTCCGCCACATCACCTTTCTTATCGAGCCTCGAGACCCAAAGGGTGACTTGACACACTTCGACCGCAGTCGGCACCGACACAAGCAAGACGGACTAGAACATCTTGGATATATTTTCTTCAGCAGAACATAGACTTCCGCACGGCAACCAAGCCTCACAATGCACGACGACCTGAGACGCAAAGCGCTGGAGAGCGGCAAGACCGTCTCCAAAAAGGCTCAGTCCAAGCAGTCGTCACGAGGAAGTTCACGAGGAAACTCGGCTCCGAACTCGCGCGCTGCCTCCCGTGTCCAGAGCCGAGATGTTTCCGACGATGAGGATCTCGACAAGGGGAATCTCAGCGACGAAACTACACAAAGGTACCGCAACCCACCCTCAGCTGAGCTCCCTGCAGACGCCACTGACATTATGGCGGACAGTATCAACTCCATAGATGCCCTCCTCGAAACCGACGACATCAACGAGTATACCACCGACCAGGCACGGTTCGCGGTGAATAACGTAATCGACGAAATCCTCGATCGCAAGGGATCCAGCACCCAAACCCGGGAGCATCATTTGACGGTCTATGCAAAATATGTGGCATCTCACTACCTTGCTGACGTACTCTATAACCGAGTCGAAGAGTTACTGCCAGCGTTTCTGCGGAGCATCCGAGCAGAAACGACCGAGACTGAGACCACGATGGCTCTGCGGGCATTAGCACTCACGGCCATCACATACGCCGCGTCAAGTCTGTACGAGACAGTGTCCGCGCCCCTTAAAAGAACCATCGCAGACTCTCAGTCGGCGCCGGTCAAGGCGGCTGCTATCTATTCTCTTGGTATTTGCACTGTATTCGGCGGTGCTGGAGACGATGAGATCCTGGACGTCATGACCTTCCTACATGAGGTGGTGGCGAGCGATGGCGCTTTCGTCAACGCTGATGACAGCGCGGAAGTCGTCGCAGCAGCCCTGCACACCTACGGCTTGTTGGCAACCGAAGTGGATGATCTCGAGCACGAGTCCGAGGACGCCGTAACCACGTTCCTCGATCAGCTCGATGCTGACAATGCAAAAGTACAGATCGCGGCGGGCGAGAATATTGCTTTGCTGTTCGAGAAGTGCTACACACCACGCGAAGAAGACGACGAATCTTCCGAGGAGGAGGAAGACTCGCTAGAGGAAGAACTGTCAGACCGACCCCATATCCAGTCTTACCTGATCAAACGATACAATCCATACCACAACGCCAAGGAGGTTGTGGACAAGGTGAACGCTCTGGCCTCGCTGAGCACCAAGTCAATGAACCGACGGGACAAGAGATCCCTGCATCAAGCTTTTGCCACCATCGCACTGACGGTCGAGGATCCCAGATCAGGTCTTCAGGCCAACAATGCTTCGAAGATGGTGGTGCGTATTCATCGCGAAGGAGAGATGCGAGTGGACAAGTGGTGGAAGTTGATGCGACTCAACGCGGTCCGGAGACTGCTGGGGAGCGGCTTCGTCAACCACTACTTTGAGGGCAACAAGCAAGTTCTGGACGCATTGCCCATGATCATGCGCGGCGTCGGGGAGGCAGGCATGCAGAGTCCGAGGAAAATGCCGGCGAACAAGGCTGCGAAGGGAAAATATCGTGACCAGCGGCGATTCATCTCGGCCAACTATTCAGAGAATTGACATTATGGAGACGGAACTAGTGGTGATGGCGGCGACGGTGTTTAGTTCTATGTTCTGCATCTTCCGTTCATCATGTACGCAGGCATCCAGAAAGACCGTTGAGAACAGGCACAGATACGGTCTTAGTAGAAGATATGCACGCAAACCATTCCACCGATTGATACACTTGCGCTACCTAGTTCTCGCCTTCCAATGCGGTAATAGGTCGGAGCCGTGGAGTCAGCAGCAAGCCAGCCTGCACGCTGCACAGTGAGCAAACGAGCTATTTCCTCCCTCGGCATACATAGTGGTCCAAGCATTCAAGGGAGATGCACATAGGAGCACGTGTGCAGTGTCCAGCATATGATTACTACACCTTACCCTTGCTACCTACCTAGGTACGGAGTACAGTACAGACCTCGTATTCCCTCTCACCGGGGCGGCGGGCTAAAGAGAGGCCGACCACGTCATAGCATCGCCTCTACTACGAAAGCAGTACTCCGTACGGAGCGGCCCCTCGTTGGGCTTGAATTAGCTTTAGTCGCCCCTGAAAGAAGCCTCTCTAGCGATGCACCAACGCCTCGGTAGGCGTTGATGATGGTCTTGATTCGCAGCGCGAGACACGCGACACCACGACTAGAGGTTGCGGGCACGTGCTTAGTGAGAAGCGTCATGGGCCTTCATTCAGAATGGGCTTCTGATGCTGCGTTCTCGCACACAGTACGAGACCCGAAGAGATCCTGTTATCTGTAGGGGCCCGAAGTTGCTTCCGCGCAAGAGCTGTGCACCGGGGCTGAAGAGAACCGCGTACGTGGTACGGTAGGCTGGTGGAAGGCCTCGATGAATCGGGTCAGCACGCCCTTGACCCCTTTGGCCTCTCAACTTGCGAGCTGCGGGCCTCCCCTATTCCCCGAAAAGCTTCAGGTGACACTCGAGCCCTCAGACTCCTGACAGAGCCGATCACGGCAGCCTGAATTTACTCCTGGATGAACACGACCCATCAGACAGTGTGCCTATACAGTCTCAAAGTGATGACCAGTGCCTGCAGTGTGTCTCAAGCTTGGAGATCGCGGTCGCTACGGCTGTTCGACACCACAAGCGACCTTGGCCCAGCTGACATGATGTGGCGAAGCGATTTCTCGCTGATTATCATGCCCCGAACCGTACTCCGTAATGATTAACACCCCATACGGCAGGCTAATTCTGGGACAGGCTGAGGCAGGCCCAATTCTCAAACGTGCAAGCTGCGGGCGACAGCCAGTCCCAGGCTGTTGCTGAGATTTCGCCCCGCTAACCAGGTGGACTCTGCCTTCAGCTTAAGCCTCTTTCCGCCGCATAAGACGCGGCGGCAGGTCTTGCCTAATGTGCCTCTCTCAGCGTGCGATTCGTTGCTCCTGGATTTTCTTCATCCCTCAACAGTCGCCTGGTTCATTCCTGGCTTTGGTGTTGCGTGTTCTTCCATCTTTTTTCACTCAGCTCTCATTCACTCCAACGTCACTTTTCCCTCATTCACCGGCTCGTGTATTCTTTCTCATCTTAATACTTTCTTCTATTGTCTTTTTTATCCTCCCGTCACCCATCTTCTCCTCCACCCACCCGTTCCGGCCAGGTCTTCGCGGTTCGGGTCTCTCAGGGAAGAAGCAGCCGATCGCCCGACTCCCTGATCACTTGGACGCCAATCCTCCATCTTTGACGGGGGGCGGTCGCCGTGGTGTTGTTGCCTGCAAGCAGACGTCCGTGCTGTCTCTCCTTTCTCCCCGTTCGACGCCCAGTCGCCAGCGCCTTTACTCAACGTCGCGGCCTCTTTTCCTCACGTGACGCAACACCTTTGGACACGCGACACAACACTTGATCAACGGCCGTCCCGATTCTACAATAGACCCTTGTTCGCGCTACCCGTCTCAGCGCTCCATTGCCATCAAATCGCTTTCAATCATGGCCTCCACAGGCCCCTTCAATGTCACCGAGGCCGCTGAGGCCTCTACGCCTAACATGGGTGGCGCCCAGTTCGCCTCTCATACTTGGGTGGAGCCAATTGTATGTTGAGTCCGGTCCCGTGTCTCCTTCACCTCTAACCAGCGCAGATCGTTGTCTCCATCATGGTATCTTCTCTATACTTTAATCGAAGACACAACTTCCGGATATTCGACTCGGCTCGGGGCCGATCGCCGACTCGCTCGGTTCTACCTCACAACAGCTCCCAAATGTCCTCGCCGGATGGGTCGATCGACTCCGACTCATACTCCCCCGATTCGGACGTCTTCAGTTCATCCAGGTACCCGGCGAAGAAACGAAACTGCTGTGGCATGGTCGTTCGCACCCCCAACTCGTCTCGCTTTGCCGGCAACTGGCACTCGCGTGTCCTGGCCAAATGGCCCTTCCTGCTCGAAATGTTCTATTGGATTCTGAATCTGGCTTTCTACTCGCTCACCAAGGCTGTTGCGCAAGTCCTTTTCTCCTCGAACGATGGTTTATGGCAGCTTGCACAGGATCATGGCGTCCTTGTCCTCGACATCGAGCATAAGTCATGGCTGAGATTTTTGTTCCCGATCAAGGAGAGTGACTTTCAGGCTTGGTTTCTGAATGGGCATTTGACCGCCATTACGTTTTTGAACCGATTTTACTCTCTTGTCCATATCCCGGGCACCGTTGCGTATGTTTGGTCCCTCACCGAGCGTTGTCATCGCTAACACTGGTAGTTTTCTGTCATGGTACTACTATGCCGCTCCCACACATGCGACCTTCGCCACCGTTCGCCGAACTATGACGCTGGGCAATTTCGCCGCCTTCTTTATCTTCACCTTCTTTCCTTGTATGCCTCCTCGTCTCTTACCGAAGGAGTTCAACTTCCACGATACCGTCCGCCAATCAAATGCCGAGTCCGTCTGGGTTGGAGGAAATTATGTCAATCAGCTGGCCGCTATGCCGAGCTTGCACTTCACCTATGCATTTTGTGTAGGATCTACGTTCCTGTACCACTCTGGCATATTCCGTCGTTCTCAGCGAGGCGAGCCGCGGAAGCCCTTCTACACGCAGATCTTTTTCCTGGTCGCCGGTATCTGCTACCCGTTGCTGGTGCTCACGATTATCGTGGCCACCGCGAACCACTACTGGCTCGATGCAGTTGTGGCCATGTGTACAACCACCCTGAGCTTCTGTTGCAACAAGGTCTGGATGTTCTTGTTACCCGCTGAGGACATTCTTTGCTGGATTTTGCGGGTCGACAAGCCGACACCAACAACAGGAGACCGACTGAAGAGGAGAGAAGCTCAGTATCAGCTCGTCAAAAATGAGGAGGAGCCATAACTTTGCAATCAGCCATTGCGTTCTTCGATAAAGCTATAATTTTGTTTAGCGACCAATTGTGGCATCAACAAGGGCATCTGGGAATGCGATTCTTGCATGTTGGGCGTATTGGGAGGCTTGGATGGAAACGAATGCCTACACGGAGTAAAGCAGAAGGAAACTACAGTCAGGTCTTGTACGCATCGAACAAAGGTTCTTAGGACGATGTAACCAAGGCGAGAACACATCGCACAGCGAACCTATCACATTGCCCAGCACACAACATTTCCCCAGCGTCAGCACCTACCGGCAAAGCAAAACATGGGGGGTTTTCTTGTCTGCACGAAGCCGTGTCCGATCGGCGCTGGAATGGATCAACATCGACCGCCGAATCTTGCGACAGCAAAACAGCAGATACCTGAAGCCGCGAGTGTTGCGAGGTTGTCGACGGATACCGGTCATGACACTCCGTGGGGTCAAGAACGGGGGAGGGGATGCGAACCATCTATATATTTGGCATACCTTGGACGTACCACGAGAGTTAGAGGCGCCTCTCACAGTCGGACTTGGATCGGCATCAAAGTTGGCAGGATTGGAGAGCAGCATAGCAATTGGACAGAAGAAGTTTCGGTATAAAGAATCCTGTGCGGCTCTACCAGAGGCAACCAGACAAGGTCATCTGTTTTCTCCTGACGCTGTGCTCGAGCGCACTCCCTAGTGTTTTCGTCTTCTCTTCGCTTAATGTGATTGAACTACAGTATGCGCGGTCCAGTTCATGCTGTAGAGTCGTGCCACTCAGTGGTCACGATTCACGGGATTCCAAAGGATCTACCCCGAGCACGATCCTCAGATCTTTCGTAGGCAAATGTGTTCAACGAGATATCCTAGGAAGACAATATGACAACATACGGAGTACTACTTGAGGACCTTGCGGGGGTACTGTATGTCTCGTGCAAGCAAGACCACCTACATAGCCATAGCCAGCACAGAGCGATCGAGCCGAGATACGGGGTACAGTAGTCTCACATCCTCCTCTCCTCTCCTCTCCTCTCCGCCTCTTGATATTCCAAGTTGGGCATCAGCATCAGCATCAGCATCACGATCCGCCCATCCGCCTACACGGTACATGATAACGCTGTGGGACGGGTAGGTACGAGTACGAATACGAGCAGCGTGGTAGCCTTGGGTGGGACTGGGACCGCTCTTGACCATTATTGCCTGCAGGTGCTCTGCCTGCTCTGCAAGCCAATGCGACGGCAAGGCCCCCCATTCATTCACATGGTTGAGCCGCGGTACAGCATCGATGCCGCAATGCCGCAATGCGACACTGGTGGGATATGTTTTCGCTCGCCAGCCCCAGCACGGAATATCATATCATATACTGATTGAGGGCATCATGACGGGTATCTTCCCTCGGCGAAAGGATCGTTGTCCTTTCCTCAGCGCAGCTAGAGGATCATGCCCTTCTCCTGGGCGCAAGTGGGATTAGTGTTTGGTGGGTTGTGTCTTTTACTGTTCGCTTCGTCAAGCTTGGGTGGGGATTGTGTAATGATACCATTTGTACACTGTTGACTGGTAGCCCCGTCTGAGAGAAGGGACTGGGACTCTGGAAGATGCCGTCGTGACCCCCCAACCATGAGCGCTGAAATGTGACGAGTTGAAGGCGGGGCTTGTCTACGTGAGGCTCTCCTTCACAGAAGCGGTGGACCCGGATCCCAATCGGCTGGACTGTGTTTGCGTATGCTTTCTCCGCCGACTGAAGATGCTGCCTCAACGACAGAATGCAGAGCCGGCATAATGACCTCGACCGGCGGGAGATGTTCTACATGGGTGTGCGCTCGTCATCGTGCTTTTGACTGGCGGTGCTTGGCCTTCCGCCAACATCTCTTCCAGTGTTTCCCGAGAAGGTCGTTCCACAGGAATTTCTTCAGGATCTTCTCCAGCGTCTCCCAATCACTGGTCTCGTCCGGGTATTGCTCCAGAGCCTGGTCGAGCATCATGCTCATCGCCGAGAGCAATTCTGACTGGTCGAGTGCGCCGGCCGCAGCCAAGGAGATCCAGATCAGACACTCCCGGTGCGTCTTGAGGGCATCGCCCTCCTGCGTCTCCAGCTGCGGCTTGCCGTTGCCGATCATCGAGTCCTCAAGCTCTTGTAGTGTCTCGTGCATGTCGTCGCTAATCTTCCCACTGCCGTAATGTAGAGTGAAACAAGTGCCAATAACACCAAAACAGAGCTTGTGCTCGATCGGTGTGGTGGCCATCACTGATAGATATCGCAGGTCCGCGATGGTGTTGAGCAAGCTGCGTCCACCGGGTGAGCTGGGCGGAGAATTTGGGGGAGTGGCACTCCCGTCGCCTCGGGCTAGAGTGGAGAGATTTGCGAGTATATCAATCATCTGGATCGAGAGTTCGCCGGCCATGGCCATGTTGTTGAAGGAGGTGGACACTTTCGACAGCGCCTCGCAGACCTTGATGTTGAATGGTAGCGACGGATAGATCGGGAGCTCGCTGCGCATCGGCGAATCGATGGACAGCTGAGCCATGCTCGTCGTCGCTTCATTCCGGTCCTTGACAAATTGCCAGAGCGCGTCGTAGCTGCTGCCCATCAGAACATGATCACGACCGAAGCGGACGGAACTCACGCTTTCATGACCGAAATGAGGAAATAATGCCACGGCGTGTCTCCTTTGATGTCAGGTCTGATCTTCCGGATCTGTTGCATTGCGTTGACGTGATTTTCTGCGCCTTCGTGGACACCCAGCATGTACTGTCACTCGTCAGCCCGGAGCTGCCATGCCTCAGCGCTACACATACATCAATGGTCGTAAGAGCCGCGATGGTCAGGATAGTGGTGTCGTCCGCGCACGTCGCCTCAGACGTCGTCCTCAGCTTCAGACCAGCGAACGCATTGGCACGGTGGTATGTTAGCGCCGCATCCTTCTGCCACGGAAGGCGCTCCTGCAGAAGCCACGACACACGTGCGAGAGCTATTATGGCTTCGAACAACACCCTGTGCTGCAGAGCATGCGGAAACACCAGTGTCGAATATGGCTTGGGATGCCCATCAAATGCGAGCGCCCGACCGTGTTGCGGCGCCCAAACTTGCAGGTCTGTAGGCAGGGTTAGATAAAGCAGATGACATCCTGGTCTTGACAAGACTCTGCTCACAATACTTTACCATACGCGGGACAACGCCCTCGTTTGGTATGGGAAAGGCATTCACAGGTTCCGAGTGGAAGATGTTGACGGAAAATCGAGGCAGCCTGGACGGTTTGTGGCATGTCGGAAATGCTTCTTCGTCCACGGGCGATTTGCGCTTTCGATGATGTCGGATAGTCGAGAATTCTGCTTTGTCCAGCTCCCACGAGAACCGCTCACTCTCTGGAGAGCTCGCCGACACAGGACTGATGGGTAAAGTTTTTACCAAGATTGTTGGACTAGGGGCCGGCGGACGCCTAGGTAGCGCACTCTTCCTCGAGGCTGGTGTGCGCGGTCTTGGTCTGTCGTGGTCCACTGGTGATGTTGAGTTATGAACCAGCAGTTGCTCTATCCTGATTGCCCTTGCCATGCCTCCGGAAACGACTGTGTGATCATAGTGATCTTCTCACTAGAAGGTGTCGGCGAGGCTCAAGTCGGTGGTGAGGCTGTACTTTTGAAACGGTGTGACTTCCGTGAGACACAAGACGATGAGAACAGGCTAGGCTAACAGCGAAGTTAAAGTTGGGCCAGACGGGGGAGCTCATCGAAGGGCTTACTGCTTTGTCAGCCTCGTCCAGGTATAATTCGTCTCTAGCAATTGGCACCCGCCCGAAGGAATGGACGACCACGAGCACGAGTAAAGCAGCGAGGCGCGCGGCCTTTACCAGATCCGGCGCGAGCAATCGCAACTAACTCCGTCCCACTGTACCACGTACACAGTAATCTGGGTGGCTTCAATCGGGTTAGGTGACTGAGGAGTCGCTGTCAGATAGAGTCAAGGCAGGATGGGTACTCGTAGGTCGTGGATGATGCCAAGCTCGTGTCGGTCAACTCGCTCACTCGCTTAAAAAGCGTGCTGCTCACTGGTCGGGTAAGAACGAGACTTGATTCGTCCAAAGCCGTGGAGTGCCGCGTCGGAAAGTTGGATGCTTGATGAGGGTCAAGGGGGCAAAACAGAGCTATCGAAGACAGTGCTGACATCCGTCTTTCCAGTCTCTGCTAACGCGGGGGCAGTCAAGGCGCCTGCGGGAACTTAATCGTGCTTTCCATTCGTCGTTTCAGAGATCCTGCAGTTGGGCGTTTCACGTCGACTACCTGTACTGGTACGGAGTACAGATGCAGAGGAACCAGAGCTCACTTTGCTTCTCTTCCGCCACTAGCGTGTCAGGCGCTTGTGGGATTACTATCCTGCAATGGGAGCCGTGGGGAGCCTATAATCAAAGATCGAACAGGAAAGTGGTGGGCACTCTTCGTGGTCCACTTTGACATCCGCTTCAGGCTCCAGTGTGTGAAGATCAACCATGACCTATCGTTCCCCGTCGGGTTTCCTCGTGCCTTCTGATAGATACCCCATACTGTACTCCGTATAGTCGGCTGATTCTGATACTGTCGCCCGGCTTCGAGCCGATCTGCCGATGATACCTTCGGTTATGCAATGAGCCTCAACCGGGACATACACGGTGCTTCGGTGCCTCGTAGGATCTGGCCTGACAAAAGCGCTGTGGCAAGATGCCACCTCTTGTCCAGTTTCCCGGGCACCTCCTCATCCCGAACAGCCCGGCATATGCCTTCACTGCCTTTGGCGCCACCAATGGTCAGCAACCCTGGTCGTCCCAGTCCTATGTTCCCGGTGCTTGTTGCCGCGACACATCCATGAAACGACACGGACAGCGAGCCGTGCCTGAGCAGAATGTAGTAGTTGGGCCTATTGCAGTGAGCGCAGTCGTCAGTGTCCAGTAGTTGGGGAGCACGCCCGTGGGTAGGCTGGCGGGCAGTTGCTCATTCCTTGTCATTTCTGTTACTTCGTCCTTGGCGAAACAATGAGCTGGGCGGAGAGATCAAAGCTGCTGAGCACCAACGTGAGAATCACTGTAAGGAGGTGATAGAATGATTGGGATTGAACGAGAACAGACTGGCAATGCGCCAATGACCATAGCTCCTAGCATTTGTTATCGATGACGGACTACAAGCAGGGCATGGTGTGCTTCAGATGAGGGCCTCTTCTGTCATCAACTTCCAAGCACGGACACAGGGAGCAGAAACAGCAGGCCGAGATGGGGGAACAGAATCAAGCTGGAAGGGTCGAGAATCCGAGTGAAAAGAGAGATCTAAGCATCTGACTTCTGTGTCAAAATTTTGTCAACGAAAAAGGAAATACTCAGCATCGAGGTGCTCCCAGTTCCGCCACAGCGGCCTCCATCGAGCCTCCCTCCTGAGATGCAATGCTATCCTTCTGGAATCATTTCCTTGCCTCAGTCGATGTTGCTGCCGGTTCGGTGTCCTTTGTCGGTTTCTGCTCCGGCTCGTCTTCTTTCTTCAATTCTTTGGTTTCGAGAATCTGTTCAGTTGATTTCAGCATCCTTTTACAGTAGACGGTGACTGTTCGCCGATGGGCATACATTGTTGCCTGTGATTCAGTCAGCCTTTCAAGTCTGGTCATGCTCAAATAAGAAGCCGTTTTACAGTCGGCACAGTGCCCATAGTCACCGTCTCTCGTCAAGTCTACCCTCCCACCACAGTTGGGACACTTGTATTTGGGCATATTTCGGATGGTCTACACTGTTCGGGCTGGTGTTTTACCGCACGGATGTCGATGAAGATCTCAGTACATGTTGGATCACGACATCGTTGAGACGATATTAAGTGAGTGGGTTTACATGAGAAATGCTTCATGACGTAAGCACATCGGCCGAGCCTAGCGAGAACCAACGACGAGGAGCATTATTTCCATTGCTTTCCTATAGCTCTTCCATGTGCTCCCAGGTAAGACTTTGACCCGCGCGCATTGGCCACACCATCACTTGCAGCCACTGGCTCAATCTCGTTCAAGCTCTTCCACACCTCAGACACGGTCGCACGTTCTCTGGGAAGCACTGAATACTGCAATCCGTACATTTCACTTCGCCCCAGAGGCGGCACAAATCGGCCGGTGAGAAGCCGGAAGACAACCTTGGGCGACAGATAGTGTTGGTGGATGCGTGCCCAAAGCTGGAAATATTGCTCAAAGATCTGGCGCAATGCCAGCGGAGTCGAGGTAAGGCGGATGTATGCTACACTGGTCGCGAAACTTTCTCGTTCACCTTCATCATTGGAATCGTCATCAGCGGTGTCACCCTGATTTTCTTGATGCCCTGTCTCATCGGAGAAGGGCAGTTTTGACCGCTCCGTATCCAGCAGTTGGAAATGAATGCCACCCGGCAACCTCTGGCTGTCCTTCATCCTGAGCATCAATGCAAATAACGGAAAATGGTTCAGGCACGCTAAACATGTATCCAGAGTCGCTTTGAGAGTAATGATGGCCATCCGAGCCGAGGCGAAGGTGAGGTAGAAAACCACCACCGTAGGCAGAAGGAAGAATAGCAAGGTGAACAGAATCGTCCCAAGAAGAAGCTGATCAAGATCGTAGTCGCAATTATCGATTCGGTTCCGCAATACGTTCCGTTTCTTGCCACGAAACAAGTGGAAAAGGCTGACTATGATGGTCAGTTGCCAATTGAAGATGCGTGCGCTCGCCACATAGAAGGAATAAATGTGGATCGTCAACAGGCTGAGAAGGTCGGAGAAGATCGCGATTGGCATGCTCGCACCGGCAAAAGAAGAGCATCCAATGACGTAGACGATGGTCGGCAGCCTGGGCAAGATGAGCAAGAAGATTGTTGAAGACCAGTACTCGATGACCCACAGAAAGAGGTCACCCAAGAAAGCAGCAAGTTCGGTGTTCAGCTTCAGGCCGCCAGGGTAGGACATGAGCCACCTGATCATGCGCTTGAGCCCTTCAATGGTGTATTCATTGAGCACGCCACCGATAAGCTGCGATGTAGCTTGCGAATTGTCACTGATGAAGCTACCGAGGGCGATCCCGATAATGACATCGTTTGCTACCAGCCAAAGAGAGTTGTAAAATCGTATGTAGTCGCTGTTGGTCGTGGGGAACGACGACCAAGTGGCTTTGCGGCGTCGAAGAAGAGAATATTGTGTTGGGTAGTAGGAGAACTGCTGCAGTCTCAGATGTACTTGTTGGCAGCAGGCGGAAATGTCCTTGAGCGCAACAGCGCCTCTGATGGGCCGGCGGCTTTCCGGCAGCCGAATCTTCTTGATGGGCAGCGGCCATTCCAGGATCTGCAAGAGGCCTTCGGCGACAATGCGGTGTCCGATAATCGCGATCCTGAAAATGTACAACAAGAATGGGAAGGCATATGCCATGAACAATGTCCAAAGCGACCAGGCAGCAAAGGCGTAAAGTGACTGCGCGGATTCCACGACTCGCTCACTGACTGATAGACTCCGTTTTCTTCTTGGGCCTACGAGCGGTGTATTCTTCTGCAACAAGTCGGCAACTTCCTGAGCGCAATTGATCTGACGGACTATTGCGGGCAGTGCCAACTCTTTCTTTGTGGGCGCATGTCTAACCACAGTGTGGAAACGAAGCTTGGCCACCAACTCCGCAGTCCGCTGCCGCTCCTTCTCCTCCTGGACCTCCACTTCGTCTGGCATATAATCGGTTTCGCTTGGTGGCCAATAATCCTTTCCCAGGGCAAGTGAGATTGGTTCGAGAGACATGTATTGCATTTGCGTCGGGTTCGGTGGATCGAAGAGGACGATCTGGACAGCCAGCGCTGCGTCCGGCGGACAGTAGATGAAGGGTCTCCTGGAGCCCGAGAGCGTGAACGCGCACACCCTCGTAGGGTCAAAAGTCTCTGTGGGACTCGGATGGTTCAGGGTACCCAAGACATGCATATTTGGCTGATCACACAACTGGAAGATTCGTGCAACTGGGTAGGGGCTGTTGCGAAACAGAGTGCCCACGCGAAGAGCGGATTCCACACTACGACTCTAATCATGTCAGAATGTTTCTCCAAGTTCCAAAGCACGGCGTCTTACCTCGACATCTTCGAGCACCGTGATGACGAACAGGTCAAAGCTGGAGTTTCTCCAGCCCACGATTACACCGGGTGATGTTGTCCGAGTAAGGTTGTTCGGCCAGAATACCCGCAGCATGCTATCGCTGTTCTCGACCATGATAACATGTTGTCAATAATCAGAACGATCCCCTTCGCCGCAGTTGCTCCTGAGCAGAAATTCCGTGTACGAGGAATCGAGGATGGACTGAGGCTTCGTGGGCGGCAAGGCGATCGAGGGGAATCGCAAGACAGGCGTAGATGAGTGAGATGACGGCGAAAGCCTTTGCTGCTCGGGCAAACACACCGTGGTCCCAAGCGAAGAATGCCAATTCGTAGAGTCTGGTAACAAGGTCCCAGCGCGCAGTAATGTATCCCGCAACAAAGATGAATATCGTCAACGAGGAGAAAGGGTGCATCCAAGCGCTCTGGTCGGCTCTCATTCGCGCAAGACGGGTCGCCCCAGAGACGACTCGAAGAGGCTGATAGCCTCCAAAATGATAGCGAGGTATGGAGCAGTCCAAGGTAGATGTATCTCGAATGGAGCAAGGAAACCGGTGTTTCGCGATTTGCTGCTACGGACACGCATATAAGCCTGAGTGGAAAAAGCACAAGCGAGGAAACCAGGCACAGGCAAGCACAGCCACAGCTACACCAGTCACCAAGCACTGTCTGACGAAAACGGGATCTCTGTGCTACATGGGACAGAGTCTATGAAGCTAGCAGAAGGAAGGAAAGAGAAGAATTGTTCATGGCTCAAAGCTCATTTCACTGTCAACTAGCTATGGTTCATGGATCTTCTGATCGTGATGCCAGCTGTTGTGAGTGGAATCAACAATTAGAGTGCAATAGCAAATTAGGTTTGATTCCTTTGCCAATCCAAGGAGATGTGGTCATTCCAATTGACTCGGTTGAAACCTCTGCTCATTGACACACATTGTGGCGTTCCATCTGAAAGCTAGCGTCGACTTTGTCGTATTTGTACATGAATCTCATCTCGGAGATGTGGAAGGACTGTCATCTTTGCATATGCTCTGGTGTGTGTCATGTTGAAGTACATGGCAGACATAGGCTGCAGAGAGCGTCGGGGTATCGTTTGTGATTGGAAGTTTGTGCTCAGGCCAAGGCCAGGACTGCAAACACACCAAGGACACCAAGGTTAACAGCGGCATTGTTGGCACCATTGCTAGGAGCAGGTGGAATACCAGAAGACGTGGAGGCTGTAATGGTGGTGTGAGTAGAAGTTGCAGTCGAGACACTCGTATGAGTGGGAGTCGAGGATGCCGTAGTCTGGACAACAGAGCTGCTGTGAGTGGCTGGAGTTGGAGTAGTCGGGACTGGTGTGACTGGGACACTGGTTTCGACTGGAGTGCTAGCGGATGGAACAGCTGGAGTCTCGACAGTAGTGGTGGTTGGTGGGGGTACGACTGGAGTTGATGGCGTCTCGAAAGGAGTCGCAGGAGTGGTGGAAACGACGGTGGAAGTCATGGTAGTGGAGGAAGTGAATGTGACCTGAGACGGAGTGGCAGGTGGGGGAGGAGCAGGTTCAGAAACCGGAGGAACACCATATGGGGCGCAAGTGGTAGGGTAGACGGTGATTGTAGCCGCGGCATCTTCTGAGGACAAGGTCAGTATCGAAATGTTTCAAGGGCAATCTGCACTTACGACGAGGCAAGAGATTGATGAGATCGTTGATTTCTTCATGAGAGAAGCCTCGAGCTGTCAATCCATCAGCGCCTTGCACTCAAAAATCTTTCGAGCTCGGAAGCTTACCAGCCAACAAGCCAACAGCTTCGTCGCGGGCAGCAAGGTTGGGAGCAGTCGCTGTTTCTCAGTCAGTATGCGAGATTGGGAAGCTCTGGAGCTGCTCAAACTCACCAATGGCCGCGGTAGCGTAGGCAGCGACCGAAGCGCTGAAGAGCTTGGTGATCTTCATGGTGAAGGATGCAAGATGGGAGTTGTTGATGGATGAATGTGGTGTGTAAGAGTATGAGGTATCCAAGTGTTGAAGGTAAGTCTCCAAGCGAAGGACACGATGTTGTTGAGGTTATCAGGTAGAGAGGGTAAGAGGCGAACCGAGGTCGACGTTGGGCAGAGGGAGGGGAGATATTTGTAGTCCTGAGAGTTCGACGGGACCGTGGATCGTTTGCCGATTTTCGCCAAGAGTCTGAATATGATGTGCAAGCAGTCACGGCGTGCGATCAGATCAGACAGGATCGATCCAGCGTCAGGTCACTGCTGCGGACCGCAAGATGGCAGTGGCGATATGATGCACCGATCCGTCACCTTCCACGCTTTCAACTGTTCAGGTCGGGAACCTGGATGTCAATCTAATTGTGCGCAGCCAACGAGCCTGTGAACTGAGTCCAAAGACTTTTCTGCGGATGTTGCCCCTCTCCACCAATATGCAACCTCCCGTCCGAGATGAGGCGCAACAAAAGGCTCCCCACCAGCTTCGACAGTAACAAGCTGTAGACTGAAACAGAAGATGCAGATTCTGGCCAAGGAAGCTGCAGAACTCGACAGGCTTACCTCAGGTGGTTGTTGTGGGTTGACAGCTTTCTCTTGTTGCCAACTCTTTTCAAACCTCAGGGCACCGAACAAAATCGGGGGGCTGGACAGCAGCTTCGGCTACCTGCAATGTCTCAATCTCCCACACGAAACGGGGACGCCACTATCTGTCATACTCTTCGCCATGCCTCTGCAGCTTTTGTGTCGACAGTTTTACACAGCGCCAGGATCACTTTGTCAAATCTTGCTTCATGCTGTGATACAGAAGAAAGAGAGGACAACGAAGTGACGATGAGGTGTGCGAAGGAGACCTCGTTACCCGGCGCTAAATACGGGAGATCTGCCGCTAGCTACATTAGTGTCATCTAACGGGTGGTCCTTCGGCGTGGAACAATATCTGTCCGGTCATTCCTGGACTGAACCCTTGATGTGACATTCTGCGAGGCTGAAGGATACAGGGCATGTCAGGGGAAGTGACAACAGAGGCAGCAGACTGGACATTTTGACGATACAACAAGACATGACTTGACGATTCAAGACCAGCTAAAGCCATGTTCCGAAATGGAGCGTATACTATGAGATGTGGCCAGTAGACAGGCACTCTGAGTATTTCGAAAGGACATGCACGGAAGTGTGCAGTAGGCAGGAGCAAAAGATATGGTGCCATTGAAAGGCATCATTAGATCTCATTTTTATCGTACAGAGTCCTACTACAAGCACCAAGGTACCAAACAGAAACACGATGTCTCACGCTCGTCTCAGGACGTTCAATGGAAGCTCAACTTGCCTCTCCACAGCTTAATACTGTCAAGCGTAGTATCAGCTGCCGTCGCTGTCACCCCTGAATCGCATGTACCGACATGAGATCATTCCTTTTTCTCCATCGGCCAATGATGCGGCAGGATCGCTGACACTGAGATCAACTCATTCATCGGCCAATCATAAAATAAGATCATTGGTTCTAGATCGACCTTGTTCTGGACCAATTGTGCGACAGAACCGGCAAGCTGTGTGAATGCTGCATAGCGTTGCTGGGTTGATTCGATCTGTGCACCTTCTCTGAAGTTTGGTCACTCTGAACTGAGGCATCGTGGTGCTGTGACTGTTTATGGCTCACTTGATTCTTACTGTTGTCCACCAGCGACATGATCTTCAACGGAACAAAGGGTCGTCATTGTGGAAGAGAAGAGGTGGTCTTGAGAACTGTCTGATAAAGTACTGTGTATACAAGGCTCGAGTACTGCATGGGGCGGCTGATCTTCGGGTCATGGTGCTCTCACTTTCCTGTCAGTACTGGTCAGTGAGCTGCGAAGTCGTTGTTGTAGTGGGTGTAGAGGTACACTGAACAGTAAGATGTCAAAGACTTCGCTCTGGGTCTGTTTCGTCTGCTCATAGACTGAGCATTTCGTCTTTCCACTTCTCTTCATATGATTGGCATGGGCACTCTTTAGATCATTGTCCACCTAAATACTCTTGCCCCTCGCCTCACCAACTCTCCCTTCCCAGACCTCTGCCCAGAACCCTTCCTTCCATAATCTGAGAACCTCGAAGCCAACCTCCACGGCTATGAGCACGATAATCGTCCACTCCAAGAACAAGCCGTGTTTTTCACTTAGCCTCTCTCTTAGCACTGTTGCAATCTCTGCGGCGTAATCCATCTTCTCATTCAGCACCTTGATGCGGATCCCCACGTCAAGTGCGCGTCCAACTTGATCATAATAGTTCTCCAGGTTCAGCTCATGGCGGCTGTCCCAGAAAAGATCAGGCAGGCTGTCCGTGAGTTCGGAGTAAAGGTTGAGTTGGGCGCGCAGGAGCAGCAATTGGCCTGTCTTACGCAGGATGAAATCTCTGCTGAGTTTGAAGGGAAGACGGGATCCTTTGGACAGAAGAGCAGGTATGTCGGCTGTTGAAGCAAGGTACGTGGAGAGGTTGGTTTCAAGAACGGCTAGCTTCGTGGAACGAGCAAAGCCACTCGAAAAAGCGATCTTGGTGAGCACCGTGTCCACGCTCTGAAACTGTGATTTGGTTTGATCTGCTGGCTCGTCGTCGTGATGCTCGGGTCGCTTGGTGCCGAGAATGATGGTGTCACCCCGGATCAAGCTGTGCTCCCGGCTAGAGTCCTCGATGTAATCCAAGTCTTCGGTTTCTATAGGCTCTTTGTGGGGATTATCTGCTGCAGGCAGAAGTGTACGAGTTGCGAAGTAAGAAGTGAAGCCGTCAGGGAGTGCCCATGTCACTAGAGTACCAGACGGGAAGACGAACACATCTCCCACCTCCGTTGATGATAGATGCGCTGCGGCGGGATTCGTAGAACGGTAAATGGACGATATGGGTATTTGAACGTGGACCACCTGTGGGAAGAGACCAGTCTCCAGCGGATCAGGTTCATAGCCTTTACTGCGAAGAATCTCCACGACCTTCGTCAAGTCGAATTGGTCTGCGACAGCATATGCAGTCACTAGCTTAAGTGTTTGGTCTGTCCCTTCCATTGTCTTCTGGCCCGGTCTCGTCAACCCGGCCTTCGATCTTTGAGCTTCTAGCCCAACCCGCCTTAGCGATGTTTTTGTGCCCGGAGAACGTGCAGTCTTGCGTTTCTGGATCGAGGCAGCCGCCGACGATTCTACGCCGGGATCTGCTTTTTCTTTGTTCCCATCCTGTCTTGTGGCGGTCTGATTTAGTAGGGACCGGTTCGAAGAGAAGAAATCTCGCCGGCGGGTTCGCTGGAAGATGGGCGAGGCATGAAGCGGCCGGAAACCGGGTTGTCGTAGTCCATCATACCCATACCCATGTCCAGCTCTTCGACAGCTGATACACAAAGATTGGCCACCGAAGCCGATTACCGGGCGAGCAATCGCCTGGCGCATTGCGAGCAAACTGCGGCTTGACCATAGAGCATTTCCGCTCAGGAAACTTCGATTTCTAGCGCAGCGGCGTAGAGCGTGTCGGCGACATTGACCTCCACCGTACTCGGTATGGGCAAGGCTGCGGGGTTCCACGAGGCTGAGTATTAGCCTTGGACTTGGCGCTCGTCATTAGAAAGTCGCGGGTGCTGTAGCATGCAGAGTCCCTCTGTGTTCCTTTATCCGAATGACGCGCTATTGACGCTGCCGCTCTTCGTATGGCGGCGGGAGGTGGCTCAGCTGAGCCAGACGACCATGACAAGCTTCAAAGTCCGACCAAAACCCCACCGAAGCCATCGAAGCCCGAGCCGACAGCAGACGAGTCCGGAGACGACGAAAGCGAAGACGAAGAGGAAGAGGAGCCACGCCTCAAGTATGCCACCTTGACCAGGAACGTCAGTTCGATATATCGTAATGGCGACGCGACCAGTGCTTTCCACGTTGCAGGAGATAAGATGATTGTAGGCACACATAGCGGGAACATCCATGTCTTTGCTCTACCGTCGTTCAGTCCAGTACGCGTCTACCATGCGCATACGGCGAGCATATCTGCCATCTCGATATCCCCTTACAATCCCCAAATCGTACCATTCCGCTATGACTCAGGAAGCAAGCCAGCCGCCGACTTAGGGTCGATTAGAGACAAATCACCATCTAGCTCACCAGCACCTAAAGGGAAGCAACAGCAACCTGTCGTCCCAGATATACCTGCGAACCGGATCTACATCGCTACCTCTTCGATTGACGGCAACGTCTGCATTGCTTCGCTGGTCGACCCTCGAGATGTTCAGCTGCGGAATTTTGGAAGGCCGGTACAGACAGTGGCACTGTCACCCGAGTACAAGGCGGACAAAACGTATCTGTCTGGAGGGCAAGCTGGCTCTTTGGTGCTGACTACGGGAGGGCAAGCCGGAAAGAGTGCCAATGCCACCACCACGGGAGCTGCAGCCGCCGCTTCTGGCTGGTTGGGTTCCATTGGCCTCGGATCGAACACTGGATCGGACAAGGTTTTGCACAGCGGTGAGGGCATCATCAGTACAATCAAATGGTCACTATCAGGCAAATACGTCCTCTGGGTGAATGAACATGGGATCAAGATCATGCGATCAAACCTCAAGCTTGAGAGTGGTGAATCGGCCCATGAATGGAAACGCATGAGCCATATTGACAGGCCGAATCGGACTGACTGGGAAGACATGGCTGGAGTGTGGAAAGCTCGCGCCGAGTGGATCAATCGCGACAACCTTGAGGCCGAGGATGATTCGAATGTTGTGGCTCCTGATGCTGCTAATGGCACGGCTTCCAAGCCAGAAGTCGAGAGGCCCAAAGTTGAAGAAATATTGATAGGTTGGGGCGACTCAGCATGGCTCATCAAAGTCTACCCTGGATCACCCGACGCCGGAAATGATAACAAGATTGGGCGCGCTGAAGTTGCTACGATGTGAGTTCCTACCCTCCTGAGAAAAGCGTTCGCTGACCACCAATCAGTATACGATTTGACGACTGTACAATATCTGGAATTTCGCTTTATACCCCCAGTTTACTTTTAGTCCTTGCATATATGCAGAACAAGGGAAATCGTTCGGCATCACAAGAACCTGAAGGCGGCAAACGAGGCCGCCGAGCACGACATAATGCATTAGAGCCAGAGCTACGCCTTGTTGATATTAATACCAAGGAAGAAGTGGACACCGATACTCTAACCGTGAGCAGGTTCGAGACTCTGTCTGCTTCAGACTATCATCTCGGGATCCTTCCTCCTGTCCGTATCCCAGCTGCTCTTGTACAGAAAGGATATCTTGGCGCTATTGGATCCGGAATGACGACGGTCGGCTCCAGTCTCGTAACAGGCGTTGAGACTGTAGGGCAGGGCGTGTGGGATGCAACCATGTACGGGCCTCGCATGTTAGGGGCTAATCGCATTTTTAGCGGAGCGGAGAGCATTCGAAGTGGTATCAGTGGCCCTGATAGGACTGGCAGCACCAGAGAACGCAACTATCTCACAGGCTGGATCCCTGGGTTTGGCTCGAGCGATGCAAACGCTAAGGATGAGATGAACACCATCGCCACAGCACAAAGCATGAAGATATTCATCTACAGCCCGTATGACTGTATCGTTGCAATCAAACGCAATCTCAGCGACAGGGTGCAATGGTTCGTACAAAATGAGAAGTACCGTGAAGCATGGGAACTGGTTGACCAGCACCCGGAAGCCGCAGGGACGCTCTCTGGATCGTCCGAATCGTCGGCACCTGCCAGTCCATCCAAAGCGAGCTCTGTTGCCAGGTCTGGATCTGCCGTTCCTTCAAGCCCCACGCAAGCACGTCAACAAGCAACACTTGCAGAGTTCTTCGCCGACTCCGCATCAAGAACAAGCTCACCGCAAAACAAGCCCAAGGCAAGATTCTCTGCTGCAGAGAAGGAGAAGCGTCGGATCGGCGAGCTCTGGCTGAAACAGCTGGTGGATGCCGCGAAGTGGGCTGAAGCTGGTGAAGTTGCTGCGAAAGTGCTCAATACCACAACTCGCTGGGAGCATTGGGCTTGGGTCTTCATTAAAAGCAAGAAGTTTGACGAGATATCGCCTCACATCCCGACCCTGGACTTAACACCCCCTCTTCCATCCCCCATATTTGAGATTATTCTGGGTCACTACATTGAAGTTGACCGACTTCGGTTCAAGGAGCTTCTCGATGAGTGGCCTTCGGATCTTTTCGAGATTAGCAGTATCACGACAGCAATCCAAGACCAGTTGCGGGGTGGCGGCGCGCCCAGAGGCTCACAGGACTGGAGGCTTTTGCAAGAGAGTCTGGCCAAATTGTACCTCGCCGACGGACATTACGACGATGCTCTCAGATGCTACATTACTCTGCAAGATGCGGATACTGCTCTATCCCTAGTCAAGGACAATCATCTCATCGACGCAATCGCAGACGACATTCCGAGCTTCGTGACACTCCGAGTCTCTCCAAGCCAACTCAAATCGGCCTCACGAGCAGAACTGGAGGAATTGGCATCTGACCCGATAAGGGTACTCGTCGACGAAGCCGCTGCTGGAGTAGTTGAGCCTGATGAGGTTGTTGCGCAGCTCGATCAACCCACGCTGAGGCCGTTCCTCTTCTTCTATCTTCGAGCTCTTTGGCGGGGGGAAGGCACACAGGAAGAGCCTAGCCTGCCTCGTGTTGGCCACTCTGCTGTTGCAACGTCACTGGCAGCTGACACTGGGAAGCAGCAAGTTGAGCAGTTTGCAGATACGGCTGTCGATCTCTTCGCAGAGTACGATCGCAAGCTGCTAATGGAGTTTTTGCAAGCTTCTACGGCATACACTTTCGAGAATGCTGTGCAAGTATGCGAAAAGAAGCATTATGTGGAGGAGCTGGTGTATCTTCTGAGCAAGACTGGCCAAACGAAGAAAGCACTGTTCCTCATCATCGATGAGCTCAAAGATGTCTCATCAGCCATCACTTTCGCCAAAGAGCAAGATGATCAAAGTCTCTGGGATGACTTCCTCGAGTACAGCATGTCCAGACCAAGGTTTATCTCAGGTCTACTGGCAGAAGTGGGCACGGCCATCGACCCGATCACCCTAGTGAAAAGAATACCATCGGGGCTCGAAGTGGAGGGCCTGAAAGACGGGCTCAAGAAGATGATCAGAGAGTACGATCTGCAAGACAGCATCAGTTCTGGTGTTGCAAGAGTGCTGAGCAGCGAGGTAGCCGTAGGGATGGAGACCTTGAGAAGGGGCCGGAGGAGGGGCATCAAATTCGAGGTTGTACCCCCGCCTCCCAAGATCAGGCGACCGCTCGAACAAACCACCAATGGTACGGACGAAAAACGGACGGGCGAAGAGCAAGTTGAAGGCGAAGCTCAGATCAAACCCGGACATTGTGCCTCTTGCCACAAGACCTTCCACGAGAATGAGAGCGAAACACTAGTCGGTTTCGCCTGTGGCCACGTTTACCACGTCTCACACCTCCTGCATGGGCCGGATGCAGAGGGAGATGAAGTGCTTTTGCCCCGCAGTGCTACGCGTCAGGGCGAGGAAGACGACCTCGAAGTGGCCCGGTTCTCAAGATCAATAGGCTCCAAGGTCACCAACGCGCGTCTATTGAAGGACAAAATCCAGAATGTGGGAGGTTGCACCATCTGCAAGGGAGCGAGGGAAAAGATGGAGGAGGTTGGTGGATGAGCGATCGACTTCTCGGCCACGTTGGCTGACCACCATCAAACACCATAAGCTGCGTCGAAACCTCTCCGCATGTCGCAGTTCTTGATGCTGCGGAAGCGGATGATATGTTTTGAGCGGTTCGTCCGAGACAGATGGGCCAGACTCGGTACAGACAGACAACATGTCCCGGAAAAGTGATGCGAGAAATCTCTGCGGCATCAAGCGTTTTTTCACTGTGCAGCCAAATTCGATCGACCGCGTTCGTCGTCCTACAATAACCTACCCAATACAATACCATACTACCCGCAGAGAAACTAGGCAAGCATAACCTTCGGCCCCAGGTATTGCGAAATTGGCCTTGAAACAGTTTGCCATCCATTTGGTTCTAAGCACTACGACTAATCAATCCGTTGCGTGCCGTCTAACAAGCCACAGGCCTCCCAGAGAGCAAGACCACCTAGAGGATGCTGGCCGACGATCATCTGCGGCCTGAACGCGAGGTCGATGACCGAGCCGATGGTCCGTTCACACTGTCCCAACATGGCAGATCTGTCTGTGTGCCCGCAAAGGCGCTTCTGTGCACAGTATTCCGGAAGTTCCGTGCCCGTCCCTACGTAAATTCCGAACTGAAACTCCAGGGTGTCGTGGGTGTCTTGGCTCCACCGGTTTTTAAGTGCTTACTCTTGGACCTGGACCGCATCAGGCTACTTAAAGGGTCAGACACCCCCATCTCTTCGGCGACCTGTTGAAGCCCGAATGTCTTTTGATTCGAAGGCGGATCATTGCGTGCTTGAATGAAGCCCGAGCTGTGGAAAAGCAGCGAGATTCAGATGGGTAGGGAGTATTGTGGCAAGGATATGCACGTGGTGGGTGGAATCGAATCCCGCATGACTTTCGTGCGTACTTTTAGGCGGCTATCGAGGCGAAGGAGGCGCTGAGCACCTGCCTACAGCATGCGGAGCCGTCTATCGTCGTCGGAAGGCGCTGAGGCAGATGAGCTACTGAACGAGCAGGGACGGGAGCACTAGAGAAGTCAATTGATTGATTGGGTTACTGGGTCAAGAGCCCGTCCAGGCAAGGCAAGAGAATGAGAGATCTTGCATGATTCTCGCCACAGTGCATTTTGTACACAAGCAGTATCGCTTTCTTGACCCGACGGTCGCCTGAGTGACGCGGCCAGCAGCGAGTTGGGCACCATGCATCATTGAAGCACACAGTGCGTCCACTTCCCAACGATTGTCCAACTGCAGCATTCGAACCACCTGTGTCGGCCTCGTCTTTCAGAGCACGTCCACGCCCACCTCGTCTCCAACGCGGCACACCTGGCCAGGTGGTCACTTTGTGACCTCCTCCTCCCAGCAACCGTCGCGGTCGGCCGTCATTGCCCACAAGGCCCCCACCGTGGCAGATGCCGAGTTGTCCATGGTTTGATCCACCATGATTGAGACTGCATGCGGCAGGCCTTCACTGCGAAGAGCAGCCGTAAAGACGTCCACGATGCATGGCGACTGCGTCCAGAAGCCCGTCATGAGGACCTGCAGCCTGGTGTGCTGGACTCCGCGTACCAGGGGCACAAGCTGCTCCTTGGCAAGGCCGACGATGGGCGCCAGCCACTCCCTCACCACAGCTTCCACGCTGGCTCTGGACAGAAGCAGCTCGCGGGCACCAGAGGCAGTGAGGGAGATGCGCTCGCGGAACAAGAGTGCCATGTGGCTGCTCTCGGGCTCCAACAAGTCGAGAGCGATCCCGAACTCATCGACTAGGCCGCGAAGCACCTCCTCGTAAGTCCTGCTGGACTCGGACGCCGCCGCGCGGATCACCTGCCCGTGGACCCGGTCCAGCATGTCTCTCACGGGCTTCTTCAGCCCGATCCGCCCCTGAAGGCTGTTGACCGACTTGTTGCTGGCCTTGGCCGAGCAACGACCGTCCTGCGCCTTGACCAAGGCGGTGCACACGCCAGCAAAGCAGGCGTCGACGTCGACGACGGCAACCGCCGTGCGGCCGAAGTTTGTGGCGAAGGACTGCGCCGGGTTGTCCGTCTTGGACGCCGACGCCAGCTGTGCTCGCAACTGGGTTGCCCCGTGGTAGCGTGCGCACGCGTTGGCACGGTCCAAACACCGCACGTGATGCCTCGGAAACCCGATCTGGCTGATCCATTTGCCGTGCAAGCTCTCTTCAAAGTCTCGAGTGGCCTTGTGAGAATCGCCAGTGGGACAGCACGTGACGATCATGATCTTGGTTCTCTTGAAGAAAATGTCCTGCACCTCGGACATCGACAGGCCGGATTTCCTCTTGAAGTCGTTCTTGATCATCTCTAGAAGATTTCGCACGCGCTGTGCTTCCAGGTCCATGACTGTCGGGACTGAGAACTCATGCTGCGACTTGTCGAAAGGGTTCTTGATCAGAAGCGCGGGCGTAGAGTTTCGTCCCCATATCTTGGTGAGCGAAAGGTACCAGTCCGCGGTGGATGATGATTTTTCGCCTAGCAATTCCAGCGATTGATATCTCTCCTTGTGCTTCAGGGCTTCGTCCATATCTGCGCCAAAGAGCATCAAGTGTGTCTTCAGGTCATCTACCTCTGTTCGCGTGGCGATTACGGCTCTGTGCGGTACCTTGAGCGATAGAGCGGTGTCGAGCGTCCATGGAGGAAGGTGTTTCCCATTGGCTGACTGGGGAGCATAGTAGACGATATCAGACTCGTTCTCGTGCGCGTTGATGGCGATTCTCAGTGAGATATGTTCCGGCGTCTCGAAAGGTAGGTGCTTCCATTGAGGATGGACGTTGTGATGGAGCACAATGCTGGGTCTGGCTCTGGTGGAGGGTGTCTCTGACTGTGGCTGTGGCTTTGGTGATACTTCCGGGGGGAGAGCTTGAAAGCGGAGGAGGAGATCAACTGCGCGCTGTCGTGCTGCTTCTCTCGGGGTTCTGGCTCTACGTGTGGTTTGGCTACGTGTAGGCTGAGTCGAGGGGGTCGAAATGCGCTGTCGCTTTCTCGGTGGTTCGGAAGGAGAAGAAGTGGTCGTCGCTGCCGAGCCGGGTCTCTCGTTGTTGAAATCCATTGTGGATTTGAAAGGGAGTGGATATCGAGGATTGAGACTTCAGTATCGTGTCTTTGTCGCCGGATGCTTCTGGGAATTGTTCAAGCACAACGTCTTGAAAGGAGGACAAGACCAATTCACACGATATCCACACAGACAAAGTGGACGATTTCTGCTCCTTCGGAACCTGATAAAAGCTGGCTGTTGTTCCTCAGGATAGTGTCTCTGCTGCAGATGGTCTCTACCAAGAAGTGAAAGACAGCCACTGACTTGACAAGGAAACGTTGACAAGACTGATGGACAAGCGTGACGACGGGGAAAGAGACATTCACACGCATGAAGAAGTGAGTGTTCAGCATGAGGCAGTTCAGTTCCGTGCGGTTCAGTGAAAGAAAACAACAACAAGCGACTAAGCAGCTGCCCTGGGGAGGCTATGCCACGTTTGGTCGCTTAGTCGTCGACGTCCAACGTGACGGCGAGGTCCATAATCGCCTGGGCGAACGGGGAGAGACCGCGTGTCATCTCTTGAGTGTCCAGCGGCGGCCACCTGCTCGAGGAACCGCCTCAATCATGGCACAATACATCAATGCCATTGCGAGGAACACATCCTATCAAGCGAACTAGATGAGTATGCAGTGTCTCAACCGCCATCGGTGGGACAGGGCAATGACTCCGATTTCAGTACTGTGGGCTTTAGCGCTGTGAGCATCGACCAACCCTTCCACCAGCCGGCTACCTGCTCGATGAACAGCCTCAGCGACGGCACGAGATATCAATGCCTTTACGAGGAACACACCGTTTGAGCGAGCTGGATGCGTATGGTATACAGCGCCTCAACTTCCATCTATGGGAGATAGGCAACGACGACCATTTCAGCGCTGTGGGCTTCAGTGCTGTAGGCATCAGTCGACCCTTCCCCAGTCGGCCACTCACCCGACCAGCGAGCCATCTGCCAACCTCCCTTCCTTACGAGTTACAACACGTCCATGGCACTGCAGGACTGTGTCTCTGCCATACATATCAACAGTCTCGACACACAGTACAGCCAGAGCACACCTCCCTTTCCACAACCGGATATAATGGCTTTGTCGACTCGATCTGTGACCCATGCCAGACGCCGACGTGGATGTCAAGACAACCCTTAAGAAAAGTACCAAGGCTGTCCGCTCAGCCGAGCCCGGCGCAGCCGGAGATCTTACTTGTCACATGTCCCACGCACACGTCCCAACGCGTCATCGAAATCAGGAGCGGCATGGGTCCAAGAAAGGACAGAAGACAGGGCAGTCGAAAATGCACACAGGAGACATCGAACGCTTGGGGTCTGAACGCGGAGGAGTGGGGGCCCCTTGAAGCCCTTGGTGTTTGTTTCATACGAGGCTGATTTACGCTAACTACTGGTACGAGGCTACAGTCTTAGGGGTAGATGCATAGAGCTACTGTCTTTGGGTACGAGCGCATAGGAGCGGACAAGATGGGCTTGGGTTAGCACGGGTTGGAAGACAATGGCGTGGCGAGAGATGATGACGCCGATGAAGACGATGGCAATAGTGATGGCGATGATGACAGCGACGTCGAATACGCACGTCCGATGTACCCATTTCATGTATAATCAATCTCGTGCCCGACAATTACTACGATGCAATTCTTCTGTACTGAAGCCACGTATAGATCGCTCTACCTACCTAGGTAGTTGAGTTATTAGGTCTAGCATGGATAGGGTGGTGAAGTACGATCTGTCAACGGCTCTCTCAGCCACAGGGTCGTCATCTGCCAGAAGTAGCGCAACGCCCACCGCCCACCGCCCAACACGGGCTGAGTCCAGTCCGTTGTAGTCTGAGTAAGGATCAAGAGACCAGTCTTTGTCAATGTGAAGACAAGGACATGACGTGGAAGTGACGTCCGCGTTACAATGAAGCATGTGGGTGATAACAGTGAGAATGGCCCCTTACAGAAACTATTCGTGATGTCTGGCACACTTGTGACTTGTCCAGTCACGGCAGCTCGCAGGCGATCACGCGTTGAGGTGGCAGCAACTTCAAAATGCATACTCTAGTTTCCCGGTCCCTCAGGTTTGTCCGGGTCCAGACCAATACCGCAACAACGAGAAGCTCACGACCTCGGCTTCTGTCACTGACAGCGATAGCGAGCTCATCATGTGCTGGGTTGTGCTTGGTTGTGCAGCGCGGCTGTCAGCCATATTGAGGTCTTTTGTTGTTGAAGATGAAGTCCCCTGATTTCATCTTGTACCTAATGTAGGATACTGAGTTATGTTGTGGGTGGCTGGTGGCCCCTCACCGTGATAGAGTGTAATATAATGCGATGCGATACAAGACAGTAGGAAGCGATAGCAAGGGCGATAGCCAGGAGCATCAGCAGTGCCCATTTCATCGTTCGGTCAAGTTCTAACTAAGTCTACTTTTGACGGCGCTTCGTGCTGCTTGCTCCCAAATCAATGCGCTGATCGATGCGTCACGGAGACGGTCACGGGCTTGTTCAAGCTTCCTGTCTAGGTATTTCCACTCGACTCCCAACTCTCCGTCTCATTGTCCAATAGCTAGAGCGATGGCAAAAGCGGTAGGCAGAACGATAGTAACAGTGGTAAAAAGAGCGATAGTATAGACATAGCATCGACCAGATGGTGAGGGAAAGACACCACCGCCAATGAATTATATTACTTCACCTTATTTCCTGTCTTTGTCGTCCCCCATTGCATCAGATCGTATTGTGATGTTCAATTCGTACGCCAGCTGCTTCAGGTCCCAAGTGCGCTGGGACACGTCGACACGTGATGATAGATGTGCAGAACACGCGAATGGACACACGCCCGACTCCCTTGGCGCACCTCCGTGCGTCGCATATCATTTCACTTCACAGCACAATACAGTACAGCGCAGCGCATTGTCTTTGTTAAAAGTACAGTTTCTAGGATATGGACTGCCGCATACGAGGCAGGATGTGGTCGCCGACGGCAATCACAGGAGCACAGAGTCATACGGGCCACCAGGATAACATGTCCGATGGCATAGCAGCCGATCAATACACGCGGGATATTATCGATGTTATAGCATTTGCACGTGGTGCATGTGCGCCAGCCCAGGTGATACGCTCTCTTCCCTACCTACCCCATGCCTGTGAGAATCCACTCAATGCCCTTAGCGCCTCCTTGTGGACTCTATATCCCAAGTAATTTTCGCGCCTAGACCACACCCACGGGCACTGTCATCACGCCTACCCATTTGCCGCATTCCTCCTTTCAGCAAGATAACCCCTCACCCCTTCCAACCTGGTCACAAAGAACAACCTCTTCCCATCGTCCTTCCACACCAACACGCCCGTCTCATCCGCATACCTCACCACGCCTTCATACTCGGCGTGCGTGCTAAAGTCGCGAAACAAGAAGCCCGGCGTGGTCGTCATGCGGTCGCGCTCGAGCTGCCACAGATGGATCTGGTCGAGGATGGTGGCCGGCAAGATGGGCACGGCTCGCGCGATCTGTTCCGACGTCTGGATCCCCCGGGCCTGCAGGGCGGCTTGTTCGGCGGCGGCGTGACGGCGCATCTGGGGGTGGGCGTGCGAGGTCAGGTAGGAGATGATTTGCTCGGCGGTGATGCCGGCCTGCACGGCGCGTTGCACGCTGGATTTGGACATTTTGCCGGTCACAAGGTTGGGGTGCCGCGAGCGGAGGTTGATGAACAGGCTGAGCAGCGCGATTTGGAGCGGCGACGATGTGTACGCGTAGACGCGGTAGTTTGTTTCCACGATGATAAACCCCTTTTGGGTCCCTGTGGGGTTGGTGGCCGAAGTGGTATTGGTACCACTCGGCTGGGAGAGCGAGGTGCCGACTTGGGTGTTGGTGGCAGAGAGGGTCGTTGCCGAGTCGGAGGTCAGAGTGGTGGCGAGGCGGGTCGGATAGAAGTAGTCCGCTGGTGTGCCTTCGTCGTCGACGGCCGGCTGGTAAACGAGGCCCAGAGACACCAGGTCGGACAGGATCCGGTGCTGCGTGTCGTCGAGCGTCGAGGTAGAATAGGTAACGCCCAGCTCGAGCGAAGACACGAGGAACAGGAATGATAACACATCCACTTTGTCCATCTCGAGCAGCTCCGCGTTGTCGACGTACAGAAAAAGCAGTGCCCACACCTGCGTGTTGATGTCTTGCAGCACAAATGCAAATCCTTCCTTGGTGATCTTGGCGGTGCCGCCTCGACTGTAGGTCCCGGACACCTCGATGAGATGCCCTGCCTTGAGAAGTTCGATGACGCCGGGTGCCGGATCGATGGCGGCCGACTGCTCGTTCTCGAGGAGCGGAATCGCCGAAGACCCGACCATATACCCCAATATGCCTTCCCATCTTTGGCGCGAGTATTCGTCTAGCTCTGAAATACTGACCCGGTCTCGCTCGGGCACCTTCGCCAGTTGTCCAAACGACCGGTTATCCCCGGCTCCCGTCAGAGCCCGTCGCAGTGACTTTGCAAAGTCCGGAGTCAGAGCATATGCCTTTGTCGAGTCAAGCGTGACATCTCGAAAAATGTGGTATCGGTGCAACAAATCCAAGGCGAATTCACGTTCGCCACGGCTGCCTTCCTTCACGAAAAGTTCCAGCTGCTTGACCGACATCGGTCGAGGCGTGTACAGCAGCATCATGACAAACGACTTCGCCAGTGCCGACAGTCGCTTCCTGAAGATTGCGAGAGCCGAGGATGGCGACCTGTACAGCCGGTAGAACTGCGTGCCTGGGAGGGTTTCGAGGTATTCCCACGATTGGAGAGTCGTGTCCGCCATCCTGATGGAGATTGCGTAGAAAGGTTACACAAATTGCGAGTCCCCGTGAGCTGGTTCGTGTTATCGGTCTATCATAATGTCGCTCGGTTCCCGATGACTAGCATGACTGGGAGGTGAAGCGAAAGGGAGAAACAGTGATGTCTGGTCAAGCAGACTGGTATGGAAAAACAGCGCAAAAATGCCAAGACATGCGACAGCCTTGCCACGAGCCACGAGGCTGAGAGTCAATTGTGATGCACTTTCACCAAACTACAATATTGACTTCATTCACTGCGATAGTGGGACCGTCGGTGGTGATGATAGGTGTGCTGAGCTCGATGAGGACACTACATCCACTGCAGTACGGTTGCCGACTGCGGACGATGCACAACAAAAGAGATACCACCCCAGCCATCCATCTGCGCAGCTTCAAACTCCAGTCTCGGCTGTTTCAACGCCGCTTGTATGGCAGCATCCGTCGAATGATAGCGCTCGAGATACAGACAAATCGCTTGGCCTTGTAGAATACAGCGTGATGATACCCACCAAGCGCCTCTGCACACTTTCATATACCAATAACACAGAATAAGCAGGGCCCAAGGGTCTCGTTGCTGGAGCAGGAGCTTGTAAGGAGGGTCCAGGTGGCAGAGGAACTCGAGAAACTGGAGCCACGTGGAGTCATTGCACTCGAGCTCAAGTAAAGGCAGAAGAGCCCGTGACGTCTTATAACATGGGTTGGCAGCAGCAGACTGCGATGATAGGTCGTTGCTGAACAGATGAGCAAAGATCGAAGGGACGTGTTCAGAAAGCTCAGTCGCTAGCGTATGATCTCGATCATAGATGCGACCAACCTCTTGCCAAAGGCTTTCGGCCCGTAACGGTTTGGCCAACTTCCAGACTGTCCGTTTGCCGTCACTCAGATTGAGCCACGACATGTCAGAATCGGCCAGTGGCCATACTTCCTCGATGGTGGACGCTTCGAGGTTGAAGAAGCTTGCGACCCCGAGGAGGGAAGATGCCAGCATCAAAGCATCACGGTCGTCATGGTGAATCGGTCGAGATAAGATCGTCTGAAAGGCTGCCAGAGCTTGGCTCATATGATATGTCTCGGCTCGGCTTGGTCTCGCAGTGGCAACTCCGCACAAATAACGGTCGTGGCAAGCTGTCACCACCTGCACAAGGTGCATCAGGAACCGATGTGTACAAGCGAGTTGGATGACTTCTTGCTGCAAAAGACGAGCCACTCGTTTGACACCGATTGTCAGCACCGTGCGTGATTGGAATTTGTCCAATCGCGCCAGGTCAGCGTTATCGAATCGCATTACCCCTGGTTTCCACCCCGACCCAAGACTGTCTTCCTGCAAGGAAGCGCTCACCATATCCAGAACAGGTTGGGCTGTCAGAAGCGGAGACTTGTCGAGCACAGACTCCATTTGGACGACGTTGGAACTCGCCGAACAAGGCTGAAGATCCGGTACGCTAGGGCCATAGTTGCACAAGACTTCGAAGCGCAGGCATTGTTCGCAATTCGGCCGAGCCTCATTGCACTTGATTCTTCTGAGCTTGCAGTTGCGGCATCCGAACCGACTCTTCTTATGAGCCTTGCGTTTGCGAATGGTTGGACCCCCACCTATGGGCTTCGTAGGCCCTGATTTGGCCTTCTCCGTCATGATTGTCGGGATCTTGCTCACTATCGTATCATCCGGTCACAGGCGCAGGCCATGTATGTCTTTGATGAAGGCAACAGCTGGTCTTAGTCTGACATTGCTTGAGGTTCCTGCTATGGGCCACTGAAAAAATCCAGGCTGCCTGCCTGGAGGCATGGGCCTGGTCATGGACTTTGGCGGACTTTGGCTGCATCGAGCCGATAACGGATATGCCTGATAGGTGCATTTCCATGTTCGAGGATGCTGGGGGTGAAGATGATTCCTTACTGGCTGGACCGCCGAAGTCAATTTACCGCTTGCAGCCCACGCTAGCCACCTGTCGTATTTGTAGGCACAGCTCGGGGCGGAGAGCGGACATTGTGTAATGACGCGGCTACAGGCACAAAGTCAGTAGAAATAACTCATCCTACGCACAGAGGATCGAGACGATGCTGTGGCAACTTGGCGCCCAACCTATAAACGCAAACACTCTGAGAGAAGGTAGGAAAGAAGAGCAGCTTTAAACACAGCTTGGAAATGGCCGGTGCTTGGTACGGTGAAGCATTGGGTCCTGACACTGTAATCCGGTTGCCGCTTCCGAGATACCAAGACGGGCTCTCATGGCCGGGACGTCGAGACCTACGACATCAATTGACTCGATTCAGAGTTGAGCTTGCTCTCCCTGTACAATTGATTATCAACTGCTGATACGGGTGCTATTCGCTTTAGCCACCTTGCAGCTTTGGATCTGATCGTCGGGCTTTGTCGAAGGCGTTTTACGGAGCTCGGCGTGACCATGTCGGCACTGAAGTTTGTGCGGTCGGTAAGCTTGGGGAATCCAGTTGACCCTGGTACTGGGTGGCTGACAAGGAGCTAGGTGTGGGAGTCTTTTCGCGCAAGCTCGGGCGTTGAACCACGGTAAGAAGGCTGACACGGGAAAGGCAAGAACTTTGCACTAAGCATGGCTCCAGGTTGATAGATGGCGTAAGTATGCGAGCTCCATCATGCGCAGAACTAGCAGCTTGCTATGCATAATGGCCACGGAGGAGTCCTTTACAAACTGCAAACTGAGGCATCTGTGCATAGTTGCGAATAGTAGCTGCTGAACCTGGGAAAGTCAATTTCGAGCTGCCCATCGAAAAGCACCATACAAACCGACTCGGCATACTCCATGGCGCGACCCTCGCCACCATGGTCGACACCAGCGGCTCCCTGGCCCTGGCTTCCCGTGGCCTATATTCAACTGGCGTGTCAACCGATATCAGTGTAACGTATCTGAACGCCGGCGGGAAAATAGGTGACCTGGTTAAAGGTGAAGTCATATGTGATAAATGTACGGGACAATTCCACCTGCCTCTGCCCTTGGGTACGATGTTTGCTGACTGGATTGTTCCTAGTTGGCAAAACCTTGGCATTCACCTCGGTGAAATTCATGAACAAGAACGACGAGATCGTGGCACGGGGGAGTCATACCAAGTTTGTCGCTCTGGCATGGAAGGACGAGAAAAACATCACGGACGAGCTGAAACCACAGGTTGACGAGTCACAAGCTAGTGAAGTCACCAGGACTAGTTTCAGCCATCAAGTCAAGTCATAGCTTTGCGCGAGCAGTCCGTCACCCGGGCGTCTCTGCGTGAGAAGAAAAGCATCAAAGCAGCGTATTGTGCATATAGATCATACCGAAGACTCACCATCCAGAGACAACCGAACACCTACCGCAGGCGTCGTGTGGCTTCATTTCGCTTGGAATAATGAGATCGGGAGCCAAAGGAGTTTTCAGCTGTCTGGTACGGCCGTCTCGCTGTTCGGCTGAACAGTGGTTTGGGTTCATTAGTGATATTGAGACAGAAGCGCGCGAGGTACTTGGCCGCGCATTCTGGGGCTCGCCGGCCCATGTGCCCGCTAAAACCCTTGCAGCGCTCACCTCTATGTGGTATCGTGGCAAAGCATGTACATCCTGCTGAGGCATCTGTGGATCCCGTGGCTTGCACCGGCTACAAAATGCCTCTTCCAAACACACTTAGCATCCTCTCCAACTTTTTGAGTCTGTACAGCTTCGTGACTTTAGAATAATCCCTTTGTTACCGTGAATATTTTCCCGTACGCCATCATCATATGTGTGGCTCGTTAAGCCTCTGGATGGTTCGAGTTCGTACAAGTGTGAAATAACATTAATGTCGATGTCGTGGTAGACGCTGACCAATATCGATATGTACCATGCCAACAGAAAGTATTATCGCCGGCTGAAGATGATAAAATGTTGGTTCCCCCGAATTTGAAAATGCGGCCGCCAAGGGTATCGTATGTATACGCTCGTTGTTGAAGGGTAATCATTTCCAGAAGTGCATTATCGTGTGATGATGATCTGGAAACCATCCACCCACGATCCACAACTGCCAGAAATTCCTGCGAGGCTGTAACCTCGAGGGGCCATCAAAGTGTGCCTATCTCGCGGTTAGGTAATCCAGACCGGCCGAGCGTGAAGCACTTACCCCGAGCCACCGGTTGCATTACCAAAGACACCTGATCTCCGACCGGTGCTGGTCAAGATCTCGATTCCGTCGATCCACAGGCCAGCGCGCAGGTAGAAACCGAGGATGGTCTCCCCACGCCGAGTATCTAATAATGTCAGAATTGAACATAGCATGTACGACGGAAGTTGAGCTTACCCAGGAAGAACTCATCCCCACCAGGCTTACCTCCTCTCTTGCCGAACAGCTGACTGTGACCATCCTCATAGCAGAACTCTATTCCGTCAAGTGCATATCCAGAATACACCCTGACAGAAGTCAGAAGTTTCGTCTGCAGATGAGTGCTCTCCAGAATTAACTCGATCGGTTGAGAACCCTCTAGCTGAGAGTGGCCCAACTTTTTGCTTCGGAAGCCCAGCCGTGTGTCGAAGGACTTGCCCAGCCCGACAACATTGTTGAAGGCGTTCATCGTCAAGCCTTCGTCACGTTTCGGTGCTTGCCTTACATGAGGTAGTGCGACGATATTCTTTTTCGATAAGAGATCTTCCAAGTCCTCGATCTGCTCACTCCGAGAACTGCCGCAGAAGATGGTGAGAGACACCTTGGCTTTCTTCTTGTCCTCAGGGAGACGTGCTCGGATATCAGCTTCTGCGAGGGAGATTTGTCGGGGCATGACGCTGCGGCGAGGATCGGTTGTGGTGAAATCAAGCCACTGTCGGCACAATTCGTCATCGGGCGTTCGAATTTCAACGAAGGCTATTCCTGATGCCGCAGAACAGATTACACTGCCGTTGCCGACCGGGAAATACTGGATGCTGTCGTCTTGTGGCAGAGATTCGTCGCTGGGTATTCTGAAGCAGGGGTGGTGCCGAAATCGCAGAGCGTCGAGTCGATGCCAGGCGCATTCGTCTTCTGGCCGGCAGATCGGCAGCCCTTGTGATTTCGTTCTTGTTGAAAACGGCTCCCTGACTAGGAATGTTCGATTTAGCCGGACGTAGTCCCTGAGCATGACTCCATTCTCTTGATGTGGACAGCCGAACAGGTGGCCAACTTCATGCAGATGAGCCCCAATGCCGATATTCGCAGCTTCCCAACTGCTTCCAGACTCATTGCAATCGTTTGCGACGTATTTGGTATCTGTCCGTGTGCAGTCACTGAAAGCTGGAACTATTTCTTCAATGGAGGATGGGTAGCTCTGAAGAGCGTGAGAACCGAAAATGGCAAGGCCGAGGTCATCACCGGTACCGCCTAGCGCAGCATGTCCTCGGATTGTGCCCGCGTCTGGATCCCAATGCGAATCGAGAAGCATACAAGCGACGTATTGCTTCTGTCCAGGGCGGATGTTGAAATGTTTCTTGACAGCATCTGCAGCAATCGAGTACAGGTCCCCCTTCTTCGCCGCCGGACCATATTGCTGTGCATACTCAAGACTCTGCAGCTCTTCGGTAGTTCTGTCTGAGCGTACAACATGAATCCTAGTTTCATTTTTCATGGTCCCGATCTCCCAGTCCCGGATGGACAGAGTGCCCGTCTGCCACTCTTCTTCGAACCTGAAACATCTGCGACCGAACTTGTGTCGATACATCTGTTCGGCCGTAAATGTCTGCCACAGATGAGCAGCCATTCGAAACTTTCTAATGGCCATCGACAGGTCATTTCCTTCATTCTGTATTCTTTGCGGTACCGCATCGTATGTACAGGGTGAATCCTTCCCAACGAGGATCACCAGCTGTAAAGGCGGTGCGCTATTCAACGGAAGGTAGTTTAGCATAATGTAGGAGGAATGCATCGTAGGCGTGACCCCATTGCTGTGGCGGCTCAATGATGGCGACGTGAAGTCGAAGCGTATTCTATTCCAGCCAGGTGATAGGTAGATCAAAGCCTTGAAATATGAATCTGAGACTGGCCAGTTGGTAGGTGGAAACGCCTGTCCGTCCTTGTCGTGGTGAACCGTCAAATTGCCATCCATGGGCTTCTGATTGGGATCGCCTATTTCTCCATTCACCAACAGCAGCTTGTGATGGACCTATTTCCGCATGTGAGCTTACCATTCCACGTCCCTTGTGTTTCGACCTACCACTGAGTTGTCCAAGATAGAAGTCACCCGGGGCGCGTACATGGAGGTCGGCGGAGGTACTCGTATGGTGCCATTGGAGCCAGATGGAGACAGAGCCTGCACCAGGTCAGCTTCGGGGATCTCTCTTTGCCATCGGTGTAACCATTCTTCTTACTATCATGCTATTGCGGTTTGAGCTTGGCACCATGACGCTTGGTCTCTGAGGGATCGGAGGTGGGGTGTCGCCATTGCTCTTAACGCTGCCCAATACATTATGAGAAGACCCATTGGCATAATAGGTGGACGGCGGTGTGGTGCTTCCTGGCGTGGAGTTGAGGGTGGATGAGGATTTGGCAGTTGGCACCGTACCATTCGACTCTGTTGAGGAATCGGAAGTTCGGAAACTGGCTTTTGATCGTCGGCGCAGCTCTTTGAAGAACGGCATGACTGTGTGCGATGAGACGGGAGCGAGGGCGTTATAAGCCGCTCATGGATAATACGATGATGCAGGGATTGAGCTCAACGCCGCGACCAGGATGTCACAGATCCAGCCCAGCTGTATACGGAAGATGTAACAATCGCAGGCACATGGATGTGCAATGGAGGTGTTTCGAATCGATGATTGGCTGCCGGGGAGCCGAACTGTATTTAGAGAGGTGGGAGGTATCACCGCAGACAAGAAGGCAAACTCAATCTGTGGATTATCCAGGACAAACGAGCGACAGTGAGGACGTCGATGGACGTGTCAGACCTGTGTGAGTGTGAAGGTGAGACGAGAAAGCACGGAAAATCTTCAGTCCAACAACAGCGACTAGTAGCCGCAGTAGTAGTGGCGACGGCAAGGTGTCATTATCTGCCCGGACTTTGGGCTCGCAGTTCCTTGAGAAGCAGCTGGGCAATCCATTTGGGTAGCACCGGATGGACAAGCAGCTCTCCAGCAAATATGGAGTGGAAACGGCAGGCTCGGACAAGAGACATGCGTCGCAAGGAGCAGGTGCGATTCGCCAGGATCATGAGGCACGTACGAGTACTCGCACTGTGGACAAGGCAGGCAGTGGAGAACGGGAAAGCGCAATCTGCAACCAGAATTTGCGATGGTGGGCGGGTAGGGCAAGCGGCTGTCGACGTGCAGCTGAATGATAACAGGTGGGGAAAGGATATGTAAATGCGCATGCTCAGCATCCAACTCCAGCGCGAAATACCTGCACCTGCCCCTTTGCCAACCGCTTGGACCAATGCATTTAGGCTTCTTTAGGCCTGGTGCCCGCAGAATCGATGACTTGGGCTTGCAACTTAGGCGGGCCATGACGTCGAGGTCAAGCGTGGAGAACGTGCGGTTGGCGGCCACCATGCGGAATAAGCTTATCGGTGCCAGCGCCGAGAGATTATCGGTGGTTGGCAAGCACTTTCCTCCGTGGTGTCGACGACTGAACATACTTGCTTTCACGAAATGTTCCAACTGCTGAGGCATGATTGAAAGACAAGAAGAAACAGTCTACGCCGGCTCTGGTCCTCTGCGAGTAAGCGCAAATGGGCTGACTGTTTAGACAAGAAGACAGCAACAGAGATGTGAGCCATACACGGACGCTAACCAGCCCTTCTGCCTTTCAACAGGCACATTCAACATTGCACAGTACGGTGAACCACAGATCCCTATTGACCCAATCTCGGTCGGCAAGAGACGGAACAGTGTTTCAACATCTTTCTTGCATTGAATGGAGTGGAGGAAGATCCTGCATCACTGTACTAGACTCCTCAGTGCGCCAGTTGTTATCGTCAGTACCCCAGGAGTTCAAACTGTTCCAAACATATAGCTCGATATGTACGGAGTACCTATGAGACAATCGTCACATTTCGTTTATCAGGGCAGGATCTCTGTAATGACATCGGGCTGTCATCAATGCACTACGAATACGTACTTCCGAAAAACCCCGAGCCATGGCAAGAAAATCAGCAGATGTTCTTGTGTAGAAGTGGGATTTCGTCGTATGCCGCCCAGAGGATGTGACGCCTCAAGATTAGTTATGAAGCAGCTTCACGGATAAGCCACCCGAAGATGTTCCTTTCTACCGTCCTTTACAGGGCACAACACTCCGTATCGACGCAAAGAGCAGCTTTCTTGACTTCCGCCCGATTATCTGAAAGCAAGAAGAGAGGTAGGGTTCGATGCTGGGACCATTGCTGTAGAAAAGCTATACAGTATGTCACCAACACCAGTGGAGTCGGTTGCGATAGATGTCCGAGAGCGAGATTGGTTAGTCATCCCATAGCGTGCCTCGTTCCTGAGAGTTCGGGACCTGAGCGCTACACCTCTTTAGGCAGGCTGTCTTCTGCCACCCCGTAAGTTGGCAGCTTTGAGATAATTTAGAACTGTCATTGACAGGGCAGGAGAGAAAGGAGAATATCCACAGCTCTTGATACGAATGACAGCTCAATAACTAGCCCCTGCGCTGTCAAAGAATGTTCCGATATACAAAGAGTAATCGAGATCGAAGATCCAGGCACGACAGGGCCCGAGTATCCGAAGCGAAAAAAGAATAGTTAGGAACATGCAGTAATCTGGTACCTGCAACCGCCAGATCGTGTGAGAAACTTGACTGAGAAACTAGGCGGAGAAGGGCTTGTTTTCCGCCATCATTGGGCCGTGGTCAAACGTGGGTTTGAAATGGATGTGTCCTCGTCGACGCCTATGGCTGGGCTCGTTGGAGCCAGCTGCAAAGAAATGCATGCGACCTGCAGCGGCCAATCTCAGAGCCAGTCGGTAGGTTCGAAGTCGAGTCTCAGTTAACCGTAGGCCATGCTTAGCAGCTTGGTTAAGAGCCAATGGGGAGGAGCCAGTACCAGCCACAGGCGAGTTGGAGCTTCAGATGGAGGGCCTCAGTCAAGTCCTGCGAGGGCACCCCTCGTCACTTGTCCTCCACACTTGCCGCTCTGACTGCCTCCCTAGCACAATGATTAACTTGTTCGGTCGATGCTTTCTGTCAATGGTCTCTACCACAGTACAACCACCGCATTCCTTAACTCTCTTAACTTGAAGAACCCCGGACTGCTGCTCTCATTCACTCAGCTGCCTCCTTCCTACATAGTCGCTCACCCTTCTCTCACTGATCTTTCAGCATGACCTCGGTCCATCAGTGAACAGCATTCGAGGGAGTACAACAATAGAACAGGTCGATACCCGCCTTACCCTGGTCCGTGGCCCCACGAATTGCCAGTCCAAGTCTGGATCCATCGCAGGAATTAGACCAGCTCGACTTCAATTCTTTGCTAGCCTGCGCATTGACGTTTCGGGGCAACACCACATATTTGACAAAACTCGTACCCTTTTCTCCTTCTTATACCACCGGATCCCCGATCCCTCATGCTGGCCTCTCGGGACTACTGCAACAACATGAACTCCCAACAGCATCCTTATGCAGCAGCTCAAGTGGCCGAGAAGGTAATGCGGAGAGTGGAAATTGCAAAGGTAATCCCAATTCCAGCCCACTGAGTGTCACTCGACCTTGTTCAGAGCTGACTGCGGTCCAATGTTAGGTTGCTCGAAATCTTCAAGACTGTCTGGCCTTTGCCAGCTTCAAAGCCCAGAACGGCTGGCAAGATCGAACACTCTCGTCCATCGAGCCCGAGTTCACAGAGAAGCTGAAGAGAAAGAGACCGTTTCTTGAGGAAGACCTTGCCGTCGACACCTCATCCGACGAAGAGTTCGTCCCCACATCGTCCATTGCAAACAATCGGTTCTCCAAGCCCTCGAATCCGACCTTCAAAGTGCCTGAACCTCCCTTTGGTTCGAGAAAGAGAGTTCGTTCCAACTCCACCACTGGGCTCGACAGACAATCATCTGCATCGACATGGAAGCAAGATCATGGCTTGCCACAGTCTTCTCCTGCCTTGAACCGAACGCAGTCTTTCCATGAGCATACTCTACTTCATCCAGAGTCTGCTAGCATGCATAATACAACTGATGACTCTCCTATGTTTGACGCTCAATCTGACGACGATGACCATGACATGCCAGCCTTCGGCCACGAACCCTCAAGCAGTATCCTGTCCTCATCCCCGCCTCGCACTCCCCCGTCAACTAAGCGTCTCCTCAATCCCAACACGAAAAGCTCTGGAGCTGATCTTCTGCTGTATTTGGCAAATTCACCATCCCGCTCACCTGCTGCTCATTTCCACCGACCCTCTGATCACTCAAAAGAACCACCCTCCACGCCGCCTTCACAGCACTCGCATCTTCCATCTTCAGTCATGACAACTCCAGGTACAAACCTTGGGTTGTTCAATGGCGCCCTGCAAACGCCAGGTCAAAATTTCAACCTTGCTGACTTCTGCAACGTCACTCCATCACCCGCACCGACCCAATGGCGCACTCCCAACATTACGCAGACACCCAGCCGCTTTTCCAAGAGAGGCTTGAATTTTGATTCTCTGCAACCCCCATCTGGTAGTCCAAATGTGCAACGAAAGACACAAAGCAGCAAAGGACTGGCACTCCAACTTGGTGATGAACTCATTCCAAGATCATGACCGCTTGCGGCCTCTCTACCAACATTAACTATTGCTACGATAAAACGCCAACAGACACTGGCATAGCCGTGTCATGGCCCACTCGATCTGTTACGACTGACATACAAAATTTCCTTTTTACTCAGAAACAATGCAGGAAGACCCAAAAGGAGGGTCGATGTCTTTGAGCTTGAAACGCCACTGGAGCTGGACATCCGGGAAAGCCAAGCATCAATGGTCAAAGCAACGGATGGTGGGAAAGACTCTTGCGTGTCTCTGTGATATTGAGTACTCCGTGCTCTGAATTGTTTTTGCATCGACTATCTGATGTGGTCAAGTCGACCATGCCTACAGCCTGCCTCGACCAAGGTCGACATCTTGCTAATTGCACCAATCCGCCTCAAACAACAAGAGGAACTGAAGTACGTAGCTGAAAGTAGATAGCTCAGAATCAAACAAAATATTACCAATCAATCATCACGTAGCCAGGTCCTTCGCTCAATGCCGCTCAGCTCGTAATGCTTAGAGTGCTCGCATCGCGTGCCCGACAAACAGCATAGCACAGAATCGTCTTCTGTCCAGTTTGTGGCCCCTCGAGTCCTGGCAAACGCACGCCTGAAATTTGAACCATCGATTAGTGTTGCGCCACCGCCGGTCGAGGGGCTGTTTCTAGACTCGGTCGTGGAGCAGTACGTCAGACATGGATGCCACTCTGCGGCTTCGGCGAGACGCCGGTCAGCTCTAATAGACCTTGCGGTTGCTTTTTCTGCATGCACTTTATGGGGCTTGACAGCATTCCGGGCTTAGCATTTAGTTACGGAGTAATTACATGGTCGGAGTACAGTATCTATCGGCATCACCATTCCTGCGCGGCACTCATCCTACAGGCAAGATCCAAGGTGCTCTCCAATTCATCCACTATTCACAGCAGGGATGATATTACGCAGTATAAAGTCTATCAGCCACACTATAGAAAGGAAGCATTTTTCCGCAACCTGTGCTATGGTACTCGGAGTGTCGTAGACGAACGAACAGGATATGTACTGCAGGTCGTGGAACGCATATCCAACCGAAAGGGACAGCATGCAGTTATTTCTCGCACGTCGCTGCAGGATAAGCGAGACGCGTTGCATTCTCTCTCTGATAGTGTCGCATGCCCCCGATTCAGTAGAGACCGCTTACCGCAAGCAAATGCAGCATTTTTATGATGGTCCTGCAGTACTCGTACCCCGTACCGATGCGAGTCGCCTCCAACACAAGATGCCCCCAGTTCCTGGATCGATATCGAGTGATCACACCAGCCCCCGATCCATAAGTAGAACAATCACGATGTCCAAAGTGCGTGCAGATTGTGGAAATTCATGCGCGGCCGGGAAATGAGCACGCGAGACACGACCGCCGAGGTCGGGCACGTCGGGCTGGGGACGCGATCGATTTGCCGTTTCTTTTTCGGTCCCTCGTTTCCGGCGTCTATCAATCAACGTCAAACCACTGACCGCCATGTGAATTGTGAACGATGCCCAATTAAATGACCCATGAGCAGTACATCGCTACATCAATGCATCACACAACATCATCAAATTCCCTTGGTTTTTCAAAAAGTTCATGTTCCTCGGATTGACACGACACGACACGTCAACAGTGACCACGCCACACGTGTCAGACGCATCACCATCGTGCCGATCCCGGATAGTTCGCGTGCCTAGCGCGTAGCGCTAGCACCGATAAGTGGCGATTCCGCATACACAGTACTGTGGATCGCGGGGTTCCGCCGTTCGGTGCGAGGGGTGGCTGGCACGGCGACGCTATCAGCAACCGAGGATGGTCGGTCAGCCTTGATTCCTTTCTGCTGCAAAACTTGAGATGGTGACGACACGAGCCGCTACTACGAGTACGAGTCGCATCACTGCCACACCTACAGTACGCCACGCTCGCTTGGGATGTTCGCAGTATGCGCATGCCGACGAGCTAGTTCCTCGTCACGCTCAGCGCCGATGCAGGTGGTGTGCTGAGCGCTTAGGACGGCCAACAACAAGAGTGCCGACTCTGCAGCTTGTGCTTGAGGTGAATGCAGGATATGCAGGATTTCCCTGGATTTCTGGGATCAAAAAGCTGGGCCAAAGCTCACAAGCAGCTGAAAATTGGCGATTCCGACCTGGCTTCTTTCAATGCATGATGGCTTTTTGTTTTCGTGTTCGTGTCATGCCGTGGCTGACAGCGTAGCGACCGTTGGACACGAGGTCACAATCTCGACCGTGGTCTTCAGGCTTCGATCCTCAAGCTTGTCATATCAGTAGGGACTCTCAACACCTCATGCTGTGTATGAGGGAGCTCCCGCGGTCGGAGAAGAAAAGACCCTGGAAAGTCGAAGCCTTAGACCGGGATGGGGCACTCTCCTCCAATAATGGGTACAGTGTAACAAACGACACCTGTTGCATCGTGGCTTAAGTACCAAAGTCCTCCTCCACCCCGATAAGCAGTGCGGTGCTCTATGGAGTAGGAGTACGTACTCTGCACAGCACCTGCATCTAGACTCCCTCGTAGAAGTCTACCCGTACGGAGGATCTCGTGGCCATCCTTATCTGAGAGCGCGTCCCCGCTAATGGTATACTCAGCTTCGCGCATCACGATGCCGGACTCGAGCGAGTCTGTAACCGCGTGGACGTCTGCGCTTCAGTACTCGCCAGAACGATTGGGCATTCCTCGATTCGGACTTTGTCAGTCCGTTCTACTCCGTACTCATAGCCAAATACGGAGAGTCATGATGGTAGAGGGTTCCGTTTAGCCACCCGACATGGAGTGGAAGGTCTTTTCAAGTCCTGCTCACGCTCACAGCGACTGGCTTGCGCAGTGGTTCTCAGCCGCTGATACCTCGTATTACAACATCAAGTACCAATACTGCTTTGAAAAATACCGATCTATCTCCCTGGCTTCATCAAAGCCTGTTGGGTGGACGAAGGGTATAACTTTCCGTCCAGCTGTCGGTTCGCGCGCGCAATAGTGATGGGGCACAGAGCTACCACTCTTCACGGTGATCTAGTTGTCCGAGGTTTGCCAGGATCCGGTCGAGCTCATATAGAGCTTTCGTGTTCCCCAAGTACACAAGGCATTGGATAGGGAGACCATGTCTTGGCAAGAGATTGCGTTCAAGTAGAAGATTGCGAGTTGGTCGCTTGATGTGTATGGGGACGTCTGCCTGGTCGTATCAGGAACATCCCGTGAGTGTACGTCTCTCAAAGAAGTGCAACGTACGAAAGAGGGGCCGGGCCGTTGACTGACCAAGGCTGGCAAGACGGCTGGATCAACACTCCGTCTTAACACAGTAGATAGGCTTTTAGGTGCCTGTGGTCTTTGACGTCTATAGCCTTTCGGTAGAATTCTCCTGTGCCTCATCAATGCGATGTCTTTCCATCTTTGACATGATCGAGTCACTTCCTCGTCACCCTTTCCTCCCACTGCACACCAACCCACTCCTCCCTGAAACTGACGGTTCCGGTCTCACCACAATTATTCACGCAGGTCCCCACGATAATCGTGCCCCACTCCATGCCTTCGTCCAGGCTCAGGTCCTCGTCTTTCTCCAACTCATAAATCAAGCCCGGCACAAGCTGCAGCTCGAAAACCCTCTGACTGCCACAATTCTCGCATCTCGGGATACCCCTCGGCGCACCGGCTTTTCCATGCGGCACGATGAAGCGTGTTGCCAGACCGTCTGTGCCAGAGTATAGTAACGGTTCACCCTTGAACTCGTACCGAAGCACTTGATCCGGATTTTGTGCAATGCGGTCTGAGAACCTTTGGAATGTTTTATCCATTGTCATATCATAATCATCTTTACTGTTCGAGGCGCTAGCCGAATCTTCGGCGTCGTACTGGGTTTTGGAGGATTCACCATTCTTCACGGGGATAGCCGAGTCTTGTTCTTTTTCGAGTTCTTCTGGATAGGCGTCAAGGTAGAAGGAGGGGTATGGAGGGGGAAAATCGGAGAGCGCAGGCCATGGTTCTTGTGATGTTTTCTGTTCCTTGCTGGGTGCAGTCGAGTCGGCATCAATCTTCAGTTTCTCTGCGAATGACTGCGTGGGTGGTTGAGGTGAGGGCTCGTCGACCGGGTTTTGTGGAGGCAAAGCAGCTAACGTAGAGGGAGAGCCTATCGACGCGAACGGATTCGCTGCTGCTGCTCCGTGCGACGACGACATGGAAAATGGGTTTGCTGTCGACGCTGCGTTCGAGCCTGATATCGAGAAAGGGTTGGCGCCATTAGTCGCAGCTGTTTGCTGTGCTGGCCCTCCGAACAGTGCGCTTCCAAGATCTTGTAAAGGCTCCGCCGGTCGTGTGTCTGACAATTGCTTCTTCCCTTTGTGCTCTCTTGGCTCCGACTTCCTGACCTCTCGAAACGCGCGAACACTGCCCACCTTCTTCGAGCACTGTTTCTTCCTACAACATAGGATGTGCAAGCGTCGCTCGTCGTTGGGGAAATATTGTTGGAGGTCGGCATTAAGCTGCAACAGCAGGGACATGTAGCTGTTGCATATTTTGCATTTGGCGAGCGCAGCGGGGGGATTTATGGAGGCATCGAGCCAGGTAGGATGGCCCCCGACGTGGCTGATCTCGTCGCCCGTTGAATCAGCGGAGACGTAGCCGAGAGTGACGTTTGTGGTCGAGTAGTCTTCCCCCTCGTCTGAAGAGTCGCTGTCATAGGGAGGCATCTTGTGAACTATGACGATCTCCGCTCAGTGCTGGTCGATTCGGTGGAGCAATTAGGAAATGAATTGTCTATTAGTACCTCGTACATCTGGCGACAATTTTCTATCGCAGAAAATGATAGCGCTAAGAGTTAAGGTTGCGTCCCGCGCGGAAACCATCCAAAAGAAGAAAGGGCTATCAGGCTAAAGCTTCCCCACATTACGGCGCACCTTTCCGGCACTTCTCCGCAATGATCATCCTGGTCGACACCCTTTTCATTGTGGTCACGTCGCTGTCTTATGCCGCTTTGAGGACCCTGGTCGTGCTTCTGGCTTCCTGCTTCATCCCGTCTACTGACGCCGCACCTCCCATCCGCATATGCGTACTCCTCAGCTAGGCCGTGCCAGCCGCCCTTTCACGGGGTAAAGACCAATCATCCGATGCATCTCCCCGCGCCTTGGGAGGCGGGGAACCATGTTAAGCGACGTCGAGCCCGACTAGTATATTGTCCATAAATACCGTTCCACGACGTCCCGTACCCCAGGTAAGCCGGGAGACCTCCTTGCAGTAGTTCTTCTCCCAAGTCCTCGCCCACAGTCCCGGAGGCAGGCCATCGAAAGTCAACATGTCGACTCACAAAGCCACCGGCGTCACAATTGACGAGTATCAACTCCCAAGAGGCCGCAATGCTGCAGGAGCACTCTTGACCACGGCCCTTCTGGTACTGTCAGCTAACAGGAGGTTCGTCGAACCACGATCGTTGCTCCACGATCAGGTCCTAGCCAGAAACGCCAAAGTCCACAAACACAGACACCGAGGTCAAGACATCCTCTTCTACACCCTGTATGGATTGAGCGGCATACAGACTCTGTGGTTCGCCTTGACGAAAGCCAGGCAGCACAACCTCCAGCAATTCAGCGTTGCGTGGTTTCAATGGCTTATCACCATCTTCCTTGGAGGGACTTTCGCTCAGAAGCACTGGGATGAAGTGGTTGAAAAGAAGGAGTTGAAGACAATCAAGGAGATCTAGAGAGATAGGCGAGGCTGAAACGGCTCTTCCGGTGACATGTCTACGGCAGCCGAGTTGCTGGCCACCGCGATATTTTGATCGAAGCGACCAAGGAGTTCTATTGGAGGCAAATATGTGCTTGAAAGGCCTTCAGTGAGACAGATCTGTCATTATGCCAATTCTACCCTGGCTGTTGATGACAAAACGATGTTCGGAGGTTGCTGTGCTATTTCCCTATCTTTGCGCCTTGTACCGAGACCAAATGCCAAATGACACACATCTAGTCTCTTGCTTACCTAGGGAACTTCTTGACGATGATAACCCAGCCAAACCGGGTCAATCTGGCGCGGCAATACGAGAAGCTGCGCCTCCTGCCACTTTGAAACCATCGCCAAGACTGGAAAGTCTGGTGCAACCATTAAATGCCCAACTCAACTTCAACCTCACCTCCCACTTTACCTTTTTCTTACCTTGAAATTTCTCCCTCGCTCTTTTGCTTTCATGACAACTCTCCTCAGAGTCGGTATCGTGGTCCGGATGGCGTTGTAAGAACCTCACGACTAGTTCGCACGCCAGCTGATCCACCATGGCCTCAACAGCCCGTCACGAGCGAGGCTCAGCCTTCCTCCGCATCCCAGCCGAAATCCGACTGCACATCTATGGCTACCTCCTCCCCAAACACCGTCTAGACATCAATCTCTGTGATCCCGACGACAGCCACCCACCCAGCAGGGACATCCTGCCGGGCAAAAACAAAAAAGCCTCCCCCATCTCGGCCATGGTTTCTCTGAATCTGGCCATCGAAGCCATCACCCGCTCCAACGGTCTGCACCTCCTGCTGGTCAGCCCCCGCACCGCCACCGAATATGCGAGCCTGCTCGCCAAGCTGGCCGTCCGCTTCCACTGCCCGAAGTGCTTCGACGAGTGGCTCCGCAACGTGTCGTACGGTCTGGGCGTCGGCATAAAGTGGCTCAAGCGCGTCGAGATCCTGTTCGACTCGGAGATGGGAGCCCGGCCTGTCCGTAGCCGGGGCTTGCAAGGCATGACGCCCGCCTTGTCGAAGTTCATGGCCAACGAGATGATGAAGCAGTGCCAGCACACAGTCTACGCGTACTACGGCCGGTTGGACCTCATGGACCCGCCGAGCGAGGTGTGGAGGTACGAGCCTTACCGGGGCGAGAACTCGCAGGATTCTCAGGACGAAGCGACCAACGACTCGGCACAGGAGATGTCCCAATCCCAGACCCAGACGAACGGTGGACTGCATACGCATCCTTGGGTCATTAACGGAGGGTTCCCGGCCCCTGAGACGCGGGCGCCCTTTCATGGCAGCGCCGCGCTCACGTCCGGGCGGCGGTTGAGGCGGATCTTCCAAATATCATCTACCCATCATCCACGACCAGGTGAGGATCGAGACGAGCCTGCAGAGACGACGAGAGAGTGGATCATCAAGGGGTGGCTTAACGTCTAAAAGATTCGGGGAGGTGCTCAGGAAAAGTAGTGTATGTTTGTGCAACGTACCAAGCTTGCCCACACCAATGTATACGGAAAATCTAATGGTTGGTGGGAAGGCGGCGCTCAAAACGCCGAAGCAAGCACCTGGGTGGCACCTCTCTGCAGTACCTCCTCTGGGGCTCTGATTGCAGTAATTAATGTCCGGAAAGATCGACGAGCCACCAATGGGTTGACAGTGTCCCCTTTCCGTGTTGTTCCAGAATTAGCTCTAATTAGTCCTCTTCGATACGAAACAAATAGATAACATGGACGCAAGTCCTGTTGCGAGCAGCTTTCCACGCGTCGCGTCCGATTGCCGATAAACTCGTCCACCTCTGCCGTCTTAGAAGGTAAATTGCATCAACCCCGGGTTCAACACCAACGGCAACAAGGCGTGAGATCCTACATCAATCAAGTCAGTTAAACCAGTCACATTCCCGCCGTCACAGATCTGCGCAAACGCGGCGCGACGTTTGTTCACAATTTCGACATGAAGAAGGAAGGAACCCGGCAAAAAAATCGAGACTCACCTACGACCGTGGCCAGTGGCCAAATAGCTGTGAACCACCCGATCTGCCAATCGTACGGCACCAATTGGCCCAGCGGCCCCACTCCCGCCACGATTACCATGCCGACGCTGACGACCACGCAGAAGATGAAGGTGAAGCGAAACTTCCGGAGGATAGTGGGCACCTCGGCGAAAAAGGACGTGTCCGTGGCTTCCTTGGAAGTGGCGCCCCATGACATGTCTATGGAGAAAAGGTGGCTGAGGATCGCCTGGCTGACGTGCAAGCTGATGCCGCCTAGAAAGACCGTCAGGAGTGGGATCCAGCGGAGGTTCTCCCACAGGGCGGATGCCAGCGTCTTCTCCTCGACGCGGTACCGCATGACTGCGAGGGCGAGGTTACCCAGCGCGGTGAACACGATGATGATGGCAAAGTAGATCTTGAAACTGTCGATGTAGTAGTGGTCGAGGTGGCCGTTAAACCAACCCACGATGCAGTAGTTCAGCAACGTCAGGATCCACGCGCTGCCAATGGCGTAGTACGTGCCTATGTAGGCCATGATGGTGATCTTGCTGGGCAGTGGCATATTGGAGCGCACAAAGTCGCGGAACAGGGTCGTGAATGGTCCTTTAGTGACCCAGTCGCGGAAGGGGTGGAAGATCAGCTCGCTGCAGCCGTAGGCGTATTTCTCCCATCGGGCGAGCTCGTCGTACACGGTGAGCGAGACGCCTTCTTTGAACCCTTGGCCCGCGTAGACCGCGAGTCGGAGGATGTAGCCTTGTGTTTGGAGACGTAAGGCCATGTCAAAGTCCTCGGACACGGTGGCTTCAGACCAGTACTTCTCCTTGACTACGCCGTCGTTAATGTCCGCGTACACGTACGCTACATCCTGCACGGCCGTCCAGCGTAGAAAGGCATTATGTCCGACAAAGGGCGCGACGTCGCCGTTTGAGACGGCATATCGGATGGCCGTGTAGACGAGATTGGTGAAGAATGTGATTCCCTTCTCGAACCAAGAGTCCGTGACATTCATAACCCCGGAGGCGAATTGTATGATCGCGACTTCGGGAGAGGCTTCCATTTCGGAAACAGCGCTCAGGAAACAGTCCTGCGGGACGCGCGTGTCGCTGTCGATGAGCAGGATGTAGTCGCCAACGCGAATGTTGCCGGCTGCTTCGGTGCGGCCCTCGTCCTCATTGATGATTTCAGCTAATGTGGCTTGGTAGGCTGTGCGTTCGTGTTCGACTGCCCATGTGCCATCGGTTGGCTGGACCATGGCGGATAATTTGTCCTCGACCCGCGCGGAGACATTGAGCGCGTAATTCATGTTCGATGCTTTTTTGAACTTGCCGGCTCGGATAAAGGGCTGCTCGCCTTCACCATTAGGTTTTGGGTTGTGTTTGGGACGAGCCACCCAACCAATGTTGTGCTCGTCATAATAATCTCTCCGTTCTTGGGCTTCTTCAGCTGGGATGATCTGCATACCATCGTCGTTGATGAAGATATTAGCCGTGCCGCCTTGCATCTCGTAGGTGGAGATTGCATCCTTGATAGACTTGATCGTGGGATCGATGACGGACCAGAGCCCTTCTTTGTACACGGGGCATTGTATAGTGACGTGTGGCAACACACAGGATCCGTCCGTCGGGAGGCGAGGTGGAGGCATGCCGGAGTAGAATTTGGTGTTGGCGTTCATTTGGCTAATGGGGCCGATGATCTGGGCACAGCAACCGGCAACGGATTGCATGAAGAAGAGGGCTAGCCAGCACTGAAAGGGGACGACCGCGAAGAAGGCCAGTCGTATCCAGTCGTGGTCGACTTTTAGTTCGACGGCAATTTCCCGCCAGCCACTCCCAATGGCGGCGATGAGCAGGATCAGGGTGAAGGCCGTGAGAATAGGCTGAACAAGAACGATACGACGAGGTGGCAAAGGCCCTTCATGGTCCTGCAAGGATGCTTCGTGGCCGTTGGGACTCAGGTTAAGGGTGCTTGGTACAGCACTGAGAACTGGCAGTGCTGATACCTCATCATCGAACTCTCCCTTCCATACCATGCTGATAAGCTGGTCTTCAATGGATTGCACACGCTTAAGGATGTGATTGGGGTCGTCGTCCCATACAACGAGGATGTTGTTGGTTCGCACGAAAGCTGCAAATTGATGCTTCTGGCAGTCTGGTAGGGCGTTGATGTTTGGAAGAATCTGCAGCCGAAGGCCTGAGTCCAGCGGCATGTGGGTGAGTGTCTGATCCTGGAGAAAGAGTTTGACGACTCCCGTATTGACTGTCATGGCACACTACACATATTGTCAAGCACGGCTGATGCGCATGGAGAGGCTTCTGACCTTGACGTTCAGTCTCCTCACAGCATCATACACTCCGTCAGGCCGTGATGAGAGGTCTTCTGGCGCACACCTGTAGTCATCCTTAGCCTTTTTCAGCAAAACACCTTCCTCGATACTGTTGGTCGTCCACATTCGCTCTATTTGTTGCTGATGCAGCCAGTTGCACATCATGTCGGTCTTGAGCTCCCTGAGGTCCGGCATGGAGCTGTTCCGAAAATCTCCTTGCGGGTACAACATAGTTCTCCTGTTCGTGTTGTTCCTCGATGATACCGGTCTAGCTCTGGCAGAGGAAGCACTGGTCGGCCTTACTTCGCGGGCGGAGTCTGGAGTTCCTGGAGTGCAAAGTATCACAGACAAGTCGAATGTTGAAGTCATTGCTGGATGAGAGCTTTCCATGACGATAGAGGGTGTATCAGTTGAAGCAGACTGAGGGTTTTGCGGTGCGGTCGAAGCAGCCGCCTCAGCACTGCCCGCGGCCATGTCGCTGTCGAGGAATTGTGACTTCTGCAATTTTGGGGGCAGCTCTGGCTGGAGGAGTGGAAGGGTGAGAAACCGGGACAGCGGCGAGAGATCTCCATAAACAGGGACGACAAGCAGCGCTGGGCAATTAGGGTAAGCCTAGATTAACCCTTCCCATCAACGTGGGAGATCTCGGCTCTAGAAAGTCGGATTCCAGGAGATTGATGGTAGAGTGGATATGCGATGGGCCAGAGTGCCGAACAGTGGACGCAGATCTGGGCGGCATCCTTTCGCCGATCCTGGACCCATGTGAAGCATTAGATCAGAGGTTTCTGAGCAGGAGATTGCCGGTCTGGCCAGTGTCGGAAGCAGCAAATTTCCCACTTGCTAGCAGCATGGCCAGCAGGGACAGAGGCATGAGTGCCTGGGAACCAACATTTGACCACTGACGCGAACTGAATGGGTCTGCTCTCGCGGCCAGTCCGTGAGTCAAGTCCTCACCTTGATATCAATGCGCAAGCCACTACCGCACGATGACGAATCGAGCATGAGCAACCTCGAGCACTGTGCGAAGGGAAATAAGACCAGGCACATATTGTTTTCGAACGAAGCGTTTCTGAGACAGGGCTGAGTAGGTTGGTCGGAATCTGAGACTTGGCAGCCCGTACCAGAATTCAGATGACACCAATCCTAACCCCTGACAGGCCAGTTGAAAATGGTACGGCGCATACCTGTCACAAGCGAGCATGATGCTATCTTTGACGGAAAGCTTGTTGTGGACAATTACCGACATCCGCCCGTTCATTTCTGCAAAGTCCATGCCATTGACACGCCGTGGATAGTGGTACGTACAGTGACCGATGCATTGAGAACGACGGGCACCACCGAGATGGGGGCGAGCGTTGTGTGGCCAACGTCTCCATTGTCTTGATCTTTTAAAGGCCAGTGGGCGCCAACTGCGGCTCTGTGCGCATCAGCTCGATGAGTGTATTTTCATATTCTCCTATTCTCACAGCGCCAGCATCCCAGATCAGGACGGCTTGCAGTTGCGCGGCTCGTGGGATGCGCTCCCCACTCTTCCTCCGGATCAGCTGCGGCGTTGCTTGCACATATCCGATAACATTGATCCAAGTGCCTATGGCAAGTGTAGTCGAATCTGTTGTTTCTAGGATAAGAGTGATTTCTACCCATATGCTTGGGACTGGGCTAATGTCCTTGGGAAATGCATGCTCGAGGAGGATCCGACTTCGGGCACTGTCGTACTGTACGATACTTGGACAACAAGTCAATAGTATGGACACTGGCGCGCATGAAGCCTCTTACCATCCCAGAAATCTCACCTTTGTCCCCGAGGCAAGAGTAGCAACTTCGTGGAGAAACACGAATGTGCTGGGAACAGGCGCGTTTGTCGCATTTTCGCTCATTGTAGCTCTACCGTATCAGATAGGCAGCCAAAGTCGGGTATTCTGGCGGTAACGAGCATTTTCCTTCTCTGCTTGAGAGTAGAGACACGCTCAAAATACAATTTCGAGTTTGGCGTGTTTGCGAAGGAAATAGCACTGAGAGTCAAGCTGAAAGTGCCTGGGAAACCACGAAGTGCTTCGCATTCCACGTGATCTCGGCAGACCTGCCGTGAGAGCAAGTGGGCTCGTCGGATCGAACTGGCGATGTCATGGCTTTGGCTCTTTATGATCCGCTGCCTGGCACCTCACCGCAAGCCACACTCTTTACATCGCACGTCTCTGCTGATCTGCTACCTGTCCTATTGCTCACGCGGTCTTCGACTGTTCGATCTTGACCTTCAACATCCCAGGGGACAGCCGCAGCCTGGAACATACCGATCACATCGCGTGACCACTCGCCGTCGGCACATGCGATACGGTTCGAACGAGGTGGACCTGTGATCATTTCGCTCGACACCCTTTGCATCTATTACCAGGACTTCTGCACAGCCTAGAATACACGATCCGCCCGCTCCATATTACCTAGACACCTTCACCGTCGGAACCCAATATGTGGGGGTGGTTTGGCGGGGCAGCAGCCCAAGCAAGAAAAGATGCCCCCAAAAAGGCCATCCTACAGCTAAGATCGCAGCTGGACATGTTACAAAAGAGAGAAAAGCACTTGGAGAACCAGATGGCAGAGCAGGACGCGATAGCAAGGAAGAACGTATCCACGAACAAAGCTGGTAAGCAGGTCCTGATGTGGGAGACACCGTGATACTGAAGAGATATCCAGCCGCCAAAGCTGCTTTGAGACGCAAGAAATTACACGAGCGCACACTCGAACAGACATCAGCTCAGATTGCCCAAGTCGAGCAACAGATATATTCCATCGAAGCCGCCAACATCAACCAGGAAACACTCAACGCCATGAAGAACGCCGGATCGGCCATGAAGCAGATACATGGCAATCTCACCATAGACAAGGTGGATCAGACCATGGACGAGCTACGGGAGCAACATGCTCTCGGCGAAGAGATTGCCAACGCCATCACGAATGCTCCTATTGGTGAACCGATTGACGAAGCTGACCTCGAGGAAGAGCTGGAAGGACTGGAACAAGAGGCTATGGACGAACGAATGTTGAAGACTGGGCCCACACCGGTCACAGGCGAAATCAACCGGCTTCCCGCTGTCTCGGCTGGCCCCAGTAAGTCCCGCTGGAACCACAGAGGCGCAGTGGATATTGACTCAGCAGTAGTTGGCAACAAGCCCTCGACAGTGGAAGAAGACGAAGAGGAAGAACTCCGGAAACTACAGGCCGAAATGGCCGTGTGAGGCGGAGAGGCAGGGGGGCAGCGAGCAAGCTTTATCGGCTTGTTCCCGTTGCCTGCAATTCGGCGAGAGGCGATCCTCTCTAGTGTTTGACAGGAGCCGCCGAAGGACGGAAATGACAGCTCGGACTTGGGTTTGGATTGCGTGTCGTAGAGGGCGTCCTGGAGGTATTGGCTGCATTACATGATCGACAATGAGGGCTATGTTAGAGGCAGTACGATCAGAGTCAATTTGGTTTCGTTCCAGCTAAGTGCTTTCTTTCTATCTCCTGTAATATCTCAAGGAAGGCGCATTCCATCCATTGATCTGTTCTGTGCCTGTGCCCGCGCCTTGCTCCGCGGGACTTTGACCTTCACTTCACTTCGCCCTCATCTTCCCGTGTCCACTTTCGCAACATCCCCTCTTCCACCTCAAATCCTCAATGACGGTCGATTAAGCCTTCTGGTCTCCCCTGTCCATTTCTAGCACTGGGGATATTTCCCTCACGCAGAAAAGGATGGCGACCTCCAATTGCTCGCTCAGTCCCGAGGTGCACTACCTCGTGGTGGAGAAGTTGGTGGTGGATGCGAAAGAGCCCACTTGGAGCGGCGAATGTCGCAGGTATGCTTGCCTCAACTCACAATAGACTGTTGACTGATGCTCTTTCAGCGTCGCACGGACGACTCTGCTCAATCTCAGACTTACATCACGAGAATTCGCCAATATGGCCATCGTCAAAGCCGTCCTATTTGAGGAGCTTGAATTCCAGGCTACGAGGGACAATTTCACGCGTTTGAAGCAGACCAACCACGTCTCTTTTGCCCCTTTTGTCAAGCGAGTCTTCATCATGCCCAATCTTTACGGCGCAATACTAAATTCTTCTGGCTTCCAGAATATCCATCTGAACATTGCAGACCACCACCAGCGGTTGGAGGATTTGGAAGGTGATGCTGTGCGAGAGGCCGAGCTTGTCCGTGAATACCTACAAGGAGACTCTCATAGAATAGTCTTTGTGATAAACGGCGAGGATGAAATGAAGGATGCGTACCAGAAGTACAAGGAGTGCGCGCAAAAGGACCTTGAATTAATGCTTGAGGAGAGTTTGCACGACGTTTGGCTGGAATGCTTTCAAAGCTTTCAGCGTCTGACCTCGATGAGTGTCCATTCATTGCTGTCTAGGCATCCATTCATTCCTGCATGGGATTCTCTCGTCGTTGCTAATTCTCTTGATGTATGTCTTGAATGTGTTAGATGCATGGAAATTCTCACCCGGGACTTTATATCAGAAAGAAGTTTGGTTGCCCAAACAGTGGTCCCATGCATGGGGGCGGCAAACACAACACTGGAAGTTTTATCGGTGGACTGGGCAATATTGGTCATTCTTGGACGGGGATGGCGAGAGCGGGAATGCCAACTACCTCCCTTCGCTCGTTTGGCGGAACTCCGTATGTACAGCCCGAGTGATGACGTTCACGCCGAATGCAACGTCGATGTCGACACCGAGCTTAACTGGAGGATGGGTGTCGAGACCTTGCTTGACAAAACTCATACTACCTTACAGCATCTCGAAGTGTTTGGTACCCAGGAAGAGCCAGAACTGGAGTGGGTTTCTATGTCTCGTCTTAGTTTCCCATGCCTTCGGCACCTGGAGGTCAGCAACGTCTGGACCAACCTGGAATCATTGGCAGCCGATATATCACACTTCTCGGGGCTAGAGCAATTGGTGGTGGAAGGAGTTGAAATTATGACACGACGCGAGGGGGATTGGAAGCCGGTCTTCGACGCTCTTCGAGACCATCAGACTCGGATGAGCCTCATCTCCTTTCTCAATATCCGACGCATGGACGACACGACTTGGACCATCGATATTAGGGACTACGAACTCGAAAGCTATTACGCAAGAGAGGAAATGTATTCGTATCCTGAACCAATGGCAAGCAGTCTACGGGGATATCTCACCAAACGTGGGGGTTGGGATGGGCCTTTAGAAGAGTGGTTTCCCAGGACTGCGCAGTGAGATGCAGGACATTCTGCATCATTGACCGCAACCAAGGTCCAGGGTACCTAACATGGGTGATCGATACATGTGAGAAAAGGCTGCTGCGCAATGGAGCTGGACGAGTAGCTCCGATCTCGAGCACCTTGGCCACACCTGAAGGTTGTCAGGACTTTGACTCTTATGAGAGTTCAAGGGACGGCATGGTCACCCTCGGCCAGGGCTCAGCAGCAGACGAACGAGTATGCTTAACAGTATCATCACATGAAGCACATCAATTGAACGCTAGCGCATCTTCGCAGGCACAGCATTCATAGAATGTCATAAGAAGAGAATCCTTGGGGTGTTATACGGCTGTTTGTCACGCCTTTGATGATGCGTCCAGGGGAAATACTGTAGCATGGTAGGATCTGCTGCGGCGGCAAGGAATTCAGTTGAAACACAGAAAATTGCGTTCAGGTCTCTCATTTATCCGACAATTTCCACTGTTCGCATGAGGCATTGCAGAACTTCGCCGGTTGGCCAGGAAGCCAACCGCCAGCCTGAGTCAATTGAACACCGGTGCATAAATCATGAATGGCAGTTTAGAATCAGTGTCCAATCTCGTTGATGGTCATTGCTCACTATCGTGGCCCCCTCGTCACGCTATAGAAGACTAAGACAGCAAGAACCCACGCAAGATACGCTCCTCTCATCGCGCGCACTGATTGGCTCAACGCCGAGGCAGTGGCGCGCATTGATGATCGCCAGGCAAGTAAGTCAGCCAGGATATCGAGTTATGACTTGAAAGTCATACTCTTCCCCGCCAACTCCTTGCCCATTTTATTTCTCCTTGCGCCGGTCGTCGTATCCAAGGCCTTCGCGAAGGGGTTCATTCTCCTCGCCGTGTCCTGTCCACCCTTGCCACCTGCGCCTGGACCACCACCCCCGTTTGCATCGCCCGTCGCAGTTAACAGGGACGGCGCATTCGCGTAGTCGAATGGCGCCGCATTTTGAGCCACAGCGTCCGCGGCGGCCTTCTCGGCCGCTTTCCGCGCTTTCTTCTCTGCTTTGCGGGATTTCTTTGCTGCTCGAGCGGCTTCGTATTCGGGAAGGGCGCTGCTAGGCTGTTGCGGAGACAGGGCAATGGGCGTTGAAGCTGCCGAGGAGCTGATTGCAAGAGGGGCGGCTTCGCCCTCTTCGTCATCGGATTCATCGGCTTTGCGTTTCTTACCCTGGCTGCTGGGGTGGAGTGTGAAGATCTCGCTTGCTTTGCTACGGAGGTGATCCTCCGCACCTAATGACGTTCTCGAATTGACGGGCTCCTCGACTCGAGTGGAATGTGTTGCCGGGATAATTTGGGCTTGATCTTGCACGGGCTCTTGTTGGGCTGTGAAGTGACGGAGTGGTAGGATTGAGGAGAGCGCTTCCGTTGCGGCGGCGATGTCTGCTGGGAGTTGTGTGTGTTGAGGCGCAATGTCGCCCCAGAAGGTGGATGCTGATGAGCGAACTGCAACGGGATTGTCGATGTCTGCCACGCCGTCGTAGTTCAAGGAGTCGGTCTGTCGGCTGGCGGCCAACTGTTTCAGCGTTTCTCCAAGACCCGAGTAGCTTGTTTGAGGAGGATCCCGCTTTTCCTTGCGTGGGCGGCGGACAGGTATGCCTAGAGCTTTCTCGCAGTAGTCGAGCAGTTCCACGTGCGACTTGCCGTCCTTACCTTCGCATTTGCCTCGTTTGACGACTTCTACTATCTCAGGGATACGGTTGTGTACGAACTTCGCCTCGCCTCTGCAGGCGTGGTGAAAGTTCAACGCTGACGTTGGCATATTCTCGGCAACCAGCCACAACGTCCTGTTCGGTAGAATGTATTGAACCCCTTCGTCAAGTTCCCTCGCTTTGGCATCGCGCCACGCGTGGAGGGCGCGAAATACACCAAGTTGTTCCTTGCTCAGGGTGTTCGTGGAGCGCATTGTAAGCAAGTTGAGCCAGCCGAGTGGCCCACCGCCGGTCTCAAAATCATAAGGTTGACGAGTGTACACTTGCAGGGCTTCTTTCTTGGATTGTGTAAGTACGTAGTTTGTGAGATTGACATTGGCGGAGGAGCCTTGGACGAGCATGTTTCGTAGGTGGTCGTATATTGTGAGTAGGTAGTGGGTATCGCTACGGGCATAATCAAGTAATTCCTGAGGAAGAGGTCGAGTTCTCCAGTCGGCAAGCTGAAACTGCTTTTGCGCGTGGACGTTGGCGAATTGCAAGAGAAGGTGTTTCAGACCTTTACCCGGGAATTGCAGGGCGCATGCAGCATGGAACGTGTCGAACAGACCGACGATGTAGAGCCCGAGGTCGCGCTGCAGCCAGATGATGTCCATATTGGAACCGTGGAGGACCTTCAAGATGCTGGGGTCCGTGAAGACTTCATTGAGCATCTGAAGCTTCTCGCGCCAAGGTTTCAGGGTGTCTATGATCCAATCTTTGTCCCTTGTGCTGATCTGCATCAGGCAGACAAGACCGACATATGAGCGTTGGTCATTGTGTTCGAGATCGATTGCAATCTCCTTGGCCTTCCTGAGATCTTGTAACATGTCCTTAACACCTTCTTCTGTGTCGACGTAGATGGGTTTGCTTTCATCAATGGGGGAAAAGGGTGTCGGTTCGTTGAACTGGTAGACCGAGGGAGGGTATTGGTAGTCTTCGATCTCTCGCGCATAGGGGTGTTTGTACCCGGTCTCGGCATTGCCTACACTCTCCTCCAACGGTATCGTAGCATGAGGCTTCGTCTGTAGCAGAGGCTTGAAAGGAGTATCGTCAGAGTTGTTCACCTGTCTCTCAAAAGTGGTCTGCGGCTTCGGAATGTTGTCCTTGGCCCACCTCTGCACCCCGAATGCATTTTTCGCTGGTCCAGGTGACTCAGTGTCCTGTCGGGTCGGGCTCTGGGGTTTGATCACGCCTGAGAACTCGTCAAGTGCAGAGTCAGCCTTTTCCAGAAGACCGTCCACCACATCGACTATGCCACGCCAATTGTCCTCTACATCATCCTGGCCTTGGAGAGCAGGAGGTTTGAGCTGAGTGTCGCGGGTGGCAGCTTTGAGCAGCTTGCTGGTCAGGCGCAAAAGATGAGCATTCTGGCGATCGAGGGAGCGAGACAATTTCTCACTGGACGAGCGGTGGAAGCTCAAATCCTGGCTAGAAACTTGTGTTGCGCTCCTCGTTACGTTGATGAGGGAGGATTGAACAAGGTCTTGAAAGGCCTTGAAGTCGGCCGTCAAGTCCATGATGAGCAGCGTCGCATCTGCATTCGTCCAGATACCACCTCGGCCTGCAAGAGATAGCCAGCGACGTTGCAGGTTTGCACAAAACGTCAATGGGAAGTGAGGACAATTCGAAAGTTTTCGCGTCGAACCATGGATGGAGAACGGGAGTCACTCCGAGGATTTGCCGATGGTTTGCAAATCCGGTGAAGCATGAACGAAGTCGAGTCAGTTTCGAACCATTTGTCCTCACCATCTCACTACCTAGGTACATTAGAGCTCTATAATCCCGGACGTGCCTTCAAGTGGCCACGACCATGTTGACATGAAGACGCCGCTTGAATTCCACCACATGGCTGTCTGCCATGGTTTGAGCTTGCAAGAGCACCAGTTCCTAGATTCGTCGACAAGGTAAGAAGAAAGTGAAGCCACTTGACTTCTGAACATGATCAATCCAGGCCAAGTTACACCATACAGCGTGGACAAGATGTACCTAAGTCCTTAGTCTGTGTGACAGCTGGCTGGCGATATCCAGGCTATGTCGGAAGCTGGAAATTCGTGGATGAGAAGTAGCAGCTGCAATCAACATACCGGAGAAGGCAGTACATCTTTGAGGACGTCGACGAGTCCTTTCTGGTTGACACTGGTGTGCTCCTGGCTATCGGTCTGTGGTCAAGAAGGATCCGAAGCCTTGTAGTCAAGGCACGCGTTCACAGCACGCAGTGGCCGCTTCTTTCACCCAATGATCAAATCATTTCTCGGTTCTCCTGTATTCTGGACTATCCGCGTGGCCGAACCGCGCCTTCAAAGTCCCATAGAAGCTTCTATGCTATGACTCCTTCTCGAATCAGTCGTAGCAGAGCAGTGGGCAATACGGTGTTGCTTTCAAACGCACTGGATCTGGGTTGCAACAGTTGTGATTGAATCCAGAATTCGAGCTGAACACCAAGATACAGCCTCTAAAAATCCCTTTCGGGGAAGTACCCAATGTTTCACGCTCTCCATTACCGTTGACACGGTCGTCGATGTTCAATACAAATCGGGGCAACTTCCAACCTAGACAATGTAAAGGCTCGTCATCTTTGGCCGATCGACAATCAGCGGCCCTTCAATCGTTCAAGCATTTCCTCACAGCCATCAGCACTGAAATGCCCGATCAGACCCTTGTAAGTCCGCTTGGCGAACTGCTCGGCCCTGGTCAGCATCTTGTCCTCGAATGCTCTGATTGCGCCCGGGATCTTGGCGCCGTCGCCGTCACAGCCGATGATGGCGGTGGCGAGATCCAAGGAGTCAACCATGGCAAGGTTGACCCCCACACCAGCATAAGGCGTCATCAAATGTGCAGCATCGCCGATAAGCGTCACCCCTGCATCTGACTTCCAGCGATACCCCACGGGCAACATCCACATCTTGCGTGGGACAAGTTTGTCGTTGGCGTCGAGCAGAGCTCCCTTCAGATCATCACCGCAGTCTGCATAGTACTGTTCGACGAGCTCCTTCCTGGCCGTGTCTGGCTCGGACCAGTCAATACCACAATCCTCGAGCCAAGATTCGGGTTGCCGGACACCCGCATATACACGGATGCTGTTGTTCCCAAGTTTCTGGCATTGGATGGCTCGTCCCTCGGCGAACATGAAGCAGCTCCCTGCACCAACGAAGTCGCTCAGCCACTGGTGTTTCTTGTTGAAATGAGTAGCCCAAAGCTCAATGGCGGTAACTCCGGAGTAATAGGGTTGTTGGTCCGTTAGGTACGATCGCACTTTGGACCAAGCCCCATCAGCGCCAACAACAAGATCAAATCCCTCTTCCCGGCTGTCCTCGAACTGGAGGTTGTACCGACCAGGATCGGTCGATGAATTTTCCACAAATTGCAACTTCTTGGCCCAAACAACAGTACCAGGCTTTAGGGACTGAAGGAGTAGCTGCTGCAAGTTCATTCGATCAATCTCTGGTCGATCAGCGTACTGTTCGGGCCGAGCGTTTCCCTCCATGTTCTCATCGAACACAACCCTGCCATCGAATTTGACCAGCTTCATCACCTCGCCTTCAGGACGGGCATACTTTTTGAATTCGTCGGTAAGACCCGCATGCTTCAGAGCGAGCTGTCCTCCACGAGCATGAAGATCGACCGTACCCCCTTGGTCTCGGCTGAAGGCTTCAGTATCAAGTTCAAAGACAGTACAGGATATATTGTTGATCTGAAGAAGCCGTGCAAGCGTGAGGCCTGCGGGACCCCCACCAATGATCGCGATGCGAATGCTGCTCATGATGACTCTGTTGCTCTGAAGGTAACTGTGCTTGTTGGCTGCTGAGTTGGCTGTTCAGTACGCAAGTGTCTGTGGTCGACTCCCTTGATACAGAGGGATTCCTTTTTTTTTTATCTCACGTTCAGCTAACTCGCCTGCCCCCTGGGTCAATTCCTTTCATCCTTTCGCGCGCAATCTCCATAGCGCGGCCCGCTTTGCAACCCCGAGGCGCCAGCTAAGTACTAGACCAAGCGCGGCATGCCGTAACACTTTTCAGGAGCGATTTCTGTTAAACGCACGACGAGCCCGGTGAATGGTGAGGCATAAACATTCGTGTAAACGCGAGCCTCGTGTCAGATTTTAAAACCGAGGACCGAAAGCCGAAAACCTAAGGACGAAGCTTGTGGCCTGCAAGCTTTGCGGGCCCGAAGACGCGGTGATGGCGCCGATGTGGCTGACTCACAGTGAAGGAGACATTGATTTGCTGACGCGCATGTTCGATTAATCGACATCCACTCGCAAATGGACCTGTTGTAAAGATATGGACAAATCTTGACGAGTTCTTGCCGCGACCAGATCGATGCGGGATGCTGACATCCCGGCTCGGCCATGCAGCGGTTCTAGAACCACGGGCGATGCTGGGAACCATCTCGGCTGGATCCGCGTTGCCCACCCACACCAGCTGCCTTGCTGCATGCGATGATCAACTGATTATATGTGCCTAGCATTGCTCCGGCGATGAAATACCTCCCTCGATCTTCAAGGCCGCAGCATACCACAGCAGCACCATTGACGAGCATAGTCGACGAATAGGAGATCGAAAATTACCCACATCAACAAACAGCAGTCTAGATCACACATCGCTCGGTATTCGACAAGATCTTCTCAACCAGAGCCATCCGACAACTGACACCTCGAGACCGTCAAACTACCGACAATGTCTACCTCTCCCAGCACAACAACAAACGACCTCCTCGCCACAACCTTGACTCTACCACCAAAGATCGCTGTAATCATCTGCTCCCAACGCTCGCCTCGAATAGGCGACCAGATCGGTACATTTGTCTACAACATCCTCAAGCAGTACCAGGCCACCGCGTCAAAGTCGAGTTCGTACGAGCTCTCTCTGGTCGATTTGGCAGAGCATCCGCTCCCGTTCTTCGACGAGCCAGTCATCCCACAAACAATCACAAACCCACTAGACTACCACCATGAACACACGCGACAATGGTCGCATCTCATCTCCTCCTGCTCTGCCTTTGTCTTCGTCACCCCCCAATATAACTGGTCCTTCCCGGCAAACCTGAAGAATGCGATAGACTACCTATTCAACGAATGGGCCGGCAAACCCGCCATGGTCGTGAGCTACGGCGGCCACGGCGGTGGGAAATCGGCGGAGCAGTTGACGCAGGTTCTTCGGGCGGTGGGGATGAACGTGGTGAGCAGGAGTGTGGGACTGATGTTTCCTAAGCAGGGAGAGGATGGGAGGGCGTTCCTAAAGAAGGCGGCGAGGGGAAGCGATTTAGGTCTGGCCGAGGAGCAAAGTGACGGGGGAGTATGGGCGAAAGAGATGGGAGAGGTCAAGGAGCTGTTTGCCGAATTGGTGGGGATGTCGTCGCAGGGTGGGAAGTCGGCGGAATAGGGTCTGCACGTCCTAGGCAAGGAAGCGTCGCGTGCGGTTGGTATCGAGCTAGCAATCGCATACAGACAGTGCCATCATAAACAGCACGACATAAAGACCACATACGGCGCTCCGAGATGCCAGTGTTAGGAGTCCGGGATCACAGAACACAGCAGCTAGTGCCTTGGAGCCTTATGTGAACAGTGAATGAAGCAGAAACTCGACCCCTTGGTGTATTCGGCGGAAACTCAAGCTAGGTCGGTTTCATTCAAGGCACTTCGCCAGGAACTGTACCTACCTGTAAAGTGCGTTCCAGGCTTCAGCTGAGGATGGACGTTCCTCTAGAGCCCAAGGGGTCGGTCTTTCTGCGGACTGCCGATGCTTCAATACTCGAGTACAAGGTACAGTAGCCGAAATATGAACCTACCACATGCTCAACTGCTCAGTCACATCCCCCGAGCGGCAGAGTGATATCCCGCCCTTCATCATCCCTCATTACTCGGCCAACAGTGCGCTTCGTGCTCGCAAGAGTGGACCCATCCAGTCAGTCATCCTTTCCCCGTGTCTCTTGGAACAATGCTTCGTGAGACAGTCCACGTTGCCTAAAGCCCAGGGAGTCCTCCACCGACCCGAACGCATCTTCTTAATCCAATCCGCCTTGCAAAGCCGAGTGGGTTGGAGCCCTCACAGAAACCATACATAGGTTGATGCTTCTGCTGGAAGCAAACTTGATGTGCTCCTCGACCGTCCGCGTAAGATTGACTGCCCGATGTCGGCTTCCTTCGCCAGGCCAGGAGCAGCTCCTTGATTGTCACATCACCTCCGTCTTCGTGGAAAGAGTTTCGGTTTGCCTTGATCATCCATCCTGTTCGAATGTCCGGACTGGGGGCGCGCCAAGTTAGCCGAAAGTTCTCCCTGAGATCTATGCCGAAGTCGTGTAGGTGTCGTAAATGCGGGGAGATGAGGTCGCTTGTGTGCTGCTCACAAAGACAGAGGCAGGCCTCTAGGGGTTTTGATAACGCTTGTCACATTGTGGCTGCTCTGAGCCAATTAATCCACGACAATCCGCATCTGCTGCGGACCGGGTTGAGCACCTGCTTGCGGTCGTGCACCTTGCGGCGTGCTAAGATGTAGCCTACCTAGTCACGACGTGCTTGCATGTTCTGCCTCCCCGTGACGGAAAATCAGAATGGCATCAATCGCGAAGATCGCGACCGTCCGGTCCAGTCTGGACGCCGAACAAGAATTTCGTCTTTGCTGCTGGCCGTCTCCTCTCCGCGACCTGGCTGCCGCAGCGTTTTGCTGGCTCGAGTACAGTATATTTCTTGGTCCGCGGGTCACAGTGAAGCAGCCAAAGGCTACTACCTATTATTTAAAGCTCACTGAAGAGGTCCATTTGGGTAGTACAGGTTAATTACTGTAATGTCCGTGTGTCCATCCATGGTGACCTCGCGTCGTTCTTCGCGCCGAAGTTGGCAAGTCAAGCGCGTAGTGGCACGTGATGTATGCTGTGGGTTGGTCATATATTTAATAAAGCAAATTGCTCTCAACAATCACCAGAGTCAGTCGACAACAACGACTCCGACTCAGCCAGTCCTTGACCGGTCGCTTAGCTCAGTTGGTTAGAGCGTGGTGCTAATAGCAATTGTCAACTGCTAACGCCAAGGTCGCGAGTTCGACCCTCGTAGTGACCAAGAAATTCTTTTTGGATTTTTGCACAGTAGGGTCAGCGAGGCCAGTGACACGCTCCATACCCTCGGCGTTACACTCGATGCCTATTCTTTTTTTTATCTTTGATAATATTGACTTAGTCTATCCTTGAAGGTCGTCAAATGAAACTTAGCGCGAACTAATGCCAGGATATGAGCGGCGAGGCTCTCTTTTGCCCATCAAAAAAGTTGCTAACCTGTTTACACCATGCTCAAGGTGTTCGAGATCATCTTCAGGGCATTGTTGTATTGGCTCTCTAGAGCAGCGGCGAAGGACCACATGGCGCGTTTCAAGCGACGACATTTAGGGTAGACAAAGTACATAGGTAGGTACCTTATGTTGGTGCTGGTGTGATCTCAAGGGACCGGTTGGTCGGCCCCACGGGGTTTATCAAGATGAAAATACTCCGTATAGAGTACCTAACGCCGACGGGCACGGTTCGTGCGAGGCTACCAGCACCGCCTGTAACCTCCTACATGATGCCGGGACTTCTAATCACTGTAGCTGAAGGAGTAGGGGGACATGCCAGGCGGGCATACCTAGGTATACAATTACAGGTGTGAAGGCATGAAGCGATTGTCCAAAAAGGCGACAGCGGACAGCAGATGGTGTTGAGATTGGAACACCTACCTAGGTATACAAGGATAGTCTCACGGTCGAATAGTTCGGCGTTCAGCAGCAGAGATCCGCTAATCAAGATAAGGTTCTCCGTAACTGATACTACCCCTTTCCTTCACGCCTACGATTACTGCGCATAGAGGGGCATACCTATACCGTTCGACCTGCGCAGCAAGACAGAGTGCAATACCACAGTAGTCGGTCCTGGAGTCCCCTGGGATGGATGAGTCGACCAATCTGCGAAGGAAACACGCACATGGAAGCACCGACAGCAGAGACGGAGACACGCTTGGGGGTTCGGGGTTGATGGACAACTCCTGCTTCTGGAGATGAGGATCAAAGGCATACCGTTCCATACAATCCCATCGCATTGCATCGCGTCCCTGGCGAACTTGAAAAAGCGTGTCTTGCAAAGGCTATTTCTGGTTCACCGGGACCATAAATCGGGTAATCCCGTCGGCATAACCAATTTCTAGTCCTCATCTCCCTTTTGTCTCTATGTCCGACATCCAATCATCAATCACCAACCTCGCCACATTCATACCGCTCAATGCGGCGGTTTCCATTGTCGAGATGAAACTCTCCATCCCGTTCAGATACCACATGCCCTCCGAAGGACCACCGGCCTCTGCACACAAGGACCCCGTACACAACTTGAAGGGTTCGAATTTCGAGCGGGGCAGTTCGTAGGGATAGCTGTGCCAAGCCTTTTCATGCAGCCATGTTATTTCTGACTTTGAGATGGCGGATACGGGATCCTTGACGACGGCGGATGGGCGCGTGTACGGGAAGTCGAGCAAAGTCGAGAGGAATGTACCCGTCAGCGGCGCGGGAGAGAAGATCTTGTACAGGTATTGCGTGTCGTCCTCATTCTCATCCTCTGCGCCATTCCTCGTGCAATTCTCCATTGGTCCGCAGAAGACGCCGTCGGTGGCTGGATTCAGCACGTCCAGAGTGCTGATGGACCAGAAGCCCGACGGACCCACAGCATCGACGCCCCTTCTATCGCCCAGCTTCTCCGACATCTCGGCAGACAGAGTCGTCAGCACAGAGGAAGGCACGTCCGCTGGGTCGTCGAGGCCGAAGAATGCAGCTGAGAGACGATGCGGCGTGGCCAAAAGCGTGACGTGCAGGTCGACGTAGGGGATCTTTTCCGGCGGGTTGCGCAGCGGCTGGGTGAATGTGATGTTTGCGAACTGAAACGGCGCCGCGAGGATGAGGGCGTCAAACTCGTTCCCTCTAGGATGCGAAGCGAGTTGCGCATTGACCTCCTCGTTACCGGTTGTCAGGTTGTATCGCTGGCCGTGGCCTCTAGTGACGGTCGTGACGCTTGTGTTGAGATACACGGCGTCCGCCGACCCGGACACCATGTTGTCGAAGATCTGCCAGTTGCCGCCCTCGACGGCCATGGCGCCCTCGATCGCCATGCAAACTAGCGTCTCGAGGCCGTGGATGCCCGCGAGATTGCTGGCGTAGTTGACGCGGGTGCTCGCCTGGATGATCTCGCGGGCGAACGAAGCCCCCACTTTCGCACGCTGGAGGACTTCTTTCCCAGAGACGCCAGTGTATTGGTCCAGCCCTGTCGCGTCCACGGCCTCTTGGATACTCCAGAACGGGAAGATGGGCTGTTCGTAGAACTTGAGGAACTCGCCCACGGCCGTCCTCGTGGCTTGTCTGGTCCGGATGGGCGCAAGCCCGTACCGCCAGATCAACTTTGCAATGTCCCACCATCCCTGCCACGAGGATTTGTTATCGTCGTCATCGTCTCTTGCGGCTTTAAACACGAAGTGCTCTCCGTCCCAGATTCCCAGCTCGTACTTCGACTCCGGCGCGGACTCGTACAGCTTGACAGTGGAAGATAGTCCAAAGTCACGGGTTGCATTGTAGAGGATATGATTTATCTTGACGAAGATGCTGGCACCCAGTTCGACAGGGTAGCGTGGATCATCGAGGGCGTTGACTGTCGTGGTTCGTCCGCCGATGTGAGGGTTTGACTCGAAGACGGTGATCTCGAGGGGGATTTCCTCGGGACCCGTCGACGACTGGGAGAACTTGCGGAGATGGTACGAAGCTGAGGAGCCACCGGGGCCTGCGCCTATAATTGCTATGCGCTGGGGTCGTTGCCACCGTTGAGCATCATCGTTGAGGGGAGATTGAAGCTCGTCTGCGGTGACTAGTAGAAGATGCACGAGTGATATGACCGAAGCCAGCAGAGCGGCGCGCAGCATGATGGTTTTACGTGCCTCCAGGGCAATCCGGACAGGGAAACTACATGGCTGCGTGGTGTCGAGAGAAGAGCGAGAGGTAAATGGTACTCCGTAACATCTCGCGATTTCTTACTCCTCGCGGACGTGGTTTTGCCGAGTTCAAACCGCAACGACATCAACCTTCTGCGCCATCTATCGGCCACGGCTACCGCTCGTAAGTATGAATGCGATCAGCCATTATGGTGCAAATGATATTCTTGTTCTATCAGTACTCTAGTGTCAGCGTCAAATAGATACTCAAAGCCATGTGTATCTTTCCGTCATCCATCTACCTTATTGAATGCTCTCACACTGGACGAGCGACAAGAAGGTGGTAGTTAAACGAGACTCTCCCGTAGTGCTTGAACACTTGAATGGCTTTTACCGTGAGCGGCCTTCATCATGTCCATGACAGCCCCAAAACGCCATGCTGTCATCATGTCTAAGTGGATGAATTCCCTGTGACCGAACATAGAACCCCCGATACGGATGAAGCGACAACCATGCGTTGAGGGTATCACTAAGAACAAGAGAGAGTATCAAAGGAGAGGGTGTGGTTGTTGAGAGCCCTACCGCGTCCAGCTTGGTTGAAGCGGAGCGAAGAACCCGACCAGCACCTGTCCTTTCAAGCCCAGGAAGCCACCTATGCGACAGAGTCTGTGGCGGCTGGTGTGGTGGTTGTGAATGGTTCAACTGCTTCCATCTTGTCGCTTTCGGCGGAAGGTGCTGCCTCTGGCTTGTGCATCGGAGTCTTCGGGGGCTCATTGGCAGGCGCGGTCGAGGGCGAATGTGGAGGAGGTGGAGGTGAGGCAACGGCCGGTGTGGAGGGATCATCTTGCGACCTGGCCAATACAGCAGAAGCGGATGGAGCAGGCTGCGGTGTACTGGTCTTGGAAGTCACGCTGGCGGGAGACGGTGCAGGCGACCCGGTGGCAGTAGAGAACCCAACAAAGCTAGGGTTCCTGAATCGTTGAATGAAATCCTGCATGTGTTTCATGATTGTGGCTTCCTCTGCGCTCTCGCCACCAGGCATCAAAGACTCTGGGTGACCATGGAGCAATCTGTTCCTTGCAGACGCAAAGATTCTTTGCCAACGCTCCAGGCCCGACGGATGGACAGTCTTCAGCATTGCGTTCTCGAAAGTCTTTATAGTAATGAGACCGTCGAGGGTGCACGGCATATTTCGGGACGCCGAAGTGCTAGTCGGAACGACTGAAGATGGCACCGGCGTCGGACCGGTGTGTGGAGGTCGATAAGGTCCTTGGTTGGCTGGAGGACCTGCGCCTCCGTGTGAGGAGCCTTGTTGCGGAGGATAGAAAGGTTGAGCGTGTGGGCCGGGCTGACCGTAATGCGGAGCTTTGCCATGCGGATATGGTGAACCTGACGAAGGCACACTGCCCGGCGGCCATGGCATACCGTTGGGTGGCGGTGGTAGGGACCCATTTGGACCTTGGCCGTAGAACGGCGGATGATGTCCTTGACCGGGCATACCGTTGTGAGGGTAAGGGGTGCTGTTCTGCCAGTTGAGCTGCTGAGGAGGTCCTTGAGGGATATTTTGGCGTGGAGTCGGGACCGGCTTCGGTTTGGAGGTTGAAGCTTGCTGGGTGGCACGTCTTCTCTCTGCTTGAGGCTGTAAAGCACCGGGGATAGCCTTCCATGCGAAGCCTTTGCCTTCTTTCTCTCCCTTTTCGAACAGTTTGTTCCATTCTTGGTTCAGGTTGTGCCGAACACTACTTTGCCATCCTTCTGAGTCTACCCTGTGTACAAAGAATGGGAACTTCAGCTTCAGGGCACGGTAGATCTGCTTCAACGGAAGGGCCCGAGGGTGAATGTCCAGCAAGATATCGTAGATAAGTCGAGCGTACGGTTCCGACGGCCTAGCAAGCTGCTCCTCCGTCAAGCTCTCTGCTGGGGGATAGTCCGGACTGGGAGACTTCGACCTCGCCTTCTTGAGTGGAGGTGGTTTCTCGGGCTCAGCAGTGAGTTCGATTTCACCTCCCTCGATTGACGGCATGACATCGCCATCTTCTCCTTCTCTCTTTCGCTTCTTGTACTTCCTTTTTTCGGGCTTCAGATCGGTCGTGAGCTCCTCCTCTTTCATGACAGGCTTCTGCGGCTTATTGCCTCGCATCGGTGGCGGCGTCATTCCCCCATTGGCGGCTTTTGCCTCAGCAAGCCTAGCAGCTTTCTCCCGTTCTTTTCGCTCTCGGGTTGACATGATTCCATCTTTGGGTGGCCTGCCGGGTCCACGTCTCTTTGCAGGTAGAGGCAGCCCGTCTGGTCCAAGGACAGGCTCTGGCAGCGCTGCTGGTTGGGGTGGCGGAGCGGTAGGCTGGACGGCGGCTTTGAGGATGATCTTCGTCTTACCTTTGCCTGGTGCTGGTCTTGGTGGTGAAATGCTCCTCTCTTGCTCATCCGAGGTTGGCGAAGTGCTCCGTGGAGGTGGAAGTGGACTCTGATCGACATCGTCTCTGCCTGACTCATCGCTCGGAGACTCTTCCTTCTCCTCAAGCGGTAGCCTGAAAGTCATCTCTACACCGGACACCTGTATCTTTGAACCATCACGGAGTTTGCGTACTTGACCACAGGCTAACCACTCGCCCTCCAAAAAGGCACCATTCCGGCCCAAGATGTGCATCTGGAAGCATTCCTTCTTGTCGCTCCACTCTATCCTTACATGTCGGCGGGAAATGTTTCTGTGACAGGCTACCTCTGATATCTCCTCATTCTGCGTGGCGTGGATGGGGATAAGCGGACAACGATTTGCATCCGGGAGATGCTCTTCTGTTACAGGCGCCGGCTTCTCCTCCTCTGGGTCACGAACCTTCTTCTTGTTCTCAGCATCTGCCTGACGTTGAGCTGTTCGATGGTAGTCGAAGGGAGCTGGTGGAGGGTGGTAGAGAACTTCCTGAGGTCTGACAACACTACCGGCAGACATCTCAGATGAATGAGAGTGGAGTGGGTTGCCGTCCTCATCTTTGCCATGTTTGAGGATAGGACCGTCATCGACACCGCCGAAACCACCAGCCTCGCTCACAACACTCCCCTGCACCTGGCTGTCGCCGGGAAGGGGAACGCCCTGAGACATGCCCGAACGCCTTCCACTTCTTCCGCTTGAACTGTGGCCACGATCGTGTCCGGCCTTGAGCGCTTCTTCCCGGGCAAGGGCAGCTTTGTAGGCGAAGGCGTCTCGTCCCAACTCGCATGCGTAAGTGGTGATGTAGTAGTTCCCATCGTCAAATTCAAGTTTGGCGAATGCTTCAACTTGCCTCCTCTCTCTCTTCTCGGGAGATGACATTTGAAAGGCGCTAGGCGGCGGCGATTCTTCTCGATATGTTTCTGCCAAAGCGCTGCTGGTCGGCAGAGATTGTCCTAGGGTGTCTAGAGGGAGTGGGTACGGTAATGGTGGTAGCGTGCTCGCATCGAGAAAGTGATCAGGGTATTCAAGCGGGAGAAGGGGTAGTGAGGCATCGGCGATGTTTAGGTCCAGATTTTGATTGTTGCCGTCGGTGGCTCCTGCAGTCGAGTTGTCCTCCACGTCGTCAATAGGCTCAATAGGCAGGTCTGGCAGAGGCGGCTGGTGTGTTTGCGCGTGAGCGGGCGCAGGTGCGGTCTGCGGTTGAGTCTGAGTTGAGGTGGGACTGATGGGAGCCAGAGCTGCCAACAGATTACCGACTGCCTGGCTCCTTTGTTGCACGTCCATTTCACTCCATGAAGGGCGACTCGACACGGGCGAGTGGCTTGGTTGGCGGTCTATTTCATCTGCACGGTCCGAGTCGCTGTGGTTGTCGCGGTGAAGGTTCGAGTGGTCAGGCCATGATGCGAAATCTGGCAGACCTCTTGTCGACGTCGCAACGGCCTGCGACGACATTCCGAGGTCTGCAAGATTACTTCCCGATCAGCGCGACACCGTAGTCAGTCATCGATGCGCATGCAAACCAAAAGTTCCCTCGCGGTAAAAGTCGACAAAGAGGGCGGCGAGGCGGACTGTCGATCCCACGGCAGCCAATCACATGCGTACAACAATTCTCGAGAAGTTGGAGCATCTGGTCGTCGGCCAGTCACAGCACATGCCGGCCACAGACAAAGGAAGCGATTGAGACTCTCCAAGTCCTATGCTACATATTGGTGTACCGTGACTCACTTCTGCTTGTTTCTGTGACGCCCGTTGCCTTGCTGAAATCGAGTCCCTTCATGGCGCCCCGGGCAAAGCCGAAGCCTGCACAGTCAAGAAACGATGCAGTTCAAGCATCGAAGTCGGTCCCGCCGAATTGGCCGCCTTTGAGTCCAGTCGTGCCCGCAGAACATCTCCTCGTCGAGACCGTGCTTGCGGGCCAAATCCTGGTCGTAAGGAACCTGTTCACGTCCAGCTTATGCAGGAATTATACCTCCTTCCTGTCTTCTTTACCATTGACTACAACGCCTGGAAAGCCGAAGCGAGGAGAGGCGACTCGCGTAAATGATCGCTTCCAGGTGGATGATCCTGTGTTCTCAAGAAGGCTGTGGGGGCAGAGTGGTCTTCAATCCTTGGTGAATTCCTTTGAGGACCAGACTGTGTTTGGAGGAAAGTTGCTCGGGCTGAACCCAAACATCAGAGTGTATCGATACCGGCCTGGTCAATTCTTCGACAAGCATTACGATGAGAGCGTTAGATTACAATTTGGCCAGGACAAGGTACATGCCAAAACAACCTGGACTCTGCTCATTTATCTTACAACGTGTGATGGTGGCGAGACTGCATTCTACCCTGAACCATCCAAAAAAGGCGAAACACCACCAGAGCCGATTGTAGTCTCACTTGAAGCTGGAATGGGCTTGCTTCACAAGCACGGCGACGACTGTCTGCTCCATGAAGGGAAAGAGGTGAGGAGCGGTGAGAAATGGGTATTGAGAAGTGATCTGGTCGTTCAGAGATGACTCAGATAGCCCGGACCAAGTTGCAGACTGGAGGCTGTTTGAGTCATGTCGAGCAGATGTATGATGGACTCTCCGCCTAAAGGACAGTGCTGCTTGACTTGGATCCCAACAATGCTGGTGATAATGTTGTCACCGCCGCAGATGCTCGGCATCAGTCTCTGCGGTGCCCTCTCGAGTTTCTGCCAACATCGAGTCTATGCCCTTGTCTTTGAGCGCCTTCTGCTCAAAGTCAGCGCGGGGCCTTCTAGCTTAAAATGAAAAGAACATACGGTCAAGCAGCTCCTATACTGCTTGAACAGCGGCTCACACTCATCTGTGGATGAGTTTCCTCGCAGATACTCTGAGAAATCTTTCAGTAATTTTGCCACTAAGGTCAATAGGAGAAACGAACTCTCAGAATACCACTTCAGAAAGCATGTATCGTACTTCCTGCCAACCGTCAGCTTTCGATACAGGCGTCCGAGTGCGGAGCTTACTCTTTGACTTCATTACATTCAGGAGCGAGGGACGCCGACATGCTGGTTATTGGCGGCGTAGAAAAGCGGAGGACATGTGGTGAAGAAGAAAGCGATGACCAGAATCAAGGCGGCCGGTGCAGCCATAGTCGGTGGATTGTTCTTCCGTACCATATACAACTGCACCCGGGACTGAAGTTCGTCTTGCTAAACAATCCACGGCATCCATCTGCATCGACACCACCTCGCACCACGGTGAAGGCATCTTCAGATTGGCGCGTCTACTCATCCAGCGCCGTGCAGGTTGTCGCTTGCGCGCTCTGTATGAGGATCAGTCGACGCGCACCCTTCTCGATGACTTGATCATGCCACCACACCCTCAACCGCTATGGTGTTCGACACCTACATCGGCCCTCATTGTGGAACGTCTCCCGCCGTCCCGACCATTGAACGAGGACCTTGTCGTTGCTCGAAGTCCCTTCCGTGCCCAGCTCAAGAACAGAATCCCACTGCTAGCCGAAGAGGCCCCGAGCCAGGTGTCGTGAGAATGCGCCGAGATTGCAGGCTGGTTCATAGAACCATTGCACAATAGACTCGTGTCGCCCGAGCATGAAACGTGAAATAGTTGCCGTCAGGTCCTCAAGTCCATCTGGTACAAGGGATGGTCTTGAGGCAATGCAGCAACGGCTCAGCGAGCAGGGGGAACAGATTGTCATACATCTGCCCGTAGTCATGAGGCAAGCATCTCGAATTGCACACCACGACCGGCAGATCATTTGCTACCCGTAGCACCGATCCGATCAAAATGGGCTACGTGTTCATTCACCACGGACCTACGAGCTATGCATCGGGAGGTATCAAAAGTCTGATAGCACCCTGCAGATGCTAGTCACCTGGGGAAGTGACAGACACAGGACTGCAGAGATACTGTAGGTTTCCATACATGTTCCCCACAGAGGTTCACAGATTCGTCCCACTTTGGGCAAGATATGGCCATCCAGGCTAAGCAGCCTTCGTCGAATGCCCGAGAAGCAGCGATTCACCATAACGCATGTGAAGACCTCAACCTCTTGAAGAGCCCTCTAGACCCGCATCGGAGACCACGCTTGAAGAACGTGGTGGGCTAATCTCCTCCCTCGAACGGGCTGAAAGTCCAAGGCTGAGCATTTCTTTACCCTTGCTACACCATAAAATTTGTCCACCAAGTACCTTGCATACATCGCATGGAGCGTTCTACTATTTGGTAAGGTCGGTCTCCTCTCCCTGAAACAGTTCAATCTACTCCCTCACGACCCTCGCAGAAGCTTTCCCACTCCTGCATGCTCTTCTCTAAGCTTCAAAATGGGTTTGAGGTGGCTTGTTCAACCAGCCGTCGGACACAGTCTGCTTCTTACAGCATTGATTTGCTCTTCCTGGCAAAGCGGGCTTGCTGGTGCTCAGGTTGCCAAGTGCCAGTTCACGAGGCTGTATGTCCAGCCTTCCCCTCCTGGTTGTGTCATTATCCTTCTCTAGCGGTTATTGTGGCCTCTGTTCCTCTGGCTGTGTGCGTTTTTGAGTGGCACGCACACCGATATGTCGCTTTCTCGGCACTTGAGTGAAGCGGCGGCGGCCGAAGGCCAAAGTTTCGGTGCCTGCCTGTATGAATACCAACTCCCAGACAGCAGGAGTATTGACTCTGCGTCAATCCTTCAATTCGATCTCTAACCGCCCTTCACAACAGCCCCTTGGTCGCCTTGTCGTCGCTCAATTTCGCGAACGCCTCAACACTCAATCCGTCCCCTCCGCCATCCTCATTCTTAAATCCCGGCATGAGTGCCAACCACTGGTAAACGCTCCGCCTCAACTCCTTCGGCAGCCGGGGCTTCTCCTTGACGACCCTCTCGAACCCATCCACCACCTTCTGCGCCACCTCGGCAATCATACTCTCTCCGATGGTCCTCTTCTGCTCAGCTTCACCTAAAGCCCGACCTTGATTCGCGACCCCCATGGCCCGTTGCAGACTCGATTTATACCCGACCATGGAATTGACGCTGAGCGTCACGGTGCGCGGCCAATTCGAACTCATCAGATTCCAGGCATCGCCCGTCTCGGTCCCGGTTTGGCCTTGGTCGCCCGCGCCCCGAAAATCGGTCCTCAGAATCACGGAGGGCACGTCCGCCATCTTCGCAACCATGTATTCCACGACGGTGCCTGCGTCGAGTTCGGTGCCATCGTACGTGAAGAGGGCGAGGTCGCAGGAGAGGAGGGCGCGGAGGTCCTCGTCCCTGATGGCGTGGGCGGAGAGGTCGCGTTGTTCCAGGTCTTGAGGCAGTATGGGGATGAATTTGCCGGAGGAGGCGGATTGGATTGCTTGGGCCAGGAGTGCGTTGGTGTGTAGTTCCGCGATCGTGAACAGTGGGCCGGCATGGTAGTATGTGTATGAGGTTGGCGGGGTGGAGAGAGGTTGCGAGGTTGTGCTGGGGTCCGCGGTATGCGTTGCCAGCACGGAATGGTCGTCGGACATGATCGCGAGGGTTAGGTCGAGGATGAGAACGGGAATGGGGTCGCGGATACGCTAAAGATGTCGGCGTACCGGGGTTTGGTTTGCTGTACACGATCTTGCCTCGCTGAGAGGTGTTTTCGAAAAAGAGGTCCCCGACGATTTGATCTTCCACGGAGTAGAGTATGTACTATATGATAACCGTCTGGGTGCAGTCAGAACAGTCAGCGTTTCTCATCGAGCCGGTGCGTTTCCCCGAGCCCTAAGCGTGTGTACGACAATTGAATGGATGATTGGGATCTCGACGACAATCCCAACCACGAAGCCGATAAGAAGTACCCGATGTAGACCGAGATCATGCCCAAGCACAGAACAGACGCGCCAACCATATAAGGATCTTGACTCATGGTCGTGTACTGTACGTCAAGCAGGCCGCCACGCAGCAGGTAGGTACACCATAGAAACCCCCGTGGAAATGAAAGGCTGAAGGATTCAACATCACCAGTGGTGTTAACTGACCTTTTACACAGTAGAGCCCTCTCGTAGCCTTCTCTACTTTCTCCGAACCCTCCCTTTGTGCTCGCCTATGAAGGTGCGTAGGATGTCCGTGGACATAGACAACCAGGGCAACTTCTCGTCCAAGGCGCACTGCTTAACATTTCTTGACCATGCCAGCCACTTGGTGGTGTTGACAATGGCGCGGACGGGTCACACAGCCGATATCAATCAACCAGGGACACAGATCTGAGAACGGCTTCGTGGCTGTTGGAATCGGACAATGACAATCTTGGCGCCCGTCACAAGCAGGAGTGAAACTACTCGGAGCTGACCGTGCATGCCGATCTGAAACCACGGCTTTGAGACTCACATCACCATCCTCTCACCGTCTGCTTACCTTCTACTCACCTACATACTCACCCAGCATCATAATAAGTCGCTCTGACCTGTGAAATCTGCTATAAATACCGTTCCAATGTCTGGTTTCAACGCCGTAGGGCGCTCACCAGACCAATGAGGTTGTGATCAATGCCGGCTAGGCTAGGCGAGCCTCAAAGGCCCGGAGATGGTCGTTATGGCAATCTAGGTCGTGGTTAGTTCTGCCGACGCGGTTACTAAGATTGATTTGGTGAAGTTCGCAAAGCCCCAGGGTTACGAGCTGGCCGGTAGGTCGGTGGGAGCCTTGTTGCTCGAGAGTACCGAGTGGAAGTCCGGCGTGAAAGAGCCCACCCGGACCATCAGAAGGGGTGAATGTCGAGGCGAGTCTCCCAGTCTAGGAGACGAAAGAGGAGGCGCAGCAGCAGCAGCAGGAGGAGGACGAGGATGACGACACTAAGAATGAAGAAAGGAGAAGAAAGCAAAGGGGGGAAAGAATACGTGGTTGCGCCTAAAGATAGACACGGGAACGGTGTCATGAACTTCCGTGTGATCCTGTCGATACCATAGCAAGGCTGTGACGACCAGAAAAGTTTGTAATCCGTATCTTTCAATGTGACAGGTCTAAAGGTAAGTTATTCGGCGCTCAAAAAGTCTCCCACAAACTCAGCCACCTCCCTGGGTTTCTCGACCATGGGTAGATGCCCTGCGCCCTCGACGAGTTTGAAAGCGGCCGTCTTCCCTTCTGCCGAGCCCAGCTCTTTCGACAGTTTCTCCATGCCCTTTGGCAGCACGCCGTCCCCAGCACCCACCAGGAAGGCGCCTCGGCCCTTGTACCCAGGCAGAAGACCCGTATAGTCGTAGTTGAACAGAGTCTCGACGCCCCGCCGGAACTCGGGCAGCGAGTTGGTGTAGACCATGCGCTTGACGCGAGCGATTTCGGGGACGAGCTGGGGATTGTCGTACGACTCCGAAACGAACCACCGCCGCACCGTCATCTCGGCGAGCTCTTCGCCCACGACGTTTTGCGGAGTCGTGTCCGGGGACTCGGACTCGTCGCCGAACAAGGACGCCAGGCGCAAAGTGGTGCCCTCCTTCTCGGCCACGGCGATGCGCTGGCCCCACGTGTCTTTGTTGCCCGCGGGCGATTTGGCGGACGTATCGCACGCCACGAAGGCCTGGATGCGCGCCGGGTATTGAAGTGCTGTCGCCAGTGCAGTGACGCCGCCCATCGACACGCCCACGAGGCCCGTTGCTTGAGGCACACGCAGGGCGTCTAGCAGCTGAATGACGTCGGAGGCTTGTACATCCACGGTCACTGGGCTAATTGTGCCGCTGGGGATGGCTCTCCCGCGGGCCAGATACCGCAGGACGCGGTATTTTTCGTTCTGCGGGCGTGAGAAAAAGTGCGCGAGGAAGCCGTCCCAGATGCCCCACGTGGTTAGGACCGAGTTGACCAGCACCAGGACCGGGGCGTTGGGGTCGGAGCTGCCTTCGAGGCGGAAGGGCAGGACTGCGCCGTCGCGTGTCGTGACGGTCGACTCGATCGCCGAGCCGTAGGGCGAGACGTTTGGTAGCGTCTTGGTGACTCCGTCAGGCGACGTCCACGGTGCCACGATGGCCAGGTGCCGTGCTGCCGTTCCAAAGGTGTAGAAGAGTTCATAAGTGCGTGCTTTGCGCTCCGAGATATCCACGGGCAGCGCTTCCAATATCGGGGGCAATGCCTTGGGGTCGGTAGACGGCGTGTACTCGTTAATCAGGACGAAATCGACCTTCCCATCTTCCCGTGGCTCGAGGTACGACGTCTTGTACCACGACGTTCTCCTCCAGCCTGGGATCTCTTGCACTTTCGGGAGCACGGTGTTCCGGATCCAGTCCTCAACTGTGGCCACTTGTTCCGGAGTGAGCAGCAATCGGAGTGTGGTCAGGACATTCCCTTGTTCGTTCTCCTTGAAATGTTCCGGCGATTCGAGTTTGACGAAAGTCTTGTCGTTGATCCGCTCGCCGACAAAATCCAGCGTCAACCGATCCACCCAGATCTGGGCCATGACGTTGATTTCTCGTTGCGTTTTGCCCGGCGGTGCTCGCAGATACTGGTAGGGTTGTTCGGTGAATTGGTGCATATCCGTGGCGTCGTAGATGGCCAGGAACTCGGGGTCGGCGCGAGTGCCGGCATTGGTTCCTGGCAAGTCTGTCGCTCGATATCGAAACCCATTCGGCATAAAGGGCAGCCGGGTTCGATTGGGTCCATGTTCGTTGTTGTACCAGTCGTGGAAGAGGTCGAGCGATAATGTCTCCTTGGGCTGCATGGTCACGAACAGCAGCCCGCGAACCGGGCTTGAGGAGGGCATGTTGGCGATTCACGAGGCCTCGTGATACCGAACCAGCACGGTGTTAGGGACGGTCTCTTCCACCTCGTCCGTGGCCTGGCGACACCGTGACAGTCAAGTAGATACTCTCGGGCGGTAATTTACTCTCCTTTGCCCGTTTCGTGATTCAAGTGGAGTCACGAACACGATCGAGTGTTTACTTACTAATGGGAGCCTATGTCATTCACAGGTAGGCAACTCAATAGATTTTCAGGGCAAGGCAATAGCGAGCCCGAGGTTTCCGCGCACTTTGCGTCAGGAGTATGATGTATTTGCCGATTTTCGATGCCTATTCCTGCGGTCCTCCGTAATTACCTCCAACTGCATCGGGACAGTCCCGGCAGATGTCTAACATGAACGTGCATGAACTGTTGCGGCGGGACACCGGAGCGGAAGACTTTTTATCCGCTGCGGGCATTCGCGGGAGAACGAGTCTTCTGCCATATTTCCACGTACAGTCTAGAACGCTACGGGCAGAAGCCTCAAATCTAGTCGTACCAGATGGCATTCATGCCAAAGCCGGGCTCTTTGATATCCAGATGAGCAACTCGGGAAAGATACTCGTCGTGCCAGCGGTAGATTTCTACCCATCCGTCTTGATCATCCGTCAAAGCCAACCACTCGTCCGTCCAAGGACAAGGACTCACCGCGTTCGAGTGACCGCCGCTGTTAGGAGTCGGGCTGATGCAGAGCTGTTTCTGGACCTGTCCTTGTGGTCCAAGCTTGAAGGCGCTGATATAGCCGGTCACGCTGGCCGAGTTCGACCGGGCGGTTGCGAAGAGATACTTTCCACTCTGCGCACAAAATACCACGTCCGATCTGTACATCTTCTTGAGATCTCGGACACCTGCATGTCGTTAGCGCCTATAGCATTCTCGCATCAAGCACGTACCTGGAGGAACAAGCGGATAAAGGTCTTGGGTGAAGACAGGAAGGTGCGTCGTCTCGTCGATCACGTAGACACCCAACCTATTCCCGGCTTCCATCAGCACGTAGAGATAGTGGCCACTGGGATGAAGTTCCACCCATCGAGGATGATCGCCAGCCGAGGGTGCGTCGACGCTGCCGACCAGGGTGAGGGTGCCGTCACTCGCTTTCTTGTGTGTCCAGATCTTGTCGGCCCACATGTCGGCGGAATACAGATAGGTCTCCGTCGGGTCAAAGACCATTCCATGAATGGCCGATTTCTCGCTGTATTCGTAGTTTTGAATATTCTTGTCGAGTTTGCCCGCCTCGTCGACGGAGAAGACGTTACCGTAGCCCGCATGCTCGTAGAATGGATTGCCATAGACGCAATAGGGCGGCTTCTTGGCTGCCAGTACAAAGATCGCTCTCGTCCTGGTGTCGGCGCTCTGAGCCCGCGCTGCATGTCGTCAGCCCGGTATCAAACCCGTAGAGCGAGGGCCAACAAACGGTCATGGTTCATGGGATGCGAAACTTCGTGCGAGATGTTGTCGGGTGCTTTGACGGCGTGGCTGGACCATTTCTTCATCGAAGCTCCGTAGATGTTTCGCCGTGCATGCTGCTCACAGGGATGTTGTCAGCAGAGCCAATCTCTGGGCGAGGGCGCGTCCTCACGTCGAATGTCATCCATGATATCGGCTCATCCTCCGGAATGGATGTCCTCTTGACCAGACTCAAGATCCAGGCTTCATCGTCAAACTCGACCGTGAAGATCGCGCCCGGCGGCGTCCATGTCCCTATCATCAAATGGTGTTTCATTTTGGGCACTTCCGTGGGACACGGTCAAGAAGCCAGATCACATGCCCGTGGCTATTTCAAGACGGTCCATGCCGAGTCTCTGACCCGGTCAAGCCTCGTCAAGCCTGCAAGCCCTGTCGACGTGGGGGATGCATGTGGCAAACCAGGACCAGCCCCGGGATGCCCTCATGCCCCGCAGATCGAAGACTTGGAGATGCCGACTATGATTGCCGGGATCATCTCGATACGTGCAGCTAGCTCCCCTTCAACTACCGGGTTTGCAGGCGAGACGCGCGAGGCGGCACGACTTGCCGACGTAGAGACCAACCCTCATGCTAGATCCCGCCTGCTTAGACTTGACACCCTCCTCATTGGCTCCCTCGCGGGCGAAGGCTTTCTCAGGATAGGAACCGCTGAGGGAGAATTCCAACGTCATGAGCCGGCCTATGACCTACCCATATATACTGCCATCATGGCCCTGAAAATGACAGCAGTCTTCTTGCCTACATCGCACATCTCAGCTTAGGGACTTCTGCGTTGTTCAACCTTCCTCTTGAACCAGAGCTTGTACACTCTCACACACGACACTCTCGCCCACATAACACCTTTCACCGGCAACATGTCGTTCCAGAACGTTGTCGAAAACTCGACATCCGTCAACCTGAACGGGCAAACGAACGGGCACTCGGCCGGCCACAAATATGATCCCAACTTCACCGACAGCCTCATCAACGCCATGGGTCCTAAGACGCCCGACCGAGCCCGATTTGTCCTGGCCAAGCTGATCCGACATCTCCACGACTTTGTCCGCGAGACAGAACTGACACCCGAAGAATGGATGCGAGGCGTCCAGTTTGTCAACGCCATCGGCCAGATCAGCGATTCCAAGCGCAACGAAGGCCAGCGAATCTGCGATGTGCTCGGCATTGAATCGTACGTCGGGAGACTTCCCTTGCTGTGTGAACCATTTGAGAGCTAACCGCACCGCATTTTAGGCTCGTCGATGAGGTAGCCAACAAAATCATGCTCGACAGCGACGAAACACCCACATCGTCTACAATCCTGGGACCGTTCTGGAGTCCCCACGCCCCGTTTCGGGAGCTCGGCGACAGCATCGTTCAAGACCCATACCCGACCGGCAAGGTCACGCTCATGCACGGTGTGGTCAGCGACTACAAGACTGGCAAGCCCATTTCCAACGCCATCGTGGACATCTGGCAAGCCTCGGCGAACGGCAAGTACGACTTCCAGGATGACGAGCAGTCCGTCAACAACCTGCGCGGCAAGTTCAGGACCAACGACAAGGGCGAATACTACTACTATTGCTACCACCCGACCGCATATTCGCTGCCAACCGATGGTCCGGCTGGCGTCTTGCTGAACCTCATGGACCGCCATCCGATGAGACCGGCTCACATCCATCTCATGGTCAGCGCTGACGGCTACAAATCTCTCACCACCCAGCTGTATCCCCGGGATGACCCTTATGTGACCAGCGACTCGGTCTGCGCCGTCAAGGACGACCTGTTGCTCGACTTTAAGCCGTCCAAGGACCCCAAGGCCGAACTGGACCTCGAGTACAACGTGACGCTGGCTCCCTTGAAGCCTGGCCAGAAGGCCGGCTGGGTTCATACCGTGTTCTAGGCATCTTCAGCGAATGTTCTTTTTGTTCTGGCGTTTCGCTTTTGCTTGTATGCATGATTGGTCGTGGGCAAAGGGGCTTTTGAATGCCCTGGAAGATGGAGACGGAGCGCTCAGCGCTCCAACAGTTCCCTGTAGCTGTAGTGGAAATGGAAATGGAAACTAGCATATATGATATATGACACCATGACTGATAAAACAACTGCCACGATTTTGCCTGTCCAAAGGCTGTTTTACTCTTCATCCAACACCTTTTGGCCGCTGTACTCTTATTTGCCGTGATCCTCCACTCTGTAGAATGTGACTGATCAATCTTACGATCTCCGATGCCGGCTTCTGAGGGCGCGCAGTGAATCCTTCACCACATACATACCTACAACGCACGCTCAAACCCCGCAAGTACCTCAACTCGTTTTCTGCTCTCAATTGCCCGCTTTTTCTCCGATTCCCTCTTATCTGGGCCTGCTCGTGCCTCTCAGAGACATATCTACAGCATTAGAGGCCACTGAGTGCATCTCATCATGCGCCTTCCCTACGCCCCGTCAACCCCTCCTCCAGACTCCCCCTCCTCCGTGGCCGAGATCTACGCCCGCATCGCCGCCCGGCGGAAACCGCGCCCTCTCATCCCTCTCGACCTGACGCTCTTGCACTCCCCACCCGTGGCGAGCGGGTACAACGCCTTCGTCGGCGCTCTACGGACGGAGACCATCGTGCCGCAGGCCCTTCTCGAGCTCGCCATCTCCCGCGTCGCGATCCTCACGGGCGCCGTGTACGAGTGGAACATCCACGCCGCGCTGGCGCTGAAGGCGGGGGTGGCGCCTCATCCGTTGGAGGTCGCCCGCGCGACGCCCAAGGGGGAGGTGGGAGAGAAGTCGAGCCTCAGTGAGAAAGAGGTGGCCGTCCTACGATACACGGACGAAGCCACCGTCGACGTCAAGGTGCAGGACGCCACCTTTGAGGCCCTCAAGACGTATTTCAACGACCGCGAGATCTTGGAGCTGGCCACCGTCGTGGCGGGGTATAATGCCGTTAGTAGGATACTTGTGCCGCTGGACGTGGGCGAGAACAATGACAAGCCCATGAAGACGGTGGACGAGTTGGTCGCGGCGATGACTTGAAAGGTGCATTTACGGAGCACGGAGGAGTCAAGGCGTGTTTGGGACTAGGTAGGTAGGCGCGGTAGGCACCACCGGGTCCAAGCGAGCACAAGCGAGAACAACAAGCCGCGATTGTTTTGCTCCTTTGGTCTACATGCGAAGCTATGCGCCCCGTCTCGATGGGCTCTCCCGGGTCAGTAACTAGTATCAGTACGGAGTACAGTACCTAAAATTCGATCTATTAATTATGCTTGATCCAAACCTGTGCGGGGAGGATCCAACCCGCCCATGACATTCCGTTGTTCGAGAACCAGTCCACATGGATTATCAGCGCTGGAAAGATTCGTCAAGTCCATAAGACGGTGGTAAAGGAAAGGAGATATAGCCGGAGATAGAACCTTCCAACCAAGTACTGTATGTACCCGATCTAAGCGAGGGTGGAATGTTTAGCTCCCACCACTGGTAAGAGACAGGTGATCGATTAGGCACCCCACACGTGCGAGCAAGGGGCACCCAGGGGGGTGAGCACAGGTGACAAGGCTGTAACACCCTCGACCCGATTCGGGGTGACCTCTCCCGACCGCTGCGAGGCGAGCCAAGTCTACTTAAGCACTGTGGTGGACGCCTTGGAGCAATTGATCGGTTGCGAGCTTCTCTCTTACTGGGGTGTCTTGACCGCGCAGAAAGAGCCACGTCGAGTCGACTCGATGCCAATAAAGGGCGTGAAGGGAAGGTAACCGATCAAGACAATTCCCAGGGTTTGGGGGGTCTGTAGGTTTCATACGTCCGAGTCTATCCCCGCGATGTCGACGAAACCAAGGCACTTCTCTTCCTCTGCCCTTTACTAAATCACCACACCCGTCCCGTACACGACGCGAGGATAACACCAGGATATCACGCGGCTATACATGCAGGCCGGCGCCTTGACGTCAGAAATCACGACCGAAAGGGGAAGTTGCGTTTCTATCAGCCACAGACGCACAGCACGTATCACAAATCACTTCACCACATCAAGCCCAGAGACAGAACATCTCAGGCTAAACGGTTGAAACATAATCCGGTGGACGTACTCCGTATGCGGTCCATTCAGTGATCTTGACGTCAAGAATGCAGCAGTGAAGCACCACTCGCTCTGAAAAATTGGACTTCATGACGCCGGATATACTCCGCTGTGATGTTAAGTCCGTAACTGCCGGGAGGGATCTACGTCCATGCCAGGAAGGGAAGGCTGCCAGTGTCTGTATGAACACGCAAATTGACTGACAGAGGAAGAAACAATACTCCATACCGGATTCTCATATTTTGCGAGAGTGTACCCCCAACTGTGTGATCACGAATCGTTTTACGACTGACCCTTGTGGCCGGCCACAGGAGGTATCACAGAGAGTATATCTAGACACGAGCGCCAGTAGAATCATCACAGAAGCTCAAACCATATGCTGGGAGAAGGCCAACATCTAGCAGAACCATCAGAACTGTTGACACGCCGACCTCTTACTATGACGACCCCGAAATATACCAACAAACTAGCCAACACGTCCGTGCTCATCATCGGCGGGACAAGCGGCCTAGGCTTCGGCCTCGCGGAAGCACTCGTCGAGCACCGCGTCTCGAACCTCTACATCTCCTCGTCCCGCAAAGAGAGAGTCGACTCGGCCATCTCGCGCCTCCGATCCACCTACCCCGACTCCGAGCAGACCACCAAAATCACCGGCCTCCCCTGCAACCTGGGCGACGAATCCACCCTCGAATCCAACGTTAAGACCCTCTTCAGCAGCATCGACTCGAAGCTCGACCACGTGGTTTTCACTGCGGGAGACCCTCTCGCGGCGAAACCACTGGGCGAGATCGACATGCCGTTCATGAAACAGGCGGGCATGGTGCGGTTCTTCGCGCCCTTCTTCGTCGCTCAGCAAGCCGTTAGCTACTTGAACGCCGGCCCGGCAAGCAGCATCACGTTCACGACGGGGTCGGTGTCCGAGAAGCCGATCCCGAATTGGAGCGTCGTGGCGTCGTACGCGAGCGCCATGCACGGCATGACGAGGGGGTTGGCGCTGGATCTGAAGCCCGTGCGCGTCAACTTGATCTCGCCTGGCGGGGTGGATACCGAGTTGTGGGTCAATTCGTTGGGTGATAAAAATAAAGCCCAGGCGGCCATGGAAGGGATGAAGGGGAAGGCTGCCACTGGCGAAATTGGTCGTGTCGAGGACGTGGTGGAGAGTTACCTTTATGTGTTGAAAGATCGCAATGTCACGGGGAGTGTGGTCAGGAGTGATGGCGGGGTTTTCTTGATGTGATATATAGATGTGTTGAGCCGTGCGATGTCATGTCGTCTTTAGCATGTTCGGGCCTGAGATTCGAAACTCAGCAATCCGGGATATCCCTCCTCGAATTCCCATGCGGATGTTCAGTCCCAGACGAGGACTCATCGAAGCCTACACCGGCCGAAAGCTACGCATCGATGTTTCTAGCCGAAAATCGCAGGTGATACCGGACAGTCTTGATCGCTTTTAGTAGCTGTCTTGTTGAAATAGATCTAAATGAGTTACAGTACATAAACAGGCACCGACTCAAGCTATTGGCTGTGTCAGCCACCGTGATCAGACATATCCGCTGAAGCACACTTTTTCCACGTTTATGTTCGTCTATTCTGCATCAGGCACCTTGACCACATATCGTCCAGCGATCTGGCCAGCATGCATCATCTCGTACACCTTGGGAAGGTCCTTGAGATCCACAGTCTTGAAAGGCACTTTGATCAGGCCGCGGGCAAAGAAATCAATGGCCTCCTCGCTGTCCTGTCGATTTCCGACATATGAGCATTGGATTCTGACCATCTTCAGCACCGACTCGAAGACCGGGGCTCGGATGTACGCCTTGGCTGGGAGCCCGATAACGATGACCGTGCCTCGAGGGCGGACGTATTCCGCGGCCTGTTGGAAGGGCTTCTCGCTCACGGCGACCAGGATGACGGCATGGGGTCCGAGACCATCTTTGGTGGCATTCTTCACATCTTTGACGATGTCGCTGGATTTGGAAAAGTCGATGAAGTGCTATTGCGACATGTGTCAGTTTTCGCTTACCCCGAGTATATGCGAATTGACAACTGGACTTACTTCTGAACCCATCTTTTTGCAGAGCTCTTTCTTCTCATCTCCAGAGTCGATGGCGATGGTGTGCAGGCCCATGGCTTTCGCGTATTGCTGGGCCAACGTGCCTAGGCCGCCGCCAGCCCCGACGATGGCGACCGTCTGCCCGGGCCGCGCTCCCGACTCCTTCAGTCCTTTGTAGACGGTGATGCCGGCGCAGAGGACGGGAGAGACCTCATCGAGCGGAACGCCCTCGGGGATGTGAGCGACGTGTCTGGCAGAGGCGATGCAGTATTGCTGGAAAGAGCCGTCGACTGTGTAGCCGGAGAGCTTGGGAGTCAGGCAAAGGGGTTCGTCGGCTTGTTGGCAGAACGTGCAAGACAGGCAGGAATCGTTCAACCACTTGACACCAACAGCCTCGCCGATCTTGCAGATTTCATCCGTGACCAAGTCACCACGTGCCACCACGATACCGGCGCCCTCGTGGCCACCAACAAGAGGCAGCTTGGTGGGGATGGGCCAGTCGCCATTGAGAGCATGCAGATCGGTGTGGCAGACACCGGAGTATTTGATGTTGACTAGGACCTCCTCAGGCCCCGGCTTTGCAACGGGGATCTTCTTGTATTGGAGGGGTCCGCCAACCTTGTCAATGACTTGAGCCCATTGCTCCGTGGGGATGTTATGAGACATTTTTCAAGGTGGGAAAAGAGGTGCAAGAGTTGTTGTTGTCAGGGGAAGGATTGCGTGTGTAGAAGTCGGCTGGGAGACTATGGGCATGAAGATGTGGCCTTCTCCGGAAGCAGGCTGCTTATGTAGCAGACAGTTCCAACCATTGACCTCCATCATTTTCAAGCTGCTCACTCTCCTGAAGACCAAACTTTCGACAGGATCGGCGGAAACCCCTCACTTTTCTCAGGTAGATGCGTCTGCGTCCATGCTGGAAGACGTGTACACTGTGGACCACTGCCTTCCGAAGCCAACCAGTCGGACGGTCCTCATGCTGGGTCGACGGCAATGCAACATCTCATGACGGGCGTATGGAGACCTTCTGTAAGCGGGCACGAGCAAATGACATGTGGACGAACGGGTCCTTCTCGAGCATCTTTGGCCCGATGTCCGAACGAGCTCAAGGACTGTTGAGCAGACCGGGATGATGCAGGAAGACGGAGCAAAGTTTTCGTGGACATCGAGGGTTCTGCGTATCGAGTGATAGATCAGTACGGAAAGAACCCGATGTCATGCTTCGCCGACGCCAGATCGCGGGAGATCTGCTGGTCCAAAGAGCGTTGGTCCGCACGCTAGCTTTGGGATCTGAAGGAAAATGAGCCCGTCGACGTCTAGAACCCTGCAGGCATCGGGAAGTCCTATTCGACGACTGGAGGCATGCGGCAGAGAAAAGGACAAAGGGAGACCTGGAGCCGCAAAAGCGACGAATCTAAGTCAGACTCAGGCCAGGAAACGCGGGGAAGACTCACTGAAGACTCACTCTTCCCTCTCCCTTCCGCATCTGAAGCTGGGGATGCAGCGAATGAGCATCAGCGGCGAGGATGCTCCGGCTGCGTGTCCGGATCGTCTGGCGTTTGTTTACCTTTTAAAGTGGCCTGATGGTTGCGCGGGGTACTTTCACTCACCTGATGATGAGGTGATGAGCTGTCGAGGCTCAATCCGGAGTACGCTTGAAAACCATTGAAGTACGAGTACTGACAAGCCTCGAACCTCCACGTGCAGATGAGAGTATGTAGTAGGCTGCCGCGATACATAGCTCGTCGGCGACTTTCGAACATAAGGAGCGCAAAACCCACATTGTTACTTGAACAGTGACACGGCAACGCAGCACTTTCGAAGCCTGTACGCGTCAAAAAGAATATGCTCAACGATCTCAGAAGCTGACATTCGTATGCCGCTATTGCAGACCCGCCGAGACCGCGTTACACGCCTCACGAGTGCCCAGCGCAGAGGTGAACAGAACTCGACAAACAGCGAGTCCCACGCGTTCCAACGATGAGATAAGCGAATGCGTGACTGCGCAGGCACCACAGTAGCAAGAAGCGCAGACTCAGCTGTGGCCTGATGTCCGTTGCAACTGGTTCATTCTTTCCCAAGCAGGCCGGCCCGTGAATTCACGAGCGACGCGAACCACGGAATGAACAACTTGCGACGAGCACAGGCGTAGCTACGAACCTCTCCTGTCTTCCTAGCGGAAAAGTCGCATCCAGTGGCTATTTCGATGACCGTCAGATCCAGAATAATCCTGACGTGCCTTTGCAAATCTTCTGACGCGGTCACATTTGTCAGAATGCTCAGAGGTGCGCCATCTGAGTCGACTGGTGGCGGGTTCGTGATTTTGTGAATATTGGATTACAGTTGCTGGTGCAGTTTTCATCTTTCCAGATCTGAGCTGGCTTGTCAAATACATACCCTGCTGGCATCGCTAAATTCCAGGTGAGCGCTAGGATACATTCAGCTCTACACTCGAAAGCGTGGCGAGGAGAACAATGAGCGGGGCGGTACGCAGTAACATCCTTCCAAATACTATCCTCTCTCCATCGCAGAGCCTTCTTCGTTCCTCTATCTCAGACGCTGTTCTCCTTCGCCTCTCCCGGCCAGCTTATGGTCGCTGACAAGTCCCTTGAACAATTCCAAAACGCGCATGCTTGTGGCGGTTGCATTGCCATCAGCTGTGCCTTTGGCCAGATAATCGAGCTTGCTCGTCCTGGTAAGAGAGAGCGAGCTACAGCTACAGCGCGTCCCCGAGAAGACGGATTCAAGGTTCGAAGAGATTGAATACCTGTGAAAGAACGATTCGCCACGTCCTTTGTCCTGAGGTCGGTCACGAAGTCATCGCCGTCTTACGCAGGCTGGAATGGGCGGAATGCTTCCTCTACTGAGTTAGCCAGCTCGCAAGGTAAGCACGATCCCCATTGTGGTCGTCCAGAGCCTCCTAGGCCTGCCTGCTTTTTAACTGGCGCGCAGACTCACGGCCAAGCCACTCCCCGCAACTGAAGCATTTTCAAATAGGCCTGCCCCGCCTTTTCCACCCACCCACCACCTGCGGTAGGCGTCAATGATGGAAGCGACATAGCTTGCGCCAATTGCGCGCAAAGGTGCAGAATCCGAAGATCTACTTGCCTCTCTCAAGTGCCGGATAGACGACCCCTGTGTGAGCAGCTTAACTTTCACTATATTAAATCAGATGTCATCTCGGGAGTTGCTGTTGAAACTCTAGCTATTAACATTTCACGTCCTCCAAGCACCAGAAGCAAAATCCCCAGTTGCAAGCTCTTCACAATGTCTGCTAATGGTACCAATGGAACACACTCGTCGGCCCCGGCCTTCGACACCTCCTCGACGATTCCTCTCTGGCTAGACGGCGAGGAGGTCAAGCTCTCCTCAACCTTTGACGTTGTCTCTCCCCTCGACCAGAAGACCCTCTACAAATGCTCCTCTGCCGACGAAGAGGACGTACAGAAAGCCATCGCTGCTGCTGAAAAGGCCTTCAAGTCGTGGTCCAAGACCAAGCCCAACTACAGACGAGACATCTTCCTCCGAGCTGCGGAAGAGTTCAAGAAAAGAAGAGATGAGCTGCAGCACTACAGCTACAGTGAGACTGGCGCGGCGGCGTCCATGTTCGCATTCGAACATAACCTGGCTTACGAGGCATGCAAGAGCGTTGCGGGCTTGATCCAGGTGGCCACTACCTCTAGCGCGCCTGTTGTGGGCGAGGAGGGAGCGAATGCGTTGCTGATCAAGGAGCCTCATGGGGTTGTCCTGGGGATCGCGCCATGGAACGCCCCATACGTTCTTGGTCTACGCGCATGCCTACAGCCTCTGGCAATGTAAGTCCTAAACCTCCACAATATCGCAGCACCAGCGCACGACGCTGTACATATCCATATCTGGAAAGAAGATATTCTTACAATGAATGCTGACTCACATCCTCCTGCAGGGGCAACACAGTCATTTTGAAAGGACCCGAAGCCGCCCCAGCTACATACTGGGCCATTTCCTCGATCCTGCACAACGCAGGCCTGCCGGCGGGGTGTCTGAACACGATCTACCACCGCCCTGCTGATGCCGCAAAGGTCACCTCGGCACTCATCTCCTCCCCATCCATCAAGAAAGTCAATTTTACGGGCAGTACCGCCGTAGGCGCCATCATCGCCTCCCAAGCCGGCAAGTTCCTGAAGCCCGTGGTGATGGAACTTGGCGGCAAGGCTCCGAGCATTGTGTGCGAAGATGCGAACGTCCAAACCGCGGCTCTCCAATGCGCACTGGGAGCGTTCCTCCATGCGGGCCAAATCTGCATGGCCACGGAGCGTATCCTCGTGAACCGCAAGATTGCGGACGAATTCCGCGAGGCGCTCAAGAAGACCGTGGAACAGGTCTTCGCCGACACGCCACAACTCGTCACCTCTGCACCGGTCGTCAAGAACAAGAAGTTACTGGAAGACGCAATTTCAAAAGGTGCGAATGTAGTGTTTGGTGACCCGAAACACAACGACGAAAGCCCGACGAAGATGAAGCCGGTCATCATCGAGAACGTGAACGAGAAGATGGACATCTACCACACCGAATCATTTGGGCCGACCGTCTCGATATATGTTGTCGAGAACGACGAGGAGGCAATTCGGATCGCTAATGATACCGAGTACGGCCTGGCAAGCGCTGTTTTCACGGAAGACCTGAGGCGAGGCTTGTCTCTGGCCCGGCAGATTGAAAGCGGTGCGGTGCATATCAACGGCATGAGTGTGCATGATGAGCCGGCATTGCCGCACGGTGGTGTCAAGAAGAGTGGCTTCGGGCGCTTCAACGGCTTGCCGGGTTTGGAAGAGTGGGTGAGGACGAAGGTTGTCACATGGAAGGACTGAGCATCTAGGAAGCGATGCGATATGTAACCGAATAACAATCAATCCGAGCTTCTTCGAAAGTCATCTGCTACAGCCGCTGGGTTGTCTTCGAGTCGTGCTCTGGTCGTTGTCTGGCCTCCATCTCATAACTTCGGCGTGTTCGTCAGATTCTCGTACCCATCCTCTAGGATATGCACGTCGTCTTCGATCCGCACGCCGCCCACAGTCCAGTACTTGTCCAGCACTGTCTTGTCGATATACCTGTTCAGCTCGGGATCCTCCAGCACAGGGTTCAGGATAAAATCGCAAAAGTAGATGCCTGGTTCCACGGTAATGACCGCCCCAGCGGGCACCGCGCCCCTCACACGCAGGTACTTGAACATCTGATCGGGATCGTCGTAGTTGGCGTGGCCGCCCGTGTCGTGCGTGTCCATGCCCAAGTAATGGCCCAAGCCATGCGGCATGAACGCCACCGAGACTCTCTTGTCGAAGATCTCCTGCTCGTCGCCGATGAGAATCCCCGCCTTTTTCAAGCCCTGGATCGCCACGCGGTGGGCATTTTCGTGGACGTCCTCCCACAGCACGCCGCCACGCAGCATCTGGAAGCACGACGCCTGCATTTCGTCCACGATGCTATAAATCGTCTGCGACTCGCGCGTGAACGTGCCGGAGACGGGGAACGTGCGCGTGATATCCGCACAGTAGCATTCATACTCGGCGCCCGCATCGAGCAAAATGTTCAGCCGATCCTTCAGCGGCTGGTCGTTGCGCACGTAGTGCAGCGTCGAGCACGACGTCCCGCTCGCGCAGATGGAGTGGTACGCTTGCTCGTGCGCGCCGTTAGAGATACACGTGCCTACGAACGCGCCGTACAACTCCTGTTCGTTCGTGGCATTGCGCGCCGCCTTGACGGCCTCGACGTGCGCAAGCGTCGAGATCTCGTTGGCCTTGCGGATCAGCGCGACCTCATAACTGTCCTTGACGACTCTGCATTCGTCGATCGCGGTCTTGAGCGGCGCGAACTCCACCGCCTGGAACGCGAGAAATGTGATATGCTCCGAGACTTGTTCGGGGATGGCGTACACTGTGGCAGATTTGGACGGGCCATATGCAGCCAACGCGGCGTTGACTTCGTTCGTGTACAGCACGGCGTCGACATCGTATTTTTTGAGGGCTTCGTCGCGCGACTCCGGCAGACCGCTCCAGATCACGCTGTCCGGGTCGACGGGCGGGATGAACAGCGTGAGGATGTCCTGCGGGATGTTGTACGTCAGGTACGCGTCCGGGAGCTTGCAGCCCGAGAGGTAGAAAAAGTAGCGCCGCTGGCGGAAGTGCTGGGCTTGGTCGTCGTCCTCGACCATCCGTGTCTTTTGGGCTTCGAGGTAGATCACGCCGTCGCGGGAGAAGCCTGCATCTGTCAAGAACTTGGCCACGCGCCGGCAGTGCGCTTTGGCGGGGTATTTCGCTTTCAGGGTCACGTCGGTAAGGGACATGGTTACGGTGGGCTTGGGATTTGTAGAACCGGTTGCGTTTGGACTTGAGATATGTCGGTCAAACAGTGCTGTGCATCCAGTGTGGCACACAGTACGGAGTTGGAGAGATGCAGAACAATTAATCGATAGAGACGATGTCGTTGCGCTCCACTGCGGGGGTGGATTCTTCACATGTCCCTCACCACTCACGGACCTATGTCTCAAAGAGGGATCTCAGCTCTCTCTAATATAGCTATTGCGCGCATGAAGGAAGCCAGCGATACTCCATAGCCGTCAGGACCGAACGAGCCTCTAGGGACGCCGGCAAGATATCATCTCGTCTCCCTGGTCTATATTACCATGGCGAGTACGACGCTTCGGCGCAGAACTGGGCTTTCTTCTAGTGCTATTTCTCACCGAGGCAGATGATAACCCCTAGCGACATTGTATACTTTCGACATGTCTCGGTGATATTAGAATATGGATCTCTCACTCTTCCGGACAGTCTCGAGAATACCGCCACTGTTGCCACATGCGATGCCCGAGGTTTGCAGAACCCCGGGATCTTTATTAGTTGAGACCACGGTATTGCGGTGGAAACCGATGCCATCTACAAGGCCGTCTAATTGAAGTCCTCCATGGGGAACCTTTTGAGCATGCTGCGACTTCCACCGGGACTCTGCTACAGATCTCTACCATTTGATTTAAAAGCTGCCGGCATTCCCAGGGCGCTTCAAGCTATTTACGGGACATGACTGCCCGCCGAAGAACCGTGATGTGTCGGTAGGGGGAGCACATAATGAAGCAAAGCTGTGAAGTTTCCGACCGTCGAGTCACAAGCGTTGCAGAACAAACATATCAGGCGAGGGAGTTTGATGGTAGACTTCGCGAAATGGGTAGTCAAAGGGATACCATCTTGCTCCATCCGAGCTCGCTGCTCAGGCTATGCAGTCAACGTTTGCGGAGGAAGGGTACCACAGAGGTCTTAGGGCTTCACGGACGTCCATATCCCTGAGCATGTGGTCCTTGCTGTTTGGGCGGTTTGAAACGTTCGTACTGTTATCAATAAGGTGGCACTCAGTAGTTACCTGGTATGGAATATCAAGAAGACCATAATAAAGGTTGTGCAGTCTCTTAGATGCCCTTAGATGCCTCTCCAAGGCTAGCTCGCTGGAGATCGGCGAGGATGAGATTTCCGGTGATAACCGCTGATTACAATGTGCGGGGGTTTGATTGGCCTGCGCTTTTCCCCCATCGGGATGCGGGGCTGGCGACCGTCGACGTCATTGGGTCGGGGCGACGACCAGGCGTGTTCGGCCTCTTTGTCAGGCACGGCGCCAACCACCAACAACTGCAGCCTTTGAACCAACCTTCTCTCTGTATCATTGCGCACTTGATACTCTCTCATATACTTGCTCAACTTCCAAAAGATCGTCCCCAAGCAACATTCTAGCCTTCACAGCATCATGGCGGCCACTCAAGTCTGTCCCGTCGTGGGAACAACCAACACCGTCCTCCCTCCCAAACACCCCGACTTCGACATTAACCAGCCTGGTCAAGTTTGTCCAGTGACCAAGGCGACAACCGACCATCACCATAACCTTTCGAAGCATCCGGGAATCTTCGACTCGTCCTCCGACCTCTCGAATGCGGATAACTGCCCTGCTTTGACCAAGATCGTCAGCCGACCCGAGCAGCAGGCTATGGACGAGGCCATCTGCCCTGTGGTTGGCACTGTCTCCAGTGTCTTGCCCCCCAACCACCCGTCTACGAAGGAGGCAAAGGAAGGGGATGTATGTCCCGTTACCAACGCCAAGTTCGAGCACCACAAGGGAAAGATCCACGAGCACCCGAGCCTCGAGGCAGCTGCGAACGGTGCGGTTTGCCCTGTTGTGGGACACGCATAACTCTGCCCGAAATAAAACAACAGAGTCCTCAGGAGGTTATTGTCAGGAATATGGCTGGATGATCATTTCAATGATATAGTGGCTAGTCTTGGTCCACCTGGTTTATTTGGAAATAAACATGGAGGTGTTTTGGTACCCAGCTCGCTCGTGTGAGCGATACATGTAGGCCTTCCACGAATCAAATCGGACTTGTCTTGCTTCGTTGTATGTCCAAAACGCAGCGTATAAAATACACATTGTCGGATACGGCAAAACCATTTATCCGCGTGATGGTGGTAGACTTGGTCGAGAACTCGTCATCCAGACTTGAACTCACTAAATTCTCTGAATCCATCTCGAGCAGAATAAGGAGGTCCAGGCACTTGCCGACCCATGTGATCAGTCACCGTCCCAAGACCGTCGATCGTTCCTTGCACTTCTTGGTACCACATGCGCGGCAGGTGGAGGTTGAAGCTAGATATGCAAGTGCTTGGGCTGTCCAATATACGTGTTATCCCTGCTTGAGATCTTTCTCCTCCTGTTCTACGAGGCTCATACCGGGCCAGGCAAGTAATCATCCGCATACAGCATCTGATCTGAGAATCAGTGCGGAAATGAGAACCTCGCCCGCACTGGACGCTTTATGATGTTGGTTCGCGATGAGAAGACGAAATACCACGCAACCCATATCCTCACAAGCGGTAACTGCTCACGTGTATAGGTCTGTCCAGAAGTCCGCGAGGTCGAGGCTTGAAAGGAGATATGTCTGGCTCGAAGCATTTCCAGCACCTTTACCCTAAGCTTGGTGATATCTCGGCCTGGCAGCCTCCTGGCATTGCAAGACGTGCGCAGATAATTTAATACCACAGCAGAAGGATGGCACAGGCTGTACACCCGAGAAGACATGCCTCGTCTTATGTTCACAGAATGCGCTCCTTGCCGTGGTTGTGTCGGTCTCGGTGGTCGATTCAGTACTTTTGGGCTATCACAGCTCCTTGATGGGCAGTCTCAAAGTGATGCCAACACATAACAAGTACTTCAAGCTGACTATTGCGACCAACTCCTTGAACACGGCAATTTCATACGTTGGAGGGTCCTGCGCTGCCCTCGTCGCAGGATTCGTTGTTGCGTGGTTAGGGAGATGGAAAACTATCATGCATTCTTGTATTCTCCCGCTGATCGGACCTACTATTCAGGCCGCCGCACAGAAAACCGGGATGTTCATCGGGGGTCGGTTCGTTGTCGGTGAGCCCTCAAGCACAATATGCCCACGATTGCAGATGCTGACAAGCGTAGGCATCGGGCTCGGACTCGCCCAAACCGCATGTCCAACCTACGTGGCCGAGACTGCTCCTCCACAGCACAGAGCGGTGGCATTGGGCTTATACTACGCTTCTTGGGGTGTCGGCACGGCTTGTTGCATCTGGAGTCTGCTACTCGGTAGGTCAATGTGCCCAAGTATGACAATTACGTGCTCATCTCAGGTACCACCAGACGCAACACTATTCCTTCACGTGGGCATGGAGAACGCCCAGCTCGGTCCAGATTGTGCCGAGCATTCTCTGCATGTGGGTGCTGCTCTTTCTTCCAGAGTCGCCTCGATTCCTCATAGACGGGGATCGACACGACTAGGCCCTGGAGGTGCTCGCAGCCATCAATGCCAATGGCGATAAAGAGTCACCGGTCGTTCTGGTCCAATACCGCGAGATCACAGATACAATCGCGTGGGAGAAGAGCCAGCAATTGTCCTGGGAGCAGGCGTTAAGCGCCAAGGGCAATCGCAAGCGCATCGTCATTACTTCGACATTCCCCATCATCGTCATGTTACCAGGAACCAACATCATCACCTTCTACTTTGGCGACATGCTCTCGCAGGCGGGAATCACCAATCCGACAACTCAGCTGGAAATCAACATCATCCTCACCTGCTCGACCTTGGCCGTCTCGTTGGCAGGTGCTTGGTTTGCAGACTCCTCGGGAAAAAGACTCTTTGCTTAATCAGTCTGGCTGGCCAGATCGTAACGTTCTATATTCTCGCCGGACTGACTGCCCTCTACGGTGACTCCTCGAATAAGTCAGGCATCTATGGCACTATTGCAATGATATTCCTCTACAGTGCAGCCTATGCTTACATCTTCACGCCACTCACAGTGCTGTATCCGCCTGAAGTCCTCTCGTACTCCTTGCGTTCCGTCGGCATGGGCTTGTACACCCTCACGACGAAACTACGACGGTTATTGGTGACTATGGCATTTCCTTTCGCCCTCAACGCCATAGGTTGGAAGACCTACATCATCAATGCGAGTGCCGACATTGTCATGCCGGCCGGCGTGATGTGGTACTGGGTGGAAACCAGGGGACGCACGCTCGAGGAAACCGATAAGTTGTTTGATGGGGGAGAACATTCTGATGTCCCCGGACTTGAAGGCCGTGCAGACGGGGAAGTCGAAGTGGGAAACGAGCTGTTGAAGAATGTAGCCAGTAGAGTGGAGAATCAAGACGTGGTGATCACGAAGGAGTAAGGCGGACGACTCGAGACTGATAAGTGAGGGACAGAAAGACCTGGACGACCGAACAAGGGCCAGTCGTGCAAGGATACTGAATGGCACAGTCCCAGGAGGCGGAGAAGAGCGTTAGGGCGCATGACCGTAGACACGCAGCCCTTGCTTTATCTATACCTACCCAATACTGGTCACACAGTACCAGTACCTCCCGTGCCTCCATAGGCCGGCTATCCAAGTGACTAACTCGAGGCATGCAACGGAGCGAACGGCTATGATACGGATGCATCCTAACCCCTACCTGCCACATCATATTTCCACCTTTGCACATTCCGTATCTCTGTGCGGGGAAAACAGCCTGTCTCCTCGTACAGGTGATCGACACCCTGGGTGGTTGTGGCAATATCAAAGTCCGCTTCTATCTGTAACCAACCCATCTGCCTATTATCCACTTCCACTTATTTGGGGCCCCTTGGTTCAAGTGGATATTCGCCATTCGATTCGTTTCACGCGCAACACTTTGACTTTATGCCGTAACCGCACCGGACAGATGTACTAATTACTCTTCATCCGCGCCGCTCTGTCGAAGCATAGACCCAGGACAGCAAAAAGGCCTACGAGGGTGTTAATTACATTCCATTCCAACCTCGAACCTCGAACGGACAGCGCACCCCGAGACCGAGATCAACGCCTCCTCTAAGATGGCAGTCTCAAAATCAGAATCAGAATCAGAATCAGAATCAGCCTCAGACTCACAGACCATCCCGTTGGTCTCGTTTGATAGATTCCTCACAGGCGATCGGACGGCTCAAAAGGCCGTGGCGAGGGAGGTGTACGACGCGTTCTCGGGCGTCGGGTTCGTGTATCTTCGCGGGCATGGCATTGCGCAGGGGAGGGTCGATGAGATTTTTGAGTTGGTGAGTGTCCGATGTGATGCGTTGACTGGTTATGCACAAGGCACAAGGAGCTGTTTGGACGACGGCATCGGATGGAGTGATGATCACTAACTTGATCGTGTTCTCATGTCCTTCTGAGACGTGCGGTCCATATGGAGTGCGTTGGGCAACTTGAGTTATAGTCTTGCGGATTGGGAGTTTGGTTCTGCGGGGGTTTTGTGCTCTCATGGATTTTCTCTTCTGTGCCGTTTCGTGCTTCCCTGACTTGCCTCCTGTAGGCCCAGAAATTCTTCTCCCTCCCCCTAGAAGCCAAGCTCAAGTATAAACTCTCCGACGCGCACGTCAACCAGGGATACACGGCCGACGGCGCCGAAGGGATCAACGACCACAAGGAATGCTACGAGCACCGGCGGTTCGCGAACGATCTGTGTCCCTCGGACGAGGCCCTCTCAGGCTTCAAGTCCACCCTCGACCTCTTCTACCAGCAGTGCTTCGTGCTCGCGATGAATGTGCTCAAGTGTCTGGCCATGGTGATGGACCTGGGCGACGACTTTTTCGACGCCATCACCAAGCGCGCAGACCCCCAGCTACGCCTCCTCCACTACCCAGCCATTGAGAGGAAAGTGGTCGAACAAGAAGGCCACGCGCGGATCAACGCCCACACCGACTTTGGGCTCTGCACGTTACTCTTCCAGGATAACATCGGCGGGTTGGAAATCGATCCCAAGCATGATGGGAATTTCGTGCCCGCGCCGCCTATCGAGGGAACGGTGCTCATCAACATTGCCGATCTGCTGGTTAGGTTCACGAACGGGAGGGTCAAGTCCACGCGGCACAGGGTGGTGAGTCCGTCGCTGGAGAGGTTTCCTGGAAAGGTGATACCCGCGCGGTTTAGCATTCCGTTCTTTGTGCATCCGGATCCCGAAACCTTGATTGACCCGATCTTGTTAAATCAGGGGGAGCAGAAGCTGTACGAGCCGGTCAACGCGGGGGAGTGGCGCGTCTGGAACACCTCGAAGGATTATCGGCTGAAGGCGGATGATGGGCAGGAGGTGAGGCTGAGGAGGGTCGCGGTTGCGACGTGACAACTTGACTGCCTTACCTTAGCTGGGGAGCGTCATTTGGTTTCGACCAGAGCGGCACGCAAGGCTCGTCGCAACTTGGTGTAAAGACGGGCCTGGCATGGTACATACCTATGCAATGGTTCGAATCGAATTGCTGACGTGTGAATAATGTGTGGTGTATTGCGTGGCTTCGCGAGGCCAACCCGCTATCACCAGTATGTGACCGGTTGCGTTTGGAACCATATACATGATGAGCCATGGCTACTGTGGTTCTTCGTGCCTTGGACGCTACCAACGGCGCTCTGCTTCAACTAAACGGAAAGACCGGCCTCGACGCGACAGCGATCTGCTCCTTCCTGTGCAACGTACGAACAGTGCGATTCGCACTCTCCGAGCGGTATTCGTGAAAGGTGCGCAATGTCGCAGCACGTCCTCACACCGCGATACATGCGTCCGTCCACATGGAGTGGCCTTCGAATGCATGGTGGGATGCGTCGAGGAGACCTCTCACCTCACCGACGCGACGACCTCGTTGTGGCAACAACGTGTATGCAGACGAGACGACGCACCGTTGCTGCGAGCCTCACTGCTTCGAGCACATTATTTTCGCCACATCTGGGTGCTTGAGATCCAAGTTTGCGGCCGTCTCGACAAGCCATGAACGGAGTACGAGCAAGAACATCCTCCGAGATCATTGCCGGCGCAGCCAACATGCGGAACAGCATTCTGGTCGATCATGACCTGATCATGCACCATCCATGCTCAACACCGGATGAGATGCGACGACAATCCTAGCGGTCAGTACAAAACATCTTCAACTGATGACATGGCTACGATACGTCTGTCAATTGATTACGCCATCGCTGTACTCCTATGCACAATAATGCAGGATGTGTTCCGTCACCTCCGTACAGTTACGACCGCAACTGGGTGAGAAAGTGATCACCACAGGCCAACCCCGTCAGAGGTTTTTAAATTCTGATTGGGGAGATGAGCTTCAATCTCACGGGTGGCTGGGCTCCAAACATAGGGACAGTGTGCCCTGTTGTACATAACCGATAACGCCATGGATATCTCCGGTAGCGCCCGATATCGCCTGTGAGGTGGCCGGAGTGGACCAGAGACCGGCCGACAGCTTCACACGCTTGTGGTGCTTGTGGTGCTTGTGTGCTTCTGCTTGTGGTTACGGTAATGCACGTAAACCACATCTCTGCGGCTAATCGGCATTCAGACTAGAAATCGGTCATTCTCCGAGTTCTCCACCAGTACTGGGAACGATGTACGAACTTCGAATCTCGCCATCTCGCCGTACAAAACCACGGTTACATTTCTCCCTTTCCGATCTCACCATGTCCTCGAGCTTTGTGGTAGTGACGGGATGGCGCAGGATACGTCAACAACGAAAGATGTCGAGGCAGATGCTGCTACCGAGCAGCAGCCGTCCGAGAAGATTGTCCTGGAAGACGGCGAAAAGACCGAGATTCTAGTCGGATGGGAGAGTGCAGACGATCCGGAGAATCCACAGAACTGGTCCACTCCATTCAAGTCTTGGATTACCTTCCAGCTGGGTATGCTTGCCTTTGGCGCCAGTTTGGCCTCGAGTATCATCGCCCCAGCAAATCGCACCATCGCCGAATATGTCAACGTCAGCGAGGAGGTCGTCGTCCTGAACGTCTCGCTCTACGTCGTCGGCTTTGCATTCGGTCCCCTAGTTTGGGCGCCTGTCAGCGAGGTCTGGGGCAGGCGATGGTCTATGTTACCGGCCGCGACGTGCTTGGTGTGCTTCTCCATCGGCACCGCCGTGAGTAGAAACGCCCAGACTGTCTTCATCAACCGGTTTTTCAGCGGCTTCTTCGGCTCCGCGGCCGTCAGCAACGTCAACGCCGCACTGGGCGACATTTGGTCCCGCGAGGCTCGCGGGACGGCCGTGTGCTTGTACGGCGTCTGTGTCGTTGGCGGCCCGACGTTAGGCCCGACCATCGGGGCCGCCATCCTGGTCAATCCGCACATGGGCTGGCGTTGGACGGGATACATCGTGGCGCTGTTCAATGCCGTGGTCGTGGCCACGACCTACTTCTGCATGCCCGAGATGTATCCGCCGGTACTGCTCAAGCGAAAAGCCGCGAGAATGCGAAAGCAGACGGGTAACACTCTATACTTTCACCCGCAGGAACGGATCAAGGTCGACATCAAGTCCATCATCACCAAACAGCTATCTCGACCGCTGATGATGCTGCTCACCGAACCAATGGTGACCTGCATCGCCTTTTACGCCTCGTTCGTCTACTCCATCCTCTACCTCACGCTGCAGGTCTTCCCCATCATCTTCGAAGAGCAACGCCATTGGGGCCCTGTCGTAGCCTCGCTGCCCTTCCTGGGTATGTTTGTCGGCATCCTCGCCGCCACGGGCGTCAACCTTGGAAACCAACCTCTGTACCGTCGGAAATGCCAGGCCTCGAACGGCCGACCCGTCCCGGAAGCAAGACTTCCCCCTCTCGCCATCGGCGCCGTCCTCATGGTTGTTGGCCTCTTCTGGTTCGGTTGGACAGCCGCGCCGCGATACCCATGGGCATCCCCCGTCGTTGCGGCCGGTTTGATCGGTGGGGGCTTCAATATCATCTTCCAGCAATGTAAGTGGCCTCCTCTTGGGAGGGATTTCCTTCCGTGGACCGTGGCAGTATTGTATTGACATGTCATCTACTGTACCAGGCATCAACTACCTTGTCGACGTGTACGGGCTGTACGCCGCGAGCGCCACCGCCGCGAATACCTTTCTTCGCAGCGTCCTGGCGGCAGGACTTCCACTAGCTGCTCGACCAATGTACCACGCCATGGGAGTCGGGCCGGCAACATCTGTCCTCGGGGCTGTGGCGGCTGTATTGCTGCCCGTGCCTTTTATCTTTATGAAGATCGGCCTTGTGCTTAGGAAGAAATCCAAGTTTGCGCCCGTGCTGGACGGCTGATGTGATGCTCTGCTTTGAAAGAAGTCAATATTACGATGGTTATTAAGCTACGCCCGGTACAGCGAACAGCAATCAGCTAGCTAGCTCCTTGGTTACGCCGCCGATCTATATCTCCCCAGCTGCAAGCGAGAATGGTATATTTGTCCAGCCAGGGAACTTCTAATAAAGGCGAAACCTTCATCACTTGCCTCAAACTACACCGTGCGGCCAGGCAGTTGAGGTTCGGGATCGAGAGAACATTTCGGTTCTGAGCTTTGGGGGTGGTTCTTCCCCGACCGATGAGCTTCAGGCTCTAGCCTGCCCGCCAGTCCACACCGATCGCATCGATTCCAATCGGCGCTTCCCTGCAGAGAATACTACGAACGACGTAGACGTGCTTTAGCTAAAGCCCCGAGGCAAAGGGCCGAGGCAAAGGGCCTGACGTATACGAATTGGTCCAGAGATGCCGTGCAGGCAAAGCCATAGGCATATCAGCTCAATTGCAAGGACGCTCGACTCTGGGTTACACTTCACTACCACTTCGCAGGGGCGGCTGATAGAAACCTGTCCCATGCATGCATGCCTGGCGCACGCAGCACAGTCAATGCATCATCCATCAACGTCTGAATTGGTGGCATAATTCCGCTCGACCTTGCGGAAGTCCCGCGGGAGCAAGAAGAGGCGATCGGTATGGCATCGAAGAGGATGGGGATATGTGGCTTTGATATGTGGGATCTCGACCGGCAAGGAGAAGCTGAGCAGATCGTCGTTGAGAACACTGATTGGTTGCCACAAGGAACGGACCAGGACCCAATGTTGGCGCCAGATGCCATGCGACTGATCGTACAAGCGAGCAGGCAGGCGAGCCCAGAGACAGGGCAACAAGTAAGAACGGAAGGCGAAGGACGAAAGTACATCAGGAACCAAGTATGCATTCACGACAGAGAGACAGAGGGAGAGAGAGAGGGACACGGAGAGAATTAGTCCCAGACAGTCACTCCTTTAACCACATACAGACTCGGTGAAGAATCACGGCGATCTAGACCAGGCAAGATCCTATGTCAGCGGGCTCCCATTTTCCCCGCAAGTACGGTTTAACGAGGTATTTGCCCGTGCCATGAAGGCCTGACGATGTGATTATCTTTCACGCCCTCCCAAGTGTTCTGTCCAATGTTTGTCGAGCAATGTGACAACGTGAGAATGTGAAAGCGTGTAGAGACGAGACGGGACGAGGTGAAACGGATGTACCAGAGGAGATATGGTGGATCTAGAGAGTGACGATTCGACGTTGTTCCAAAATGGACGGTAACAAACATGTCATTATTGCTCACCTAGCATATCGTACGTGTAGCTGGAGTATGAATATGAGTATGAGGATAGATCATTGTTTGTTCCCACCGTCAAACACCCAGTCTGTCACTCCCTTTGCTTCTCGCTCTCCCCTCCTTTGTGCGGGGCGGGAAATTATACTGTCTACCATCCTCCCTTTGACTTCCGCGGGCAGGGATAAAGCTTCGCAGCGCAGGGCAGAGCAGAGACGGAAATATCACCCAGCTGTCACACGGAGGCGATATGACTCACCATTGCGGGAAGAGCCACTTCGAGAGTTTCACGCGGGTCGATGAGGAGTCCCACACTGGACGTCAACACAGTATCGCCGTCGAAGATAAAGACGAAGATGAAGACGAAGAGGTGCAAGAACACAAGCAACCCACCGCATGGACATGGGCATGGTTATATGTAAGAGTGTTGTCCCTACCTTCCCTCGCTTGGATGGCATGCATGCTTGGGCTGCCGGTCCGGCGACCTGCTCGGTCAGATGTCATTGAGGCATTGCCCATGCAATGCAAGTCTGCCGGCTCAGGTCCCAAAGGCGAGTTGGAACCCTCTGAACGTACAGGCGCGCCTGCGACGGCGACGACCGAGTTGTTGCCACCCCTTGAATGGTCGACAAGAGCCAAATCCCACAGCCAGAGCATCCTGGCCCATGGAGACCGTCCAAAGGATAGGAGAAAATCCGAGGCTGTGCCACTTCCAGAGCATGGAGAGGATGTATCGCTACGACACAGGGAGTTGGCTGACCTGAAAGTCGCTCGAGAGTGGACTCACACCAGTGTCGCCACGGGAATCTTTGAAGAGAGCTCAAACCCGACTACAGCTATCCCAGCACAGAATCTCGACACGACGTTGGACCCGGAAATCGCGACAAAGCGGGATGTGGCTCAGGAGTGGTGGCGAGAACAGGCAGCGATAGCCGGCGTTGTACCCATACCAGAGAGTCAAGATACAGAGCAGGACAGTATCAAATGCAACGAATGCAGCAGAGTCTTTGCCACAGAATCTGGTCTAACCAGGCACATGAGTGTCCTGCATAGGCGACTGCCACGGCTTTGGAACTGCAAGAAATGTCTATCTGCCTTTCGGACAGAAACAGGTCGCGATCGTCACTTGAATGTGGTGCATGCTGATGAGGTTGTGGATGGGGATCCCGAAGGGATTCCACAGTATTCGAAATGGAGTCCCGAGCCGAGAATGATGCAACTTGAGTTGACGACTCAGCGAGATGGTCGTGTTATTTTTGAGCCATGGAGGAGCAAGCGTGACGCTGTTGATCTGTGACTTTGGTTCAGGGTTCGATGGTGATTTTGGAGGTTTGAAGCTGAAAGACCATTCACATCTGATGCACAATAGTTCGTGACGTCTGAATAAAGGCAGTTGTCATGCGATTCATGGCTTCCATTCACTTCAAAAAGCCGGTTTGATCCGAGACATTGTGCAGGCAGTGATGCGAACTGCCTCGTGGAAGCATAAGCGTCTTCCATATCATCTCGAACAACTTCTTCTGTATATATGTCGGCCATAGGAGATTCCAGCCCCCCACGACCACCACGCCATTCTCATCCAGGCCCATCGACGACTTGTAAGACACCCTTAAAAGCAAACCCTGTTGTGAGTAGACCCCATATGCGTTGCAGGAGGAACAGCTAATTCTCTGTTGAAGAACAAAATGTCTCAGTCGAAGACGCTGCGTACGCCATACCCAAAGAATGAAGATCGAGCGAAGCGGCACCTGGAACGTGCTGCTAGGGAGGAGATGTCGCAAAACATGATCGCCAACAAAATCGACATCGTCGAGCCTAATATTCGACCTAACACTGAGACGGCCGACCGTGAAGGACTTACCAGTGTTGTCACATTGGAAGACGCCGGCATCCCAGTTGAGATGAGACGGTCGAGGCGATATCCCCCACCTCTTCCGCTACCTCGTCGACGTGAATTTGCCGTCTCTCGATTCGTCCGTCCGAAGCTGACCTTGGCCGTGGCACCCTCCAACATCACAAGCGCGCCGAGGGTCGAGAATGCGAATGACGGTCTGAGTTTCGGGTTCTTCGCTCCCAATGACCACGTGGGTGGGCCATATGCAGATCGATATCGAAGTGTCAGCAGAACAGCGAGACGTGACAGAGTCATTTTCGACCAACCATCACAGGACGGTTGCGGCTCACTCCTGGAATCATCCAGCTTTGTCGACCTCGCTCATTGCGGCATGAACTGGTCCGACACTCTCTTAACGAGGCGATCTTCATACGCGTCTGCGGCTAGACTCTACGATAGCAGGATCATGTATGGTGAGTGGCAATCTACTCAGCCATCGACTGAGCCACGCCACAGCCTGTACTCCGAGCCTCAGTCTGCCAAGGTCGAGTCCGAATTGACTGTGCCACGATTGCGGTCACCGTTCCCTTGGACTGAGAAAGACAGTCGGCTAGATCGAGATATGCAGGATGCCACAGGGGAATTGTACCAGCAATTCAGTGACACCCTGCTGGACTCGGCTTGGGGAGGCAAGGGAGGCAGGATGAGGTATGCTAAGGGGGGCAATCTCTGCAAGTGTGGCGTTGACAGCGGCGGTGTCTTTGGGGCCTGAAGGCACTCTTCAGGCAGGAGAGGGCGTGAACGCGGATGACTTCGAGACTAACTTGGACTGGGGATGTGGACCTGATTGTCTCTGTGGAGCTCATGGTTGCCCGGGCACAGAGGCCATGAGGAGAGCCATCGGAGGAAGAGCTGCATTTATCCAGCAGGACATCGCCAGGTACGATGACGGCGAGGCGAAAGCACGGTGGACAGAGAACAGCCAGTAGATCTCGTCGTGACTGTTGCACACCAGTCTGCGGCAAGGAATTGTGCTGGGCTGGCTGGGTAAGGTTGAATCTTCTCGATTCTTGCGCCAAACGGGCTGTATGGATTTGCCAATTCGGGTGCAAAAGTGCTGCCATAACTCTGAGACTGGGACCGGGACAGTTGATTGGATGCTTTTACAAGTTGTGTGTAGCAGTGCTCGGTGTAACACTGGCGCCTTTTTGGCGGAACATCCCGTGGGACTCCAGAACAAGAATCCGCCTGTGCGTCGTGGGACTTCGGTATAAATGTCAACTCTGCCAACCTCGTAAGGTACGCCTCATCGAACCATCTTCGTACCCTCCAGCCTTCTACAACCGCAGCGACGCCACTTATCGCTCCACCACCATGACGTTCTGGCAACAAAGACGAATCCTAGTAACCAAAGGATGGGGACCTTGCAAGCGCACTCATTTGGTGCCCGTCAATGAGCATTATTCAGTCCCAGGTCTCGACGGCATGACTCGAACATGGGATTGGAGAGTTGGGATCGATCCTGGGGCATTTGCTCCAACAGGAGGCTTTTACATGTCCGGCAACATGGCTTATGGCGGCTTCTTGGAGAGAGGACCAGGCGGGCCTGTAGTGGTTGTGCAAGATAGGGACCGTCGCAATGGGTTAAGCAACCGGGCACTCAACGGGCTGCTAGATGACATCATGGCTCGAGATCCAGATGACGACCGTCGAGCAGCATCTGAACGTCGGGACGACGAGTTCAGAGCCAGATGGCTGGCCCTGCACAACGAAGCCAATGCCTGTCGTGACAAATTTGGTGGCCATATCGAGACATATGAGACAAGGACAAGAGACCCAATCAGCGACAGCAGGCTCACAGGTCTGCGCGCTGAGGCAGCCACGTATGCTGAACGGGGAAAGCAACGAGCTGAAGAACAAGCCAGAAGGGACAGGGAGAGACTCTGGGAGTTGCGCGATGCAGACCTGGGCCGAGAAGCGCGCGAAGACCTGGAGGACTACGGATTCGTGCGCGTGGCACCTCTTCGAAGGACGAGGTGGTGACGTGAGGCTGGATGTGGAGTCTAGCAGTTCGCCGTTATGGAGGGTGTCGCGGTGGTGCTGACCGCGTCGTTCGTCGAGAGAAGCGTGGTGTGGAATCGGAATTTGGGAAGAAACACGGGATGGTCAGTCACCGCAGTATAGCATCACGTGATACATTGCGCACCAAGCCGTATCACGTGACTAAGCTGGGCGGACTTGTCAGCGGGTCGCAGGCGGCTTTCTCCGTGTTCCCACGCGCTCATAAGGGCGTGAGCCGATGCAACCATTGTCTCTAGATCTTGTATTTATTCCGTGGCTATTCTGCGTCCAGCGGCCTCCAAAACCACCAGTTGCCCTTAGAGAAGCCGTCTTTCCACCATGGCTCCAAAGCAAGTTGTAACGACCGACAAAGGGCTCAAGTCCAACTTGTTCTCTCAAGCCACAATCCACAATGGAACCATTTTCGTGTCCGGAAATATCGGCATCGTTCCGTCCACCATGAAAGTAGTGGAGGGGTCAGTCGCGGACAGAACAGTTAGTACATGTAATGGGGCCGTCTTCACAGCAGCTCACAAATGGCAGAAACAAGCTCTGGAAAACATCAGAGTGGTTCTGGAGGAAGCCGGCAGCAGCTTTGAAAAGCTCCTGAAGGTACTTGGTTGAGTATCTGTACAGGGCAATCCGCTGAGACACCCAAGATGAACATTTATTTGACCAGCATGGAGGACTATGCAGCCATGAATAACGCCTGTGCGCTGTTTCCCCAGCCTTGCCGCCACATTTCACGCTGACAGTGCGCGGAACAGATCTTGAAATCATCCCGGATCCGAAGCCAGCACGGACCTGTGTCTGCGTCAAGGAGCTGCCCTTCAAGACAGATGTACGCATCGTCCACTTTCTCTACAAACCCAAGTCGATACTGACGATGAGCAGGTCGAAATTGAAGTCATTGCAGCATTGTGAGGGCACGTCCAGAATCGCTTGATTACCGAGGAGCTGTACTACTGACACACGACAGGGGCGAAACTGCCGGACCCAGGCTCTAGGACGCTCCAGCGTATTCACCAACGTCTGGATGAAGCCTTTCCATTGTCTATTGACGGCTAGGACTGTCAATTCACGGCAGCGCGCTTGGATATGGCTTATTCGCGCATCAATGAATACAAGAACAATGATTGACCGCAACAATAAAGTCCACAATGGCAAACAGCTGATTGACGAAAACGGATATTTCCTGTCCTCTGCTTTCGGAATGTCGATGCTGCACCCGTTATTTCCAATGATTCTGCGATATATTCTCTTCGCTGTTTACCGTTTCTGTTTTGTTCCACCTTGAAGCCGTTTCCTTGCTGCTGCATCTCTGTACCATAGTATCTACTATATCCAGTGATCGAAGCATCCACGATGCCCGAGAAAGGAACCCCAAGGAAGCCGGAGGCTACTCCAACTCGCATTATGACGAGGCCTTCCAAGTTGAGAACACCCAGAGCGTCAACGAACCAGCCCACAAGCAACAACCCACTACCTACTGTTGAGGAAGCGGCTGAGACAATCGATTCTTCGCCCACACCTGCCGCCACCAACCCGAAGCCTAAGACACCAGCCAAGCCCAAATCGCCAGCCAAGTCCAAAACAGCAGCGACGCCGAAAGCGACCACGAAGAAAGGCACTGGGAAACCAAAGACTCCGACACCACCCCCGCCAGAAGCCGTGGAAGTCTCTGACGATGACAACGCCGAAAAGCCTGAAGGCGGATCACCTGAAAGGGGCATCGTTGTCTCGAGTACTGACAGCTCACCTCTATCAAGCCCTAAGTCTGTCCCGTCGTCTCCTTTTGGACGCATCACGACGCCAAAGCCTGGCAAGAAAAGACGAACAGCCTTCGAAGACAAGACTTACAAGGACGATGACGTCTCGAACGAGGAACCAGCACCGAGCCCGACACCAAAAGCCGTAGCTGGACCGAAGCGGAAGACCGTAAAGTTCGTTGACAAGACTTATACCCCTGGGCAGGAATCCAGCGATGACGAAAGCAATCCTCGGCCGAAGGACTCCTCTCGCAAACGGAAGTCGCCTCAGTATGAGGACGAGGCATCTGAAGTAGATGACGAAGAACAGGAAGAAGATGACTACGACTACGACTACCTCTATTTTCTCGACGATCTTAATCGGTCTACTGAAGCTGCTGGCCTCGATGAAGAGCTTGTCCAAGAAGCAGCCCCTCAGACGAGCTTCCCCGAAGAATCTGAAGTTCCTACGAGTGGACCGGCCTCACCTACCATCTCGGGACCAAATACAATTCCCAGTATCGAGACTCCCATCGAATCTCTTTCACGTAGTACCTCGAGCTCTGGCTCGCGAGGAAGCAACCGCCCCTCACCCAAGCGTCAACGAACCACATCGCCATCGGCTGTAAGTCCATCCCACAAAGACACCACGGAACTCGGAGTGGACGGAGACAAGGTGAACGATTCCAACGACCCCATCGCAGTCGCAAAGGCACTTTTCATGACAGTCCAGAAGGCACCGAGACCACTCGATCTCGGCGAGATCAGCGCCCTGTTCATGGTCCTGCAGGAGAAGATTTCCTTGTTCTGCAAAACCCACTTCGATTTCGAGCTCACGCCCGACCAGCAAGAAGCATGGTCCATGCATCTTCTCGACACGAAGTACAAGGCACTGTATGAAGTGACGCAGTGGATTGCGGACGGTAGCGGATGCGGATGGCGCAACTTCTTCACCAAGAAAGAGAACCGCCGACACCTCGTCCACGGCATCGTCAGCGAATACTTCCAGCAGCATATCTTCAAACACACCGCCTTTGGCATTCCAGAAGACATGCTAGAGGAGCTTGAGGACATCGACCGGGAGTATCTCCGCTACGACGCATTCGTGCGCAACAAGAAAAAGGCCGCATACATGGAGAACTCGCGTTTCGTCGACGAATACTTCCCGACGCCAGGCGACCATCCTCCACACCCCGAATACCCTCCCAACCACCAATACCACGATGACGTGGATCTCGCGGCCCGCAGACTGGCGACCACGATCATGCAAGTCCTGGAACCACTCCTTCCGCCTCCATGTTTCGATCCGCTCCAGGTCCGCCAGTGGAGAATGTCAGCCAGTCAGCGAGACTTAGCTGCTCTCCTCCGGAACGACATCTGGTTCGATCTCGTCGACTTGATTCGCAAGGCCGTGGCACTGCACCACTGTATCCGGTTCGCGGGCCACTCTGGCCTCGTCGTCCGCATCGCACCCCACGTGGCCAAGGGGACCATGTTCACCGTCGACGATGCCGACAGGAACATCTGCGTGAACGCCGAGGAGCTGAACAGTAGCGCATCACGACCACAGGGCCCGGACGCCAGACTGCGCGTCAAGATGACGTGTTTCGGCCGCGTCGAAGCCGTCATGCCACGAGGTCTCGACTTGGAACAGATGGAGAAGGAACAAGCCGCGGCAAAAGCAGCAGGGTACGTTCTCACGCGCGAAGAGGCCGAGAGAAAGCTATTTCCCAAGCTGCCGTATGAGTTGCAGGAGACCGATGCCGGACGAAATGCCGTCGCCCACCTCGACCCCGTCCCTGGCACGGAGTGGAATACCGCGCTCTACCGCGCGAATCTAGAGAGCCACGTCGACCAGCGCTTCTCGCGAGAAACAACGCCGACGATGATGCCCCAAGCAGTCAGCCATCCCTTTGTGACCATATACCCTCGAGTCGCTCCCTCCAATCTATACTGCGAGTGGGTTTCCGCCGACAAGTCGTCGCAGGGCTGGAATCAGAGAGCCCAAACGCTCTGGGAGGCCGTGCAAGAAGCACGCAACGAGAAGTTCATGTTCGCTCTTCGCGAGGACGTGTGGAATACCATCACCGACCCCTTCCTCCTGCAATGGCTCGTGTACTGCGGCATTGCTGGCAGCGTGGGCATATACGGCACCCGCCAGCTCGTCAGGATGCTCGAGGCGCCTCGCTCCCAAGAGGTATTGACCGACGTGCAGACCAGCGCCAGCCACGCCCTGTCCGCCCTCTCCGCCGTTGGAATCAGCGCCACCTCGTACTTGTCGCGACTTCTAACCTCATCAACAAGAGCATCGACTACGCTGTGGGCTACGCGGATCCACCCGAGCGAGTGGACGTACTTCGCACCATTGACTGTGCCGCGGGATACCTTCACGTCGACCGTGATAGGGACGCCCCGAACAAGGACAACGACTGTCGAGGTCGAGACGTCCATCCTGGACACCGTCCTCGAGACGCACGATCCGCTTAGGTCGATGGCGACGGAGGATGTCACGACCCTAACGACGCCGATGGAAGTCGACGAGAGTACGATGATGACAACACCAATAGACGTCGACGAGAGCGAAGTAATGACAACACCAACGGATACACCAATGGATACCCCCGACGCCACGACAGGCGTCGGCGAATCAACACCGCAGACTTCACAGTCAAGCGGTACTGATGCCGATGCCGCCGATGGCCTCCTATCAAGCCTCCGTGCCGCAGGGATCCTGACGGCAAGCGAAAGCGGCACCGATAGCCCCAAGGCGACACTCAAGGAGTACGTCTTCCGCAGCACGGTGGACAGGGACAGTGAGGAGTTTGCGTGGATTCAAGAGATGGTCCGCAAGAGGATGAAGGCGGAGGGGAAGCTCGTGGATGTCGAAGAGGATGAGAAGCCGGAGACCACGGAGACTCCTAACCGCGTGGTGAGGTCGAAGGTGCTCTGATGATGTGGGAATCTGCAATGATATCGAAGATACTACAACTGTAAAGCGGGAGGGCCGCAGGAATCAGAGTGCGACTGAGCGGGTACAGGTATGCGTGGGATACTGTAGCCTGGTCTTGCTGTGCGTTGCTTTTCCAAGGCAAGAGCGGGCAAAAATGACACTCTCAAGCGCCTTTTTGTTCATTCTGCTATGCTATGCTATGCTCCATTCTATCCATCATTCAATTTCGCGTAGACCAAGATAACGTACTAGTAGTCAAGGACTCGGAGGATGGATGCCACTTCCTTCTGTCCTTCCTGCCTGACGCTCATCCTGGCTGAGTAAAATTTTGTGAAAGTACAAAAGCACACAATTCAATGACTTGACTTGACTCGATGTCAGTAAAGTCCCTATCCAGCACATCTTGTCGCATCGCACAGCACTCATCAAGTCAGCTCGCCTGTCGCACAGCACGCATCGGTCAACGAGCTGTCCGTCAGTCCGCTCGTCCTCTTTTGTTTGGAAAATCACCTCCGGCATTCGTGTCCTGAAAACCGTGTCCGAACACGCAAATCAGGCGTCCGCAGTCTCACTCACCCGTGATCATTGCGTCAAGCTCCCGTGCTCCTTATTCAGACTTCCTTGACCGTCATACCCTGATCCTTGGTGGCAACACGAGTCTCAACGTTGACCCCACCATCCGTAATCTCTCTAATCAAACCCTGAACATTCACGACCTGCTTGGCACATTTCAGGTACGCCACCTCGGCGCGACTGGCTTCCATGCGTGCCTTTTCCATGGCTTTCTCCGCGTCACGCGCCGAGTTGACCACTTCAACCATGCACTTCGATAGTTCGATGAGGTGGGACTTGTGCGTGGGGTTCGTGGTTGAGCGGACGATGTCGAGCAGGTTATGCGTCAGCGTCGTAGCCGCGGAAAGGGAGGGCGGGCCAGCCGGGGTCGCGGGTGACAGAGACATCGAAGGGGACGAGTTGCCGACCGGGGAAGGTTGCGCACGAGGGAGATTTGTCACGGAGGCAGAGATCGAAGTCGAGCTCGGCGTAGACTTCGCGTTCGATGCGACTCCGGTTGTCGTGGCAGCGGCATTTGGTGGCAGTGGCGTCTTGAGGTTGGCTGTCCAAGGCGTCGTGGGACTGATGAGTGGGTTCTTGTGCTTGAATTGCCTCATTCCGGTGGATGTGGCATAGGGATTCGGATGAAGCGGATTGCTGAACTTTCTGCTGTTTGTCTCGTCTCTCGGTGCGAAAGGAGGAACCGGCTTGCGACGGAAGGACGCACGGCGAGGACCATCACCCTCGTAAACAAGAGCTGGAATGACGGGTAGGGGCACAGTATCACCAGCCACACTAGGATCGCTAGCAACAGTGGCCTTGGTAGACTCGAAGCTCTTCTTGTGAAACAATCCTCTCAAGCTCGAGACCACTTTCTTCTTCCCCGAGGTCGATGGACTATGTGCCAAGACATTTGAGACCTTCCTACCCTTGACGGAGTTAGTAACTGGAGAGATGCTCTGCGAAAATGGCTTCACATAGCGAGGTTTCTGCAGACTTTCCGGCTGCACAGCATAGGCTTTTGGAGCAGGGTTGGGAAAGAAGCTGATTGATGGTGGCGATACGATGATTGGTGGCGGCTTTGGCTTGCGTGAAGAGGTTCGTGGTGGAAACGGCATCGTTACACTACTCATGCTCGGGGTAGAGTTCGCGGTGGTGACCGGATCTGTGGGCTGCGTGTTGACCGATGACTCTGAGCCAGATCCAGCCGCCTCTGCAAGATCATTGGCAAGTTTTTCCTGCTTGGCTTGTTCTTGCTCAAGGTCTTGAAAAAGAAAGGGTGCAGTCTCCTTGCTCGGTGCTTCGCGCAACACGACAGTTGGCGGGCGAGACGGAGACTTGGAATGAGCGGGACGTCTGAATCCTGGCTTGGCAGCCGGAGCGTCGTGCTTGGATGCAGTGGGTGTGGCATCAGAGCCAAGGTTGAATTCTGCAAAGTCTTTCCCAGGCCAGTCACCATGATCTGATGCTGGAGTGCCTTTGATATCAGATCTCAGGCGAGAAGCTGCTGCCTCAGAGGTGAGATTGTCCCCGCTCTCTGCAATCGAATGTGCCCCAAAGGTGCCTTCGCTGCCAGGAAGTTCTGCTCGCACAACAACAGCGTCGACAGAGCTGTTGGCATCGACGCGCGGCCATGCTTCATCTTGTCCGGCCGCCTTGTCCTGGAATGGAGATCGATCAGAGAGATGTCTCGCAAATGCCATAGGGCTGGGCAGATTGCTGTAGATGGCACTGGATCGGCGGAGTTGATCTCTCGCCATACGTGGAGAGGCGACGTCCGGAGCGCTACGCTTGTGCCTCAACTTGACGGGACTGTTGGCGTCGAGGGTGCTTTTTCGATCTTCTGGTCCTAGGAGGACACGACTTGCAGAGTCTGTGATTCGAAGAGTTGGGCCAATCTTGGAACCGTTGTTGCCTACACGTCGAATGCGATATCCACCGAAAGAGTCATAGCCCCGAACACTGACCTCCGAGTTATCCTCATCGCTGTCAACAAAGGATTCGGTCTCATCAGGCGCCGGTGTCGACAGGACTTCCTTGACGGTCAGAAGCTGAGGTTGACTAACCGCGTCCGTCTCAAGCTTGCGGGAATTGCCATGTGATCCATCGTGCCCGGACAAAGTGCTGCCTTGATGAGTTCCAACGTCGCTATTCTTTTGCTCTTTCGTTGCAAGGCTCAAGATGGGCTCGGCGGTAGAAGGGCCAGTCGCCACACCCAGCTCATCTCCGATGTTGGTTGATGGGCACAGGAGCCGAGCCGGCAAGGGGAGAGAATCCTTACGGGACTTCCGTGTTGGTGAAGCAGAGGGTCGTGTGGCAATTTCCTCTTGACCATTTGTGGGAGTGCGGAGTGATCTCCCATAAGAATTGTTCTCGTTGTGGTGGAGCGGCTTGCGCCCTGGATGAGCTCGAGAGGGGATGGTATAAGGAGATCCTCGGCCGGTAACAGCGCAACGACCACGTGAGTTGACACGGACTGGTCCGCCTTGAACAGTTTGCTTGGCCCATGACGGGGAAGGAGACTCAGCTTGTTCTCGAATTGTGGGAATGTGACTGTTGGCAAGTTTGTTCTTCTCGTTAGGATCCCAGGTCGATTTCCCGGTGGCTTGTTGCAGACGCATGGTCGATGTCTTGGTTTGACGGACGGCAACAGGACTGTCAACATGGCGTGAGAGCGACTGAAGCATCGAGTCTCGGGGTTTCGGAAGCTGACTAGAGGAAAGAGGTCGTCTCCTGCCGTCTGAAAGAAGTTCTTCTGCCGCGCTCTCCTTCTCTTCCGCCTGCGAAGCCATATGAGGGTGTGTCTCTTGAGAGTCCGCAGTGTTATCGAATTGAGCCTTCGGTTGAGTCTCAGAGGTGCCCTCTTTGTTGTCCTGCAAATCTAATGCGCGCATGCCCTCGTAGAGGCTTTCTCCTAGGCTTGGCTTGATCTGTGACTGGTTCCCATAGGAGGGGAGATTGGTGTAAGATTTTGTGGGCAGAATTGGTGGCCAGTCATCCTCTTCAGGAGTTGCTACCTCGGTAGGTGTCATTGATCGTCGTTTGAGCGGTTTCTCAGTGCAGTCGATGAGGGATCTACGCACAGGAGACTGATATTTCACAGTTGCTACAGGCAGACTCGGGAGTGGCTTGTCAGTCTTCTCAGAAGGGACAGGATGATGGAGGTGGTTCGCGCCAGTAGGCACAGCAGGGCTGTCTTGCAGTTGGTGAGTCAAAGGCGCAGGAACAGGTGAGCGAGAGCTACCAGCCAGGTTGTGCGGTTGAACCTGTGTACCGCGTTAGAAGGATCCGGAACACGACATTCAGTTGCTTACATAGAGTTTTCGAGTCGACTGCGTTCGCACTGGGCCACCTGAGTCACGACTCAATGCGTCTTCTCTCGTGAAGCTGGTCTTCCGACGCAGTCTTCTGAATCCAAAGGTCTTTGAAGCGCTGTTCACCCAGGACTTCTTTATGTGTCCAGTGGCTGAAGTCGTAGGTGTCAGCGGTGCTTCAGCGGACAAATGAACGGCTCTGGGACGCGTCTTTGATGGTTCAAGCTGCGCGCCAGATGCATTGGATGGGAACAGTATGACAGGAGGGTATGCAGGCGATGAGTTCCCTGAATGACGGAGACCTGTTGGCATCGCGGGCACCTTGCTAGTGTCGCTCACCAGAGGTCCGGACCGCACGCTGGGCGCCATGGTGTTGGTTAGCAATATGTGGAACGGGGAGCCGCGAAGAAAAGTTTTGTCCGCGAAGTTGTGGGACTAAAGTGAAGTGCAGAATAGGCCTGTATTGGTGCGGCAGTAAATGGTGCTGGACCATGCGGTGCAGTATCCTGGCCTTAGGTAGCCTCAAGGCACGAATGTGATGTCCAGTAAAGCAATCAACGTCGCAGATGGGCGACATGTTCTTGTATCAGAACAACAGCCTTTTGTGCTCAAGCAACCAGCTTCTCCAGCTGGTATCCTTGCTATTCCAACATACGATTTGTGGCCACCCCCGGTGGCAAGCGCGCAGAAGAGCTTGACACATAGCTCAAGAAGATCACCAGACCTTGTGTCGCAACCAATGCAGGAATTCTCAAAATGTTCCCCATTACAGCGCTCACCTGGAGCCGTGTTGTGTTTTGAAATCACTGCATGCAGCTTTTGTTCCAGCTCGTTCTCGACACCTTCCGTGAAATCTTCCAACCAGTCCTTTTTACGATCACATCTTTTGGCCAAGAGATACAATCAAGGCTGTGGGCTTGTTGGCTCGCATCCCCTACGGAATCTTAGCTTTTTGGTCTTGAGAAGGTGCCAATCGAGAGGTCCATCAGATGATTTGTGGATTCTCATAGTGGATGTGACTGCGTCAGGTGGATAGCTTTCCTAGTCGTTCTCCTCATCTCCTTGGTCGTCGCCATCTCTCTTCTGCTTGTTGGCCTCGTACTGCTTCATATTATTGTCTTTCCACTTCGGGCCCCCGAAGTCATCCTCCCTAATCGATTCGCCAGAGTCAACGGTGATTCCCTGCTTGTGAGCCAATTCTTCTAGCCGCCGCTGCTCCAGTAGCATCTCCCTAAGATACTCAGTGGACTTTCCTAGCATCACCTGCTCGCTCCTCTCGTGGCCGAGGGCGCCCGGTACGAGGTTTGACAGTTCAGTAAAGCGTTCTCTGATGGCGGTGCGCCTTTTGTTCTCAGCGTCCTTGTGGTTGAAGTTCTTTTGTGATGCAGTCAAGCGTGGTTTGCTGACTCTATTGGCTTTCTTTGATGAGCTGGATTTTAGAACACTGTGTGGCTTGGGCTCTGATGTTGGCGACGACGCTGGCGTGGACCCTTCGGATTCTGAACCATTCTCTTTCGACATTGTGAGTTTTGGATTTTTCCTGGATAGATGCGAACTTAAGTCAAACGAATGGACGAGGGTTGCGCTGATAACCTCAGCTAAAGAGAGAGCCTCCTAGTTGCCAACCACCAACTTCATTATCGCCAATATCGTGTAGACGTAGACGCTAGTGATTGGATTGTCCTATGTCGATGTATTCGCAGTAGACAATGAAGACAGAAGAGATCCTTTGCAGAGGGACGTCGGGATGGTCTCCATAAGGTTGTTCTTGCCCTTTTGGGTTTAAGCTGCACTTGATGCGGATTTAGACAGCTGCAGCCACTTTTATCCTCACGCTCCAGTTTCACTTGCGTATGGTCTGATATTCATTGCACGGTTAAGGACGAGCGATTTTCTCAACTCCCCACAATCATTTGGCTCTTCTCTTCCATAGCTGCATTCGCAGTCTGTTCTAGTTTCTTCGATGCCGAAATGAGCCGTGCAAGACCTCTCCAAGGCAGTTGTAATTGTGGTCGCAACCACTATATCGTCACTGTCCCTCGAGATGCCGCTGAACAGGCTGTAGTCTACTTCGACAACAGCAACGAAAGCAGTAAGCCTTCCATTATGTCCACCTTCAGCGGGCCTGCCTAACCTCACAACCTCGCCAGGAAGAAGTCAGGCAACTCCTCTGACAGCATGGCTCCGGGTTCCATTGACATGGTACTCTTCAGCCACAACATCGTACTTCCCGGATGAATCACACGCCTCAATTCGGAGGATATTCACGCCATTACACGCCCCATCATCTCAGCGAGTCTTCTGTGGCTATTGTGGAACTCATCTCTCGTTCTGGACCGAACATCCACCCGAAGAAGCAGAGTACATGAACATAACGCTGGGCAGTCTTTTGAACGAGGATCTCCAGGCGTTGCAAGAGCTGGACTTACTACCCGACACTGCAAGCTCAGAAGGCACGGACGACAACGAACAAATCACCATGTCCGGAGGTTTGGGACAGGATAACAGCAACGCGGTGGAGACATCAACAAAGCAAAAGATCCAACCAGTCATACGCACGCAGCGGAGTGGCAGGACTGCAGGTCTGATGTGGTTCGAGGAGATGCTAGACGGAAGTCGACTTGGCCGGGTTCAGAACACCAGACGAGGGGCTGGGGTCACCAATGATGGGTCGACACGGGTCGAATGGGAAGTCTCGGAATACTTTGACGAGGGAAGTGGAGCACCTGACACACCTACCAGCTCCAAGCGCAAAATAGACGATGTCGCTCAGGATGACGATGTGCGAATGCAGCACTGAGAAGGTGATGCAGAACGGGAGACGACGGTACGACTTCACGGCCTAAAGAGTAACGAAAATACGAAAAGCGATAGAGCCGAAAATTTCGGGACCGCAGGAGATCTAACGGATGGGTTGTACAAACACTGTACAAACCGACACTCAACGACATGGTGTAGTGAGTCGTCACAATGAGTACCATGAAAAATCAGCTATACCTTCTAATTTCTCCCCGTTTCAGGTTTCGAGAAAAGAACTTTCCACCAGGGGTAATGCCACTCTAACACCAGTCCACCCTTGTTCCTTTTCCACCTGCAACCGCATCCAGCGCCCCATTCAACTCCATCATATCTCGGCGTTAGGCCTTCTTGTCACCATCCTCACCCTGTCCCGTTACCCTGTTCCATGCCGCACGCAAGCCCTCCGGCAGAGTTGCAACCTTCTCAGAGAACAATGCCTCCGCCTGCTGCCACACACTACTATTCTTGCGTTCCTTCAATTGCAGCAAACTCGGCAGCAAGGCTTGACTGAAGGCCTCGCTTGCCTCCCTGGGTAACAGGCTCGGTAGGTGATCGATACTGATGACACTCAGTGGCGGATTCTCATATCCAGGCACCGGCAACGTAGGGTCATCAAACGTCGAGTTCTCAGTATAGATTGGGATGGGGTTGTGAGGATTCGTCGTGTCGCAGCTCACATCGCAGACGACCGAGAGATTGCGCTTCGGACTGGAGAGCGACTCCTTGTTGAGAAACGGCGGGATCGGGTCAGACAAGTAGATGCAATTGACGAAGATGTCGCTCTCCACGATTTCCTCGAAGGGCCCTCCCTTCTTCGTTTCAGGGAGATCCCACTTCAAGATGTTTTCATTGGGGATGCCAGCTTGACGGCAGAGATCGACCGCGCCGCGTCCGCAGCGGCCTAGCGCGCCGATAACGAGCACGCGCGGTTGCCGTCCTGCTTTCTCACTGCCAGATTGTAAGGCAGAGCGCACGTCTTTGAGCAACAGGTCTTGATTCGCGTAGCTTGAGACCTTGGGCATCTTGGTCCCCGATTGTGTCAGTTGATGCGCCCAGGCTTCCACCGCCAGTGCCGCGCCCGCGTACCCGGCATGATATCCAAACGCGGCGACTCGTCTCCCGGTCTCATCGGTAAGGAACTCGAGGTCTAGCAATGTGCCGCCACCTTGTGGGAAACGAGACAGCACGTCCTGCCAGCCGCCTTGTTGCTTGTAGCAATGTGCAAACTGCACGTGCGTGTGCTTGAGCGCGAACTTGTCCTCGGGCAACTCCTTGAGGCCAACAATGATGTGATCTGTCGGTGCATCTTTCCATGAGCCCTCGGGGACTAATGTAGCTCCGACGGCTTCGAACTCGGAGTCCTCGAAAATGCGCTCGGGAGAGCGTTCGACATTGACTTTGTAGCCTGCGTCTAGCAAAGCTTTGGTGGTGGTCGGGGTGACTAGGACTTGTTAGTCTGAGTTGCATAAGACCTCAGGAAGGCTCATACGGGCAGATCTGTGCTCGAGCGGCTTGGACTCGGAGCGGAGGTGAAGCGTTGTTGCCATGGTGAGTTAACGAGAAAGGAGCGCGGTAAGGATGGGCTCGACTCCGGCGGCACCAACAGTCGGGAAGCTTGGAGCGGGGAAGAGCAAGCTCAGTACAGTACGAGAAAGCAAGTTCAACTCGAACGAGGCTGTCAACCACCTTTATCAGCACTTGATTGTTATGACTCAAGCTTCAAAGGGCGTTTGTGAAAGCAAAGACCAGAAGAAAAGTTGCCATGACGAATGCGGGGAGCGAAATCTTCGAAACATTTTCTGCCACCGCCAAAGGTGAGAGCGAGTCATTCAGGTTACACGCTCACGCACGCTGCAGGCGGCATTGAGTGTGTCGGCTCTGCGGTGAACGCTTTTTGACGTTCCTAGGCCGTAGATAGGCGTGCTCGAGAAAGAAATCAACATCAACATGTCGGACCAGAAAAACGGCATCCCCTCAGACAATCCACCATCGTACGAAGCTCTCTCGAACCCTCCGCCCACTGGCATTGAGTCTTCCTCCAGCGGCGGCGCGCCACCACCCGGCCGCCGCCCCCTCCGACCCCCTCCACCACTCGAACTCCCCGCCCTCACCCTCCTGCGGAACAAACGCGTCATCCTCGCCTCGCAATCTCCTCGGCGAAAACAACTCCTTGCGCAAATCGGGCTTACCAATGTCGAAATCTTGCCTTCCAAGTTCGAGGAGAACCTCCCAAAGACGCTCTCGCCGTTTGAATACGTCCTAGCCACGGCGGCCCAGAAGGCGTTGGCAGTCTACAAGCAGGAGATTGACAATGAGGAGAAAGGAGAGCCGGCCCTGATCATCGCGGCGGATACGATCGTTGTAAGCAGTTTAGGGGAGATACTGGAGAAGCCCAAGAGTGAGGCGCATCACATTAGTATGCTCAAGGGATTGCGGGATTCAGGGGTCCACAAGGTATACACGGCTGTGTGTTTGGTCTCGCCGTTGCAGAGTGCCAGGGATCCCGGGTATGCGATCGAGACGGCCACCGAGGAAACGACAGTCAAGTTCGATTCGGAGATCACGGATCAATTGTTGCTTGCGTATGTGAGGACGAGGGAGGGGGCGGATAAAGCTGGCGGATACGGCATCCAGGGTACGGGCGCGATCTTGGTCGAACGGATAGAGGGCAGTTTTGACAATGTGGTGGGATTGCCCTTGAGGACGACGTTGAAGTTGATCGAGAAGGTCATGCAGAAGGCCGAGGATGAAGATATTCTGGAGGGCGAGGGCGAGGATCTGCTCGAGGATGATGACGAATGAGTAATGACGAGTGGAATGGCATCAACTGGCGTTCGCGGAATCAGCTGGTATTCAAGGTCAGTGTAGACAAAACCCGGCCAAAGACAGGACGGACATATGGCAAACGATATCAATTGTGGAAACACCTGCTTGTTTCGGTGCATCATGTACATGGACCGCTCGGCGTCATCTGTGGCCGACCCTTTCTGTTCACTTAAGACCGAGCTTTCCATCATGACCCAAGCCTGAGGCGTCGGCCTTGCCAATGGTAGCATCATTCTCCGATCCCGCGTGCCATATCCTCTTGACGGCCTCGACAACTCCCACATCGTTGGTCTCGAACTCGTAGAAGCCGATGGCGACAACCAGAGTCGCTAGGTTCAACGTCCACATGAAGAACCTCCGCATAGTTGGGTGTTTATGTACAGGGATATAATCGATAACGATGGACCTGATTGAGGTTGGAAGTTAGCAGCGTCTCTCCGAAAGACTTCGATCAGCATGTGTGGAGCTAGGGAACGTACTGGAACCCAGCATGCGAATGCACGATGATGCCAAAGATCAGCGCCGCATCCAGCAAGGGGCTGACTGATCCAGCCGCAAAGGGTGCAATTGTCAACGGCACCAATGCCACCGACAGTATGCGCTCAAAGGTCCAGTGATAGCTCCCATGGAGGGGATCCGGCTTCGGGATGGGTGCAGGGTCGTTGACTCCTCCTTTTATCACTTGCGGACCTGCCGGCAGGATCTTTCTTTGCGGTGTCGTCGAGAACGGCGCGACTTGAGAAGCAACCGACAGGCGTTGTGCCAGTACTTGTCTCGAGCATGGGATTAGAGGAGCTGTTCGGAAGGGACGCAGAGGTTGGGTAGTACTCGAGAACAGCCGCTTCGAGGCCGACAGCAGCTGTGCTTGACGAAGCATGGTCGTTCTCGCAGCTGCAACCATCTTCGCAGCAGGGTCGAGAGTGGTTGAATCGGATATGTCGAACTGCCTGTGGTGGGATGAGGACAATGCGTGATGAAAGGCACCTCATGCATTGATCCGATGTTGCGCCAAGGCGCTAGTCCCGAGCCAATCAAACGCTCTGTATTTCACCATGACCTTAACGATGGTTTGTAGCTCTGCAAACAGCATTTGCACCCTCGCCTACGAGCTATTTCAGGTCTCATGGCTCCGAGCAAATTCCTGTTCATCCATCCCAACCAGCGCGCCATATCGTTCACACATTCTACAAGTGACCATCCGTCCGTTCCATGCACACGCCCAGTTCAGTGATCGGTCAACAACCACCTCGTCGGGCTCGGCTCTGGCACTTTGCGCACTGAGGTCAATCTACGACATGATCCAGCCTGACTCGAGCACGCCATAGATAGATCATTCAGGTACTCCGTACAGCTCCGTCCCTTGTCATGAACATCGATTATGCAGACTTTATCTGCAGCCTTGTGAGCCTCGGGACTCTTCGTTGAGCCTAACCGTATTGGGTATTAACGATTCTTGGAGACTCGCGGACAACATAGCGATGCGGGGTTCGCCCGAGGACGATGAGAAGTATTCACCAGCGACGCCTGCCAAGTGACGAGCATAACCGAGACCCTTGTGCATAATGGTCAGGCCCATATCCCTTCTGGGAGGTATCGTAAGTGGTGCTTTCAGTCCTATATTACCATGGTCCATCGGAAAAAGCGGTGGGTACTGTCTTTAAAAGCATTTGCCTCCTGCAATCTCTCGTTATCTTTCGCCTGTCTTCATCTCTCAACATCGTCCTGTTAACTCGAACCAGATGGGGGACAACCGGATCGTAACTATTTCGGCAGCTCCATCTGAGGATGTCACTGTCCCGACAGATGCTCCGCACGAGAACAGCTGGTACAATGGCAGAGACTTCGATGGTTACCGCGTCACGGAGCAGTTGTTGTATCAACGACGCAAGATCCGAGTGATCTGTGTCGGCGCTGGAGCCACAGGTCTACAATTCGCATACAAGGCAGAACGTGCATTGAAAGACGTCGACCTCCAGATCTACGAGAAGAACGCCGACGTCGGTGGCACCTGGCTCGAGAACAGGTACCCTGGATGCACATGCGACATTCCATCTCATTCTTATCAATTCACATGGGCGAAGAATCCAAATTGGTCAAGATTCTACTCTGGCTCGGAGGAGATCTGGCAGTATATGAAGGACGTGGCTACAAAGTATGACCTGGAGAAGTATGTGAAGTTCAAAACATCAGTCGAGTCTGCCACGTGGGATGAGGAGGCGGGCCTATGGAAGTTGCGCATCATTGCTCCGGACGGCTCAGCCTACGAGGACACGTGCACCATTCTTGTTAATGGCTCTGGAGTGCTAAAGTGAGTGACGGCAGACGTATTTCGACGAAATGCAGGTGCTGACTGAAACATTGATAGTGAATGGAGATGGCCCAAGATCGAAGGTTTGGATGTCTTCAAGGGGAAGCTCATGCATTCCGCCAACTGGGACAATGACTTTGACCTGAAAGGGAAGAGGGTTGCCGTTATTGGCGGCGGGTCGTCAGCAGTTCAGATTGTTCCTTCGATACAACCTAGTAGGTCACACCTCGTGTCGCGGGTGGGAGCTTTACGTTTCGTTGGTCACTGACTCGACTTCCAGCTGTCGGCAAGCTATACGCCTTCTTGAGATCGCCCGTCTGGATAACAACAGGATTCGGCGCCAAATATGCAGGTCCAGGAGGGACTAACTTCTCATGTGAGGACCCTATCCACGTCACCGATCTCGTCAGCCGCTGACAGTTTCAGACTCTGAGGAGCAGAAGCAAGAATGGAGAGAGCATCCCGAGAAGCATGCGCAGTATTGCCGCGACATCGAAGGCGAGCTGAACAAGCGATTCACATTGGTAATTGCACATCCTCAGCCTCTCCACTCGGGATGCCCAGCTGACCTGTGTCTCTCAGATGCACCTCAAAGCCAAGGACCAGAAGCTCTCTCGTGACCTCGTCGCTGACATAATGGCTGAACAACTCGGCCATGACGAAACCCTCACCAAGCAACTGATCCCACCGTTTGCCCTGGGCTGTCGCAGAATGACCCCGGGCTCCGGCTATTTGCAGTCGCTCAAAGCAGACAATGTGCAAGTGATACCCAAGTCAGCTGCCAAACTCACCGAAACAGGCATCGTCGACGCCGACGGTAACGAACATGAAGTCGACGTTATCATCTGTGCAACCGGGTTCGACACTTCCTTCACCCCACATTTCAAAGTATATGGGCGCAACAATGCCGAGATTCACGAACAGTTTGGTGACTTCCCCGTGGGCTACCTGGGCGTAAGTTGTCTTCTTATTCGATGCTTTTGTCACGGAACCCAGCCGAAAAAATCAAGATTCCTGCTTTCCCCCCTTATCCTGCCCGCGTGGATCTACACTGCTCGCCATTCCATACAGATTCTAACAGCCCCAATAGATCGCAGCCGAAAATTTCCCGAACCTCTTCCTGCTCATCGGCCCCAATGGCCCGGCCTCGCACTCCTCCATCCTACCCATCCTAGAATGGTACACGCGGTACGTCTTCCAGGTCATCGAAAAGATCCAAACCGAGCGGATCAAGGCCGTCGAGCCGAAACGTGAGGCCATCAAGGACCTATACAACCATACACACGAGCTCATGAAGCGGTTGGTATGGTCCAGTGCATGTAGGAGTTGGTTTAAGAACGGCAAGACCCACGGGCCTGTCACGGCGATCTATCCGGGGAGCAGACTGCATTTCCTGGAAGTCATGCGCAATGTCAGGTGGGAGGATTATAACATCACTTATCTGGGCGATGGCAATCGGTTCAGTTTTATGGGGAACGGTTTTACACAGTAAGTCCTTTGCACGACCTGCATTCCATCTTGACTCTGACGACGGCATAGGACAGAGGTGGATCCCGAAGGGGATCCGGTGTGGTACTTTGATGATGACTTCGTCAAGATATAGCGCGTGGATGTCTTGAGTAAGGGTACAACTCAGCGTCGATCTTCATCTCTGCCGGTCCATTTCCGTTTCCAAAGCTGAGCGTTTCGTCTTTTGAGCTGCGACCTGCCAATCGCCGCGGCTGGGAAATCAGGAGTTGTGGCTCGGAGGTCGGAGATGACAATATGGTGAGACCGACTCGCAAGTTGCAACACAGGTCCCATTATTGCCTAATCCTATTGCTGCGTTGCGCTGATTCAAGTGGAGGTACCGGATGAGGTCGAGCCCACCCACGCAATCGCCGTTGCCAAAATCCTCGTTACGGCGCCGCCTGTCGGGGGTTCATGTGTATGCGCAAGGCGCGACAGTGGAGACCACAGAAGTACGCGATGATATTGCTTTGAGATGTCCAAAAGTCCAAACGTCGCTCATGATGCTTCTCGAGTTTTGGTTGGTGCGGGACTGCCGTGGTTTTCACTGACCAGAGTGCGGTCCAAGACTGATCGATCAACAGCTTCCTACATCTACCTATAATGTTACAGCACAAAGTCCTCCAGCGCACTCGGCGCGAACAATTCCTCAGGCTTGAACCTCCTCTTAGCCAACCCCTGGTCAAAAGAATACTGCAAGAACTTCTCCAGCACGTGCTTGTTCGCCTCGAACCCATCCTTCCACCAGCGATCATCACCACCCATCAGCTTCCTCGTCTCCTCGACGTGGTCCTCCAACCACGGCAGAATGTACCGCAACGCGGCCCGCTCCTTTAATGGCTCATATGCCATCTCCAGACTTTTGGCAAACGCCTTGGTCAGGCTCTTGGCGATCCACGGGTTGGCGTCGTACACGCTGCGTTTCAGCGCCACGACGTGCATGATTGGAAATATCTTGGTGCGGGCGTAGTACTCGGCTTCGACGGCTTTGAAGTCGTCAAATAGCCGGGTTACCGTCTCGGGGGACGTGTCGAATGAGGAAGGCTTTGTCGCGCTGAAGATGGCGTCCAGCTCGCCGTCCGCGAGCATCTGCGACAGGTTCTGTCCCGGCCGGATCTCGGTCACGTTGATGTCGGCTGGGTAGCTGTGCGAGACCTTCGAGTGGCGGGGCTTGTCCGAAGGTTCGATGGCACCGGTGTAGAAGTGCACGCTCGAGAGGGGGACGCCGAAGTCTTCGGCTAGGATGCCACGTTGCCAGACCGCCGCGGTCACTGGTGGGGTGCCTGTCAATCACTGTCCTTGAGACGCGCAGAGAAGTGCCACTTACTTTGGTACTCCGGGGTGCCTATTCGTTTGCCTCGCAGGTCTTCGGGCTTCTTGATGCCGGCTTTCGAGTTGATGTACATGGACTGATGGCGGAAGAAGCGGGAGGGGAACACCGGTAGGGCGATAAACGGTGGATTGTCCTGGTTCAAGGTAAGAACGTAAGAGGACAGGGAAAGTTCGGATAGGTCGAATTCTTGGAATCGAAGTTGGCGGAAGAAGCTGTTCTGGAGCGTCAGTCGTCTGTATGGTAACTTTTGGGGTGTGCGTTCTGGGTAGCAGGAGACGTACGTTTCTTCGACGCGATAACTCAGAAACGTGAGTTCGATACCCTCTGGTCGGACTCGGCCATCTTCAATGGCTTTCATGCGGTCGTAGTCCCAGCATGCAAAAGACAACTTGAGCACCATCTTGGACTGGAAGACTTTTGAGATTTTGCAGTTCAATATTGACGGGAACGTTCTCGTAGCTGTTACTCAAATTGCAGAGAAAGCGATTCTCTCTTTGGTTTCCCTGCCTCTTTCAACGTTATGGTGGAAATTCAGCCTACTTCGGCCACGACGCCCCAAGCCCCGGAATGCACCCATAGTAGTAGACACGCAGTAGTCTATCGGTGCGGTATCCGATCCGGTGAACTTTATACCATCGGATCATGCCGCGGCTCACTCCGCCCAACCCCTGGAAGTCGGGGACTGGGGATGCCAGCTTCCAGATATAATACCCCACAGAATGCACGCGTGGGAGATGCAGCACGTACCCCGGATTCGCACAAAGCCTTGTCAAATCGTCTTCAAGATGGAATACGATGACAAAGTCCACGCTGTGGTGTCTAACAACGGCTCTGAGCACGCGATCGAAAATGCCGTCCCAGAGAAACCCGACGACGTTCGACGTGATAAACATGGGTTTCCACTCTTCCCCCAACCCACTCGTTTTCGCGATGACCCCTTGGTGAGTGAGAAGTGTCTCTTTGGGGGAGTTGCAGGGTGCTAATGTGGCTGTTGCAGAACTGGCCGTCGTGGCTGAAATGGCTTGTGCTCCTTCAAGTGTCGTTCCTCGCCATGCTTGGGCCGTTCAACTCGTCGGTGGTCAATCCCGCATTGGTGCCTCTTGCAAAACTCTTCCACATCCCGGTCAATCAAGCATCATACCAGACGACGTCGGTTATCGTCGCTGTGGGAATCTCGCCTCTGGTCTGGACACCGCTGGCCAACGTGTACGGACGACGACCGGTGTACCTTCTCTCGACCCTCATCGGCATCGTGGCAACGGTCGGCAGCGGTGTGGCGAAAACATGGACTACCCTGCTCGTTGCTCGCGTATTCAGCGGTGTTGGAGTCGGTGCGGCGATGGCGCTGGGAGCCGCAACGGTCAATGATATGTTTTTCCTGCATGAGGTACTGTCCTGCAGCCCGGTCAGATCAAGTTGCGATAGCTGCTAACAATGACTCAGAAAGGGCTGAAGATGGGCGTCTTCACGGTGTTCTTGACCAACGGCGCTCATGTTGGTCCTGTGATTGGAGGGTATCTTGTCCAAAAGGCCGGTGTCCGTTGGGCATATTACTTCCCGGCCATCGTCAACGCAGTGACCTTTGTCATCATGGTTTTTGCCATGCCCGAAACACTCTTCTCCCGCTCCGAGAAGGTGCTTGCGCAGCACAAAGAGCGGACGTACATGCAGATGCTCTTCAGCTTCCGAAGGAACGCTCTCCTCGACCGAAGCGTCCACCTGCGGGATTTTGTGCGCCCATTCGAGATGATGAAGTATCCCTCCGTGACGCTTACATGTCTATACTACACTGTCTCTTTCGCTTACTCCTCAATCCTTCCGGCAGTGACGGTCGCCATTCTCTTCACCAGAATCTACCACTTCAAGACCGGCGCTATCGGCCTCATGCTTGGACTTCCACTTTTGCTCGGCTCAGCTTGCGGAGAGTTCTTGTCGGGGCCCTTCTCAGACTGGTTCATGTATCGGTACGCGAAGAAACACGGCGGTGAGAGGAAACCGGAAGCCCGATTGCCCGCATCGCTTGGAAGTCTTCTTCTTTGCCCTACGGGAATCATCATCTATGGCGTCTGCCTGTACCACGAGACGCACTGGATGGGCCCTGTGATGGGAATGGCGATTGCGAGTTTCGGCCTCCAACTCGTGACGACGGTCAGCTATACGTATTGCAGCGACTGCTACAAGCCGCAATCGGGAGAGATCAGCAGCTTGTACAACTTCTGGCGGCAGACCTTTGCCTTTCCGCTCGGGTTTTATGCGTAAGTGCTTGCATTCTTTGCGGAATTGACAGACTCGGACTGATTTGTACAGTTTGGCGTTTGCCGACGAAATTACCATCCAGTGGGCTTGGGTCACGCTTGCTTTGCTCACAGCGGTGACGTCCGTGGGGATTGTGGTTCTCATGATTAAAGGCGAAGCGTGGAGGATACGGCTGGGCCAGCCGCAGTTCCACAAGGACATCTAAGCTGGCGATGATGGTGGATAGGTATGCAGCCTGCGGGTGTAAATTTGGGTATGGCAATCATGTCGATGTCGTGGAGACGTGTGATCAGCGAACGAAAAGTTGCTCCCTGATAATCAGTTTGGTTATGACTCGTATAGAGAGTTGTAGACGAACGGAGCGCATTGGGAGATTTGAGTGTAGTCATTGTACAGTACCATACAATTTACACGCTCCAAAGTGGTCTTCCCGACTTTGTGCACACCAGTCGCAGAGGTTGCAGGGAAACGAAGTTAAAGGCCTGCTGGGGAGCTCGTTAGGCTCAGGGCACGTGGCCTTGGGCACCAGTGCCACCAACAGGGCGTGCATTTGGCCCCCTCGTGGCTCCGAGACTCTGGATCCGACCCCCATCTCTCCCCATTGTTCCTTCCCCAGAATTGTACCGCGTGTCGCCTTAACTACCTACCTAGGTACCTCCTACCTAAACAAGTCATGGCGTGCGATCCAGTTCACCACATCGCGTGGCAACTTTCACTTTTGCCTTTACCGGCACCTCAGTTCACTTTTCGCTGCCACTCAACGACTCATACTCTTCTATTGAGCCCAATAATCCCAAAGCGCAACTTGCGTAAGCTTTCGCATTGTATCTGCTCCACCACTTCTCTTGCAGTAGACAACCAGGACTGAGTTACCAGACAGCCAAAGGTTGAAGTGTCGACGCTACAGTACTGTTTCTACGCGGCGAGGGCGTTTGCCAGCTATCTTTGTTTCTGCTCTTCGGGCTCACGAGATGCGCACCATTCTGGGCCATCTAATATGGCAGATGCGCAAGTACTGAAAAGGCGAATTGGGTCCGGAAAAGCATGCACGAGCTGCCGAAGGAGGAAAAACCGCTGCGATGGGAATCGACCCAGCTGTGGGTCGTGTCAAAGTCGTGGGATCCGATGCGCATATCCTTCGGTTTCAGTTGATGAGCTGAGCCTTGATGAGTAAGGATGGCTTTGGGCAAATACCTGGCATGAACTAACGTTTTCCAGGCTTAAATCACTAATAGATCTCAAGGCACAAGGAACTGTGGATACCGTCCGTGAAGAGGCACATGTCCAGCCACGACACTGTCGGAGCAGTACTGCTAATTCAGAACGAGAAGAAGGGCGGGCTGGACTCGGGGCCCTCCTGCGGGCTTCAACAGAGATTCTAGGACGGGACAGTGAGGGATCTCCGGCGCAAAACTTTGATGTCTCGTGCTTTAACGAAGGGACAATCGATGACTCAGTACAGAACAACGCCGCAGACAACCAGACTTCGCCGGCGACTAGTCCATCCGAATCGCAGGATTCCCCGGCCTTCTTTGGGGAGTCCTCAACTTTTGCATTCGTCTCAAAGGTCCAATCGAATGCCGTGCCTCGTCAAGGTCCTGTATCACGGAACAAGCGTCGGCGCCTTTCAGGCTCGCAAAGCCCCCGAACCCATAGCCTCGACTCAGGCCTCACTCCAAGGGACGTCGACAACAGCTACGCATTGCCACCAAGAGATCTAGCAGACAGTCTTGTCGATTCGTATTTCAACCACGTACATCGTCTCTACCCGTTCGTTCATGAACCGACTTTCAGAAGTCAATATGAACGCATGTGGATGCACGATGGGGATCATTCTGAGACGAAAGCGACCTGGTTTGCGTTGCTCAATCTCATCTTCGCACACGGATACGAGTTTCACAATCCGATTCAGGGTAGAAGTCCTTCTCACTCGGCGACACAATTTCTTGTGAAAGCTCGAAATATCGCCTTTGCTCACATCTTCAAGGAGGGTAACTTAGAGCTCCTTCAAGCGCTATTATTGATGTGTCACTATCTTCAGGGTACCTTGGAACTGAACGAGTGCTGGAGTCTGAGTGGACTCATGATCAGAACCTCTATTAGCATGGGGCTTCATCTCAACCCGTCCCCTTCCATGACGGCTGTGGAGAGGGAGGTTAGGAAGCGTGTGTGGTGGGGATGCTTCGTGATCGACCGCACCTTGAGTATGAAGTTTGGCAGACCACCTTCAATTCCGGCTGCGAGTGCAGCAGACGTTGAGCTGCCGTTGCCGGTTGACGATCAATATATTATGAATGACTCAATCATTCCTCGGCAGCCCGCAAGCTGTCCCTCCCTGACGACTTTCTTCATTGAGACAATCAAGCTTGCACATATCATTGACAGTGTTCTCCTGAAGCTCTACCCATCAACGGGGAGACCATGGAATTCGACAATCAGTCAGTTCCAAAACAATCACGACCGGTTCCCAGAGATCTTTGGCCATGCAGTCCTCCTAGATGGAGAACTGCTGTCCTGGTGGAACGGTATTCCGCACCATTTGAGAGATGAGCCCAACAGCCCAGACGGCTCAGATTTTCAACGGCAGCGCAATGTCATGTACATTCGGTGGGCAATTCATACACGCAAGAGGAAAGACGGACTGCTAATCGAAGGACAGGTATCTGAACCTTCGGTTACTACTACATCGTCAATCATTTCTTGTTTTCAGCCGACAAGATATCGAGGACAAGTTTCAGAGGCATGTCGCAATTGCTTCATGCAACTGTTGTATCTCGGCTGCCCGCGAGACTATCAAGCTGATTTACGCTCAGTATCGGCGGCGCCTGTTGAACTCTTTGTGGTACAATCTCCACTGTAAGGCTCATTTCACTTTTGCTGATCCCCCTACTGACACGTCAAGACGTCTTCACTGCGATTGGCGTTCTGTTGACACTACAGACCATGGAAGGATGGAAGCTGGAAGCCCTTGGTCAAACCGAGACAGACGAATTACTGGAAATGGGTATGGAATTCTTGAAGGCAGCCAGCGATACGAGTACGCTGGCAGCCAGATACTTGATTCTGCTGGAGCGCATTCAGACTCGAAAGAGTGGCCGGGAGACTCCAATGCCAGGCCCAGTATCCGGTCAAGGCCATACGACCCAACTCCTGTCGGATAACGCAGATCCGGCACTGCTAGCGGCAGACAGAACACCTTTGCAACGGCCAGACGAGGCTCCATTTCCATTCAACTCTGACTTCACCGATTTCGACGACTTGCTCTTTGGAACGGGTCTCCCAAGAGACCTGCTGTCCGCTGATTGGTCGATCTTCGAATCAATTTGAGACGAACCGTTCATGCGGAGAACTCCATCATTTTGGGGTTGTAGTCCCTCGCTTCGCAGCCGCATTGCCGGACTCGGCTCCTAGCTTCGACTGGCACATCCTGTCTCTGGAATGAGCCGCGGCAGGGAGCCGACACGGCCAACATAGCCCGTCTGGCGTATTAAAAGTATAACAACCACTAGAACGAGTGAAGTCGACGACACAAGCAACGACAAGCCTCACGATGCAAGGGAAAGCGGAATCTGTGGCTTACCAAGTCGTTGACTTTGTACGTCAACGGCCTTGGGGCATTCCCGCAGCTGTTGTATGCATCTGTGTCTTTTCATTGATCATCTACCAGCGATGGTTGTCACCATTGGCCAAGATCGACGGACCATTCTGGGCGTCCCTCAGTCCAGTCTGGAAGTTGCTGTCGTTCAGCAATGGCAACTTTCATGAGACCATGCTTGCTCTTCATGAAAGATATGGCCCGATCGTCCGGATTGCCCCTAACGAGGTCATCATAGCGGACAAGTCGGCAATTCGCGAGATCTACAGTACCATTCAAGGAAGAGATCTCATCAAGGTGAGTGCAAAGCCAGACGCAGGAAGTATCTTGACTAATCGCCGCAGACAACGTACTACGAGTGAGTTTTCTGAAGACTCTATGCACTGCTAAGCTAAGCATATCTGAAGTGCTTTCACCGCCTTCCGACCGACCATATTTGGTCAGAGAGATCCACATCTGCATGCCCAGCGGAAGCGGATTGTGTCTCACGGGTATTCGATGAACGCGCTCCAGGCTATGGAGAAGTATGTGCAGGAGCGTGTCCAGATCTTCATGAGGAAGATGTCCGAATTTGCAGCCTCGGGGACTGAAATCAACCTGGGAAAATGGTGCCATTTCTTTGCCTTCGATGTCATTGGAGAATTGGTATGTCTGGTCTGTCCGTGTGAGAGCGAGGCTGATAATTTCAAACCCAGGCTTTCAGCGAAGGCTTTGGCATGCTCGAGACAGGTGTAGAGGACGAGCACATCCGTCTCATCAACAATCAGATGGAGTTCGGGTCCACGATCGGAATGATGCCGTCACTGATCCCGTACACCAAATTGGCTTGGCTCCCCATACCCTGGCTCCAGAGTCTGCAAGCGGGCCGTGAGAGACTGAAGGAGGTCAGCGCATTCCGAATATCCTGGCGGGGACTCCTAGCTAACAAGGCCTCTAGCTTACCAAGTCTCGTGTCGAGCGCAGACAGGAGAAGGTCAGCGACCGGAAGGATCTACTGGGGAGACTCATCGAGGCCAAGGACCCCGTCACCGGCCAGATGCTGGATTCCATTGATTTACGGACTGAGGCCTTCTCGAGCATGTGAGTTCTCCGCGACCTGCTGTTCCGCTCCTGCTAAGTCCTCGCAGTGTTGCAGGCAGTGACTCCACGTCATCGGCTCTAAGCTATACGCTCTACCACATCCTGGGCCATGCTGCTGTCTACGAAGCTCTGACCAAGGAGCTGCGGACGACGTTCCCCGAGCGCAATTACCTGACGGACGAAACTCCCCCAACGTACGCGGATTTTGGCAAATTGCCTTACCTACAAGCAGTGATCAAAGAGAGTCTTCGTCTGACGCCTCCTGCCACCATCAACCTCCCACGATATGTGCCAGAAGGCGGACGTGTCATCGCTGGGACGTATTTTCCTGCCAAGGTCTGTCGCTCGACTCCAACAGTACCTACTCGAATATGAACTGACTTGGCCAACAGACGATTGTCGGGATGTCCCCCATGCCCGTGCACTTGAATTCGGAGATCTTTGGCCCAGACGCCGGGATATTCAACCCCGACCGCTGGATTCGCGGCTCAGGCGGGATCAGTCCCGACGAGATGCAACGGTACTGGATGCCCTTCGGCCACGGCTCGAGGCAGTGTATCGGCAAGAACGTTGCCATGATGGAGGTGAGTCACATTCGTATCCGAACCCTTTCGCACCTTAGCTGAAGGCTGTTCAGTTAGTGAAACTCGTCGGAACACTGTTGCTATACTTTGACGTCAAATTGGTGACCAGCAGCGGAGAGAAACTTCCCGAAATCCCAGTCTCGAAAAGTTACTTCTTTGCTAGGATGGAGGATCCGCTCATGGTGAGGATCTGTGACAGGAAATCCCACTGAGTTGAGAGCGTTGGTAGATATGGTGTTGAGCCCCAAAACAGTTGGTCGATACGTAGCACGAATGAGCTGGAATGCGCAAACCGTGCTGTTCTGGCTCCTTACCTATGATGATCTCTCCATTATGGCTCCAGCCGCAATACCCTGTAGGTGTACGACTCGTACGGGTATGCGCTGACGCGGATGAGTGTGGTCGGCACATGGTGAGAATCATCGTAGTGTTGGCCACGTGAGACTGTGCATGCGAGAAATATTGCGTGGCATCAGAGAAGGCCGCGGGCATTGTCCTCCGGCCTGGACCCTGGAAATCATCTGGGGGGACTCCAATAGGCATGTCAATCCAGGCGTGTTAGCGTTTGGCTAGGCGGTAAACTAGCTGGAGCTGGTGCCACTTAGCAGGTTACTTAGCAGGTGCACTCTCTCCGCCCTCTGATCATTGGCACTCCCCGACTCGACTCCGCGCAATTCTCTGCTGAAGGCTGCATATCATTCTAGAGGAAATGACCTCAGAAATGGCCTGAGAAGCGCTTGAGCACACTTTCGTAAGATTGTCTGTTCAGTTACACCTTGCTCCGACGGCCTCGTCGCCGCATTTTCCCTCAAGCTCACTGCAACATGTCCAAGCGGAGTTGGTCTGAGGCCGAACTGCCCTCCCCGCGCTCTGCCCAAGGTCCTACCACCCTCCAAAGAATAGTCTCGTCGACGTCGCCTAATTCCTTCCCTTCTCCTGCGCAATCTCATTCGCCAACCAAGAAACGACGCAGCTCTGTCGAAGGGGAACCGCCAGCTATCGCCAAAGCTCCGTCAAAACCACAACGAACCAACTCGACCACCAATGGGACAGCAGCCGATGGCAAGTTGCCGGGCATCTCGAGGAAGGTCAAGGCATGCGCGGCATGTCGCAAGCAAAAAGTATGCCCTGAGAGTGTCTGTTGAGTGCGATATGCTGAACAAGTGTGCTTCAGATCAAATGCATCATGATAGGTGACCCTCCATGCCAGAGATGCAAAGAACGAGGACTGTCATGTCGCCTCAACAAGAGCCTCCAAACGCTCATGTCCGAAGACTCGAAGTGGAAAGCAGCAGTCACGAAGGACGTCACATCCCTCTATGCGACCGTGGAGGAGATCGTGCGAACCCTGCAGCTGCCGTCCCTCCCACAGATGCTGGTATCGACCCAGGACCCCGCGATATTCTTCGACCAGGAAGAACAAGGCAACAATGAGGACGACGAGGACCAGTCGCTAGACAACTCGCCCAAAGTGACCCCGGTCGCTGATAACCTCTCGCACGTCCCTATCGAGTCCTTATATCAGATCACCGGCATGAGGTCGCTGAGAGCAACTGAACAGACCAACGAGGAGCAAGCGAGAATATGCAAACAACTGCGGGATACCGACTTCATAGCAAGAGGCCTGGTCAAGCAGGAAGATGCCGAACATCTGGCCAATTACTATCTCAGCAAGTTGGACCCCTACATCTGGCACATATGTCCCGACTACACTGATCTCGAGTCATTCCGACGTCGTTCGCCAACGTTGACCGCCTGTGTCCTAACCGTGGCGGCTCTTCACGACACCAAGCTGGGCAATCTCTACTCTGTTTGCAGTAAGGAGTATAGGAGACTAGTAGCAAATGCCATGTTCGAACGCAAGATCGACATGGAGTACTTGCGAGCGCTGGTTCTCGGGTCATATTGGCTTAGTGATATTTCTTGGACACTTTCTGGGTACGCTATCCGACGCGCAAGCGAATTTCACCTTCGGCGGTTCTACCATGAAATCGCGGAGTCGGTCAGGTCACCGGACAAAGCGAACCCGACAAAATTGCAAGAGGCGATGGATGGCATAAGGGTGCTGTACTTACTCTACATCTGCGACCATCATCTCTCGATCCTTTACGGCCGGTCGTCGATTATGCGCGACAACGAAAGCTACATCACCGGATGGGAGGCTTACTTGGCCTGCTCGTTGTCGACAGATGCCGACCGCAGAATTGCTGGACAAATCTGTTTGATGTATTTGATGAATCAAGTTCGGGAGACGCTTGGACCGGAGGACACGAGCTCAGTGTTGCCGGCTTCTGCTTTGACCAAGATTGCGGGCTTCGAGCGAGATCTAGACGACTGGATTGCCCGCTTCTCCAGGCACAGTGAGTGAGATCGAAGCAAGAGGTACTTAGCATTCGGCTGACATTGATACAGACCCCAGTCAGTATATCGGTAATTGGCCAAATAAGGGCGCAGTCATGCACTATCACTGGGCCAAGCTCTACCTACAATCGTATGTTCTTCGAGGATTGCCCGAATCAGGAGCTGTCATACCCGAGCACTTTCTGGAAAACGCCTCAGCTGCTGTTGCTGCGGCCACGGCCATTATCAATCTACTTCTGGACGACAAAGATGCACAAATTGCTATTGCATATGTTCCTCATCACATCCATGGCATGATTGCGTTTGCGTGTATGTTCCTGCTCAAAATTGCGACGAAACACAGCGAGCAGCTTTTCCTCGACACGGTCCGATTCCAGAGACTGATCAATGCCCTGGCGCAACACTTCAAGTCGACCGACGTTGGCAAGGACCATTTGATACACAGGATGGCGGACGGGCTGGAGAAGATGGCGGAGAGTCTCGGTGGGCCAGCGCGAGCAAAGAATCGAAATCGAGTCAATGGAGAACGCCCAACCCAGCCATTAACATCGCCCAATCAGCGAGTCAATACCACTGTGACACCCAGCAGTCTCACCAATGGCCAGACGAGTGCGCCCGATTATGGTGCGCTGGATGCAAATGCGTTTGACTTTGGTGATCCCGCACTGGGGCTGGGAATGCCGTTCTTCGACTTTGAAGGCACGACCTTGGATGCTGGTCAAGCCATGTGGAACTTTACGTAGGGCTATGAACGGGGGCCGGCCAGGCAGGCACCTAACCGAGTAAACGAAGCAATGTCTGATGAGTCAGGGCGTGACAGTATGAATGAAAGCGACGCTTGATAAATCGGGACGTAACAGTAATGAACGAGAGCACTGTCTGTTGGACGGTAAACAGTAACAGTAACAGATTTGCAGCAGTTTGACTGACCAATCAGACGCCGGCTAAAGGATACATCCCAATCGGGTATAGCGCTCTTTGCGGGAAGTTCTCAGAGCTCCAGAAAGTCGCCCGGCCTGCGCTTCAAAGCTCAAGACGAACTCACCACGACCAGATCCCTTGCCTTTTCGTCCTCCTTAGTTGGCTAGAATGGCGTCTCAACGGCTGGCGCTGAACCTTCAGCGATCCTTGCGAAGCCGAAAAGCTCTCAATGCCATTCAATCTCCCCTCCGACGATATGCCAACCCCGTCACTCCCACGAGAACAGAGAGCACCACTCTTTCCAATGGCTTCACAGTACGATGGACCGATATGGGGAGAGGAAAGAGCTCAAGGAGTGCTGACACGCGGATATAGATTGCCACAGAACACTCGCCTTGGGCGCAGACATCAACTGTGGGCGTTTGGATCGACGCTGGGAGCCGGGCGGAAACCGACAGGACCAACGGAACGGCTCATTTCTTAGAACATCTTGCTTTCAAGGTCAGGCGGCAGAGCGCGTGGACACAGGACAACAACTGAACATTTGCTAGGGCACTGGGCAACGAACCCAGCATCAGCTAGAGCTCGAGATTGAAAACATGGGTGGCCACCTCAACGCATACACTTCTGTATGAGCATCTCGTGGCGTGATTCATCTGTACTAATGCATCTGCAGCGAGAAAACACCGTTTACTACGCCAAATCCTTCAACGCCGACGTCCCCAAAACCGTCGACATCCTCTCTGACATTTTGCAAAACTCCAAACTCGAGCCCCAGGCCATCGAGCGCGAACGGGACGTCATCCTCCGTGAACAAGAGGAAGTCGACAAGCAGCTGGAAGAAGTCGTCTTCGACCACCTCCACGCGACCGCGTACATGAACCAGCCGCTCGGTCGAACGATCTTGGGTCCCAAGGAGAACATCGAAAGCATTTCTCGGCAGGATCTGGTCGACTACATCACCACAAATTACACGGCAGACCGAATGGTCCTGGTCGGTGCAGGCGGCGTGCCTCACGAGGAGCTGGTCAAGCTCGCCGAAAAACACTTTGGCCATTTGCGATCTGCTCCACCAAACTCGTACGCCGCCGAGATTGCCGCCCAGCAGAAGCGAAAGCCAAACTTTGTGGGCTCCGAAGTCAGAATACGCGACGATACAATTCCTACTGCTCACATCGCCATTGCTGTGGAGGGTGTCTCCTGGAGAGATGACGAGTATTTCCCGGCCTTGGTCACACAAGCCATTGTCGGAAACTGGGATCGCACCATGGGCAATTCGCCCTACCTGGGATCAAAGCTTGCTACGATGGTCACGGCAAACAATTTGGCCAATAGCTATATGAGTTTCTCGACCAGTTACAGTGATACCGGGTAAGTTTGTGTGTTTGTTTATCAAAATTTCCTGCTAACAAGCCCTTGCCAGTTTGTGGGGCATCTACCTCGTCACCGAAAACATCACCAACATCGACGATCTTGTGCACTTTACCCTTCGCGAATGGACCCGACTATCGTTCAACGTCACCGAAGCCGAGACCGAGCGCGCCAAGGCCCAGCTTAAAGCCTCCATCTTGTTGAGCCTGGATGGAACGACTGCCGTGGCAGAAGACATTGGCCGTCAAATTGTTACCACCGGGAGGAGAATGGACCCCGCCGAAATCGAGCGTGTGATTGGAAACGTGACGGCCAAGGATGTGATGCGGTTCTGTCAGAAGAAGATCTGGGACCAGGATGTCGCGGTCTCTGCTGTGGGTAGTATTGAGGGGCTGTTGGATTATAACCGTATCAGGAACGATATGGCGAGGAACTTGGCGTGAGGAGATGTGCTTGAGATGAAAGGTGTTGATTAAGAGAGCGGATGAGGATGGAGGTGGTGGATGAAGGCAGAGGGGGAAGACGGCAAAGAAGTTGCTTTTCCAGAGTCCAGTCTATTCCATTCTGTCACACGTCAGGAGGGTTCTAGAGCTGGCTCTGTATTGTACAGTGCACTGAATGGCATAACCCCAAAAGGATGCTTTAAGCAGAAGTGTATTCGTGAACGTTCCGTGCTCCTTGAATCCTCACTTCAACCAATGAGAGTTACATGTCTTGCAGTCCGGAATCCGCTGACCCTTGTTCTCCAGGTTGACAACGAAAGTGGCCCAAGGAGAGCTGGGTGAGAGCACCAGTTACGGGAACACCTCCATTAAGGACCTTCGACTATATCCTCACTACCTTATCGAGCTGTGATACGGGGGATAACGCCCCTCAGTCAATTCGGGTCTGAGTTCAACATGCTTTCTTAGACTTCCGCCTTCACCTCCAGTACTTTGAGCGGGAGGTATATATGCTTCCCAAGCTGGTCGTCTCTTGTAGAGCCAGCACGCGGCACGCCCCAGACGGTGGGTGAGTGGGTGAATCGGCTGCCTTCATCCGTAGGGACGCTCCTCGTACCCATACGCTGCGGACGGGAGACAATGAGAACACCAATACGGAGGACCTAGGTATCTACCACAGGTACTCCTTGACGTCGTTTAATGAAACACGGTTTTGTAGTCCCCCTACTGCTTGACACGGCCACGGCCTATACAGCTGATCTGTACACAATCCCGTAAGAGATGCGCTAATCGAAGTAGGATATATATATACATACTCCGTACCTAGCCTAGATATGCCAGCAACTTCTCGCAAGGAAGAGCAGGAATGGCGCCGCTCATAATTAACAGTCTGTACCTTACATGAGGTAGTGAGCGCCATGCTTTATTCAACGACTCTAGGTAATTAGGGAGAGACTGGATAATTACACCCCTACCTAGGTATTCCCTACACACACACACACAGACACACACACACACACACACACACACACACACACACACACACACACACACACATATATATAAATAGACGTATATACACATTCCGTACCTGACACAGTACATAATCCCACCATCCACTAGGTAGTCTATACACACAAATTATACCTTGACCTTCAACACCGCCTTCCCGAAGTTCCTTCCACTGAGCATGTCCACAAACGCTTCCCCCGCCCTCTCCATGCCCACGGTCTCATGGATCTTGGCCCGGAACGACCCGTCCTTCAGCCATGTCGACACATTCTCCATGTGTGCTTCCATGTGTTTGGGGCCCATTTCGGCGTCGCCGACGAGGAATCCGCGCATGGTTAAGCGCTTGGCTACCGTCAAAAAGGTGTTGCGGATGGGATATCGTTCTTGGGGAGGGAGGTTGTATTGGCTTATTTGGCCGCACTCGATTATTCTGTTCGTCCGACGACTGCGTTTAGTATTATCCGAAGTAGTGGTGCTAGGGGGGGTGAATGGAACGGGTATGGCATGAGAGAAGAGTGGAATGGGGGTTGTAGGTTAGAGGTGTGAGGGAGAGACGGAGCGAGGGAAGTCAATGGAGTGGGGTGGGATGGGATGCATAGTATGAGATGTGAGGGAGGGAAATGGATAGGATGGGCTGTGAGTAAGAGAAGGAGGGAGGGAGGGAAGTGCGTCGCGTGGGATGGGATGGGATAGGAATGGGAATGGGATGGGAGAGAGAGCAGGGAGGGAGCGCAGAGAAAGCGGAAGGGTGGCCTGCTCTGCTCTGCTCCGCTCTCCTTTCTCTGATCTCTCCGCTCCCTCCGCCCCTCCGCCTCTCCGGGCCCCCACTCCGCTCCGCTTCACTCGCTCACTCGCTCGGGTCCTTACCTTCCAAATAGATTGAGACACTCAAACGCTCCGTCCAATTGCTCGCCGCCGACATTGTCGTAGAAAATGTCGACTCCCGGGGTCTCGTCCGCGTCCGCTTTTCCACCCTTGGCCTTCTGTTCTTTCACCAACCGCTCGATCGCCCCCTGTGTAGACTTCTCGGCCTTGTAGTTCCACCCGCCGTCAAAACCGAGCTCCTTCGTGATGAACTCCAGTTTATCATCGCTCCCCACCGACCCCAACACCGTCAGCCCCTCATGGTTGGCCAGCTGGCCCACGAGCTGCCCAACGGCCCCGGCCGCGGAGGACACGACGATGGTTTCCCCGCGCTTGGGCTGGCCGATCTCATAAAACGACGAATAAGCCGTCAGTCCGGGCATGCCCAGCGCGCCGAGGTAGTGGCGGAGATCAAGCGCCTCGTCGTCCGGGTTAGGGACCTTGAAGGGCTTTTGCCATTCGATGGCGGGGTCGTCGTTGCGCACGTACAGATTGTATTGCTGGATCGGGAGGGTCACGCGGACGACGTCTCCGGCTGCATACCCTTCAATGTTGGACCGGAGGACGCGGGACAGCGTCGCGGCCGAGATGGGGCTGCCTATTGGCACGGCAGGCATGTATGATTTGACCGAGGCGTCGCGGAGGAGGCCGCGCAGGTAGGGGTCCAGGCTGGCGTAGAGGGTTTCGAGGACGAGACCGCCCGAGGGTGGTAGGGTTTGGTCGATGTCGAAGGCGCCGGTGTCTTGGACTTGAATGTGTTCGCCGGGGATGGGCATGTGGGAGGGGACTTTGGTGAAGATTAGGGCCAGATTTTGCGTGGTGAGGGCCATGGTGAGCTGGGGTGTGCTGTGGTATGCTCCTTTGGATGGACTGGTAAGCTGGAGGAGGTTTCAGGAAGCGTGTGTGCGTGATCAAATTCTCCTTTGCCAGTGTTTGCTAGGGGACTCAGGTGCCTTTCGGGTTGTCGAGGAGTGACACTCGGAAATTCTGTGACGAGGCCTGCTTGCGTCACTAGTCTGCAGTTGTGGTGGCAGTTCCTTGCTTTGGAGGCAGGTAAAATAAGAGCAGGAATTAGTAGTGATAAATCAGTTGCGAGTATGTAAGAGAAAAGAACAAACCCACTTGTATATATACCTAGCTATATCAGGAACTGTTAGACACGGTCATAAATGCAATAATTACCTAGGTACTCCGTATGCGATGTCATAACGCAAAGCTAGACCAAGGCCTATGAACAAAAGGTGGCGTGAGGCGCAATTGGCACAAGGCTAACTACTATAGTTACATGCAACCAATCAAGTGCCTTTGTGACAATATACTCCGTAAAATCCCCGAACAGTCAGTCCTCGACTTCTCTTGCGCTGACCAATCCACCGCATACTCTCCGGACAACGACAACCGTCCATCACCGACTTTCCTTGCCATGGCGGTCCACGGTCAGATTCTCGCCGACCTGCATTTGTAGGCTCCCAAAGGCTACGATGTCTTCGAGATTGTCCCAAAAGCGGCCCATCTGGTGCTGCTCGGCGATGTGGGCAGCATTACAATTCACAAAGACGACTAGCTAGCCTTCCTGACTCTCCAGCTCCATCACTTCCGCACGGTGCTCTTAGTCCCAAGCAATCATGAAGGGTATCATTCCGCCTGGCATGACACGCCCAACATCCTTCGCACCTTCAAACAGGACGTCCGCAACAACAAGTCATTAGGGGAATTTATCCTGCTCGACCGGACGGCCTTCCGGCTGCCCGACACAGACCCGACCATCCTGGGTTGCAGCCTCTTCTCTTGGGTCCCGGCCAAAAATGAAATGGCTGTCAGCATGGGACTGAACGACTTTTTCCACACCAACGACTGGGATGTCGGCATGCATAACGAGGCGCAAGAGCGGGACCTGGCTTGGCTCAATGGGCAGGTCGTGGACCTGGAACAGCAGTCCGACGTTAAGAAGATCATGATCTTTCCGCACTGAATCCCATATTCGGATGCTCGCGCGATCCATCCACGGCATCTGGGGAGCCCGATCACGAGTGCTTTCTCGACAGAGTTGTCCGACGAGGCATGCTTCAAGAGTGTCAAGGGTCAAGGTTCGGGCGTTCGGGCATACCCATTACAACTGCGATTTTACAGTCCAGCGAGAGAGTGGTGCTGGCCCGTTGAGGCCACTTGCGAACCAGAGGGGATACTACTTTGCCCAGGCTGAGGGCTTTGATGGAGAGAAGACTGTGGAGGCTTGAACGACAGGCAAGTGCTTCCACCGCTGATCCGGTTCGGCATCTACGATAGGAAAAGCATGTGGCCCCACAGGGACACTTACTAGTAATTACTCATATCCTCAGGACGTACTGGGTACCTCGTAGCTCGTAGCGTATCCCTAAGGAGGAGCAACCTTGACGCCAGATCCTTGGCATGACCACCAAGGACGAGGGCGTCCACGCGTGGCGTGGTGGACGTCGTTAATCCGAGGCTTCCACCGCTTCTGGCCTCACCAATGGATAGAGCTGATATCCGAGTCGGCCTCGGTAGCGTCCAGCCTTCCTATTGGTGGATTCATACACCGACTATCGTGTGCGTAGTCAGCCAGAAGATTTCTATGGTCGGAACGGGACGGTCGGCGGACGTAGGGGGACAATTATCCACGGGTATACGAGCAGCGCTAGGAGGCACGGAGTAGTTGTTCGACTACATTAGGGTGGATGGTTGACAAAAGGAGACTTACAAGAGGAATCGCATGCTGCGGTCTCGGAGGGAAGAAAACGGGGATTGCAGATTCGAGCTGGGTTCGTTGAGCGCATGAACGGCTCGAATTACTTGGTGTTATGTATTTTTTGCTGTATCATTCAGCCCGGCTTCTTGGAAGCGTTCACGTCATGCACATCTCCCGGTCCATCCTTTTGATTGCTCCTTGTCATCATAAATCATGAATCATATCCTGCTGCAAGAACTAATCGAGGAGCAATGATCAGCGGATCTAGTGAAACCGCATCAGCCCCTGGTTTGAGTACTCTGGGTTGCCATGCGAATTCAGGGCAACCTGTAGTGGCAGAGCTCGGTTCTCCCCATTCACGTCCCTCGCATGCTCCGGTCTCCTAGGACAAAATTGTTGGAAAACCATCGAGGCACGGAGGATGTACTTGCCTCTAGCCGCGACTGAGTGGACGGACGGCACAGGTCCATGGACCTTAGGGAGTTGGGCCCGTCATTTGCTTGACCATCTGCTTCTGCAGGCATCGCGTACTGCACCGCCCTGTCCCAATCCTTCAAATGCTCATAAGGACTCCTTAACCACGCTTCGAGGTCATGCAGGAATATCCGTGTATGTTCTCTGCCGAGGAAGTCCTTCAACAACTCCTCGGCTTGTCCGGTGCTGCCCTTCAGGTCGATTGACTTCAAGATTCCGACTATGTACTCCAGAAGGAAATCGGCGTTGTTTGCGCGGCGGTCACTGGATTTCGCACAGCTCGACGATTGGGCGGAACTCGGGTTGAGGAAGTCGAAAACCTGCAGTTCGCGCCTGATGAACATCCGAGCGCGGCTTGTGAGATGCTCATCTTTTGCAAAGGACGCGGGTGTCAGATTCCGATATCGTGAAATGCGATTAGACCCAACGTGGAGAGAGTACAGCTTGTGGCGATAAACGTGCCTGCGGAAATCGAGCGCGGTGTCTTTTGATATGTCATGACCAGAAGTCCTGCCGCTGCCGCGATTTCCACCTCCTCTGCCATATGCCCGACGCCGTCTCAGCCTCTGTTGTTGCGCAAAGCCATGCCCGACCCGGCTCGTGGTTTGTTGCGGTCGTTCTGGTGGGGGAAGATGGAAGAGTTGACTCTTGCTATCATCCCGGCCGACGACTTTGAACCTGATGGCGGTGACGGGGGTCTTGCATAATGGACAGACAGGCTGCCGTTGGAGCCATGTTCCCAAGCATGAAAAATCGAACTGATCGTGACGGCACGGGATGGCGGTGGCTTTATCGGTGATGCGGTCGAGGCAGATGACACAGCCGTCAGCGGTGGGAAGGGGATCGCTCTGACCAGGTGAGAGTGTGGTATCGGAGCCCGAAGGCTCCCTTTCAGCCGTTGTTATAACATGTTCGAGGTCGTCTGTTGCCATCAAGCACCAGTTGAATGGAAGGAAGAAAGGAAAGAAGGGAAGTGGCGTCTGTTGCAATGTGGCTCGGCTTGCGAAGTGCCATGACGAGATAAATGCTCCGCTCAACTCTCCACGTGCTCTAAGTCGGCAAATGCTCCGCTCGAATTGAGATTCTCCTTGGTGCGTCTTTTGCCATTCTTTCACCTTCATAAGCTACCTAAAGCTAGTCACCCAATTCCGCCTGCTTCTGCCCCTTCTCCTGGAATCACGGTACGGAGTTACTGTATTTTCTTGCCTGTTTACTGTATCGGTGCCCGAGTCTTGACTTTACAATGAACATCACTCATCAGCGCACTCTTTGCTCCTACAGTTCTAAGCGGCACCTTGGTTAATCACACAAGTACCATGCATAAATGCCCACAACGATACAACTTACGGTAGGTGGTTTCTCTGCCTGCGAGAGCTATGGGGCAAAGGTGCAGCAACGGCCAAGGTAATAATTGACTAGAGCATTAGCATGCTCAAGAATTCGTACACGATGATGCATACGAATAACTATGTCAGGTAAGTTACAGCAAGGACAAACGGAGAAGTACATCCGTAAGCCTAGCTACAGCTAGAGCTACGGCAGAGCTACAAGCAACAGCACAGCTACCTCAAGTCATGGCGGCTACCCCTGGCTTGTGGCGGCGGCGGCGTGTTTGGGCTCCACACTCGCACTGGGCACAGCCTCATTCTCAGAGGAAACCTCATCCCCCGGCGACGAGGTGAGGTTCCTCTTCGACACCTTCGGCTCCGAAAGCCCATACACGGTAATGAACCCCATGCCCAAAAAGGCGCTGATACACGAAAACACCAGAGCCACGATGCCGCGTGCGGTGAACCCGCCGGGCAAGGGGGCAACCTGCGTGTTCTGGCCCGACAGGTCCGTCAGGTCGAACGTGTCGGCCGCGGCATTGCCCACGAATGGGACGCCCGCGGCACGGCACACGTCGTAGTGCTGTTGTGGGATCTGGTGCCTCTGCTGGATCTCGAGCGGGGCTTCGATCAGCGTCATGGCCAGCCCCTGCGCCAGGTGCCAGTCGATGTGGCAGTGGAACATCCACACGCCGGGGTTGTCGGCAACGAAGCGGATGACGTAGTATCCCTGTGGTGGCAGGACGAAGGTGTCCCGTCTGGCTGGGAAGGCCGGGAAGGCGGAATGGTTGTTGGGATCGAAGGCGACCGGGTCACCGTCGACGAAGTCGTAGAAGTGTTCGCCGTAGGGAGGCTGGCGGTCAATCACCTGGAAGTTGTGTCCGTGGAGGTGGAACGGGTGAGAGCCGCCGTCGGCGTTGTTGAGCACCAGTTGGACGACGTCGTTCTTTTGCAGAACCATCGGGTGGGTGTAATCGCCGTAGATGTCGGCGTTGGTGGCCATGCCGCTGGACGACATGACCGTGTAGAGGGTCGGCACTTTGGGCGCCGTGTAGGTGATGTCGTTGAGGAAGGCGTAGCCGAAGCCGTTGCGCAGGTTGCCCATGATGACCGTCACGTTGATCTCAAAGTCCGGTTCGGGGAGGAGCTCCATGTGGTCGTGGGGCACGAGGGTGATGTCGTCGAAGGGCACAATCTCGGAAGACGCATCGACCGTCATGACGGCTTGGGCATGGGCCGCGTCGGCGTTGTATTCGAGCCAGTTGGTGTTGTTCAGCTGTAGGTCCGGCGAGATCACGTCCAGCAGGTCCGAGTCGGCCACGGTGACGATGGGATAGTTTTTGTCGGTCGAATTCTTGGTCGTGAGGAGGATGCTGTACCGCTGCGCCACCGAGATGTAGAGCGTGTCGGCCTCGGTGGGCTCCGTGTATATCCCGTCGATCTCGACAATCTTGAACGTGTGGTCTTCGATGTAGAAGAACTGTGACACAAACGCCCCGATGTTTATCAGCCTGATCAGATACGTCGTGTTGGGCTTGACGCGGAGACTGGAGTGCTGCGTGTCGTTGAGGAGGAAGGAGTTGGGCACCGGTTCGGCTCCGGTGGGGTTATAGAGCGACAGGAACCGGATGTCCTCGACGAAATCGTGGTACCAGTCGCTGATTGTGACTGTGAACTCTTCTTCGTAGTCGTCGTTGAAATAGGCATCGCGGTCATGCACGATCAATGCCTGGCGGTAGCCGTCCGGGTAGCAGAAGTCGGTGTGGCAGTGGTACCAGTAGGTGCCGTTCTGGTTCACGGTGAAGTTGTAGGTGAAGCTGGATCCCGGGCCGATGGGGCACTGCGTGACCATCGATGGACCGTCCATGTTGCTGGTGTCGGTCTGATACATGCCGTGGAAGTGGATGCTGGCATTCTTGTCGCCCAGGCCGTTGTACATGTTGACCACCAGCCGGTCGCCCTTGTCAACCTCGATGACGGGCAGCGGCCACTGGCCATTGATGCCGACGACTTTCCTCTCGGCCAACCCATCTGGGTTAGCGGTCACCCAACCGACATTGAAGTCGTACGTGACGGTCTTGGCCGCGGTCAAGCTACCAAACAGCAGCAACACCGCCGCCAGCAAGAAGTTGGCCATGGCTTCGCACACGATGCCCACTGCGACTGCGCTGTCTTGGTCTTGGCAAGCTTAGCAGAACCTGAAAAGCTTAGCTAAAGCTTTCCGAGGCCTCAGACGAGGTCGTCGATGAAGCGCGCTGATGGGGGTCGAGGGTGTTTTTCTAGGTGCGATCAGCCGGTCGAGCTGGTCTGGAAGCACAGGGTCCGATGCCGGCAAGGGTTCGATTGTCCGCGTTGGGAGAGCCATGCTGTGCGATGTGTGGACGGCGTGATTGAGCGGTGGCTGTTGCGGCGTGCTGAAGAGAAACTTTTCCCTCCCGCCCAACGCAGTTCGATCCAATCATGCGCGATGCGGGCGGCGATTAGATTATCTGATGGCGGTCCAGGCAATTGTCCACCAATTGCTGCTGGCCAACGCCTCCGCTGCGCTGCAATCTGCATCAGATGATCTTATCTTTTCTCGCAATCAATTGTCTCTCGCACCACTTTACGCGAAACCCCCCACTCTTGGGTGTCACAACCCGGTGAGGAACTCCCTGCGCCGAACCAGGGCCTTTGTCCGAAGCTTTCCTAAGTCTCTCAAGCTTTCCCCTCCTGCCCAGCTGGCGGCGGCATGTACAAAAGACTGCTTCCCGTCGGTAGGCAACCCGTTTTTCTCTCCCACCTTTGATCTTATCAGATCATCTTGCCCAACATGACCAACGTCTTTGGAGTCCCCGTTTTCTTCATCGTCTTCCGAGAATGTCTCGAAGGCGTCATAATCGTCTCGGTGTTGCTCTCCTTCTTGAAGCAGTCTCTGGGTCAGCCGTCTCAGGACCCGGCCATCTACAAGCGCCTGAGACGACAAGTATGGGCAGGTTCCCTGACGGGCATTCTCATAGCAATGATCATTGGGGGCGCCTTCATTGGCGTCTTCTACGGTCTGGGCCACGACATCTGGGCCGAGTCCGAGGATCTGTGGGAAGGCATCTTCTACCTCATTGCGAGCATCATCATCACCATCATGGGCCTGGCCATCCTGCGCATCAACAAGACCAAAGAAAAGTGGAGGGTCAAGATTGCAGAAGCACTGGTCGCTAAGACCAAATACCACGACACAGCCTCCAAGCTGGGCGAATGGAGCCGGCGATACGCCATGTTCCTCCTCCCCTTCGTCACCACTCTCCGCGAAGGCCTCGAGGCTGTTGTCTTTGTCGGCGGCGTCTCGCTCGGTCTGCCTGCAACGGCGTTCCCCATCCCAGTCATCACTGGCATCCTCGCCGGTCTTCTCGTCGGTTACCTCATCTACCGTAGCGGCAACTACATGACGATCCAGTACTTCCTGATCGCCTCCACCTGCGTGCTTTACCTCATCGCCGCCGGCATGTTCTCCAAGGCGGTGTGGAGCTTGCAGTTCCACCGGTTCGCACAACAGGTTGGCGGGGACGTGGCCGAATCAGGGGATGGTCCTGGCTCCTATAACATCGACCAGACCGTCTGGCACGTCAACTGCTGCAACCCGGAACGCGATAACGGGTGGGACGTGTTCAATGCGCTTCTTGGCTGGCAGAACACCGCGACGTACGGCTCCGTCATCTCATACAATGCCTACTGGATCTTCATCATGGTCGCTGTCACATGCATGCTGTACGAAGAACGCACCGGCGGACTTCCGCTCCAGAAGCCCTTCCTCCGATTTCTCTCCAAGATCCCTGGCTTCCGAAGTTATGCTACCCGCAAACTCAACCCTCAAAGGAGAGAGGCTGGAGATGTCGTCGCCCAGGTCGACAGCAATGCATTTACACATGGTCTGCAGAGACCTGTTTCCGCAAGTTAGAAGGGAAATGAAAGTCGTTTGACAATGCAGATGGCAATAAACTCCGAACAACGACGGTGTGCTAGATGACACTGGGGAGAGAAAGGATCGATCCTCGTGGTGACAGATCGGGATGACTGATTTGGTCAATGGTTAACGTTACAGCTCAGATGATCACCGTCCACTTTCAGCTGGATTCTTCGAATAAACAAATGTGAAAAATTTCATGATCCGGACTCCTGAATCGTGACGGTGGCTGGTGGCGGCAAGGGATTCTCGGTATTGAGATGAAATAAGCCAAAAGAACCCGTCCGCCCGTCCTGTACCCTACCATGGTAGACCCTGTCAAGTCATTCTCCGACATCGCTTTCACGTTGTCTTAGACGAGAGCTTACAGCAGGCCGTATCTCCCAGTCGTATCCCGGCACGCTAAGTAGTTAAAAGAAGAAATTCTTTCCTCCAGCAAGCGGGCGATGTCGGAGGTGGCCAGCTCTCTTTCCTTGGCTCAGACCACTGCTTTCCGGGACAGCTTCTGGGTGATGGCAGGGAGACTGCGAGCGGCATCTGCCCATGGAAGGTGGGGGCTGCATCTGCTCCACCAGGACTCACGTCGCACAAGCTTGGGCCAAGTCTGACAGATGGGCTGTGTATGATCGAATCAAAAACACAAGACAGGTGTATGCATGGGCATACACAGTGGTGTGATGCACCATATTGTAGACTTTGTACGCCAGCATAGGGACCGAGGGGACTGTGTGCGCCCGGTTTGGGAGTGTCCTTGAGGCTATCGTGGCGGGGCGGTTGCCTTCTGTCGTCCGAAGTGGACTATGGCCAGTCCTGGCGGGACACGAAGTTGAACGGAAAGCAGCCGACATGCAGCCCGCTGGTGAGCTGACAGTGGTCAATTGCAGTTGGTACTTTGTAACTCGGTGTGTGCGAACAGGAATGAAGCTCCGGCCACGTCGTCGCCTAGCAAGTGCACGTGGCAAATCCCGTAACTGGCGAAGCCCCCCACAACTAATCTAGGTATGTAATTAACCCGGTGGCTTGTCTTGTTTTCCTCTGGTGCGGGCAGTTTTCTAGTCCCTCAAAGGTAGTACTTTGGACCGCCCCGTGGAAAGAATATACGCCTACGCAGTGGTTTCCACGTTGATGCACCTTACAGCTGGCGTCAAGCTGTGTAGCTCGCTCGAGAGCATGAAAACGTCTTTGTTTCCCTCGGCTGAGACTTTCAGGATGCCGAGATGACGTTCCGAATGCCCCGAATTTCCCCATTGCCCAGCGCGACTAACCCCTCTTTGACACGGATCTCTACCCAAATATCCAGTGCGAAGGAGCGGAGTGCCGGAGATGTGAGATACACAGCACCTCGGACTGTCCCTCCTCATACTTACGCCGAGTCAATGCACATTGCGCGCGTGGCGAGACGTACCGTGCTTTCAAGAGCGCTTTACTCGCTGAATACTGTTGAAGAGGTAAGCTGAGTAGCTAGGCAAGGCATTGGCACGGCAAAGGACTACAGTGCAGCATCGTTCAGGCGATCAGTGCCTCAGTCACATTGTACTGCCCCCCTTCTACGCCCGCACACCTACACGACTCGACTCTTGCTCGGGGAAAACAGGCATGCGAGCAACACGCAGACCATGCCATCCATAACCACCGTCGCTGTGCAATCGGCCATCCTCAAAGCCGCAGCAAACCTCACGGCGCAGACATTGACGCAATGGAACACGCAACCGTCCTCGGCATCGCCATACGACTGGGCGCGCGTCGCAGAGTTTGCGGCCTTCGGCATTGTGTCGGCGCCACTAGCGTCCGCGTGGCAGCGCCTTCTTGAGGACCGGTTCCCCAGCCAGCAACAGCACCAACGCCGCAGCACGACGCAAGAGTCGGTGGCCGACAAAGATGAAATTGCAAACTCGACGAAGACGACAGCCCAGCTAAGTTGGGAAAACATCCTGATCAAGCTCCTGCTCGACCAGACGATCGGGCAATTTCTCATCAATCTGACGTTTCTGATATGTACCAATGGCGCGAGGATCGAAAGCTGGAGTTCGTTGGCTGGGATGATCCAAGCACGCATATTTGGCATCATCTGGGCGAGCTGGAAATTGTGGCCGTGGGTTGCGCTCGTCAATTTCATCTGGGTCCCCCTGCAGTGGAGGGTGCTTGTCGGGTCGCTGGTGGGGTTTGGATGGAATATCTTTCTGAGTATTTGGTCGATGAGGAGCTGATGGTCGATTGTATTTCACACACACAAGTTTTCGGGCCCTGTGGCGGGCGAGGAAGCACAGGCACAGTGAAGAGAGAGAACGTGTTGCTCCACTCCGAGACGCAATGTGGAGGGGTGACCTCGCTCGGCCTCGAAGTCTGATAAGATATATCTTATTTCAAATCCTCGCTCGGTCTTTGTCCTGTTCGTCGATCGCAATGGCGAATGGAAGAGGGTACGGACCCGTGGAAGGACAACCAAAGAGTAGCAGAACAGGCCTCTTCTGAGCTTTTTGGGCGATCTGTCAAAGTGGCAAAGATAGCTCGCCTCGAACCAGACTCGGACATCCTTACTATCCACGGACCTTCCCCTATCTATAGGTAATGTAGCCGACGATCACCGACTTTCGTTTGCGCGCCTAGGAGCCCCGGAGGTGCATCTCCGGGTGCTCCCCGCCTCAAGCGCAAGAAGGTTGCCCACTCATTGCTCTTGCTGCACGTCAAGATCTTGAAATCCCCTCGGGTTTAGTAGGACCTTCTCGGGCTCCTGCAGAACCGCCAACGGCCAGACGAGCGCCCAATGCCACTGGCGAGGAAGTATGCTCCGGATTCCAGATATCTCTATCTGCGCACGATTTCTGAACCACCAGTACTTCTCAATATACTTGACAAAGGCCATATAGTTCGCCAAGATAGCCAAAGCTCTCGGTCGGCGTTCGGCCAGGAGACGAATAAACGTCCGTGGAATGGTATGCCCGAAGGCCACCACGCGCATACAGATTCGATAGCGTTGTTCAGCCACCTGTAGGGCTTTACAGATGCTGCCCAGGAACGCCACGGCTTTGACATATGCGTCTTGGACTGACGGGTCTGATCTCTCGCCCGAGCAGTCGGAGGAGTCCTCTGAGCTCTGAAACTCGAGGAGCTTCTGGAACGGGGCTAGGTTTTCCGGGTCCGAGAGAGCAAGGTCGTTGCTGAATGTAGGCTGAGCAGTAACCTTCGCGTAACGCACCATTGGTCCGTCAGGTTGGAGGAAGGGGACGGCGTTCCGGAAGACAGCCGCGATGGATGCATGCATCGTCAGCCATGGGATGGGCGGAGTGTAGCTGCTCTCTCCGGCATCAGCATCGTCATTGTCCGAGAGAAGACAAGTTGCCATGGTGGAAAGCAGGACGGCCGTGAGCCCCACGGCATCGGCGTTTTCGGATGTGAGGTTGGCCAAGGCATCCCTCTGCAGGCAAATGGACCGATTGAGATACATTCTGTGTAGTTGCGCGTAGTCGACACCACGAAGCGATCTAGGTAGCGGCACGGACTCGGTCTCTGTCTGCGGAGCGGACGAAGTCACCCAGATGTACAGTGCCGTGATGGCGAAGATGGCATCAAGCAGATAGGGAAAGTCGAACCCCATGTCCACGGAAGTCCAGACCCAAATGTCCCTGAGCTCCGCACTCTCATACGAGGGAAAGGCACCGGCCACGCACGTCTTGAATCGGTGTACAAGGTACAGCTCGATTGCATGGCGATTAGGTTCCGAAAAGCTGGAGTCTGTCAGGACGCTGTGTGGATAGGGTGCGTCAATGCCCAGCGTGGAACTCTTATTGTCGCTGGACTCGGAGCTTCCTCTCGATGCCGCATGGCTGGAGGCGTGTGACTCTGGAGCCGTGCTGCTTCTCGGGTCTTCGGCATATTCGCAGTGCACTCCATGCCGGGCACACGCCGCACAGGACGGCCACTCCTCGGAGCATTTGACTTTTCTCTCCTTGCAGCGCCGACAGCCTTTGCGGCTCTTTTTGTGAGCTAAGCGAGGCGGCATGTGGTCGCTTTATGCGGGTCGAGACGTCAAGAGCTGTGCCTAGCAATGAAGTCAGTGTCCAGAATAGAATACCCAGTAGCCCACGAGTTCCGCCATCCTGAAAGCCAACGACTTTGCTATCCATGAAATACTGGGCTCGACACGCAAGTCACCTAGAAGTTGACGCCACCAATGCCTCGTGTTCCTTATGTAATGGTGGCTCAAGTGGGTTGCCTTAAAGACCCGCCCACGTGCACGTCTTGACCAGAAATGGCACTCCGGAGCCCACCATCTTGGCTCTAAAGCTTGGCTTGCTTGGTTGAGCTAGCTCCGCGATACCCGCCGCTATCCTCGACTTGGTATGCACCTCGAGCCCAACATCGACACAGCCACCATTCAACCCTTCCATTCTGTCATCGAGATGTGCATTCTTCTGCGACGCGGCCTTCATTGCCGCGCACTATCTGCTTCGTGCTTCCGAAATGCTGCTGCCTGGGCCTGAAAACGCGCGCAGCTCGAAAGTGACGGTTCTGACGTGCGAAGTTTCTGGGGCCGTGGAATTCGCTCCTCGTGAAATGCTCGGGAAATGGTATGGTTCGCGGGATGTCGCATTGTGGTCAGCCTACTCAGTCAATACTACTGCTGATATGGCTCTCTTGTTGCGACCCGTGATGGCCAACTGCGAGATTTTGTCAAGAGGCTGGAGGTCCGAGGTAAACCCTGAAGCTATAAGAGTCCGCGAACGTCCTACTATTCGCACCCCTTTTGACAAGCCAGAACCGAGTCCTTGACAGAGCTGTAGCATTATCTCTTCTTGCTCTCACGCTACCAATTCCATGTTCTCTGCTGCCTCAAGATCCGACGTGCTTCGAAGGTTCGAGACCATGACGCTCAATGCAACCACCAAACTCTCAATTGCCGAACTCGCTATCTATATCGTCCTCCTCCAGCCAACATTGTGGCTCCTCTACAAGCACGGACGAGCCGCGTTAATGGCATTCATCTACCTCATCGCCTTCGAAATCCTGCGCATCGTCGCCGCGGGGATACAAATCGCCAACCGCAACAGCCCTCACCCAACCGAATCTGGAGCAGTCGTCAGCTCGATAGGACTAAGCCCTCTATTACTTGCCTTGGCAGGCTTTTTGAATCTCTTGTACCTGTACAACGGCCCAATGGATCGCAAACCCAGTCCACTTCAGGCGCGGATCACGGGAGGCGGCACCCACCTTGGCGCCGTCACAGGCGTTGTCCTCGTCGCTCTGGGTGCGACAAAGCTCTTCGGCCAAAACACTACCCCTTCGGACATCACCACAGGATATACAATGCTCAAGGTCGGAGCGATCATACTCCTGGCCACCTGGATGGCGCTCACCTTCGTTTGTCTCCCCCTCTTCGGCAAGCTCAAAAGCCAGCCTATCCTCGGCTTGCTAATGGTCTCGGCCTGCGCCTTTATTGGTGTCCGAGCAGTCTACAGCGTTGTCTACGCTTTCGACCACACCAACTCCCTAAGTCCCTTTACTGGCTCGTTTGTGGTCAAGCTGGTTCTGATATTCCTGGCGCAACTGCTTGCCGCTTTATCGCTGGTTGCGGTAGCATTCCTCACGCGTGACGGCGGAAAACAGCGAGCACGAAGACCAGGATCGAGGCATCAGAACGTGGAGAGTCAGGACAGTTCTGTCCCGATGACCGCGCGTGGTTACAAGTAAGCCGAAGGCGCAGGACCTTCGCGGATTCGAGGCCAAGTGCACCTTGTCCAGGCGCAGGGCACCCAGATCAGGAGGGACATCTAAACACGAGGATGGTGATGGTGCTTCATAGGGCAAACGGTCCGTTAGTCAAGGACACACTCTCTACATCCACGGTACAAGCGTGGCATATCACCATCTCTCTTGTGTTTTTCATGATTCATGCTTCTTCTGTCCTAGATTTACGATTGTGCCTGCTAGTGACCGCAAACAGCATGTCATCAGAGTCGATGTCTGACACTATGGAGCGATCTGGAAAAGTGAGCGGCCATTGCCATCCTAGAATGCGTGCCTGAAACTCGGCCGGAAGCAAGAAGCGTCAGGTGAGCGCGTTTAATGTATCTCGTGGTGCAGTTTTGCACCTTCTTTACCGGTAGCTCGACAATACCCGAGCCCGTGTCATTTTTAAGGAGTACCCATTACGGCAACCTCACCGAAAGACGCTCCAAGCTAGAGTGGGAGAAGGATTCGGATGTGTTTAGAAGTTTTCCCGGCCCAGAAATGCGACCCAGGCTGCACTGCTGACTACCGCCTAGATAGATGCAGAAGGTAGGGGGAAAACCGTGACAAGCTCCATCTAGCCAAGAACACCCGTTCCGCCAAGCTAGGGGCCAACCAATTAGTGCGAAAGCGCGCAAGGGGTATCATATGCATCCATCTCCGAACAATATAGTACAAATAGCATGGTATCACATAACAGCCTAATCAAAAGCAACACATCAGTCTCTGATCCATACCGTGTCATCATGGAGGGTGCAAGACTTACGCATTCACTCTTGTCCTTCCCAGCGGGGACGCCCATCTCATCAAATGTCTTCGGACCTTTGCCAGGCGGTCGTACTGGTGCCGCGTTCGCAGGTACCGGTGCTGGCTTTGACGGCGGCGCCCCACCCATCGGCGCACTGGAATCAGGTCTCGAAGGTGCCATATTGGCAGGCTTCACGTTGGGCGGGACCTGCACTTTAATTGGAGGAGGTCGAGCGTTTGAGTTAGGCATGCCTCCGTACCCTGAACTCGGGCCTGGTCCGGGACGTGAACCTTGCGGATTCGGCCGGTTTTGTGGAGGAGGGCCTTGTTGTCCCGGTGGTCCTTGTTGTGGCCTGGGAGATCCTCGAGGAGGATTCTTAGGATTGGCTGGCGACGGCCCGTTTGGTTGCTGTACCGGTCGTCTTCTTTCTGGTTCAATTGGAGCAGAGTAGCCAATGTCGATCTTTGCCGGAGGCGAAGTGCCTGGCCCTCCGGGACGGGGCCCAGACCCGAGATATGGCGAGGCTGTACCTGATCTTGGCGGTGGTCGGATGCCCGGAACTCCTTGCCCTTGAGGTGGAGGCCCCGATGGCATGCGCCCTCCACGGCCATAATCCGGGGCACCATAAACTTGACCGGGAGGGGGATTAGAATAGGGACGCTGCTGATGAACGATGTTGACAGGAGAACCATAAGGATCAGGTCTTGGACCTCCCGTGTTCGCGGCCGAGTGAGGCCGGAGATTGGGATTGATGCCGAAGGCTGACGTAGGCCGGAACTCCGGACCTTGGTTCGGCCCTGGCAGATTGGGTGGGCCAGTGGGATATGGTGCTGCACTTCCCGGTCTAGCTGACGGTGGCCTCTGGTTATTCAGAGACAACCGAGACGGATCAGGCATCTCAAGAGACTGGTTCTCTTCCAAGAGGGTCGGCATTGTGGGGACAGGTGGCACTCCACTTCCACCTATAATTGAACCGCGTTGCTGTCGAATCTTCTGTAAGGCGACGCTTTCGTGATCTTTTCTCGACAAGGTCTTCGATCTTGAGATAGCATCAATTCTCCCGGTTGCGTCAGAATTACCGTTTTGTGACGCTTTGCGATACCATTCTTTGGCTTGCTCGAAGTCGACGGGAACGTAGATGCCAACCTCGTAGTAATAGCCCATGGCGAACTGTGCCGTAGGAAAACCTGCAAGTGCTGCTCGTTGAGCATATGTGAAGGCCAACTCCTCGTTCTTTTCAAAGAGGCCCTCATGGCCGCAGAGCATCCATTTGCTTATTGCCAGTTCCGCTTCTGGTTCACCCTGCCTCGCGGCAAGAACGTTGTAGTGCAGGGATAAGGCCGGGTCAAAGGGACAGCCGAGCTCGGCAAGTTCGTATGCCGAGCCCATCTTTATCTGTGCCTTCGCGAATCCAAGGTAAGCGGCCTTTTCGATGTTGATCTTCGCTCCCGGAATATCTCTGGGCAGATACTGGTCGGGGACTTGAATTTGGGGCATCTGTTGAGCCTGGAGCATCCCGAAGATGTAGGCCCCTTGGGGTGCATTTTCATCTGCAGTCTGAGCCGCCATATAGATGAGGTTCAGACCACGCTCATAGTCTTGCACCTGGCCATGTTGACCGAGAAGTGTCATCATACCCAACCTGTAGCAGGCAGCTGAATCTCCTGCCTCAGCCCCTTTCTGGTAGTACTTGATGGCCTTCAATGCATCGTTTGATGATTCGAACTGCATGCCGATACGGTAGTCGGCTCGTACGTATCCTTTCTCCGAAGCTCTTGTGTAGCAGTAGAAAGCTTCCTTCTTGTCGATTCTGTGCCCGAACTTGCCAAACTCGAGCCACATGCCTCTCATGAACTCCGCTCTAGGGTGATGTTGATCAGCCAGGAAATTGACAATCTTGAGTGCATCTTCCTTCAAAACATGTTCAATGCGAGGTGTCCTCGACCGAGGTGTTTGTGCTAGGGCGATCCTTGCCTCGTTCTGCTGCGCAACCTCCACGTACGCCAACGCATCCTGTGCCCACGTCAGCTGAGTGTCAGGATCATTGCAGCTCAGCACGGCGGCTCTTGCGGCTTCTAAGGTGGCCTCTTTCTGCTCGTCGGTTGGGGGAACGTTGGGCGGGGGGTTGCGTAGGATCGGGAACGGGGAGAAGTTCGGTTGTTCGGGCACTGGCGCCATGGAGGTGGATCTCGGGGGGAAATTCCTGGTTTCCGGAGGAGCTGGTTGATTATGGTTGTTTGTAGGCACAATCTGCTCGTATCCCTGATATTGCGTATGGTGTGGTTGCGGAGTCGTCCAGTTGTTCATGCCGGGCTGGTGCACAGCTGACTGGGGGGAATACACAGAGGCAGAGTAGGCCGACGATGCTGAGTAGGGATCCGAGGCAGCCTGTTCCATTTGAGCAACATTATAGTGCATATTGTTCGGAAGTTCATGCGGCCTAGGCTATCAGCAGTAGTAGATATGGGGAGTCATTCATTAGCCTACCGGTTTGGAGTGGGTTGGATCACCTCTGGCAGGTAGTAGGAGTCCTCCCCGCCAGGCACAAAGGTAGCGCCAGTGCGGTAATCCATCTCGACACCGCCAGAGGCAGTCGTGTTCCTGTCTTCAGTTTCAGGTCCGGTGTGCCTGATCTCTCTGGGTTTCAGCGAGCTTTAAGATGTGCTGAGGGAAGAATAAAAAGTCCGAAATTCCTTCCGCTCCCCGACGAGAGGCGGTCGTATGGAGGTTCTGATCTGACTTTGTATCTCTCAAGGTGTCTCCTGCTGTAGTGGTGCTGACGCAGTCAGGGTAAAAGCTGGAGTCTAATGGACGCGTGGGTGGGGGTCGGAAAGAAGGCGATCAACGGACCACAATTTCCGGCCTTGAGAGATGGTGCAGACATGTCTTGGTGGAGGCAAAGGAGATTATGAATCTGGCCTGGGCGGCCGCATCAACTGAGGCTGCGTAATGTTTGTGGAATCTAGTGTGAGCTGGTCCAGTTCATGGCAGGGCACGAGGAAGTCCGGGCGCAGACAAGGCTGCGGTGGTGCAGTAAGTACTCCGGACGTTGTACTGTACTGAATACGAGTCAGCGTACTCCGTTGGTGCTCCGAACCCTTGTATGCAAACGAGGTCCGGAGTACTCAACAGTAGAGCGCCCAGCTAGGCTTAGAGGTTTGGGCCAGAGGGGCTTAGAGTGCCATTCGTCACGGGTGCCAGCTGCGCCTGACTGGCTAGGCGACAGAGCTACCACAGTAAGTACTGCGGGTCAGGCGCAGTCTAACTTCGCAACACGGTCACAGCCACCCACCACTTTTATCACCAATCCTGAGATCTTTCACGCTCCTTGCCATACCACAGCGCACGTGCGAGGCTTTCAGAACGTATTGACGTCGAATGAGTACAGGCGTAACTCCTGTCGGGCAAACTCTCAGAAACAAAGGCTGCAGTGGAACTCAGGTGTGCGGGATGATTGTAGACGCGTTGATGCGCGTCTTTCGGTTAGGGTATGCCTCGTAGCCCCATTAGAGGACGGCGTCTGGCGACCGGTACAGAACAACCAGAGCGTAACAATTGACACGAACATTTTTCTGGACATCACGATGGAGCCTAGCCAGGCAAACTTCTGCCACCCCTACCAGCCTTATTCCATTCAACTGGAGTTCATGCAGAGCCTCTATCGTTGCATAGAAGAAAAGCAAGTTGGCATCTTCGAGTCACCAACAGGCACTGGCAAATCCTTGAGCTTGATATGTGGCGCCTTGACCTGGCTGAGAGACCATGAGCGCCAGTCTCTGCAAGGGTCCGTTGAACCTTCAGAGAAGAGTGATTGGTTAGCGCAGGCCGAGCACGCTGCTCAACGTCGTGAACTGCTAGTCGCCTGTGAGGAACTCGAACATAAGCTTGCCAGAGTGCGTGAGGAGGAGGCGCGACGCCGCCGGAGAAGAGAAGCCTCGAAAGGTTCAAAGAAGGTCCGAATCGGAAAAGAAAATGCGGGAAATGCTCTCGCGGAAGATGAATTCATGCTTAACGATTACGACAGTGATCGGGAAACCACTTCCCACCTGTCCATACCTAACGATGGCTTCTCGAGCGCGACGCAGGCACTTCTGGACAAGTTACAGGCTCCCGCTAAGAAAGAAGTTGAAGAGGGAAAAGAAGACAGGCTCAAAATCATCTTCTGCTCACGGACTCATTCCCAACTCACACAATTTGTTAACGAATTGCGTCGCGTGAAGCCTCCCTCGTCGATCCCAGCCGATCCGGAGGAGGCTGCTCCTGAATCTCACATCGAGGAGGGCGTGAAGCACCTCACACTTGGTTCAAGGAAGAATCTGTGCATTAACCCTAAGGTTGAACGCCTCTCCTCAACGACAGCAATCAATGAGCAGTGCCTCGAGCTGCAAAAACCTGGCATACCGAAAGACAAAAAATGTCCCTTCCTAGGTTCCAAGGACGACATGGAAAGAGTCGAAGCATTCCGAGACCGAGTTGTTGCCGACATCAAGGATATCGAGGACATGGGGAAACTGGGCCGGGAGATGGAACTTTGTCCATACTATGCCTCCAGATCAGCTATCACTATGGCAGAAGTGCTGACGCTACCGTATCCTCTTCTCCTTCAGAAATCCGCGCGAGAAGCCCTGGGCGTATCCGTCAAAGACAACGTGGTCATCATAGACGAAGCTCACAATCTCATCGATGCAATTGCCGCCACTCTGTCTACCTCCTTACGTCTCAGTCAAATCGAGCAAGCCGTCCAGCAGGTCACCGCCTACGCCATGCGTTTCAAAGCAAGGCTGAAAGGCAAAAACCGTGTCTATGTCATGCAAGTTATACGTGTGCTGAACTCGATGACAGATTGTCTGAGGGCTACAACGTTCAAGCCATCTTCGCCAGAGACTACCCTAACGGCAGCACAGTTGATGTCCGGTAAAGGAGTCGATCAGATCAAGCCGCACAAGCTGTTACACTATCTGCATGAAAGCAAGCTCTGCCACAAGGTCGACGGATACGCCGAGTCCCAGTCAAATGATCAAGATACCTACAGCAAGGGCGTCTTGATTCAATTCCAGAATTTTCTAGCAGTGTTGATGAATCCGGATGAGGAAGGACGATTCTTTGCGAGTCGCCACGACAAGGATGTCAGCGTCCGCTACACCCTGCTCGATCCGCGTGAGCATTTTCGAGACGTAGTGGAGAATGCTCGGGCGGTTATTCTTGCTGGAGGCACAATGTCTCCCATGTCGGACTATTCGGACTACCTGTTCTCATACCTCCAAAAGACTCGGCTGTCGACTTTCTCCTTCGGCCACGTCATTCCTGCCTCGAACTTATTGGCACAAGCCATTGTCAAGGGTCCTTCCGATGTGGAATTTGATTTCACTTTCGATAAACGTGGCTCGGAGAAAATCATGGTGGATCTTGGCAGACTCATTTTGAAAGCCTGCAAAGTCGTCCGGGATGGAGTGGTTGTGTTCTTCCCCAGCTATGATTACCTCGCCCAAGTTGTCTCTGTCTGGCAACGCTTACCAGCTGAGCAGCCAATCATGACGGCTCTAAACAGGGTCAAGCCAATCTTTCAGGAGTCGAAGTCACTTGGCGTCGACGAAGTCCTGCGAAGCTATGCGACGGCGATAGACACCGGGCAGGGAGGATTAATGTTGTCGGTCATGGGTGGTAAGCTCTCTGAAGGCATCAACTTCTCTGACAAACTGGGCCGAGCGGTAATATCAGTAGGCCTACCCTTTCCCAATGCGAATGGTGCAGAATGGAAGGCGAAATTGCAGCATATCGCAGATGTCAGGTATCAGCAATGCAAGAAAGACGGCAAAGGAGAAGCAGATTGTCAGTCTGCCGCAAAGAGTGCAAGCCGGGATTATTACGAGAATGCATGTATGAGATCCGTAAATCAGAGCATTGGGAGAGCAATACGGCACAGGAATGACTACGCCGCGATACTGATGGTAGACAGGCGCTTCGCGACGGAGAGGATCCGGCGCAAGCTGCCCGGATGGATTCAAGAAAGTATGGCAGGTGGTGTACCAAGCTGGCTAGAGATGGAGACCCGCCTCCAGCAATTCTTTCGTGGGAAGCAATGACGATTCCCATGTCGATTTCATGTTCGACAAAGCGTTACAGGTGGCCAGAAAACAAATGCAAAGAATCGTGACAATGAATCAATTCCTATGTATTGCGTGCCATGTTAAGTCGTGTGTAGCGAAGGTGCTGTGGTAGAACATTGACCAGCAGAACCCCCGGCCAAGTGCTTGCCAAGATTTATCCCGCTAACCGGATTTGAGCGCCCACAGTCTGCGACTTCCAGAGTTTTGTCGTTAAACCCACGACGACGCTCAATTTCTATCACAACAACACCGGAGTCTCGACACCGCCAAAATGCCTACGAGACTGACGAAGACGAGAAAGCAGTGAGTACCATTCTGCCAGCCCCTCCTCATTCACGACCCGCAGGAGTCGTCTTGCGCCTGCCGCTCAATCCGACCAAATTCTTCACGATCGAAATCGCAATCGCATACCCCCGAAATGATTGTCACACTCGATCGGGCGACAACACGACAATGATGTCGGATAATAATTCAGTGTTTCTGGATGGGCGCGGCGCAGGATGGACTCGACCAAGTGATAAATGACTGAAAATGCAATGGGGCTAACTGAAACTCTCCAGCCGCGGCCACGTTTCTGCTGGTCACGGTCGTGTAGGAAAGCACCGAAAGCACCCGGGTGGTCGAGGTCTCGCCGGTGGTCAACATCATCACAGAACAAACATGGACAAGTACCATCCTGGGTACGTTACTCCCTCTTTCCTCCGAGGCGACGGAGGCCCATATCCCATATCGAAACGGCGTGACCATTTGAGAGGCTAACAATGGAACAGTTACTTCGGCAAAGTCGGCATGCGACACTTCCACCTTCTCAGAAACCACTACTGGAAACCCACAATCAACCTTGACAAGGTCAGAAGCCTTCACATCCAAATCAGCAGTAGACAGGAATCTAACATGACAACTATAGCTATGGTCACTGGTTCCTGAAGAGACACGCGACACCTACATCTCTGGAAAGAAGACCGATACCGCTCCCGTCCTCGACCTCCTCCCCCTCGGATACTCGAAAGTGCTAGGCAAGGGCAGAATCCCAGAGATCCCGCTCGTCGTCAGGGCAAGATGGTTCAGCAAGGAGGCCGAGCGAAAGATCAAGGAGGCTGGTGGTGTTGTTGAGTTGGTTGCTTAGATGAAATCTACGACCAGGGTTGATTTTTTGTACCCAGTGCCAAGGAGCATGAGTCTTTCATGGTCGAGCGATTCGTCACTGAAGCGAGGACGCTATGCCATGACTTGATATGCATTCGGAGGAAGGTCAATTGGTGTCGTCCCGTACTCAGCAGAGGTACTCCCGGCACCAAAATGAACAAATTCGAGGACAACCAGTCCGACCAGCGCCAGCCAACATAGCCATTTCTGAAGCCTTTTACAAGGCCACGGTCAGATTACCTGGTAATGCGAAGCTCGGGCAGACTTGAAGATGGATTCGTTGCAACGTTTTGAGTAGATCTCCCTGCGGACAGTTTCAGAGCGTCCAATGTCACGTGCAGACTAACCGACCGACATGCCGAGACTATACTTGTTCCACCGTAGTCGCTGCGCGTAAATTGAACGCGTGTGACACGCTCTTCCGTTCACGCGTCAGAATCTATATGTTCATGCTGGCAGCTGCAGTGCGTCCAGCACTTTCCAACGCCAGACAAGCAGTGTGGACACAACATGGACGATGCAGTCGCACTGCTTGACAGCCCCAAGAAAAAGTCGCTACAGTCTCAAGCAGACACCCTGCGTGTCGAGCTGAAAGAATACGAACGGGCCTTCGCAGCCGAACACAATGGGCGCAAACCGAACAGAGACGAAATCAAAGCTAACCAGAACATTGCCGGCAAGTATCAGCAATATCAGAACATTCGCATGGTGCTGGCTGGCAAGCGCGGACTGGAAGTGCTGAAGACACCCAGGCGACAGCAGACAACAAGGGGGACGAGGCATGCCCGGACAGACAGTGCAATCAGTCTCACACCCCAGCGACCGCGCAGTAGCTTTACTCCCACAAGGCCACAGATCCAGATCCATCCGAATGACATCGACCCATACGATCAGCCCTTGTCGATCTCTCCGAGAGTGTTTCCTCAGGCGATCGGCCCTACGCCGCGCAGAGATGGCACGGTACTCGGTATATTCGACCTGCTGTCGAACTCAGGCTCTGGGAGGGGTTCTCAAGCGACTCCCTCAAGCAGGAAGAGGAAGGTTGGTGCACTCTACGGAGTGACAGGTCATAATCAAGCAGGAGGGTTCACAGAAATTGCGCAAACACCAAGCCAAAGGCCAAGACAAGCGGCCACCGGTATCGGCATAGACGGCGCTTGCGGAGCTGCTGCGACTCCGCGCTCGACCATGGCCACAGGAAAGCGTAACCACTCCAAGACACCGATCAGCGAGGGCAAGAAGTTCATGCTGAATCATTTCTTCGCGACGCCCAGCGCAGTCAGGTTTGCCGGCGTGATTGGTGGTGACGGTGATGGTGATGGTGATGGTGAGGCGACTCCCCCAGCACAAGGCAAAACCCCCTTGCGCGACTTGGTCCTAGGAATCACCCCGACGCAGACCAAGATCGGGGCTCAGACCAGCAGCGCAAACGACGCAACGCCACCGTATCTGAAGCGGTCCTTCTCATTCAAAGAACGGCTTCTTTCCGCCTTCGGAGCGCAAAACCCCACTTCGACCACCACCGCTCGACGGAGTCTCAGCGGGAGTCTGCGCCACGGGAAGTTCGCGTCAAAACCGCTGAGCCAGATTATAGCAGATAGACAACAAGCTCAAGACCAGGGGGCGCAACGCCAAAGAAATGACGACGAAGATGGAGATGAAGATGACCTGGATGCTTTGAGGGAAATGGAAGCCACCGAGGTTAACATCCTTGTGGAAGACAGTCAGTTCCTCGACGACTCCAACCAAGCATTTGGCAATGGGGATGGGAAGGCAGACCAGCCCGGTCATGCCTGGAGGAAGAAAGGCCAAAAGAGGACAACAAGACGAGTCATCATGCGCCCGGTTAGACCCGAACCAGCTGCCCCAGCGAGGCAGAGGCAAAAGCAAAATCAAAAGCCGAAGCAAAAGATTATGCCAGAGGACGGTGAAGAGGATGAAGATGAAGAGTCCGGTGAAGACAATAACAACGTTTCTCTCGTCGAGGAGACTCAACTCGTCGACACACCTCCCGCCGAAGATTCAGACTTGGATTTCCTCGATGACGACGACAATGAGCCCGAAAATAAGAACCATCGAGGTGATTCCGACGAGGATGATGGTTTCCAGCCTAACGGAGACGGACCCTCGAAAACCAAGAAGCCCAAGTCAAAGGCAGGCCTGTCGCTTGAGAAGTCAAAGTCGAAAGCTGCGCAAGATCCCGCCGGCTCGCTGGGAAAGCCTTCAAAATCCAAGAAAGCCCCGAAGAACACGACGGGCGCGAAGGAGGTAAAGGAAATTCCCGGCCGGATGATCAACCCCAATGCATACTCGCACATGAACTTCCGGAGCCTGAAGATCAAGAACAAGAACTCAAAGGCGAAGGGGCGAGGAAGGTTTGGTAGAGGCAGAAGATGAAAGACCTAGGTTGGATCGGTCGGCCGACGACGTGACATGCGATGCGATGCGATGCAATGCAATGATGAGGACGAGCAAATTGGAGATGAGGGTTTGGATGCAGGACTGTACTGTGCAAGAAAGACTGATGAGACCTGGGACCCGGAGATAGGGTGGCTGTGTCGATACGAATTGTTGGTTGTCCAGTGCCTGGCGTGATATAACTTGATACCTAGGTAGCAAGGAAGCAGGGAGACACCGTACTTCAGTCTGTGAGTTCGCCTTTCTCGGCCCATGTCGTTCTCGATGCTATCCTCCGTACAGTGGAGTAGTAAATCCAGTGTTTGGGCATGCTCAATCTCAATATGAACTCTCTAGATGGATACTGTTGCCTGGTAATGTCGCGGTCTGTGGTATGGAGTCGTGAAAGACAGAGTGAAAGTGCAGTGAGGATCGCGAGAGTGCCTTCGAGGCCACGCGCAAGAAACTTTTACAGAGCAGAGCAGAGCGGAGGAATCATAGGCCTAGTCTCCGGGTATTTACACAGGCGTGGCCCGTCACTTCTGAGCTGTCATGCTAAGCTATTGCGTATGCCGTGGCTAGGTATCGATTTACTTGTATCTAATTCATGGCTTATGTTCTTTCGACACCACAGCTCCATTGAATGTTGCTTGACAAAGGACTTCAACGTCCATGCAAGCGCTAATTGGTGATGGTCCGTCTTCCTCGTCGTCGGCGGACGAAGCCCACTCCTAATCGAGATAGACTGACAAGCAGAACCCGCGAGACCGCTCATTTGGGTTTATATGCTCTTGTCGACATAGGCCACAGGACCGACATACACGTGCCGCGCGCGCACCACATAGTACGCAAACGCCGCGAGCACGACGCCTCCATAGACGGCACACGCCCAGTTCATAGCCACGGCGGGCGGATTCGGCATGGGCGGGAAGAAGGCAAAGACGTAGACGATGGCGCAGAAGGCCAGCGCCGCCAAATTGACGCCCAGGCCGAACCTTCCTAGCGAGAACTTGGACGGGAGGAGCGGCAGGCCGCGGATGCGTCGCCACGTGATACTCCCTATAGAGACCATGTAGCTCGTCAGCAGGGCGACGGTGCCGATAGACATGATGATGTTGAACGCAATGGAGGAGCCGATGTTGATGCAGTGGAAGATGCAGGAGCAGAGGGCCGAGACGATGATGGCGTTGACGGGCACGTCGTAGCCCGGCGGCACGCGGGAGACCCAGCGGTGGAAGGGCACGCCCTTGTCGCGCGCAAAGGAAAAGAGTTGCCGTGACGAGCCAGCCATCGTGGTCAGGTTGGCGCAGACGTTGAGCACGATCAGGATGGACGTCAGGCCGGCGGCGCCCCCGTTGGATTCCGTGGCGGTGGCGAAGACTTGGATCACGGGGTAGCCTGTTGGAGTGGCTAGGTCTTGCTCTAGGTCGCCGAGTGTGTAGAGGAAGGTGCTGGGTCAGGGGGGTTAGCACGCATGGCACACTACTCGTTGTAGCTCGTTTCTCGTGCGAGCGTCAGGGATGAAGCGCTGTTACTTACACAAGCATGACGAACCCGAGGATGCCATTCACGGCAATGGTCCAGATCATGGCCCTCGGGAGGATTTTCGACGCGCTCTTTAGCTCTTCCGCCATGTGCGCGGCGGCGTCGCCTCCGACCATGGAGCCCACATTGGTGATTATCCCGATGAGACATGCCACTCCGACTGCGAACGGTTAGTCAGTCTATATCTGGTCGTCTCCTGATGGCCGGTGTTGTTAAAACTTACTGCTGCCCCAGCCATTGCCATCGGTGAACGATGTCCACACTTGAGAGCTGGGAGTTCGGGGAGCCATGACCCAGAGAGGGATTAAAATCGCCACGAACCCAGCGATGTGAAGGACTAGGATAATTCCCTCGACTAGTGGCAGATGGTTCGCCAGGAAGATGTTGAACAGCGCCACGCAGAGGGTGATGGCCATTGCGATCAGGGTTCCATGCCATCGCTCGAAGTGGTATATGTCGGGGTTGTTTAGTATAATGACGCCCTGAATCATGGTCCCAGCAACGAACGCCCCAATGGTTGTTCCGATCTGGTAGCCGAGAATACCGAACCAACCGATGAAGTAGGACAGCAACTTCTGGACGTTGGGAGGAGCGAACTCAGAAACCCAGTGGTACTGGCCGCCTGTTCGCGCACAAATGTCAGTGGTCATGTCTTCGGGAGGCAGCAGTCAGTCGTTCGTACCTGACGTGGGAGCCATGGAAGCCATCTCGGCCATTGAAAGACTGATGAGTATGAAGCCAATATATGTGGCGATGAAGGTCCAGATGAGTCCTCCAGGCCCGCCATTGCCCAATCCAAAAGCTACGGTTGCCAGGACTGCCTCCCAAGTGCCCATGATGATGAGGGCAAAGCCGAAGATGGAGACGAAGCCAAAGTTGCGCTGTCCAGAGCGTCAACAATCCATGGATTCCCACCGATCGCATTGCAGCAGACTGACCTTGAAGAGCTGTTCTTTGCCCAACCGCGCCATGGCATTCCGGTCTGCCACGGTTCCGGTCTTCTCGCCCAGCACGACGCCATCATCGTTGACGTCTTCGGTTGGGTCAACACGATATGAAAGTGACTTGTCCATATCGCAATGTCTTCTCACGAAATGCTGAGGAACGAGAAGAGGACGAGAAAGAAGTCCTGGATAAAAATTGCTGCAGCTCGGCAAGAGCTCTTCTGCAGGACCCCTTCCCCAGCGAACGCGCCGTCGAATCTCTGCTGGACAATCGAAGGAGGCTCGGTACTTCGATTATTGGGTAGACAAAGGACATACCAAGCCTCTTTGGCCACTTTAGAAACATGCAGGTTTAGAGTGGCGGACGAGCTTTCAAGCGAAGGGGATACGAGCACTTGGCTTCTGACTGTCTCCATGAGGAGCAAAGATGAGCTCCCACGCGGCGATGTTGGAACGTGGAGTGGTGGTGTCTTCGCATGTCGAATCGAAGCACAAGATGCACTGATTGGTTCATCCGGTCAGGATATCAGTATCCCAGACGCTTGTGCCAACGCACTTGTCGAAGCCACTTGCATCCACCATTTCGAGCCCCGGTGATCTCGACAGCTCTGTATCCACCTTTCATCCTTGCAGTTGGCTGGAACAGAGACGACCCTGCACTTATCCCTCCGTATTGATATGGGTGTTGGGGTTTGTGAAGGTGCGACCCTAGCTGGATTTGTGCATTGACCCACGAGGAGCAGTGCATGACTCGCGCGAGCTACAGGCTTCTGACCACAATAGGAGCTATCTTGATCCTTTCACCGAAGACTTTCACTTCCACGAGGGCGTCTGAAGCAACAAAGCCGCGTGCAGGGGCTGATCCACCGGCGCTGTGATAGAGAAGAGGGCCCCTCACCCTCCCTGAACAGAGGAGCTCGGATTGTCGATCCCCGGCGCACACTTCGAGCAGGAAGGATCCCCACAGTACATAGTGCAAACGCCACCGGCTATCTCTTTACAGCCATGGAAACAAGAGAGTCAGAGACTTGCCTCAAAAGACGATACGACGTATCCCGTCGCGTCTAAGAAGGTAATCTCCGCGGCACTGCATGAAGCTCACGGTGTCCCTGTATCAGTTAGTCCAAGAAGGATGCGTGGCTGCTGAACGTAGATAAATTCGTTAGAAGCAGCAGGACTAGCATAGTCACACTTGACCTTCTGCAGCATAAATTAGTTCATCATCTTGGTCTTTTCAGCAGGTCGCAAGGTTCAAATGCCATTGCGATTGCCGTTTCGGATAGCGCCAGCTTCGAGGGAGGTCGCGGCGACCCGGGCTTGGGTGTTGGAATGGCGTCCGCGGCACTTGCGACGTCGGCACGAGGAGCGAATGAGGGGTCCTCGGAGGTCGATTCTGGCCAGGATCTTTACCACAATAAGCTACCGGCCGCGGAGGGGGTGTGTGGATTCACCGGGGCGAGGGCAAGTGGGCTTCCCGCAGGAGGGCGTGTGCTGGTCTGTACCTTATCTGCATGCCATTCCTGGTGTGATACGGAGGTTAAGCACGCAAACAATGCCAATAACACCACCTTGACAGTCCACACCTGCCGCAAGTCCTCACCTGCGGCAACCCAGACTAGACAGACAGGATCATGCTCAGTCGGACGCAATCTCAGGAACAGGCAAGGTACTCGTACTGGTTACATCGGCAGAGGCAACCCCGGACCGCTGGAGGCGCCATAGCTCCTACCCAGCAGCCCAGCGCCTCTCCCAAAAGAGGTTCTCTTGCCAATGCTCGTCGCTCGTCCAACAAAGTCCAGCTGTCGGCTACAGCAGAGCGCGCAGGGTCTCTGGCCAATCGCCGCCCCATGCGCGCATGTCACCAAGAGCTGTCTCGAGTCTTGACAGCGTGTGTCGCGACGGCGTGGCTTTTCTTAGAGCCACCAGCCAGTGGAGCAACCGCGAAGCATCAAGAGCCTCGTGCTGTGAAGAAATTGAAGCAAGGAGGAACTTCCTAGTTCCGAGCCCCAGGCACAAAGTCCCAGGTCAAGAAGTCGTGCTGGATCGCTTGGGATAAGAACAGACCGCCAAGTCGTTTCGAGGCAAGGTTGCAAGGTGATGGGCACAGAACGTGAACACATCTCCTGCGCTAGCGCTGCGTCCAGCCTTGCAAAGTGTCTGGCGGTTGAAGATTCAGAGTCCGGGGCCGAGGACAGGCTACATACAGCTGCTTACTTGTGATCCCGCGAGAGGTTGCTGGTCGCTGCCCACATATAGCACAACAAGGTCCGTACAGAAGGAGTGGTTGTCGATGACCTCCAGCATCGAGCATCACCATGAGTACCGCACCGGATGTGCCGCCCAGCTTGGGCCCGCGCCCGTACCATTATACCGCCGATGACCACCGTGGGCTCGTTCTGACCATCAGCATTCTGTTTGTCGTGTATTCGCTCATGGTGCTGGCGATGCGGTTGGCGAGCAAATACAGAAACATGGGCGTCGAAGACTGGCTCGCCGTGGCCGCAACGGTTCGTTGAGGCACTCGCATTTCTACACGGGACACACCAGCTCATGTTTGACAGACTATCGCTCTCCCACACTTCGTCGTCATTATAATAGCGACCGTCGATGGTGGATTTGGCTCTTCATATACCCTGCTGTCTGATAGCGATGCGCACACGGTCGCAAGGGTATGCCCCAAAAACTCCCAGTTGCAGCACTGTCACTCACCAAAGACTGGCGACTTAGTCACTGCGTGCGAGTGATGTATTCTTCCTGCTCGCCCTCTTCGTGGGCAAATGCTCAGCCATCTGGCTCTGCCGGCGACTCTTCGCGCTCGGTCAACATCGCAATCTTCGGTTCTGCGAACTCACCATGGCCTTGTGCGCGATTTGGTGCGTCGGGTCCATCATCGCAGTCACCGCGGGATGTTCCTCCACCGAAGTCATTCGAGCAGGACAGGAACACTGCTCAGGACTGGTGAGTTTGCGTGGCATCAAGTCAGGGGACACGAACATCCACGCTAACCGAAGGATGAACTGCAGGTCACTCGCTGGATTGTCGTCGGCCTGTTCGATGCCTTGCTGGAATTCCTTATCCTCGGCCTTTCCATCATTGTCATCTTCCCACTCCACATGAGCATGCAACGCAAAGTGCAAGCGTCGCTATGCTTCTTCCTCAGGCTACCGTAAGGGAAAACCAAGAGAGGCCACTACTGACCAATGCTAATTCATTGCTGCTACTTCAGGATCATCATCCTCATCTGCCTCCAAATTAAATATGTCGCAGACTTCGACGCCGCGTCCAATGCCAACGCAGGCATCGCACTGACTCGCCCGATCCTCCTGCGCCAGTCCGAGGTACTCTACTCGCTCCTATCCGCGGCCATCCCGGCCCTGAACCAATATCTCCGCAAATTCGACACCACACAAGCCACCGTGTTCGGATACAATGCCAACACACACGGCTCTACGGGCCGCTCTGGCGCGTATCAGATGGACTCGCTGCACGCCAGCGGGCAGAGGAGCAAGAATGGTGGGAGCCACGCGAACACGAAGAACTACTCTCACTTGGACGGCACCGATGAGCCACTGACTGATGAAGCCCAGCGGGTCGGAAAGAGCACGGGTATCAACTTCGTCCCGGCAAATCACGCGCAGTACCATGCCAGCGTGGAGGGGCCACAGGGCCAGGGCGAAGCGTTCGCCAACGATGGCAGATCAAACGCCTCGCACGAGGAAGGGTCCCTGGGACGCCATAATAGCGAGGAGTTTATCATTCGCAAGGACGTCGAGTATACGGTCCGGCATGAAGATCGTTGAACCCCTTCCTTCTCGGCAAAGAACTATGCGTGCAGGGCGCGGCGTACATCAATGTCGTCGTGATTTTCGAAAGAATAGAAAGCTGTCGACGCTGGAACCCGCACAAGAGGTGTACATATAACATAAGAACATAGGACTCCGCATTGTCTGGTTCCGCGGCTGGGGGAGGGATTATGACTGTGAATAGAAACGCTTGGACATTACGTTCCCGCTGAACATCCCGTCTCAGCCTCCATACAGTCATGGTTGGCTGGGTTCGATAAAAAACATGTAGCCCGATTCTGAATATAGACGCACAGTCCAAGTACTGTGTTCCGTTCTTATAAAGAATTAGGTTCTCGGTCCCTATGCTCAGAATTAGCTTTCAGCTTAATTAGCTGCCTCCGCTCATTTCAAGGCAAGGTACCTGAGCGTGGGGTCGTGGCTACCTACCGCCGCCCAAGAGGCTAACCATGAACTAAATACGTACTGTGTTCTTACTTCGAACGCTAAACTGCCAGCTCGGTAGTTACCTACTTAGGTAGAAAGTATAACTGGACCACTACGGAGTAGTGGTTGGGGACTGGCACACTGGGCATGGCGATATGGGAGTACTCCGTACCGAGCCTCCTGGAGCCGCTCACCTGGGCAGCTACCCCACGAGCCGCACCCCCCATTTCTGCAGTCGCGTAGCACCCAATACTCCTGAGAACTCCGCGCTCGTGGCATTTGTTCCCCGATCGTCGCTTCTTAACTTTCTTAATGCAAGTTTGATATCTCTGTCCTTGCACAATATCTAGCATCTGTTTAGTCAGTGTCTAGATCTCGCATCGCGTATCGCGTATCGAGTTTGAACCGCGACGCTACGCTCCGCAGGATCAGGTACCGCGCCGAGCAAGGAACGACCCATCATCCATCATGCCCGTCCGCCTCGCCAGGGCAGGGGACATCCCTATCATGGCGTCCGTCCTCGCCGCGGCGTTCGGGCCCGACAAACTCTTCCGCGTGCTCTTCCCCCACCAGCAGGAGCATCCGGGGGACTTTGAACGCGCGTTGCGCGAGAGTCTCTGGCTCTCGTGGTACGACTTTCGGAAAGTGTTGATGGTGTCCTACTCGTACTCGTCTGGGGATGCTCCGGGCCAGAAGGACGAAGGCAGCTTGTCGACAGGGGAGGAGAAGACGTCACTACTTCGATCGCCCGGCGGCGAGACGATCACAGGGATGGCGGAGTGGGAGCGTGTTGTTCACGGGACAGCGAGAGCAGGGTTCGGGGCTTGCCACGTGAATGGATTCTTGGGCTGGTGGGATCCGCGTAAGTCGAGTCGTCTGAGACTGCTAGCGGTCATAAGATCCTAACGTGCGTCCTGCAGGTCGGCTTATGAAGCCTCTTCTGTCCCTGTTCTACCGCGTGCGGAGGTTTTTCGTGCCCAACAAGGCGGCCAAGCGGCCCACAAAGGCGGACCCCCAGGAGCTGACGTACTGGATGCTCGGACCTATGGTTTTCCGCTGGGGGAAGCAGTTCATGGCCGGCGCGCACAGGGAGAGGCATTGGTCGCTAGAGATCCTGGGGGTGGACCCGCGGTACCATGGACGGGGTTACGGTCGTGAATTGGTCAAGCAGGGGCTCGAGATGGCGAGGTCAGACCCCGAGGGAGATTTGCCCGCTTGTGTGATGGCCGCGGATGGGAAGGAGGGGTTCTATCAGAAGGTCGGGTTTAAGCAACTTGTTGGGTATCTGTCCCAGGCGGAGGATGATGAAGGGGGGGAGAATCCGTTTCGGAGGAATGGCGTTGGTGGCGGCGCCGTGTTGTGGACGAGGTAGACTGCAGTTAGAGGGTTGGCTAGAAGGTGTACATGCCGCGACGCAGATCAGGAGGTAGAGAGGACTTGTCTGATTGTTGTGAAGAGGGGTCTTGGCGCCCACGGAGCCGGTAACGGCGCGCTGTTGGATCGTAAGCACGTCGGTTCGAGTCAGATATCACCTCCGCCAGCTTTACTGAGCCTGCCCTGCCCTACATCAGGTCGATAGATGTGGTCGTACGGCGTATGTATTCGCTGCGTTTGACAGAGAGATACATGTCGTTCCTAAATGGTCCTCTGACATCGAGCATGCAAGCTTGGAGTGGTAGTCTTACCGACAATATCTTCTGAATGGCGACTGGAAAGTTCGCTCAGGTCGGATTCGCGGTAAAGATGTCGCTGAGCCGCACCATGAGTTCCGCGTGGCGGCCACCGCACCCAAAAGCCGCCCTATTTCATCCTCGAAGCCTTGTTGTCCGGGTCGTCAATCTGCCACAGGATGGAGTGAACACTGCTAGCCACATACACGAATGGACACTTTGGAATCGGTCCTCCCGGGACCGATCATCAGTAGTGGTTGGGCGTGATCAATGTGCTTCCGCAGACTCCGCTGACTACGACAAGGTTGATGTTCCCTGCTGTTCCCGGACATGTAGAAAATCTCATATAGTACCTAGCACAACAGACGAAACTGTTCAATGATTGAAGTGGAGTTTAACGCCTGACGTTGTCGATAGTCATTTTCACATGACCCGTGTTCACAACGGACAAAGCACACGGCCTTGATCACACTCAAAGGACTAGAAGTAAGGAAAAATCAGACAAAAAGCCAGAAGTAAGAAATTATGAACGATAACAGCAAGGCCACCAATGCAGCTCAGATCTCACGCCCATTACCAGCACTTGCGTCTTTTTCATGTACCTAGTACTCGCTGTGTCCTGCAAGGTGATACCTACCTGAATGGTGGTGCATGTGGGGTTAAGAGGACGAGGAGGGGTACTTAGTACTTCTCGCGACTTCTCTAGCTCCACAGCACAATATGCTAAGTGCTCCACCGCAGTGGACCGTGCACGTGGCAGCCGCTCAATGACGTGGGCCATGTTCGCGTCTGCGCCTGCGCCTGCGCCTGCGTCTTTGCCTGCACGGGCATCAGTTCCACGATTCAGGTTTGCGACTTTGCATTGATCTTTCACTTGCCTGCCATTAGACATTAGATCCCAGTTTTCCATACGATAGACGGGTTTCTACTCTTTCTAGGTAGATTTCATCCAGACTTGTCAGTGGAGTCACAATCCCCTGGAAGATTCGAGAACCAGTGACCGTTAATTGGGGATCTGTTCACTCACTTCTTGTGTGACACTTCAGTTACAGCTTGAGAGGCGGAAGACAAGCACACGAGAAAATGTCGGGTGCAGGTGACGACGATGTCCTTGACCCCAGCCTCCAGAACCTCATTGATCAGAAATCGCTGCGATGGATATTCGTGGGCGGCAAAGGCGGTGTTGGCAAGACCACAACGTCTTGTTCATTGGCAATACAGATGGCCAAGGCGAGAAAATCGGTGCTGCTGATCTCGACCGATCCGGCTCACAATTTGAGCGATGCATTCAGTCAGAAGTTTGGCAAAGATGCAAGACTGGTCGAAGGCTTCACAAACCTCAGTGCAATGGAGATCGACCCCAATGGCTCTATCAATGATCTGATCAGTGGTGCGGGAGATGAGGCGCAAGATGCTATGGCGGGTTTAGGCGGGATGGGCAACATGATGCAGGATCTGGCATTCAGCGTATGTAGTCCCTTCCTCGACGGTGGCACTGGCTAACCGAGAACAGATTCCGGGCGTCGACGAGGCCATGTCTTTTGCCGAAGTTCTCAAACAGGTCAAGTCGCTGTCGTACGAGGTCATCATCTTTGACACTGCTCCTACCGGTCACACGCTCCGCTTCCTCCAGTTTCCTACCGTTCTCGAAAAGGCTTTGGCCAAAATTTCGCAGCTCTCAGCTCAGTTTGGTCCGATGTTACAGTCAGTGATTGGAGCGAGAGGGGGACTGCCCGGTGGAGCAAGCCTTGAGGAACTGACACAAAAGCTCGAGTCTCTCCGAGAAACCATTGCCGAGGTCAACGGCCAGTTCAAGAACCCCGACATGACCACATTCGTCTGTGTTTGCATTGCCGAGTTCTTGTCGCTGTACGAAACTGAGAGAATGATTCAAGAGCTGGCAAGCTACCAAATCGACACGCATTGTATCGTCGTCAACCAATTGCTCTTTCCAGAATCTGGCAATGAGTGCAAGCAGTGCAATTCGAGGAGGAAAATGCAGAAGAAATACCTTGACCAGATCGAAGAGCTGTACGACGAGTTCAACGTGGTCAAGATGCCTCTGCTCACCGACGAGGTCCGTGGCGTGGAGAAGCTCAAGAGGTAAGCCTCGCCTTTTCCATGCAAAGCTGTGATACGCTCAGCCACTAACGGGATCAAACAGTTTTTCGGAAATGCTGATTCATCCATATCAACCGCCGTCATAATTCGAGCTTCGTTGCCAACCACACAAGGCTAACACAGGCACAGCTGGGCATTCTTCGTTTTGTCATGGGACATAGCAGCATCATGAGATCATGCGCAGTGCAATGATACACAAGCAATTCCTTAAACCCCTCTGACACACCTCGTACTCCAAAAGCTTTGAAAATGACCTAGTCGGTAGATGATTTCCTTTCAGCGCGTTCCAAAGACAAGTCCATGGAGCCAGGAGCAGCAATGCGATTGAACGAAGCGGGAAAGCAACAATTGCGATGCACCGATCTGCAAGCCTCCTCGTCTTGCGCCTGACGTACTCTGCATGCTTTGGCTGCGGGAAACTAGGTGGACACATTTGTCAAATGTTAGGCAATCATGCCACATGCCACTGCGCCCCAACAGCCGCGGACTGTTCGGGGCTCGTCGTGGCTTGTCCGCCGCCCCTCCTATTCGCTCCAGAGTAAGTCTTACTCATCCCTTAAGGGGGACCACGAGGTGATCCTCGGCTGGACTGCAGCATGAAATAGCCGGCTTTGGCTTTCCGAAAGTCAACTTACGAGGAATGGTAATTATGGCTTCCTGGTCCCTAAGCGGGCCTTGTCCACCGAGAAGAGAAGCCGCACTATTCCACAACGATTCAAACACCGACGCCTTCGGCCTCGTTCTGAACTTACTGCAGTCTGTATGAACCACAATGAGATATGGGCCCAACCAGCCTTGTCCACATTTTCAGTCTTCAGATGGCTGAGATACAGGGATCTCGGATCGTAGCTTCAATGTCCGCTCTCGATCGCTTTGCTCACTTAAGAAGGGTGAGCCCAACACCTCAACAATGGATGTTTTTTCGACAGGAAAAGACTCGGCCGTACCTTTGTGAAGTATGCGACATTTTACCAGCTCCATGGCTCTGTTGGCATCTTGAGTCACCGCCAACTCGGTATCAAGCCTACCGAGGTGCACTTTTATTCCAGAACGTGTCGACTTGTGCTTCGACGACGAGACTGCCACCCCAAATGAAGCATGCGTTCTTTTGCTGTTGATGGCATTTATAACCACGTCCTTCCCTGTTCAGAATGGATGACGTTCAGCGTGTGCCCACCTCGACATTGCAAATCACAGAGCTGTACCATAAACTCGTGGTGAAAACAGACAACCCCGGCCTTACTCCACGCAGAAGAGCTCGCTGTTCTGGTTGCAGTGCGGACCCTGCTAACTTCGAGCAACCAAAGGCTGTCATGACGGACCAGGACCCGAGCGGCCAGCCACCAGATCAACGCCCTCCAGCGTACAATGGGCCGTTCCTCTTCGTGAACAAGAACGCATCAAATCTGAGATCCAGGCAAAGAGAAGAAGTCTTCGCCGTCCGAAGCCATGCGATGCAGATCGCCAGAAGGTCAAGGAAGCCCTCAGCTCAGTCGCATCTGCAGTCGATAGAACGCGAAAAACAGGCTCAGGCAGACGCCCAGAGTCCAGAAGCTTCACCGGCGCCAGGTGCCGCAGGTAGTCCAGCCGCAGAGCCGATTCCCTCGATCCAAGATATCTTGGAGCAACAAGCCATGGGTGTCCGTCAATACCAGCAAAGTCGACAATCGAGTCAGCCTCGCCAGCACCCCCTGGGGCGGCGAACTCCTGGCAGTAACCCTCCCTTGTCCATGCCTGCTGGTACGACCTTCGCCTTAGGGAGGATGTACAGTCTCCTTCCGGCTGACCACGCAGCGTCTCTGGGGCAAACCCCCATTTCCGCCTCAACCGCAAGCATGAGTCCTGGAGGCCTGGGTTCAAGTGGTGACCTGCCTTCCGATACCTTCTTCAATTCCGTCCTGCAGTTTTGGCGATTGAACTATATGTCCAATTTCTGGCCTGCGCATGTCTATTTGAATCCTTCACACCAAGCGGTCCAATGCACTGACAGCTGGATCCGCAACATGGTGATCAACAACCCAGCCATGATGCACGGCCTGTTCTCAGGCGCTTTGAGTTACATAACGAATTATCTGCCTCCAACTGAGAACACGCCCATGCTTTGGGCCAGAGCAATTCACCATTATGGCAAGTGCCTCGAGGAGACCCGCGAACAGCTGTCTCGACCGGGAATCGGCACTGAACAGGCATTGAGCCTCATTCACGGAATGACCACCTTCAGTTTCCACTGTCAGGATCTGGAGAGCTGTCAAGTCCACCGTACAGCGTCAATGCGTCTGCTTCAGAACCTGGATGGAGGCCTGGAGTCGGTCCATCCAGTCTTGAAGTGTCTCATGATCCTCTGCGAATCGCTCATCGCAAGCCACGTTCCCATACGACCAGCAATGGACATTGGAGCTTGGGCACCTAAGCCTTGGGCCCAAGAAAACTCTTTGAGATCGTTTGACGGAATCTTCACCTTTGATGCTCGATCTTCCCGCCAGACCGATATTGCGGTCTTCCTCCTCAGCAGTGATGACCAGGTGACTGACCACTCAGAGGACATCCTGGAGCTCATCAACTGGCATCGAGAAGCGCTGGCGGCTAACGAGCTTGGCTTCAGACTCGCGCATAGTTCTGAAGCGGCTTCACCAGAGATCGTAGGATCTGGGGTTGGAGACTGGCAAGATCAGGATAACCCGATATATGCCTGGCTGTCACTTCGACACCACGCTTTAAGCTGTCTATCTTCTAATATGTTTGTGGATCTCCTGGAGGTCGAGGACCAGGATCAGTCACTGCCATCGCAGCTGCATCGGGCTTACCACGCCTGCGTCCTCCTCGCCAGCAGCTACCTAACGCAGTTCGTCCTCCGACGTGATACGGATGCCCCTTCTATGGCGTACGTTCCGGTCCACCATTTCCGCACACAGCTGGAGTTGCTGTTAACGCTCATGAGCCAGTTCCGACGATCATCAGCCACTCGTGCCGGGCCAAATACGACGGAAAGAGGACCCTCCAACCCCATCCCGACTGACGGTCTTCTGTTCCTCTTCTTCGCTGGCGCCCTCTTTGAGGAGTCTGATGGGCCCAGTCGAGTACGAGCGGCGCATCACATCGCACGAGCAGGCGTCATCGCCTCGCCGGTGACTGAGCATCCCGTCGATCTCATCAACGAGCGCTGGTTCAGCGTGCATTTTGCCATGGTGCTTCAAAGACTGGATCTCGACTCGTGGCAAGACGCTCAGAGAGTTTTGAAACGATTCGTGTATGCTGACAGAGTCCTCGATACGCTGTTGGAGGTTCTCGTTGCCAGGAAACTGGAGTTCCTTGCTGCGCTGGTCGCAAGGGTGCCGAGCGACATCCCCGCTGGGGAAGCTGGGTTCTTTGGAGCCCAGAAGAGCCCGAATCTAGCCAGGCAGGGAGCGACTTCTCCTTTTCGACCACCTGTGGTCTCTCATCAATCCCCATTGCAGGTCCCAGCACATCACGGACTACATCTGCAAGGCTCCAGCATGTCCATGCCCCTATCATTGCCGGGAGTAGTCCCATCAGTGGACCCTGATGAGGCATCGGATACAGTGCCCATGTTTGGGCCCATGCACCTATCACATTCGGGAGGCGTACCCCTAGCCACCGCTTATTGGTGGGAAGATACAGGATACGGATTAGAGGATGAAGAGGATGCCTTCATGGATCTGGAAATGCATCCGAATTTCGAACCCGGGTTGAACACTTTGTCAAACGTGCAGATGTCAGGTGAGGACGTGAGCGATCTGGAGGAGCCGTATGACCGGTGCGGCGTCGAACGAGGCTAGTTGGAAAGGAGTCAATGAGTGGTCGACTGCAGATGGGAAAATGTTTCTTGTCACTGAAATAGGCCAAAACGGCGGGGCATCGGCCTCACGCCCACCCAAAACAGCCTGGACTGCGCCCCACGCCGGTGGGAGTTTGTGCCGTTCCGGAGGCGAACTCCAGCCGTGGCCTTAACTAGAGACCCATTATTACCGTTACGCCGCAATATCAGTCCTCTTAACGGTAATTACCATATGATTCTACGAGGTTCGGGAGGAATCAATATGAATGCACTGATCCAAGGTTTAATGCCGATTGACGCACATCAGGCAGCGAGTGAGGAAAACACTAATTGCTGACGAGCTGCTTCTGTACCGTATTAATGACTGCATGTGGTAGGCACGGCTTCCCCTTCTTTCCTCTCCCTCCCCTTCCTGCCTGCCCCTGCTATGTGAGGCAGGCACGTCCACGGGCATACGTAGCCATAGCTGAGGGACAAACTCTCGCCTGGACACTCAGACTTAATCCAGACAATGGCGGTCCCCTACCACATTGCGCCCTGTCTCGAACCCGGCTGCTCTTTGGAGAAAGTCGACCTTGAGAGCCACCACAAGCTCATTGGACAAATCGTGCGTGGCGTTAGGCATCGATCCTTCACATGAAGGTCGCTGTGCTCATGTTCGGTTGCCTTTCAGTAATGCAGCTCATGATCATCCTCAATTTTCGCTTCTCGCCACCGCGATGTAGGTCTCCTCATCAATGCATGCTCTGTTTTTGATTGTCTGTTCTAGCCCGATTTTTATCTGGCAGCAAGTTGACTGATAGGATCAACGAGGCTGCGGGACCACACCGGCTTCCCGTACCACGTCTTCGGGAGACATTTGGCAAGTCACGGCTTGCTCGAAACGGCAATGGACTTCAGTAAAGGGTTCCGCCATCCGCTTTCGCCCGTCCGGTTCGAGTGGGACGATCATTTCTCCCAGCGTCAGGTCAAATCTTATATTGCGGAAGATATCAGGCTACGGCCTGAACCTACAGAGACGATCACAAGTGCGTTCCTCGATGTCCGCTCCAGGCCTCTGGACCCTGTCGATTTCAATTTCAAGAAGCTGGCGGACTTCCTGAACACGAGTGATATTCGAAACCTGAGAAATACGAATGCTCCCCAACCACGATTTCTGGCACTTCTCGACGACCGTCGGGACCCGTGTGGTCTAGATGAAGGACAATCTGGCGGCCCGCCCATCAGCAATGGGCAGACTAGAAATTGGATATCGGAACAATACACACGCTTTCCGACCCCTGGCGTGGACAGCTACCGGAGGGTGTTAGATGAGCGCGGTCTGTACGATAGGCTGCGCGCAAATGTAAGGATACGACTGGGCATGCTGTGGTTTTCGTACTAACGAAAATTAGAGGTCGGAGACTCGAGCCGAGCGACGCGTACTGTAAGTGCGAGACGACCCAAACTTCGAGTCATGCTTAACCAGAGGTAGGCTGGTAACTAATCTCACACCGTTATGCGCTCTTGTCCTGTGTGCCAATGTTGCGTACCGCTTTCTGGCATGCTTTCGAGCTTATCTCCAAAGATACATCCTCAATCAGGTCCACGTTCGAGTCACCCTGGTCTGTGACCTGCCGTTTTCTCTGATCTCTGGCCCCGTGTTGGAATGCTCACGTGCTACACCAGAACAAAAGTCCACGAGACTTCACCATGGAGTTCCATCTACCTTACTGCGCGCTACGGAGAGCCGACGGCTCGTTCGATCCCCGAAATTTCGATCCGCGAGGACTACGCCGCGCTTACCCAATGCTTCCAAACTACCGACAACCGCAAGATCAGCTGTATTACTATGACGCTCAGATCTCTGTCCTTGTTACCGGAGTGGTTGAATGGTACTGGACCGCCTATTGCTGTGTCGACACATTTGCGAAAGAACCAGAGAAAGTAGAGACTTACATGCGCCATAAAAGCGATGGCCCAAGTGCAGGGGGAAGCGCAGAGCATTATCCATTGTGGAACCCGCGGGAGTATTTCCTTCTCGTGCTCTCTCGACGTTGCACACAGGTTGCTCGTGAGTGGGAAGCCGTGATAAACGACCTAATCGCTCGCCTGGACACCTATGTGACTTTTCTTCCCCACTCCTTGCACAGTTACAGACTGACCAAGCCGCACACAGGAGACAGCCTATTACAAGTCCATGGCCGGAGACGGCAATGATTTCTTTGACGATGCCCAGCTTGGGCGTACAAAATCTTACACAAACGCAGTGTATATCATGAGGAAATTCAAGGACACCCTCAGCCTCAGTTTGGACACTTTTCAAGATTTCCAGCAAGGCGAATTGTTGTACTTCGACACAGGGAACAAACAGCACGATGAAGGGTGGAAGCTGTACTTCGACAGCATCTACGAAGACCTTGCTAGCATGCGCTACCTCCAACGAGTCTTGCTCCAGAAGATCCAGACCTTTGATCGCATGAAAGATGATGTTCGTACCCAAGTTCCCACGTTGTACAGACCTGTCACTTACCTGCATGCCGCAGTTGGTGAACTCTTCTGCTTTGTATGAAAGCCGCTATGCTACCAAGCAAGGAGATGATATCGGGGTCCTGACCAATATGACAGTGGTAAGATAGATCCGCCTCTCGGCAATGAGCTCTGCTGCGTGCGGAACGGTACTGACAGGGCAGGCGTATCTCCCATTCAGTCTTGCAACTGTGAGGCCTAGCAAGGTTAAGCGAGGCCAAGTGACTGACTGCTGGTAGGGTCTGTTCAGCATGACGGACGATAGCATCGGAGTAAGGAGGTGGCTGTTATGGGCGCTGACATTGCTTGTCCTGGGACTGCCCACCTTCTACGTCGCCTTCAAAGAGAAGCTCCACGCCATCCCAAAGCCTTGGAAGAGGAAGCAAGCTAAAGCATGAATATATATCCTCGTGTCAATCCAATCAGGTATCGCACACATACATACAGTAACTCTTTGTGCGTCACGGTACGCTATGATAGGTAACCAAAAGCGGTTGCTGGTGATCTCAACGCCCGTACTCCGTTTTACATTGAGAACACCTTTGCCCATGGCAACTAAGGCAATGCGTGTTGATAGCAGCGCTCAGTGGACCATATCCGCAACGACACTAGGAGATGGATAAGTACATATATAATAGCCTGTCAGATATGCAGCCGGGGAGACTCACACAGTACCACAACTCAAACCTTGGCCCTAGCGTCCAAGGCACAGGAGACATGGAGACCAGCCCGGTAGCCGAGCGCGTGACGCAGCGTGCACACCGTGGCCATCCGCACGAGCCGCACGGAGGCGAGATGTTTCTGGCATCCGTCTTGTTGTCTCGGCCTTCGCAGCCCTCGTTGCACTACATACGTAGCGACATCAGTGTTAAGCACGCAAGATGAAAATATCACGGATGAAGGTCGACATACGCAAGTCCAGTAATAGTACACAACCTTCGGGGGCGGGAGCGGCGGCGTCCGGACTGATGAGGCTCTGGCGAAGAAGCACGGTTGAACCATGGGTGAAGGTGTGAGTAAGCTGTTGGTCTCGTTCCGGGTTCAGCCTTCACACCAAGAAGACCACGGAATTGTTGGAGAGAAAGAGAAACAAGCACTGGAATAGGTACCGAGAGGTGAGGAGATTTCGGTTTCCACGACGCACGGGGAATTACAGTGTGTAGGCGCCGCCGCCGACTTGAAATTAATCGAGGGACGCCTGCCTTACAAGATGATTTGGATTTTGATAAGCGTTCACGTGTAATGTGGCAAGTCGCTTAGGGCTGACTCTACAGGTACATGCACCGTATGGGAAGCAGAGCCCCCGGCAAATCGCCTAACAGCCCTCTACCTGAACTTACTGTAGAGTATCACAAGTATCCTGCCCGCAACCTATTCATTAACAAGCATCTCAGTTGCACCTTTCCCCGCACTAAATGCTCGCGTTACAACGGAGTTAATTAGTGTGTTGCACACCTGCGGAGTTTCTGTATCTCTATCGCTGTCTCTCCTTACCTACATCCATGCTAACTATGGCCCATCATACTCTTCCACCTCATACTCAGTATACGTGTTTGTAGTGGTATCTGCACCGGTATCCGGATACGCCATGTTTTGGCCCGGGCCTTCCCATCCGGCTCCTGCTTCACCGTCTCCGTTGGCGTCCGAGGAGTCAAATTCGTCGCGGATGATTTTTCTGGAGGGCATAAGTTAGCACGTAAGATGTGCAATGCAATAGCATATAACGAGGAGGATGCAATATGACACTGTGAAATGCAGCATAATGATAACGCCAGAGTGAGGGACGCCGATGCCGCGGGCTCAAGCATCTCGTGGTCATCAATCAATCGACCGACGAACTGACTTGGTTATTAACGAAGATGACAGGCAAAACTAATGAGATCGATAGTACCTACTCACATAAACTCCGAAAAGGGGTTAAGACCCAAAGGCAACCCCACCGCCGCCAGAGCGACACTGCCCACCGTGGGCAGCAGACCCAACAATAGACGTTTCGTACGGTCGCTCTTTCCCCCGCCGCTACTACCCGGCTTCTGTGGCTTCTGCGGTTTCTGAGATTCGGCCTCGATCCGCGCAATGGCGGCCTCAAACGCGATGCGGTCCTCATGCCTTACCTTTTCGACGTTGGCACGAATCGTGGCGACGACCTCGTCAAAGCGCATGCGATCCGCGTACCGCTGCGCGGCGGCCTCGGCGCGCATCTGGTCCTCCTTCTGCCGCGCCTCCACCTTTTGGGATTCCAGCGCCATGCGCAGGTCCTGCATGGCGTTGTCGTGGCGGCGCTCCGCGTTGCGGCGCTCGTACTGCAACAACTCCCGCGCACGCTGGTTCTCCTCGCGCAGATGTTCCAGGCGGGTCTTGGTCTCCTCGAGCGCCGAGTGCAGCTCGGCGTCCTTGTCGACCAGGGCGGCCTGCATTTCTTGTTGGACTTTGGCGATCTCGTCGCGGTAGCGGGCCTCGAGCTTCTTGATCTCCTCGTTGACCGTCGCGCCCGCGGCCGTGTCGATCAGGTTCTTTTGCTCGTCGACCATCTCGTGCTGGATCTGGAGGACCACCGGGTTCCGCGGGACAAGGCGGTCGATGATGCGCAAAGCGGACTCGCGACTGTCTTCGAAGCGGGCCGTCTGCGCTCCGCGACGCAGCATGGGTTCCCAGAAGAGAGAGTCCGTGCAGAGTTCGCTCTCCTTCTCCAAGGCTTTGGAGAGCTGCTCGGCCTTGCGCGCCGTGCCCCACCCCGTGGTCGTGAAGATGACGTTGCGCATGGGCTCCTCGCCGCACAGCTGGCGGAACATCTTGAGGTTGCGCAGCGTCGAGCCGTACATCCGCCGGTCGTCCAGCGCGTGCATGTAGATGATGCCCGACAGGCGCGTGTTGTCGTTCTTGTACTTGAGCGCGAGCCACTCGGCGATCTCTTTGAGGACCTCCGTCTCGCCGCGTGTTGTGTCGTTGAACCCGGGCGTGTCGATGAGCGTGATGTCGTGCGAACCGTGCTTGAACCGCCAGGGCACGATGTCCGTGGTGCCTGTGTGGGCGGATGAGTCAGTCAGTGGTTGCCGCCGCGGTGGATGTGCTTGACGTGGCCAAACCAGCAGCGCCCGCGCGGACCCCCACAGTATTTGGACCGGGTCCCGGCGTTCGGGTTTGTGGTTGTGGTTCGGCTGGGCGACAGACAATATTTACCGTCTCAGCGAGGATGGGGATATAATATTGCACTTACAAGACTTGTTGCCATGCCCGACCGTCACGCGCGAGTCGCCGCTCGCGGTCTGGATGAACGTGCTCTTCCCCGCGCCCGTGACGCCCATGACGGCGATAAACACCATCTGCCCGCCGTTACCGTGGACTGCTTCGGGCGCCATCTTGGGTCAAAGTCGAGTGTTGTGACTCGAGAGTTGGAGTTTCCGAGATATCAGAGCGCCCCCTGCTACGATGTTTGTGAGAGAGTGTAGAGATCTTGAATCTACAGACTTCCCGAGCGGGAAAAGACGCGCTCGAGTGAACAAAGAAGAATGTGGGTGGGGGGTAGGTAGGCGAGCGGTCGTGCGGCTCTCGCGATGGGCGTCCGTCAGGCATCCAGAGTCCGGCATCAGGCATCAGGCATAAGGCTGGCCGTTGGGGCTGTTTTGTTTCTTGTTGCATGGATACTGTAGCAGCGGCCAAAAGGCGTGCCGGCACGACTTGCGAACTCGCACCAGGGTAGGTAGGGTCAGGCTGCTAACCACTGCAACTGCACTCAGTACAGGACTACAGTAACTACTGGAGTCAAGCGAGAAAAGGCAAAGCAGGCATGCACGCATGCATGTTCTGGACACCTCGCCCGGGCTCCACCTCGCTTGTGGAGGGAGCCGCGAAGTAAAGACCGCTGCGTGCTCGCTAATTACATGGTCCTTGGTCCTTTTGTACCCTGCACACGCACCACGACATTCCGTACGATAAAGGTCGAGTTCGTCGACAACACACCACTCTGATCGGCCGTGAACTAGATCACAAAGTATATTTTCAGCTCGGTGGAGCCAAGGAATGCAACAGATGCTTAACGCCTTGTGCAGGCCGAGTCACGACTTGCTACATAGTCACTAGTTTGAGCCTGCGACCGGCGTTGATGGACAAGCCTCAGAACGAGTCGGACGAGTCGAGCCAAGGCCAGACCGGGCCATTCGTGCGACGCGTTTCCCGAGGGCGGCAGCCTCATGAGCCATGCGCAAGCAGGAGATCGAGAAGAAACAAGAAGTCGGGGCCGGGAACGAAGGAGTGCCGCGTACCGATCCCCCAATCTCGTTCGACGTTACTGGCTTGAGCCTATCAGATGCTTGATTTGGACAGGGCAATGTTTCCCATGTTGTATCCCCTCTTTCCAGATCAGATGTGAAGACCCCTCCCGTGCATGCGGCTGAGCAGGGACCGGTGCGACTGGTCACAACTGGTTACGGCCGGATAGGCAACGAGGCTTGCAGAATACGAGCCGCTAAGGCCGGCCCCATTCCGCGCTACTGTATCACCGCGTATCGACTTGTAATACGGGGGCTTCAGCCTCACCGTCGCCTTCAGCCTAACTGCTAGTCCTAACCGCGCGAGCTCAACTCGTCGAGCAATACGTTCGCCCTCGACAGCACACGATAGCCATCCCCATCGAGACCCAGCGGATCGTTCTCGTCGAATGCCAGAAGCGCGGGCTGGATGACTGCCATGATTTTGCGTCCATTGTGCTTGGGGTTTTCGGGATCGACCTTGCTGAGGCGGTGAGCCTCCATCACCGGAGATGCCACATCGAATACAGTCTGTCGATGTCGCATCTCCTGCAGGCCCAGGCATTCCATGTACGCCGGCTGGGTCCACAGCAAGGTCGCAATCTCTGCAGCATTCCTCAGGATCTCGCGAAGTTGCTTTGCCTGGGTTTTGGACTCCTCGCTTGAGCAACGACGCAGCAACTTCTCTGCTGGACTGTGCCGGAAGCTTCTCGCCAGCTCGTCGCAGTAGGACCGGACACGTTTAAACGTCACCGATTCGTCGTTGGCTGCAGATTTGCCAGACCTGGGCGGGTTCATGATGCGCCAGAAGGTGCAGCGCCATTGATGGGCCTCGCGTTGGTTTGCTGGGCTTGTGTGAGCAACGAACGATACCGTCATTTCCCACGTACCTAATATGAGCTCTTCGTAGGTCTTGCGCAAAGCACCCACGAACTCTGGCGGCGCACAGAAGAAGGCATTTGAGAAGAAAGCCTCGTGGATGGTGTGTGAAAGGGCCGCAGTGAGGAGAAGGTCGGGAAGCCGCTGCTTCAGTTTGCCTGCTGGGCTTTCAATGGCAGGAGGTAGGTTTCCTCTGTCGTTGGCCCACACGAATTCGGCCAAGTAATCCTGCTTGAACGAGATGTATTCGGGGTCCTGCGTCCTGTGCTCAGGCAAGCCATCAATGGCCCAATCTCTCGCCCAGTCACGGACCATCCCGTGCAGGCGATTGAGCTCATTCCGAATGTCGTCGTCGGGGGGCGGGTTCCAGCGACCGCTGCTCATGTTACGCGTGGCCGCCTCAACAAGGGCGCGCACATTGGCCTCGCTTTGATCGAGGTCCCGTTGCAGCCTCTGCTTCTCCTGGTCCATGTCTTTCAAGCTCGCCGTGGCATCATGAGAACATTGCTCGAAGCGAGCCTTCCAGTAGTGGATGTCCTCGTTGGCGTACTTCAGCTTGGCCTCTGCAGTGGCGGCTCTGTCTTCAATGCGGCGAATGTCGTTAGATCGAGGCTTGGCCTTCGCTGCGTTGAGTTCGTCTCTCAACTTCCGGATTTCATCCTCCTGATGGCGGATCGTCTTGGCCTGATAGTCCGCCGCATTGGCGTGCTTTTGCAGCACCACATTGTTGTGAGGTTGCTCGTTCTCTCCCCTACGAGCTGCCGGAACAAAGGTGACTTGATGGACCGAGCCCGGCTCATATTCAACCGCTTGAGTCGCCACTTGGGAGTTTCCTCGGGCCTTGGCCAGCTGTTGATCGTCACGGTCTTTGGGAGGAACTTGTGGTGGTCCCGACTGTGGACGAGGAGTCGCCTCATGTCTTGTGCGTTGGTCGTGCCGACCGTCCTGATCGTGATGCCCACCAGAGATAGTGCCCTTTTCCTCGATCAGCGCTCATCTAGCGATTCCGGAATACGTACTCTGCGGCTGCCTTTGGATCCACGGTCGTCAAGTTCCATGTCTTGTAATTGTTCCATCGCTGTCTCGGGTGGGTGATTCGTCATGATCGATAGAACGTCCCCTTACTGTGAAGATTCAGAGACTCCCACCACTTCAGGCCTGCAAAGGATTAAAATGGCAGCCTGTCGAACGTCGGGCTGCGTCGAGGCGCGCGGGAGGCCTCGCACGGCCACCCTTCGCTTGGATGCGTCCAGAACCGGTCACGGTATTTCCGGTACACTAGTGTATTTTAGAAATGCTTGCATTAGCTTGATGGGGCCACACCACCCTTTTGAGACAAAAGGAACTTTGGAGGCACAGCTAGACTTCACGAGCAGGCGGCCACACGATCGGGAATGAGGCTGCCGACTCTTGAAACTTCTCCCACGTGTTCGAACCACACGAAGCTCTTCTCTGAACGCCTGGTCTAGGGGAAGGGCTCGGTAGATAAGCATAAATCGTGCCGCGCAATCGCCGGCGCATTTGCCATCCAGCATTCAACTATTGCGTGGCTATCATCAGCCAAGCAGACTGAACATCATGTCTCGAAACTCGGTCCTCTTTACCGCTGGCGCACATCGTATCATTGTTGGCGTGGACTACGGGACGACGTACTCAGGTGAGTCGTGACCCTGGCGGGTTTGTCCTCGGCCGCTCACAAGCTTTCACAACAGGACTCAGCTTCGTGACCTCGAACAATACATGGGAAGACATCGTCATAGTGTCCGCGTGGCCAGGTCAGCGCGACAAAGCGTGGAAAACGCCAACGACCATCGCCTATGCCAATGAGAACACAAAGGCCTCCTTGACACGGAATCAGTGGGGTTTCGAGGTAACAAGAAGCCTCAAGCAGTACGTATGGACCAAGCTACTGCTGGACAAGGAGGTCGATACTGCTCAGTATGACGATCCTCTGCTTCAACAAATGTATGGTTCCGGCTTCCTGCGGCTGCCGCCTGGCAAATCAGCAAAGGATGTGGCACAAGATTACCTTTCGGAACTGTATCAGTACCTCATGCTACGCCTGGAGCAGGAGTTGGGTTCCGCAGCTCTCGTACAGGCGATGCCGATGGAGTGCTGGATCACCATGCCAGCCATCTGGGGTAACAAAGCGCAAAGGGACACGAAAGAGGCAGCCCTCGGCGCCGGGTTCGGGTCTCGACCTGGTGACAAAGTGAACATGATCACGGAGCCGGAAGCAGCTGCTTTGTACGCTCTAAAGCCCTACCTTGTTCCCACGGCCCTTGATCCGTTGAAAGTAAGTACCGAAGCCACCGGTCAGCTCAGCCCCTAGCTAACCTGCACAGCCAGGCGAATGCGTGCTCATCTGTGATTGCGGAGGCGGAACTGTGGTAAGTAGGGACAGACACCTCCCACCGACCTGGCTTGCTGAAGTTTGCCCCCTTACAGGACCTCGTCACCTATGAGATCCTGCAGACAACGCCGTCTCTGAAGCTAAGCGAGAAGTGCCGTGGAACAGGTATACGGATCATCCATAGAGAGAGCGGCTGGCTAATGGCTTTCAGGTCTCAAATGCGGCTCGACTTCGATTGACCGGCAGTTCGTCCAATGGATGACCAAACAATTCGGTCAGGCATATACCAACATCGACATGAAGAAACGAGGTCCAGGCTCCACGTTCATGAAATCCTTCGAGGGTGTGAAGAAAAACTTCGGATTCAAAGACGTCGATAAACTGCACTTCGAAGTCGGCCCCTTGGAAATGGGATGCGGGATGAGTCCCAGGTACGATGACGACGAGGAAACCGTTAAAATCCCAAGGTGGGTGACCTCTCTCCCCCGGAGGCCCGGGCTCGCTCTAATACGTGATAGGTCGGACATGGTTCGATTCTTTGAACCTGCCATCAAAGGTCTCGTCGCTGTAATCGAAGGCCAGCTGACTCAATTGAAGCAGCTCGGAAAGAAGCTCGATGTAGGCTCCGTTATTTCTCCACATCGTCGAAGTGCGCCGTGCTAATAGCTGGAAAAGCGTTTCATCCTCGTAGGCGGCTTCGGCGATTCGCCCTACCTCAACCAAGAGCTCAAGCAGTGGTGCAATTTGAAAGGTATCAAGAGATTTTCATGCCCGACAGACTGGTAAGCAAGGATTCGACAGAGCCGGCAAAAAGACGTTAACTTGATGTTAGCCAAGCCGCCATTGTCAAAGGCGCTGCTCTCCGCGGGCTTGAAGGCATCCGCCCACAAGCTATTATTGCCAGACGCAATTATGGCTGGAGCTGGGGTGAGGCTTTCCGTGAGGGTATCGACGACGAAGCAAACGCGTACACCCACAAGTTCGATGGCCGAAAGATGTGCCGAGGGAAGATGCATTGGGCTGTCCTGAAGGTGATACGGCCATCCCATATCACAGCCGAAGCTTGCGTTTGCTAACTTGAGCTAGAATCAAGAACTGGACCAGTCTTTCTCGATTACAAAAGACGTCTCGCACTCGAGCGAGACTACCGGAGTCAATTGTTCGACGCTAGAGCTGTACTCCTGTTCACTTGACTCCCCGCCAGAACGCGAGGAGCATTTTAGTGTGCGGCGTGAGAGCGTGATTGAGACCATGTGGGATCCCAACAACGACAAGGTCGAGTCCTGCTGGAGTGCCAGGTTGAGGAAGACAGTCTATCGCTTTAACTATGAGATGATGGTGGATTTCCGCTCGGAAGACGGGCTCCTCGACTTCAAATCAATGGTCGATGGGGTGCAGGTTGGCAAGACCAGAATCAAATTCGACGCCTAGCCTGGTGGAATGGCAGGTGCGAGACGAAAGGAGTCAGCTTGAAGGCGGCTTTGATAGTGAAGGATGGTAAAGGCGAAATGAGCTTCGGGACATACTACGTGGTGGCACTTTCCCGCGTCGCGTGCCTGGTCGACATTTGCCCTCGGCAACGGCGGACCATACGCCAAGGGAGACGCGCGGCGCGCACGTGACTTGTGACTAATAGTCGGAGGTGTGAATCGGCGCCGAGGCGCATGCTGCGTCCTGCATGCTGCGTCCTTTTGATGACAGACTTTTCATCTCTTCTTTGCCCTGCGCGCCACTCATCGCACGCCAAATCCAATCAAGATCTGCTCCGGTCGTGCCGATCAGAAGCTTGAGTGCCCGGTAACGGCTCCTGCTGATGACGTTGTTGTTGCGACCGCCGGCTCAGAATGTCTTGATTGCCCTCATAGTGTCACACCGTTCATGAGTACTTCATTCTCTGTTTCCTGTGCCGAGTTCCGACCACCAGGATCCGTGCCTATCACATGGACGAAATGGCCTCATTCAAGGTCCTTTTGCATTTCGCCACGCTGGGCGGCAATGGTTTCACCTCGCTGGTATGCACGGCATGGCAATGATGCCTACACCACCGGTCATTACCTATGCGTAACCCCGGTGCTCATTCTCCAGATTTCGATCAGCGAAATGCTTTATAACCTCTCGGCCGCTTCCCACACCCCACTTCCAAGGTCCTCGATGAAACTACTGTGTGCCGCATTTCCGCTTTAGTCCTGCATCTATTTCTGCAAGTTGATAACGAGACTAGCATTCCAGGCCTATCATGGCTTCTCCTCATCTGAACAGGACGCTGACAGCGCCCGAAAATCGCTCCAGACGCCCGGTCCGCGTTTCTTTGAGCCGAGCAAAGTCGACTCCCGAGGATGTTCCCCATCAGTTGTTTTCGCCGCAATTCATGGACGACCACGGGTCGCATCATTATCATGTCTCGGCAACAAGAGAGGACCAGGTCGATCCCGACACCGACGCTGACGCCGATATGGACGCACCAGAGTCGCCGCTGAGTAGTGATGATACAACAATATCAGGAAGCACCGCGGGCGAGTCGCACGAAGAAGAGGTCAGATTCGGCGTGGTGAATTCTCGCGACCTAGAAGCTGGATCGACTCGCCCTGGCTTGAAATCCGAAAAGTCGACCCGATCGATCAAGGATCCTAACCTGGTAAGGCTATCTTCCTACATCTGCCTGGCGCAACAGTGGTTAATCAGTCATTCACAGGTAACCTGGGAAGGACCCGACGATCCTGACAATCCAAAGAACTGGACGTTCCGCAAGAAATGGGCAGCGACGCTCATCGTCTCTTCATTCACCTTCATTTCCCCTGTCTCGTCATCTATGGTTGCGCCAGCTTTGAACAAAATTGGCCAAGATCTGGGCATCACCCAAGAAGTCGAGTTATCGCTGACGCTTTCCATCTTCGTCCTTGCATACGCCATCGGACCACTGTTCTTAGGCCCTCTGTCGGAGATGTACGGCCGAGTCATTGTTCTCCAACTGTCGAACCTATTCTTCTTGGCCTGGAATATTGGGTGCGGTTTCGCCCAGACGCGAAGTCAGCTTATTGCGTTTCGATTCCTGAGTGGACTGGGTGGAAGTGCCCCCTTGGCACTAGGTGGTGGAGTGCTAAGTGACTGCTTCCACGCCGAAGAGCGTGGCAAGGCCATCAGCATATACTCCCTTGCCCCGCTGCTCGGTCCAGCCGTCGGACCCATAGCAGGTGGTTTTATCGCATTGAAGGTGAGTTTTGGCAGTAGCGCAGACTGTCCTCAAAAGACTGACAGAAACGTAGACCACATGGAGATGGTGCTTCTGGGCAACTTCGATCGTGGACGCCGGCATCCAAGTCCTCGGCCTCATCTATCTCCGAGAAACGTATGCGCCAAAGTTGTTGAGCGATAGAGCCGCGAAGCTCAGAAAGGAAACGGGCAACCCCAGTTACCATACCGAGTGGGAAAGTCCTGACCGAACGCTGGGCAAGGTCCTCCGTGCGAGCCTTATCAGGCCGTTCCGCCTGTTGGGAACCCAGCCCATCATTCAGGCTCTCGCTTTGTACATGTGAGTGCACCACCGCCTCAAGCCCAAAACACCCGCGACTAACGATCTCCAGGGCTTATCTATACGGCCTCATGTACCTTGTCCTGTCCACGTTTCCCTCCGTCTGGGAAGACGTCTACCAAGAATCCGTCGGCATCGGCGGCCTCAACTACATCTCCCTCGGCGTTGGTTTCTTCCTAGGCACGCAGATCTGCGCACCCATCAACGACAGGATCTACCGCAAGTTGAAGCTCCGAAACAACAACGAAGGGAAACCTGAATTTCGTGTCCCGCTTATGATTCCCGGGGCGGTCCTTGTGCCGATCGGGTTGTTCATCTACGGATGGAGCGCCAGGAGAAGTGTGCACTGGATTGTGCCCAATATCGGGGCTGCAATCTTTGCGGCCGGCACCATCATCGGCTTCCAGTGCACGCAGACCTATATCGTGGATGCGTACTCAAGGTACGCAGCCTCTGCTGTGGCAGCGGCCGTGGTCCTGCGGAGTTTGGCTGGATTCGGCTTGTAAGTGTTTCCTGCCCCGGTCTTTTGAAAAGCGCTAGCTAACCATGCGACCACAGCCCATTGTTCGCTCCGTATATGTACGATGCTCTCGGCCTAGATTGGGGCAACTCGATGCTTGCTTTCATTGGCATCGGTCTCGGTATCCCCGCGCCTCTTTTGCTCTGGAAGTACGGTCCAACTCTGCGCGCAAAGAGCACGTATGCTGCTGGGTGAAACTTCTTGACGGCACTGTTCAAATCAATTTTTGGCTAAGAGACGTAAGCCTGGATAGCCCATCGATCCCGTTAGCAGAGGACATCCGGTCTCGAGACGAGAATGGGACACCAGATTTAGGCCGCACCACGGTATACTGCAACTACCCACACAAACAGGCATCCCAGGCTGGAACCAAGCTCAGCTCCGGTACTGTACGGATATCACGCGGCCGCATTTGTGGGCGGCGCCGTGCTCCTGCGAGATGGTATCACCAGCAGCAGCACAGAATGCATTTTCTACTTTTGCTACCGCTACTCTTGGCAGCAAACCCGACATTGAAGGACTCTTGAACGGCAGAAAACCAACTAGACGCTGCCCGTCCAAGTGAGTCAACGATCATGGGAACCAGAAAAATGGCGAAGCGGGGTTCGCTGGGATCGGTGTCCTGTGTCGGAAGTTGAGGCCTAGCTATGCGTGCACGCATGGGCATTCGACCAAGACACCTCAGGGGAGGACATCGACATTTAGCGGCATATCCGCTTTCGAAACGAAGCAGGACACCGAAGAGCTACATGGAGTCCAGTCATTCGATCTCCAGGATTAAGAGGCAGAAGATCTATGAAGCGGCCGAAGATCTATGAAGCGGCCGAAGATCTATGAAGCGGCCGAAGATCTATGAAGCGGCCGAAGATCTATGAAG